ACATGATAAACAAGTAGAAAAGTCAAACTTACTCCAAAAAAAGAAGAAGAAAAGTTTGATATATATTTGTACACATAGTTATAGAGACACTTCTGTTAAATGAATGACATCACGCTTTTTCTCATGAATATAGAAATGTTCATTATCATACACATGTCATAAAAAAACTAAAATGTTGAAATTTCTTCCTTTCACTGCTACAAAGGAGGTGGAAAGTCATAGTAACATGGCAAGATAGCTGTTTGAAATGCAAGTAAGTCACAACAATCCTATTGCATGTTTCCTTTAATGCAAGATGACACTTTGCAACATTCAACTAATTTCACGATAACATCTCTAGGTCAAATTGAAGTACAGTGTTTATAGTTTCTTACCTGCAAGATCAGCAAGCGTCAGTACGTTTGTGTACTGTGCCTTGTGGAGCAGTAAGGCCCCAACGTTCACCCCTCCTAAGCACTTCTCTATGCTGCGGCAGTGGTCTTGGTTCGGCTGTATCCATTGTCCGAAACTGTCCTGTCCGATGAAGCACTTGCAGGCATTGGATGTTCCTGAGGGAGTGAAAAATTGCATTGGTTACCATATACAGGGTGGTCCCAAAAAAAGTTTACCTGATAATATTCCCAAATATTTTGTCTACCGTAAAAAATGTGTAAAATCCCCTATTTCTTGTTATTTTGGGAAAGAATGTTGCATCTTGACGCCACTTCAGCAGTTGTGTGCAAAGTTAACGGAGAGTCAAGAACATTTTATTTCCTAACAAAATTGGAAATTTTTTTCAGTCCAAGACTCATGTCTTATCATTTTTGCAATGACTGACCTTAATTGAGATAAGAAAAAATTGGCGTCAGGTTGCAACATTCTTTCCTCGGATTGTTTTACTCGCCAATTCAATTGGCATTTAGCGTTGTTTTTGGCCACTCTTACTACCAGTTTAGGTATTAACCCCAACTCCTTGAGCACTTTTACTAGAAAGTGTCATGTCATGCACACAAATGTTAGTGTTGGTGACTGCTCAGTATGGAGGTATCCTGAATCCATCAAAATCCTGCAGTACTGCTAGGCTTTTATCCTCAATCCATCAAAATCCCTCTGTTTCAATACGGAGGTATCTTGAATCCGCCGAAATACTCCAAAACAGGGGTATGAATTTCGATGGATTCAGGTACTTAGGGATAATAAATGTTACATGAGACTGTTTATTTTCACAAGAGTTTAATCAAGTACAAGATTTCTAAAATTTATTAGTAATGCAGTGATAAACTTACCAATTGTGTTCAATGCCACAAGAACTATCATCAGACAACAAACAATCATGATGCGTGTGCACTGCTGCGCGCCCCTACTGCCAGCAGAGCTCCATCTTCTACCCCAACAAATTCTTCTCCACAGCACAAACTAAAAACCACCCTCGCCTGGCTCGCTAACCAAACCATCTACCTGGCTTATTCTGAGAAATTGCCATGGGAACCATTTCGCGACGCCTGATGACAACAAAGGGCACAGGCATATGACTGGCTAGTTTTAATTTAAAAAGGTGACAATGGGAACCATTTGGTGCGGCGATAGCTAAAAAAGACAAAAGCACACGACTGACAAGTATTCAGTAGAGACGTGACAATGGAAACCTTGACAACGAATTCTGTATTTCCCTGGCAACTTAATGAGGCAGTGAAGAGTGAATTTTTGTTGTTGTAATTTTAAATTGGGGTCTGTGTGACTAAATATAACTTTTATACAGCTGACAGCAACCTTCAATATTTTTTTAATGGGTCCACGAAACCGTTCTTAATAAGTTTATTGTTCAATTCCCTTCAATTTTGTTTTTAATAAGCAACCAATTTTTTTTCTCCACTGGATATGAAATGTACGTACACAATACAGAGTGGATAAAAAAAAAAAAAAAGGAAACCGAGATATTGCTCATTCGAACAGGAGGGCACATGTGAATCAAAGTGAGATATCCTCTGTTAGGGTTGAATCTTCTCTTTAAACTGACACCCTGATCATGTCCTTACATTCACGGTTGACTGAGCAGTGACCAATTTTATGAGAGGGTCTATTTAGAGAATTGCGCCACTTTTCATGGTGAAATCTTTGTTCCCCCCCCCCCCCCCCCCCCCCCCCCCGCTTTGATTTGCAACTATAGCCTTTCACTCTGTGACAGGTGACACCACAAAAACCACAACTGAAAAGTGGCGCAATTCTCTAAATAGACCCTTTCACAAAATCGGTCACTGCTCAGTCAACCGTGAATGTAAGGACATGATCAGCATGTCATTTTAAAGAGGAGATTCAACCCTAAAAGAGGATATCTCCCTTTGATTCAAATTTGCCCTACTTCTGTTCCAATTAGCAATAGTATCTCAGTTTTGTTTTTTTGCATCCACCCTGTACAGTGACCAACCATTCAGATGATGGCCCCATGTACATTATTTTTGCTACGTGGTTGCTATTATGGATGCATGGCAATAAAGACAATTAACAAATGCAGCCTTGACTGCAGCTGAATGGGAACCCTTAATTACTTAATTTCCAATAGTAGTCAAGGCCTTTTATGAGACCTTTGAGACCTTTTCGATCAATTTGTTAAATTTTTAGACAAAACGAGTCAACTATTAACCATTGTCTGTACTCATGTATTTCATAAAGGAATACTCATTTGAGTCTAAATGACAGTATCTTGAGTCCTTTGTCTCATTGAAATGATCATTATAAATCCTTTATTAATATATTAAAAAGAAGCCCCACTGACATGTTTTCAGCTGAAATTCAATACACACATTGCACTCGTGTCTATGTGCATATTGCTTAAAAGTACTAATTTTTACCTCAATGTCCATTAAATGAGCATTTTCGTGAAGTTTTAAAAAGGGTCTCAACATCATTGTCAGAAGTCATAGAGTTGTGTTGTTAATTTGCACTAAGCAGGTCCCTCACGGTTGATTTTATATTGATTTTCAAAGATTAAATCTATTAAGCTTTAACGTGACGTCACGTGACTCATGATAAAGTCATCGTAACGTCACTTCAATTTTCATCTATAACACATCCCGGTCTAGGTACATACAAACTTTCAACCCAGTCAGACCTGTGCTTCTGTAGATATTGGCCTTCAAAATATGCACTTTCAATATGACGTCATCTTGACGTCACTTGATTTTTTCATCAATAACACATCCCGGTCTAGGTACATACAAGTTTGAACCTAATCGCACCTGTAGTTCTGTAGATATTGGCCTTCAAAATATTCTTTTTTAAAATGACGTCACATGTCACGTGATGACGTCATTGTGACGTCACTTCAATTTTCATCTAAAACACTCCCTGGTTTAGGTACATACCAAGTTTCAACCCAATCGGACCTGTATTCTGGAGATATAGGCCTTTAAAATATGTACCTATAATGTGAAGTCACGTGACTCGTGATGACATCATGATGACGTCAATGTTCGTCACACAACTTGTGTGTGCCGAGTATAAAGGCAGTCGGATTAATTTTAGTGCAAAAATGACTGGGGGAAAAAAAGAAAAGAAAAAAATCTTAACGAAAACAAAGGCTTTATCGGCTGGTTTGCCGAAACAGCCAAAAGTCATTTTTTCAAAACACGTATTCATGCATGCTGCACTGCACAAGGTAAACGCGAATAGTTCTTGCAATGTATATTCTTTGTTCAAGTGAAGATGACATTTTGCCGCTGTCTGCTTTTCTAAAAAACAAAATACATCAAAAGAACAGTCTGTACTCTCCTCAAAAACCAATGTAGGATAATAATTCCAATTATTTTATTAAGCGTATTTAGAAATTCATTCAAGCAGTATCTATGTATATTAAATAGATATGTATTTTCTTTTTTTACAAAGTATATATCACAGTATTTATACATGTCAAATCCACTAACGGAAGATATTTGCTTACTAGCATTAACCTTGGCTCAAGACTGTTTTTTTTATCTCTTTTATTTTGACATACATTGCCATTGCCTTCAAACTGCTATAAACATGGAACATAGTCTTGAACCAAGACTAAGGATCTGGGGAAGAGTGTATGAGGGAAAATTAATATAAGGAAAAAAACAAACAAACAAATCAACAAAGTAATAGCAACAAAACTCATCAGAAAAGTCTAAGTACATTTGTATGGAATTTTTTCTGTTGCTGGTTGAATTAAAACTGAGTAATTTATATCATATTTCTGGGGGAAAAAAAGGATCACCTTATTTCTGACTGAAAAAAAAAATGGTAGGCACTTTTAACCACTTCGCGCCGGGTTTATTTTTGCAGAAAATTTCGATTTTTGCAAAAGGCAACATTTTCCGGCCACTTCTGATATACAGCCAAACACCACATATACTGATTCGCAAGAGTCATTTCAACAGTATTTGTTCGATATTTCTTGTCGAAACCTCATATGTTTCAATACTCCGGGGTGTGCACTGGAGCGTAAATTGTAAAACAATAGGTCAGGCACAACAGCCAATTCAAGATCAACACACGGTCTGCCTCCACTGACTCCCCAGACTTTGTGTGTGCGTACAAATGGCACGAGGGCCGAGGGATTATGTGTTCAGACATCACCTAGAGGCAGGTCGAGGCAATCTTGACGTCTTAACCCCTCAGCCGTGCCTGTGAATAAAAACAGCCAGTGCGTGTTATTACATCCTCGGACGCGAACTGGTTAAGTGCCTTTTTGAAGTGCAATGGTCTTGTGGTCTGGAGCATCTGACTCAAAATCTTGAAGGAAATTCTGAAGTTTATGGGTTCGAGTCCAGCCTGTGGGGTTTTGGTGTGTGTCCTTGGGCAAGGTACTTTATCATGAATTGCTTCCTTCTACCTAGCAGTAAATGGTACCTGCAAGGGCAGAGATGATTTTTGGTTAGCAGTTTTCGATAACATTGAACAACAGATATAGGCATTGTTTACGGCACGAAGATGCTATAAACACCTTGAGCACAAATACTGGTGGATATGTGCACTTTGTGTAAAAACAAATGAACTTTGTACATTTCCTGCCGCTAAGATTAAAGTTGGCACGGACTCATTATTATACATACATAAAATAGAAGGAATACAGTTTACATGCGTGTCACTGTCTCGGTACAGTTGTAATGAAATATGATTTAGCAGCAATAGTTTAAAAGTTGAAATTCTGTTTTATGTTTAATGTACATTTTCATGGTAATTAAACACTGCATATTTTACATCATGCAAATGCCGTGACAAATTTTGCAATACTTTATAGCAATATACAAGCTATCACATATTTAATTCAGCCAGAGACGTATTCACCTATAGAAATTGCCCTGTGGGGACGTATACAATCTTTTGTTCCCTATTGTACACATGTCTCCAGAGGCCACGGTGTATCAGATCGTGCATATATACACTGCGCCACGCACTGCTGCACATTTTGAAAGAACACATGCACTCTATACCGCACCAAGGGAACAGGTTAACATACGTGCAAATGGTGGTTGGCTGTATGGGCTCGACTATTTTTTGAAGGGCACGATCTCGCAATGGTGAGGTTGGCCTCGCCCATTTTTTGCAGGGGACGATCGCAGAACGGTGAGGTGGGCCTCAACCATTTTTTGAAGGGGACGATCGCGCAATGGTGAGGTGGGCCTCGCCCATTTTTTGCAGGGGACGATCGCAGAACGGTGAGGTGGGCCTCAACCATTTTTTGAAGGGGACGATCGCGCAACGGTGAGGTGGGCGTCGCCCATTTTTTGCAGGGGAAGATCGCAGAACGGTGAGGTGGGCCTCAACCATTTTTTGAAGGGGACGATCGCGCAACGGTGAGGTGGGCCTCGCCCATTTTTTGCAGGGGACGATCGCAGAACGGTGAGGTGGGCCTCAACCATTTTTGAAGGGGACGATCGCGCAATGGTGAGGTGGGCCTCGCCCATTTTTTGAAGGGGATGATCGCGCAATGGTGAGGTAGGCCTCAACCATTTTTTGAAGGGGACGATCACGCAACGGTGAGGTGGGCTTTGACCATTTTTGAAGGGGATGATCACATTACGATGAGGTGGGCCTCGACCACTTTATGAAGGGCACGATCACGCAACGGTGAGGCGTAGATATGGCGCGCTGTTATACGGGCACTGCACTCTTGATACTGCCACGTTTGCGGGTCTACCGAAGGCCAAGCAATTTGCCTGTTCCAAACAGTCATGTTTTGAATGGGCACTGCACTAGGTACACAAATAGTGAACTGCACAATGTGAACTTGTTTGGTCACAGTCCTTCAATGCTCTCATTTGGAAGTTACACTTGTATCTTCTTTTGTTTGTTTTTACTGAGAACATTGCATCTTGCGATATATTATATTTAGGCCTATACATAACTAATGGAAATAATCATTTCAAAACTGAATGTGAAAAAGCATAAATAGCTGGATAGAGGGGCATATTGATTGTCTCTAAAATTCGTTTCTATATAAATTCAATATTTATTTAATACATTTAATGCAGGTTGTATATATTTTATACACATTCAACATTTATTTCATACATTTAATGAAGGTTTGATATATTTTATACACTATTAGATAAATGAAATCACAATAATCGATTGAATTACACAAAATATTTCATTCAGTGTATCACATTTGAAGGTCTTTTTAGTGACGTTTCAGCAACTCTATACAAACTAAATATAAAGAAAATACAAAAATAGAACAAAATATGAAATGTTTTGTGCATGACAGCCACATGACTTAAAGTTAAAAGAGATAATTCCTATAGTGACGATACATCAAATGCAAGTTGAGTTCCTTTGAAATTAATATGACTGTTTCTCAAGAGTATACATGAATAACAACATACGATTCAAAATGGCCACTTTATATATTTGTTTACTCTTTATACAGCATGCAGATCTTTTAGGTTTAAATACAACTAGAAAATGGCAGATTGTGAAACTGAGACAAACCCAAACTTTTTGTGGAGTGCCATGGCCTCGTGGTCTGGGGCATTGAGTTCATGGTCTGCGGGCAATTCTGCAGGTTGTGGGTTCGAGTCCAGCTTGGCTGTGGTGCGTGTGCCCTTGGGCAAGGCACTTTGTCACTAACTGCTTCTCTCCACCCAGGAGTAAATGGGTACCTGTGAAGGCAGAGATGGTTATTGTGGTTGATATTAGCTGCTTTACGCCAAAATGGCAGCATCGAGCTGTATACTCCCCAGGGAGCTGAGATGGTATTTGGAATGTTTCATTAGCCCAATGAGCAGGGTAGTAATGATGTAGGGCCTTGAGCACCAAAAAATGGTGGATAAGTGCAGTTTATACCGGTAAATACCCATTATTATTATTGGCTTTAGTGCAATAATGTACATTTTCAGTTTCAGTCAAGGCCAAATTTCATGTATCTGCTAAGCAATTGTAAGCAAATATTCTGTGCTAAACTTCAGCAGAAATTCTTATCCCATTGGCTTGTGTATAGCCTGTATAAACAGAGAATTACTTCTTTCAGCATGAGTGTAAAATGAATGTACAAATGTGATCCTTCAGCACACAATTCCATGGTTAGCAGAGCCATGAAATTGGGACCTTTTGTGGTGTCCAATGTAGATAGTTTTCAGTCAGCAACACTGACCTTGTCAATTCAGTTCCACGGCTTTAGACGCTCTCAAGCATATTGTCTCTTTCTTCCACTTTCTTTGCAGTGTATGTTGGCTTCTTGTAACTGCAGGAACAAAAAACCCACAATTATGACCTGTATTATTTGAAGAGTGTGCACTGTAGCTGTGCAAAGAATGAATAATCTCTATCAAACCCATTTTGTAAATATACTTTATTGCAATGTATTTATTCTTGGAAGAATCAATAAAACATACAGTGCTGAGTTGGTTTTTGGTTTGTACAGGGCGAGTAAAAAAAATAACGAAACCCAAATGTTGGGACCATTGTTTTAGTGAAGTTCTGCATGTAGCACTTTCAAAATCTAGGATATGAAAGCCGAATTCATAAGCTTTCTTTTAGTACAAGAATCATTCAAATCACTCATGTACTTTTCAAGTTACGGAATTTTAAACACAAACACAGTTACCACCGTTTCAAGGTTCTGTCCACGGATCCCAAAAAAGTTCAGTGTTCTTTCAGGAAAACAAAAACAAATCACATAAGGATGTGTGTGAATTGTTTTCGTTTTGCTGAAAGAACGCACACCTTTTTTGTGATCCGTGGACAGAACTTTAAAACGGTGGTTGTGTTTAAAATTCCGTAACTTGAGAAGTACATGAGTGATTTGAATGATTCTTATACTAAAAGAAAGCTTATGAATTGGGCTTTCATGTCCTATATCTTTAAAGTGCTACATTCAGAACTTCACTAAAACAATGGTCCCGACATTTGGGCTTCGCTTTTTTGACTCACCCTGTATTGTATTACAATGTATTTTTCTAGAGGAATCAATAAAACATACAGTGCTGTGTTGGTTTTTGGTTGGTATAGGGAGTTGGCTGGGCTGTTCGGAGAGACCTGTGCACGGGCACTATAATCAGTTAAAGCAGTGTTGTAGGACTTTAAAACCCAGGACTCGGCCTCAAGTCCATCTTGAGTGGCAACATTGGTTACTCGGACTTGACTTAAGTAACATCAGTAAAACATTCAGACTCAGACTCAACCATCATGACCAAGTCAAACTTGATGCCAATGATGCATGACTCACTAGTCACAGAGTTTTGTAAGGGAATAAATATGTGCTTGGCAGGTTTTAAACAAGTACGTTTAAAACCGACTCAGGGGTCTGGATACTGTTACTTTTGGCTCGGGCCATTATCGGCGACCAGGCCCCTCAGCTGGTTTTCAACATCTTTGTGTATATACTGGCCAAGCACATATATATTCCCGTTCATAAATACCTGTGAGTCAAAAATTCAAAACAAGTCAAAAATTATTCATTTCCAATGATTTTGTTCAACAATTTTAATTCATGTATTTTGAAACACCACTCTAGCTATGTTATGGTATGTGCTGCTCGCGAGTAGTAATAACAATCTCCTAACATGTATATGGAGATGGGGGGGGGGGGGGGGGGCACAGCGTGTAATGTGCGATGTGGCGCAGAACGTGGCGGTGCTGGTGTAGTGTGAATTTAGATCTCTTGAAATACGAACTCATTGGTAGTATTGCACATGGTTTAATAGTGAAGATTGTGAATGTTCAACCAATAAAAGGTCAAAACGGACCAGATTTCATAGGAGTCACAATTTCATGTCACACTGGAAAAGTTTTTATAGAACCAGCCAGCCGGTGTTTATCAACCATTGAAAACCACCCACGTGAAGGCCTCTTGATCAATAGGAATTGGTAAACTGTCTTAGGTATTTATGAATACCAAATAAATTTCCTATTAAAAGAAATAATTACGAACGAAAGTGGATGCTGTTATTAAATGGGTGTATAATGGTTATGGTCAAGGAATGGGTCTGCAACTGAGAGCCTAAAATGAGCAGTATTTATCAGTTTATAGCTTTTATTAACCGTTTGACAGTAATGGCTACTTACAACTTCAGGAAGAGAGACGACAGCACCACGGAGACGGAGGACATCGCCATGGCAGCAGAGGCCATCCAGGGTCTCAGGAATATGCCAACGGGCGACAGTACACCTGGGATGGAGGTTGTCAGGATTTTGTTAAGTGGGGATTTTATTGAAAGTTGGCACAGTTGAAACTACATGACTTACAAAAACAAAGTCTTTACAGGTTCACAAACTATTTTCAACTCTATTTCTGGAACTGAAACATTAATATTGTTTGGGGCAATATGATTTTTGAAATAGAAAAGACAAAAATGCAGATACGTAAATCCAAAAACCTAATGAAAAAAAAATCAGGAACAGCTGAATGGAGGATCATCTAAGGATCTGAACACAATATTACTGATTTGTAGTAGTCACTTGGCAAAGTGAAATTTTTTTAACATCGCATATTTGCAGAGATGTTCTTATCCAAATGCTACAGTGTTTGTAATGGCAGCATTCTTTTCTACTTCTACTACAAAAAGAAACAATCCCCATAGGAATTTTACAGGAACAAACCATACAGTGGCTAGGCTTGTGCGATATTGGACTTTGACAGTCCAAAAAAATATCACTGTATTATCAGGTATTTTTCTGAAAAGTTAACAAAGAAATTGTCTGGAGCGGGACTTGAACCTGCGACCTCCAGATTACCGTTCCAGTGCTCTACCAACTGAGCTATCCAGCCTTATGTTGGTGGTTCCCTAATTAGTCAAAGTCTTTGTTCAAGGGGCACTAGTCAGACGCCATAAACCCATATATGCCATGCAGCCAGGGATCACGCCCAAAGTCACAATGCAGACCTGGGCAAGAGCAAACGGGGATCACTCTGAAAGCATACAGCTTTTTATTATAAATTTTCAAATGAACCACACAGGGAAACTTACTAATTATCCACATATTTAATTAACAATTATCCACATATCATGTTCAGTGCAGATCCGGCTAAGTCGATTCTGCCACCTTTTCTAAAAAGGATTTGCACAAATCTGGGAAAATCGTGGTAATGAAATTACACGTATACAGTGAAACGCTGCTGTAAGGAACATCATGTGACCGTTCAAAATTGTTCATAATAACGATAATTCGGAATAGCGATTTTAAGCTGCCGGTGCTCCGGTACTCACTTTCAACAAATAGCGCCTTTCAGAACTTCACCCTGCATGCCCAGTAGTTACTGAAAGACGACTTTGAACACGTGCCGACTATGGAATCATGTTATTGCACAATTTTGGAGCTTACTTCCTACAGCAATGGGTGGCTTTCCCCTTCTATTCCTTGAGGAAATAATAGCCACTTGTCGCTCTTCTGTTGACATTTTTCAAAAACAATGTTCGGTACGCTTTGTACACAAAAATCGGGGGCCAAGGACGATGTTCAGTATAGAGGTGTTTGGTATAGCGACGTTCCACTATTCCAAGGTTGTCAGTATTTCGTTATTTTGACATCATTCGATATTGTCCTGTATCAGAAAATATTGTCGCCATACAGTATTGAAATATAGTCCAAGCCTAAAAGGGGCTGGTTTTTTACAACATGGAAAAACTGGGACTTACCAGCAGCGATGGGGATGCCCAGAGCATTGTAGATAATGGCAAAGAAGAAATTGATGTGGATTCGGCGAACGGTGCGCTTGGACAAGTCAATGGCAGTTGCCACATCCAACAGATTATTCTACAAAATTTAAAATTCAGGAAAAAACGAAGAATGAGGATTAAAGTTTGTGGCATTATTTCTAGTGCCAATATTTAGAAAAAAAACAAGTGCGAGTGCACAATAAGCTCTGGCCATGTTGCAAGAAGTCTTGCATAAAAGTCTTACATGAAATCGATCAAAACGATTCCTGCCAAAGCTTAAAAATGCAATGCCGAAAAATGTGACGCCAATGGCACATATGGAACACCATACATTTGGTCAATTATCGGGGACAGACAGAAAGACAGACAGACTGACCGACTAACCACGAAGTGACATGTAGAAGCTCCTGGCAGAGCTTAAAATAAAACCATAGCAATGTTATCAGAGAATGGCCAAAGACAAGAAAAATGAAAGGAAACATAAATCAACTGTTATTAATTTACATGGGACCAAAAGTGTCAGTCTGTCGTCATACCAAAAAATTCCAAACTTTACAAGATTTCATACAGTGGTGTTTTTAATTTTTAATGTGTGATAGGGCTGTCCGTTTGCGAATAATTTAGTATTCGATTAATTGAAACTGCACTTGACCGAATATTCGAATATTCGAAACTTGCCGATCAAGTTTTACACACGCCAGCTGCATCTGCCTTCCTCACTGGTCAAAAATTTCAAACACAGAGCGCCGGTTAAACTTTGCATGGAGTAATGAATATTATTGGCTGCTTGAGTGTTTTGCAGTAAGTACTGTATAACTGTCAAGGGTTTTAGGTGTCGACCAAAAAGTTACAGTCCACTAAAAATTGGTATCTGACAATTAACAAGTGCGATTGCACAATGAGCTCTGGCCTTCTTGAATAACAAAACGTGCAAAAAGCTATTTGAATATCTGGTAAATGATCAAATATTTATATATTTGGTATACTTGGGACAACCCTATGTGTGAAGTCAAAAATGAGGAAGAAAATCATCTGATCCGAGTAAAAGTTGCAATCTTGTTAATTCTAAATAGGTCTTTCATTTATTTATTACATTTCTGTACCCAGGGTATGCCCACAAACAGTTTAAAACTGGTTTCCATTGGGGCCCTGCATACACTACAAATGACTACACACACATGTACAAATACAATACATTACAAATACAACACAACACAAATACAACACAAGACAATGATGGGCAGTATGGGATTACTGCATGATCGTAAAGCAACCATTGTAAATATCATACATTACAAAGAAACATATTCAATTTGAAATGACATTGCTATTAAGGTAATTTAAGTTTACTCTTTCTTAGAGTTTAGGCGCTCTTCTGAAAACGGTCAGAGCATACTGACCGGAACGTCAAGTTTATACCTCTGGTCCTTTTCAGAACCATTCTCTTAGTTGAGAAATTATTTGCACATGGTGTTTCCACAAACCTTTCATCATTAAGTTTACACAAGGAATTTGGACATTTCTTGAGACATCAGTAAAATATACACATGTATTTCTATACATTCGCTGATTACGGGAGGGGCAAAAAAATCTGTGAAAAACCCTTTTGGGAGAAAAACGGGAAAATTCCCATCTAGCTCCTTATTATTATGGCAACCAAGTTTGTTAACTCCGTAAGTCAGCACATATTTATAATTGTATTATCAGTAAAGGCAGCGACAACAAGAAATGCTCACATAAATGCAGAAATATTTACTGGCCGAATGTTTTACGTAGTTCAGATTTGCATGAGGTTAGAGAAGTCATGTTTCTCAACTGTACTTGCAAGTTATTCCATACCAACCTTGATAAGCACAATATCCCCAGCCTCCATAGCAACGTCCGTGCCCGTTCCTATGGCGATACCCACATCAGCCTTGACCAGGGCCGGCGAGTCGTTCACCCCGTCCCCCACCATTGCAACCTTGTGCCCAAGCTGCTGGAGCTCTTCCACCTTCTCCACTTTGTTCCTGGGCAGGACTTGGGCAAAGACCTTGGTGATGCCAACCTGGGAAGGAGGTTGAAGGGGTCAGAGGTCAAGAAAAGGGCTGAGCACCACTGATCTCTATATAAAGACTGGATAGCGGATATGCATACAACATTCACACAGTAGACTTTGCATATTGACCAATTCGCCCCCGGTCTCAAGAAGATGGCCGCGTATAATACGAACGTTCTACGCGTATATACGCGCGCGTTGTATCAACAGTTGACGCGCATTTTGGTCACGTACACATATTATGAAGTTCTAAAAGGGACACATTTTCGTAGTGATTATCATTTCAAAAACGCCGAAAAAGGGATTTGCGGCATTATAAAAGTAACCATGACGTTAGAAAAATTGTGGTAAACCTTGGTCAGTGGTGGTGGTCAAAATAAGTCAAGTGAACCGCGACGTTACAAAAGAAATCATGCTGTCTATAAAGACGGCAACTTGTCCTTTGTAGATCACCAGCCGGTCTTACCAATATGGCGTCAAATTCATTCATTGTGCGGCTCTTTATTAGCTATCCAGTCTTTATATAGAGATCAGTGCTGAGCACTGATGATCTTCTTTCAATATCTCAATACAAGAAAATAAATTTTGCTTTAAGGAAATAATACTAATAAGTATTATATAGTCTTAGGCGCTGGTAATTATGTCTGTTTCTTTAAAAACAGGTAAATGAAGTCTATGAGAAATATGAGACTCATTATGTACCTTTATAAAGGGTATACAGGCTGCTGCAGTGCATATTGCAGCCACTTCCAGAAACACTGGGGCAAACCCCTTCTCTTAGCGATAAGTGTTGCTCGCTTCTTTAACGTAGATTACACAACACATGGGACCTTCCCCGACTGGAAAAATTGTTCGCTCGTACCCACTGCCCTGCAAACAGGGCGCTGGGATATGCTGATGAGCTTCACAGAATCTTGTGAAGGAAATTGGGGTGGCATTCTTGGTAATTTATCATGACCTATATATAATCATCTGGCTGCAGCTGTTTAAGACCGCAGCAACCAATACGTGCAAATACTATCAGAAAACTTTCCCATAGAAATGCACGCATTCTATATACCGGATGTGATTTCTTTTTCATTGCTGACCATGTGGACAAATTTTGAGCGTAGCATTATATATGCAATTTGACCTATCGTGAATTGGAAACGGAGCCTGAGCACGTGACAAGAATTGAAAATTTACAAAACAGATACATTTTACAGATTTTCCTATATTACTACTTTTTAAGGGAAAAAGCATTTATGAATGGGAATAAAAGAGTGATGACTCAGTCTTAACGGCCGTTTAAAAACTTGCAGGGTCTTGGTTGTGATGACTGCAGGTCACAGGTCAGGCAAAATCTGTCCAATCAGAGCGTGAATTCATCAGCGTATCCCAGCGTCCTGTTTGCAGGGCCGGGGGTACGAGCGAAGAAAAATGGAAACTCATTTTCGAAGTTTTCCCTGATTTCCAGAGTGGCGTATTTGCCTTATCTGCCTTATTTCTCACTCCGTCTTCATACCTGTTTGGCAATAGCATCCGCAGTCTTCTTGTTATCGCCTGTCAGCAGCACAACGTCCAGCCCCATGTCCTTCAGGACTTTCACTGCAAGCTTGGCCTCTTCCTTGACTGCGTCGGCAATGGTGATCATCCCCGCTACAACACCTAAACAAAACACAGACGAGAAAAACAATATAAGAAAATGGGAGTTTCTGAAATACAGGCTTTCGTTGTGCAAACTAGCTGGAAAAGAGCTAATTCAAAAAGATAATATGAGAAATTTTTATTCAGAAAGTATTCAGAATATGGGTTTAGAAAGAACAATTAAACAAATTGTGGTGTACCACTTTTTACTGCTCAGTTGTTTCGTTGTAAAAGGTGAGGAAACACAGGGGTTTACAAAAGATATTAATAAGGGAATAAATATGTGCTTGGCCGGTTTTAAACAAGTACGTTTAAACCGGCTTTAGGCCTGGATGCTGATAATGGCTCAAACCGAAGATGAGGAACAATATCGGCGACCAGGTAAAAAAACACAAAACAGATTAGTCAAAAAGTCAAAACAAATCAAAAATAATAAATTTCCAATGATTTTGTAAAACATATTTACTTCATGTGTTTGACACACCCCTCTAGCTATATTTATGGTATGTGCCTCTCGCAAGTACTAATCTCCTTATATGGCACGTGCTGCGCGATGTGGCTCAGAACGCAGCAGTGCCAGTGTAGTGTGAATTTAGGACTTTATGAAATAGACCATTAACATGTTGCAGCCATTAGATTTTTCCCCATTCAAATCAATGTAACCAAAGCGAGGCTGGAAGGAAAATAGTTTGGTTCCTTTTTGCACAAAAACATTATCATTCAGTACTTTTATTGGATACAGGGAACATGACTGAAATGGTGGCAGCATGATAAAGGTCTATACAGACTCATTGTTAGTATTGTGCATGCTTAAAGTGAAGACTGTGAACATTCAACCAATAAAAGGGTAAAAGGTACCAGATAGGAGTCCAAATTTCATGCGACAAAGGTAAAGTGGTTCAAACCAGCACAACCACCCACATGACAGGCTCTTGATTAATATGAGATGGTAAACTGTCTCAGGTTTTTATGAATAAAAAAAAAACCAATGGATTTTATGATTTATTACTTAAGAGCCAGACAATAAATAAACCGACCACCAAGTGACATGTAGAAGCTCCTGCCAGATATTAACCCTAACTCCCTAGGCCTTTTTGCTAGGATGTAGCCTCAATCCTGCAAAATCCTCCCATTAGCCTCATGGAAAAATAGCATATAGCCTCAATCCTGCAAATTCCTCCATTATTTCTTGAATATGGTCCGTGGAAGGGGTGACCACTGCCTGAATCCTGCAAAATCCTGCGGCAGTGACTGTCAATATGTTGAGGCTTGGCCAGTGACATCCTGGAGCAGTACGGAGGATTTCAAGCATAATCCAGGCCTATATTTATGCATGGCTGAGCAAAAACAACACAAGGTCCGGCCCAAGACCTTGACAAAGTGCGTCCTACGAAATAAATCAGTAACGCACTTTTGCCATGTAACCTCAATCCTCCAAATTCCTCCACTTTGGCAAAGAGGATTTTGAAGGATTCCGGGCGATTAGGGTTAAAAAAGTTTTAAATGTTATGCTTAAAAAGAAATAGGCTCTAAGGTTGAAATTTGGGTCTTGATAGGTTTTATAGGATTTTGCTGTGAGGCCTGGATAGTTATGATTAGTTTTTACCATTGATGGCAACAAGGACGGCTGTTTGTCCCAGTGCTTCATACTGCGCCATGGTGTGATCTGCCTCATCAGTAACTTCCAGGTTGTTCTTCTTCATCCATTCCCTGTTGCCGATGAGTACCTCATAGATGCTGGAATCCTCTTCTTTAGTTATCTCCTCTGGTGATTCAAACAGAAGAAAATGATTCAGAGTTTTGACCTAAGATTGAACATATTTTTAGATTGTGCAAATAACACCACAGTCATGGGTGTATGTAATTTTGTGTTTTTCTAGAGTATTCAAACCGGCTAAAAGCTATTTCGAATATTCAGTTGATGATTGAATATTTGATTTTTCGGTATATTCGGTACAGCCCTAGATGAAAGAAATGCATTTAAAATTTTTGGCTCATGGAACCGTGATTGTAGAATGACTGAGTTACTTACTGAAAAAAAGATAATAAATAACTACAGATGGTTATAGTCTCTAAGCCAATTCCCCCCCCCCAAAAGGAGCCTCTCCCCTTAAAAACTGTTGATTTAGCAACTTACCAGGGTCAGTGACTTCAGTTGGTGCGATGATTACGTCAGAGCTGATTTTCGCATTCTGTTCATTCATGCCTGCATTCAGCATGGCGTTGATCTTAGTGACCGTGCACTGGAGGCCGTAGCCAGGCTCAGCACTGAAATTGGAGCACTTGCCCACCACCTCTGACTCCAGCATCTTAGATGAAAAACAAGATGCCAACGATAAACTAAAGTCCTAAAAACAACTTTGCCAACATAACGCAGGCTGAAAAGATGCTCCAATTTATTCAAGTCAATTTCTGTTGTTAAATGCAGAACTAAGGGCAGTTCACACTCAGCATGAACAGGAACATATAATCGTGCAGTTTGTGACTTCAGTGTTGTTTTCCCCACGTACATAATAAAAAAAGATAGCAGCGTGTAGTCCTGCTACAATCCAGTAAACAAATAAAACAGTAAAAAATAAAACAAAATTGATATTACAACTCATTGCATTTGTTAATTTTTGATGAAGGTTTAGCTTTTACCAAACTTAACATCTCTGTTGTTAAAATGTCTGGAATAAAAGAAAGGATGTGGCTTGAGTCCATCATTTGCAGCTATCCAAAAAGTAACTGGTGTAATTATTGTTGAAACACATACTTTGGTTGAAAATAGTAAGGGGGCTAAACTCCCTGTGAAATTATTCTTTATGGCAAGCTGTCATTTTGAAGAAATCAACAAAAGAAGGCCTTTCTAACAGTGCTTCTTAAGAAGCACCATAGGAAATTCAAATTAGTTCGTTTTGTTATTCGGCAAAGCGCGCAAGCATTGGCACAACGCACACGGGGTGGCCCAATTCAAAGCATGATTCAGCAACTTTTGATTTGAAATCGAGATCCTAGAATGTTGTTTTCTCGAAATATACAGCTAAAGCTGAGCTGGAATTTCATCAGGTTAGTTGTTCAGCACCCTTCTTTAAATCTTTAGCACTTTTGTTGCTTAAAACAAACAAAATGCACAAATTACAAATGATGGACTATAACTTTAAGACATAGGAAAATACTGGGATTCATGTGTGAATTTTAGACATTTTGAAAGAAACAGACACTTCTACCTGAAGATGAATTTTGTCTGCAATGTTAAAACAGATCAGTATTCCTTCATGAAAAAATGAAACTCTACAGCTTAATTAGTTGGCATTCCTCCCCCTAATAATTTGAATAACAAATACAAATAAAATACCTCAAGCTGGTCTCAACTACAGGGTGAGTAAAAAAAAAAACGAAACCCAAATGTTGGGACCATTGTTTTAGTGAAGTTCTAAATGTAACACTTTCAAAATCTAGGATATAAAAGCCCATTTCATAAGCTTTATGTTAGTACAAGAATCATTCAAATCACTCATGTACTTTTCAAATTACGGAATTTTAAACAAAATCGGATCACGGATCACGCAAAAGGCGTGCGTTCTTTCAGCAAAATGAAAACAACTCACACACATCCCTATGTGTTTTGTTTTCGCTTTGCTGAAAGAACGCTTACCTTGTTGCGATCCGTGGACAGAACTTTTAAACAAAGGTTGTGTTTAAAAGTCCGTAACTTGAAAAGTACACAAGCAATTTTCATGATTCTTGCACTAAAATTAAGCTTATGAATTGAGCTTTCATGTCCTAAATTTTGAAAGTGCTACATGCAGAACTTCACTAAAACAATGGTCCCGACATTTGGGTTTCGTTTTTTTAACTCACCCTGTACAACGCTGTTCCAGTGGTCAAACCAGCAAATTTAGGAAAGAATAACGAATTACCTCCTTGGCATGTCTGGTCACAGCAGCCCCCAGTGGATGCTCACTGCTCGCCTCGGCTGTACCCACTATCGCTAAGAACTCCTCCTCGCTAATCTCCGTGGTAGGTACGAGGACCTTGGTACGCATGACACGAGGGACGCCGTAGGTTATCGTGCCCGTCTTATCGAAAATTATGGTCTTCAGCTGAAACGTAATAAGAAGCATATACTGAAGCCTTCACGAGTACCACAACGTGATGAACAGGATGAATCTTAATTGCATTTGTGGTATTAACTCCAACCAACAGCTGGAACGGAGACTAGTGTACCGACAAAGCACGAACTAGAAATAGGTCATTCAATAAATTTAAGGTCAATGTGTGACAGTTTTCCCTGTCCCTGTTACCACTGAACTTTGTAATTTGCTGCTCAAAAAAAAAGGAGTTCAAACTACATGTATTCTCTTTTGTTGTGTACCTAGTTTCCTTTATATTAACACTCTTAGGGGAAAAATTTATTACAGGGATGCATCCAGAATTTACAAAATCGTACATATCTGATGTAACAGAAACAGGGAAAAAAGTGAACCCTAAATGTATGTAACTCAAGTAAATGTAGTTCCTGTAAATGAATACGCAAAACTAACTGCACAATACAAGGAAGTAGAGTAAGGGTAATTGAAGGTGATTGAACTATGTCTCAATTTCGATAGGAGGAGTTTTGGTTTTGGTTTGGGTATGACTCACAATTTTAAAAACAATACAAAGACTCGGTTACAGAAACCAGACCAATTGTTTGTGATGATAGGATGACGCATGAAACAATGTCCCATGAAACAATGAACAATTACTGCAAGACAAAAGTTTACAAAGAAAATTGATTTTGTCGCACATTAGTGTTCAATATTTTGTACGAAAAGTATTTTAAAGATGGAGGAAAAATTCATATATTTCTAAAACAAGTTCAAGTAAGCATGGGCAAGGTTTATTGGAAATTGTTAGATAGATAGGATGTTAGTCCATTGCAGGTTACTCCCCAGCTAATGCCAGTACCTATTTGTACTCTTAGGTGAAGACATAGGCAAGTATGGGTGAAGTGGCTTGCCCAAGGACACAATGTATCGTCGCGTCAGTGCAACAAGGTCATAACTTGATTCTGCAACGAAGTCGCATCTTGCACCAATACGCTCCGTGCAACAAGGTCGTATCTCGCGTATCACAACGTCCACTGACTGAGTGTGTACATGTGAGTTATTTTAAGCGAGATACGACCTTTTGACATTGAAAACTCGCGTTTCACGTACATGACGTCACATACCATTTGAGGAGATACGACCTTGTTGCACGGACACGACGATATTGCCCGCAGCAGAGTTCAGAACTGCTAATAACCCCTGATCATGAGTCATAAAACCCTAACCACTAGGCCACACTTCCCTTGCTAAAGGCATGAAGAATCGTTTCCGATAATAATAATAACAACGGAGTCTTATATAGCGCACGTATCTACCAACAATTAGGTACCCAAGGCGCTGGTAATATGTCTATTTTTAAAGAAAGGTAAATAAAGTATATGAGAAGTATGAGACCAATTACGTAGCACCTTAGAAGGGTTGACAAGGTGCTGCGGCGCATATTGCAGCCACTGCCAGAAACACCGGGGCAAACCCCTTCTCTTAGCGATTAGTGTCACTGGGTTCTTTAACGTGCATTACACAACACAAGGCTTTACGTCCCATCCGAAGGACGAAGCGATAATGGTAAAGTGCCTTGCTCAAGAGCACAGGCACCATGCTCCCACGGCCAGGATTCGAACCCATGTACCACGGCACACAAATCGAACACCGTAACCATTGGACCACAGCACCCCACTCCCAGCCCGGACAGATTTGTGACTTACCCTGCGAGCGAGTTCAAGGGGCTCCCCTCCCTTGATCAAGATGCCGCTGCGGGCCCCCATCCCGGTGCCAACCATTACGGCCGTGGGGGTGGCAAGGCCCAGGGCACAGGGGCAGGCTATGGCCAGGACAGAGATGGCCACTTGAAAGGAGAACTCAATGGTCAGCTCCATGGTATGATTAGCAGCCTAAGGTTTGGGAGGAAAAGCAATAGAGATTGAGTCAGAAAATTACTTTTTGATCCCGTCAAATTTTGTTGTACACGATTGAAAAATTTTAAGGCAGCATTTGTAATCATGAACTGATAATACATGAGTTACTGCTGTACAGTATTTTGACTTTATACAGGGTGACCCCAAAAAACTGCAACCCTAAAACATTTGCATTTTAAAACAAAAGGGATCCGTGGATTTTTATGTTTTGGGAATCAGATTAAAGCTGAGAGCTTTTTCTTTCAAATACTGAAGAAAAAAATCATGAAAATAGCACTTTGGGTTGCTGAGAAAATGCCAATTATGTAAAAGTGGTCATTTTTCATCCTGTTCACAAGTACTTCAAACAGTGTAACATTTTACTGTAAACCTATTGTGTAATTATCCTTCATTTGTGCAATTTCTGTAGTATTTCGACATATTTATGATGTTAAAAGGGTTTAAAATAGGACTTAAAATAGGACTTAAAAAGGATGAGATACCTGTTCAGGTGGAAAATAAAAGGTATTTCCATCAAATTCATTTGTACTCATGTCATATTTTGTGCCATGTTGTTTGTAAGGATTAGGTCATGCACAAATAGGTACAGTGAAAATCTCTTACTGTGGTAATGTTTTGTGTACAGGATGAAAAATGACTACTTTTAAATAATTGGCATTTTCTCAGCAATGCAAAGTGCTATTTTCGTGATTTTTTTTTCAGTGTTTGACAGAAAAAGCTCTCAGCTTTAATCTGACACCAAAAACATAAAAATCCAATGATCCTTTTTTTTTCAAAAGGCAAATGTTTTAGGATTGCATTTATTTGGGGTCACCCTGTAGAGCCAAGTATCACGACTTCATAATCACTGTGTGTCAACTGTCATGTAAGATTGAATGGCAGTGCCGTTAGCAAAGTAATGCATTGTATGTACAGGCATGGGCTGAATGCCACTCAAAAAAAGATGTCACAAAATGCTGTCGAAAGTTTCCACATGACGTCAAATTCTCTTGTACTACATTCAAGTTTGCAAGATGTCAGACAATGTACAAGCTACAGTCCATCATTTGCAGCTATATCCAAAAAGTAACTGACGTAATTATTGTTGAAAAGCACGATGGGACTTAACTTTGTGTGAAATTATTCTTTCTGGCAAGCTGTCATTTTGAAGAAATCAATGAAAGAAGGCCTTTCCAACGATACGTACGTCTAAAGATGCATTGTTGGAAATTTCCGTTAGCCGTTCGTTTTGCAGTTCGTTTTTTTATTCAGCAACGCGCGCGCAAGCGTTGGCATGATGCACAAGTGCGCGTGGTTGCTATAATCCGTAGGTTCAGTGCGGGACATCGCATAGCTGCAATCAGCTCAGTGAGAATGTGTCCCGGACGCTGAATTCAGGCCCAATTCAGAACATGACTCAGCAACTTTTGATTTGAAATCGAGATCCCAGAATATTGTTTTCTCGGAATGTACAGCATTCACTGAGCTAGAACTTCATCGGGTTAGTTGTTCAGCACTCGTCTTTAGATTTTGAGAACTTTTGTTGCTTCACAACGAAAATAATGCACAAATTACAAATGATGGACGCTACCTTTAACCGCACAAAGTTAAAGAACATTAACAAAACCGGGTTTGAAGCTACAATCTGCAGTAGGATGTTGCTGCAGTCACCATCATTAAAACAATAATGGTTGTTGTTTAACTTTTGAACAAACTTTTGTATATATACATTTAGCTTTAATTGTGTAAATATTTGTAAAGTACTTGTGTTTGTAAGTATTGTGTTTGTAGTCCGTTTCACATCTGCACTGTTCCTTATATTTACTTTCCATAACTTTATTTAATAATTTATAATGTATGCAGGGCCCCCAATGGAAACCAGTTTTAAACTGTTATGGCATACCCTGGGTAAATGTAATAAATTATTAACCAAGCCTCTAGTTATACAAGACTCTAGTGTACACGGTAGTCCACTCTTTTTACTTACAAATGGTGTGGACACGTATGTGGGGATCAGCTCTGGGTGCGTCATTCCAATAGCAATCCAGATGGCCAGCGTCAGAGTTGACAGTACAAGGATACCGGGGACAAACACACCAGCTATCTTGTCAGCTATCTGCTGGATTGGAGCCTGAAAAGAAAACAAAAGTAGCAAAAGTTTAGAGTTAATATGTTTTTAAAAAATAATAATAGATAAAGGGAATGCTATATTGGTTTGCCGATGATGTCACAGAACCGAAGGCGTCTTGATCACCAAAACACAAAAATACTTTAAACCGTAAAACTCCAAGAGTTTGGCACATTTCTCTTTTTAACTTCACGATTTGAATTTCTCAGATATTGCTCTGTACTTAACAATATGCCATAATTGTGTATTTGCAGTAACCCACAAACACAAAAGCATTCGGAAGTCTTATACAGGGCGAGTAAAAAAAACGAAGTCCCAAATGTCGGGACCATTGTTTTAGTGAAGTTCTGCATGTAGCACTTTCAAAATCTAGGATATGAAAGCCCAATTCACAATAAAGCTTTCTTGTACAAGAATCATTCAAATCACTCATGTAATTTTCAAGTTACAGAATTTTAAACACAACCACCGTTTTGAAGTTCTGTCCACGGATCACAAAAAGGTAAAGTGTTCTTTCAGCAAAATGAAAACAAATCACATAGGGATGTGTGGGAATCGTTTTCGTTTTGCTGAAAAACTGAAAAACCTTTTTTGTGATCTGTGACAGCCATTTTCTGATGTGACACCAGGCTTGCGCGAGTCACGCTCAGGTAGTACGCACGTACTCCGGGCTCCTTCGACCAATAGGGTTACCAAAATGTGCACGCGCATCATCTTTAAGAATGCATGCGGCGTGCGCGAGAGCATGGCACCACCTCAACAATAGTTTCTAATTTTGCTCGCCGGATTGAAAACCATCGTTATTCCACAAAAATCTTAAAATTGCATCAAACACAGAGTCAATGTTACCAAATGAATTATGTTTGACAATGTCTATACACGAATGTTAACTTTTTCACAAGATGCACCGAGGGTAAAGTAAGATTTGTGTGGCGGTCAAGGGGATTATATTTTTTTTATCACCCAGTCTGTCGCTCATCCAGGGTTTTCCAAAAGGGGGCATGAAATGTAACAAGCAGCAAATGGTGAAGGCAAATTATGGCATCTACACCAAAGGCCGGGGGGGGGGGGGGGAGAAACATAATGACAGAGTGTTGCTCAACTACATGTACACCACATTCCGTGCTACCGACGGCAGCTTTTGTTTATCACTCATTTGTCAGCCCGAAACAATTAAATCACTATGAACAGGGTGAGTAAAAAAAAGCGGAACCCAAACCCCCCAAATTTGATTTCATATTCAAAAAAATATGTAGCACCAAAAATAATAATGACTGGAAAGCCGATTTCATAAGCTTTTGTTACATGAACAAATTACTGAAATTGCTCAATCCGTTCAAAGAATATCAACATTTAAACGCAATGATGAATTTAGGCAATAAATTCACCCCTTGTGACTCACCTTAGAGGTTTGCGCATCTTCAACCAGCTTGACAATCTGTGCCAGGGTCGTGTCGGCGCCGACGTGCGTCGCTTCCATGAGGATGGTGCCAGTTTGATTGATGGACCCACCAATCATAATGCTACCTGAAATAAAGAAATAAGTCCGATATAACACGTTTATCTTGCTGACCCCAAAATTGCGTGTCATCTTTACACAATGACAGATTTCACAGTAACTGCTCATTTAATAATATTTATAGTTCTATCTATAATGTTTTGTGGATTCATCTGGTGACATATTTCGAAGCCATAATGCACGTTTCAATTGGCTTTGGTCCCCACATGTCCAGAAAAAATATACAATTGAAGTAGTAATTAAAGCAGCTATTCTGAGCTAAAGTGTGGGGTTTGGGGCCCGCTTTAGGCCCCCGAAAATTTTGGATTCTAGATGCTCTGTGGTGCGATCTGAGGCAATTTCTAACAACTTTAACAAATTTTTTTTTGCAAAAAATAGGGCCCTGCAAATGAGACACACGAGTTCAAAAATCTGGGGGACATTTGATATTGTGTCCCCCATCCTTTAATAACTGTGGGGTGGGGGGGGGGGCAGGTCCACCTGTCCCCCATGATTGATGACCATGATACAATGTAATACAAGTGAAAAAAGGGTTTACAAACCTGGTTTCTTGTACACAGGCATGGACTCCCCCGTGATCAGCGATTCGTCTGCGGCTGACAAGCCGTCGATTACTTTCCCATCCACCGGAATCTTCCCCCCGGGCACCACCTTCAGAATGTCTCCTCTCTCCACGAGCTCCACGCTGATGGAGCGCTCGCTGGTCACTTCCATGTCCTCACCCACAGTGACCAGGTTGGCTTCCGACGGCTGGAGGGACATCAGTTTGGAGAGGGCATCTGATGTCTTCATCTAAGTACATCGATGTAAAAACAGCTAAGTTATGAGACATATTTTTGGAGAGTTTCAGAATGTTTTACTTGCTGTTAAACGTATAATCCTGAAATTTGGGAGTAGTTTGCAAAGCCACTGCATGAAGTGAATAATTCTAAAATTGAAGTTTGGATATGTGATGATCAAAAGGTATTCTGTTGATGCTTGGATCTGTATGCTCTTGAGATTGCATGAGAGTTAATTGACTGAACTATTGACAAACATAAAAGATTAAACCTTAAAGGGAACATACATCATTTGCTTTTGCTGTAATTTTCAGAAATGGATGGAATTGGGGGGTTGGAAATATATAGCAAATATAGTTTCACTGACTTTTTTGAGGTTTTGGGTTCGAAAATGCTATAAAAACCAAGAAAAACAATCATTTTCTTGTAGTCTGGTTCCCTGACTCCATTTAAGAAGAAACAGAGCAGTTTACATACATTGGGGAATTGTAAGGTCAGGGAACCAGTCTAGCTGGCTTGTACCCGTTCATAGGTGTGTAATCGATTGCAAACAAGTGCGATGGTCAACTGGGGCCAGTATTTGAAAAAAAAGCCAGTTTTTTCCAACGCTGGTCGGCCGATCAGCGTTGGAAATTGATACAAAAATACCACTTTTCTTGAAAATGACAGTATACCAGGTGCCATGATTTTACAGGATGCTTTACACTGTCATTCACTAACAGTCCAGCAAGGTATTTCAAAATGATTTGGTTGTTTTATTTTTTGATGTTTGCAAATGTTGTATTTTCCCTTTAAGAAAACTCAAAATATTTTGCATTTGGGTTCAAACATGAATTGATGCTTCATCCTGAACTCATGATTATACATCACAGCATAACATTACTCTAAACGCATAATTGATGTATTTCACGTGACGTCATAGGTCAGTTGTCCCCCACACGCCCGCCATATTGGATGTCTACAGATCCATGCAGACTAGTTAGTAAACTGTCATAGACCTCGGTGATAAATTCGCCCACTTCCGAAATGCAGGAAAAATACTTACAACTTTTTGAGACACACATCAAATTAAAGCTTATTTCATCATCTTTCATTTCCTACTCAACGTTTGGGGGTTAACCAAAGACTTTTTGGAGAAAAATTTAATATTGACCATGACAAATAACTCAGAACATACATGTTACGTAAAATGTAAAAAATAAATAAAAAACAAGTCAGGTGTGTTTACAAACACAAATGCCCCGCAACCGTGACTGTTCCCATGACATAACACCACTCTTTTAACATCAACTTATGTACCTTGGTCACATAGAACGTTCATTGACAGCATTAGTGTCTTCTGTAGGTTTTATATGAATTAATCCCTAATCCCTATGATCTCAGAATAAATACAAGATTTCTATTGTTTTAGCCACTGTGACCTTGACCCTTGACCTTTCGACCCCCAATGCGATAAGCCTATTTGGAATGCCAAGGACAATCCACAAACCAAATTTGAAGTTCATATGTAAAGTATATCTCAAGTTATCGCGCTGACAAAATTTCAATTGTTTCAGCCACTGTGACCTTGACCCTTGACCTTTCGGCCCCAAATGCAATAGGTTTCTTAGGATTACCGAGAACAATACACAAACCAAATTTGAAGTTCATATGTTGAGTATTTCTCAAGTTATCGCGCTGACAAGATTTGTCCAGACACACACACACACCCACCCACCCACGGAAGGACAAGGCGGAAACAGTATGCCCCTTCGGCTTCGCCGCAGGGCATAATAAATGCAAACAAATAATACATGCACATGTACTGTATGACTGATGGAGCACACTAGACGTCCAAAATGGTGGATCTTACACTGTTTGCATGATAAATGCTTGCAAAACCTCAACATTCGTTGTATAATCTACTTAACCAAAATTCAATACTGACAAAATTGCTGTGACAGCTTTGTTTTGTACTCAGTTCAGGATATGCCAACAGATTCCATGCGTGATTCTCCCTCTCTTTATTTACTTTTTTGTAGCTGCCATCTCTTGACCTTTGCTTTGGGCTTGTGTTGGCAAATTTCATAAAGAAAGGACTCACTTTGGCAATACTCTCCAACCATCTGCCCAAGTTGATGAACATCAGCAACATGGGCGGAGTCTCAAAGAACGTGACCGGGCTGCCCTCATCCTTCTTGATCATGGCCCAAGCCACCACCACCACCGAGTACAAGTAGGCAATCAGGGTTGCCATGACGATCAGGACATCCATGTTGGCGGTCTTGTGACGCAAGGCCCGGTAGGCCTGGACGTAGAAGTATCGGCCTCCAACAAACTGTGACAAGAATGGCAAGAATGATTGTACCCAAAGTTTGTTCTCAAAGATTTTGCCACCCCCCCCCCTCAAAAAAAGGTGTTAACATTGGTCTAACAGATCTATAAAAAAGTGAGATTGGAAAGTAAATGAAACAGTGTGGAACCATGGATCCTCTACACAAGGAAAAACGACTCATCTGAGCTTGTGTACAAAATGTACGGAACGAATCGTCTAAATGCGTGATATGCTGCCCGCTCATAGAACAATGCATAGAACATGTAGAACAATGTGCGCGCCATGATCACCAACAGCCGGCGTCCTGACAGAAATCTGACCACTGAAAGACTGCAGTCGTGCCCCGAGTCTCGCGCAATGCGCACGCACAACGCGCAAGTGCCGTATCACACATTTAACCAAAAATTTGGGGAAGTCGTTTATCCTTGTACAGAGGATCCGTGGTGGAACTGAGCTTTTTGCAGTCATAAAATACTCACTACAAAACACTCCATATCGTTTGCCGCACGCAAATTTTAACTGGCGCGCTCTGCATGCAATATTTGGCCTGGCAGTTTTCAGCTGCCAGTTTTGAATATCCGAATACTCGGTCAAACACAGTTTTGAGTAATCAAATACCAAATTATTCAAAAATTACTCTCTATTTCATGTTTTGGGATTTGTTCAAGAAACTTAGCTTTCCCCACTTTATAAACCATTTTATAAGGTTCGGCCACAAAAATGAATTACTTACTTGAACTATCGAGGATAAGACAAAGTAGATGAGGTTCTCCAAGGAGAGCCCTGGCAACAGGATGATGTTGTACTTGTGGTTCTCCTTGATCATGAAGAAGATCATGGTTGCCATGACGGGCAGACCGAAGATGAGCGAGACGAGGAAAGAGCCGCGCCATTTCTTGACCGTCTTCAGCTGCTGGAGGGCGGTAGAGGCGTGCGATTCGTCTGTTGCCAGTTTGCACTCAAAACCAGCTTCCTGATATGACATGATTTAAAAAAAACAAACTCAACTTTCTGGACTGATTAAACAACGTTTGAGAGGGGATAGACCATTATCATTCCATTCAAATCAACGTAACCAAAGCGAGGCTGGAAGGAAAAATAGTCTGGTTCCTTTTTGCACAAAAAACATTATCATTCAATACTGTTATTGGATACAGGGTACATGACTGAAATGGTGGCAACATGATAAAGGCGTTTTGGGCTTAGTCAGATTTCCCTTATCTGACAATTCCCTGACGCCCTGACGTCTATATCGTAGGTCCGATAGACGCCACTGGCTAAAAAAAAACATGATGGCCATTTTTCAAAGCTCGGCTTCTTTTCCGATTTGGCTTTACAATTAAAAGCTTTTAATATTCAGATCAAATTGAGTAAACAATTTACTTGCTTCAGATATCATAAAGTTTGATATTTCTTTAAGAAAACATTAACTATTGTTGAGCTGGAATCTTCAAAGTTTTAGGGACAAATTGCAGGCGAAGCTGAAATGGAGACGCCGCCGAGTTTTGGAATAGCCTATAGGTAACCGTCGTCAGCTTCAAAATAGTACATAATGCAGGAAAGTTCGTCCCTCGTACGATTCAAGTGCGTTCTTGATGCACAAAGTCGTCATTGAATTCTAGTTTTTTTAATGCAAGCAATAAATACTAATTATCAACTCATTTTAACTAAAAAAACACCTATTTCACACCCGGGAATGCCCGGGTGCTAACCGAGAATAGCGACTAAATGCATTCGGCAAACTTCAGACATTTTCGGAAATGGGAGGCATTCCGCCCAGGTCATAAGGAAATCAATTTAAAGTTTGTACCTCAATAGCTTTGATGATGGCCCTGGGTCCTGCATCGTCAGATTTGTACTTGAATTCCCCGCGACACGTTGCGAGCGCCACCGATGCATGCGTCACTCCCTTGATGCGCATTACCAGTGATTCTATGTTCTTCACACATGATGCACAGTGCATGCCGGAAATCTGAATCAAAGAGGGACAAAAAAAATATGAACAGAGCATATATCACCGGTGGATCGGGAGGGGGATTGGAGGGGGCTAGCGCCACTCCGCAAAATTGCATTTTTGTGTTAAATAATTAAATCATAGAGAGACAATTTTTTTTTCCTTTTTTTAAATACTACTGTAGCCTACTCATCCCATCATTATTCAGGAAATTAGTGGTGGGATTGAAATCCGGATTTTTGAATATTCGGTTTGAATTGCACTATTCGGTTTCGATTTTGGCAACCGGATATTCGGAACCAACCTTAACGGAAGGGCACATGCAGATCATTTGTCATTTGTGATTTTTTTGATTGCTTGAAGCAACACAAGTGTTCAAAATCTATAGATGGGTGCTTAACAACTAACCTGATGAAGTTTTAGCTCTGTGAATGCTGTTGATTCCAAGAAAAATAATATTCTAGGATCTTGTTTTCAATTCAAAATTTGCTGAGTCATGTTTTGAATTACGCCCAAAATCAGCGTCCGGGGCATGTTCTCATTCAGCCGATTGCAGCTACGCGATAACACGCTGCACTGAAGAATTATAGCAACCACGCGCGCGTGTGCATCGTGCCAATGCTTGTGCGCACCCATTCACGGATACGCCGAATTACAAAACCAACCACTAACGGAAATTTCCAACGCTGCGTCACTTGACGCATCGTTGGCAGTGGCCTTCTTTCATTGTTTTCTTCAAAATGACAGCATGCTAAAAACAATAATTCGACAGGGACTTTAGTGCCTTTACCATCTTTAAACAAAGTTAGCTAGAACAATAATTTTGTCAGTTACTGTTTGGATAGCTGCAAATAATCTACTCTACCTTCCAACAAAATTAAGCCGTCCATATTTTTTTTGTAAATCAGGCTAAATAAAACAACTGGAACGTCCCCCAATTTGTTTCATGGTCTCTGTTTATATTGCATTCACTTACTAGCGGCCTTCTTGGTATATTTTTAGCCTGCTGTATTTGACTGATCAGAGAGTTCCTATCCATTTTTTTCCTCAACATTACAGCTCTGGAGTGTTATTGTAAAGGCCCAGTGGTCATTGAATCCTGCAAACTATACCCAGTCATTGGAAGGGCATTGCATGCGGCACCTCACTCGTCACGTTTGGTTGGCATAACTATGAGCTGGATGGGGAATTTCCAGTGAAATCGGATAGTGTTATTTGGTTTGAAAAAAAATTAGGATAACCGGATTTTGAAATCTTATATTCCTCCCACCACAACATGAAATATTCAAGGGTCTATGCGATGAATTTTTTTTTTTAGGAGCACATTTTGTGTAACTCTCTACTCCTCTTGAATGTATGACAACTATTTGACATCCCTTTTGGGTTAATTTTATTACAAAGTGCACTTCTTTAAACATCTTGGATTAAAGAAAAACCGAGAGGAGACGAAAATCATGTCACTTTCCCTTTAAAGACGTATCTAGAAACAGATGAGGAAATTAGAAAACTCAATCCATAACATGTATATATATGTTATTCACATGACTATGAAAGCATGAAAGACAAACACATCACGTGAATATGTGCAGTTTCACTCCATTCGGGTAAAGGGAATTTCCAAACTTAGTCATGACATGTTTGTGTGCTTCATACAAGCAGACTGTTTAACAGTGAAAGTGAAACCTAGGGTTCCAGTGTACTATGGAAGTCCCATCTTAATTTACAAATTATGTTGATTTAACCCTCCTGTTATCTGAACAGTCACAGAGAGTCAAACAATTTAATCCGTTCTCTGCCATGCCTTTTACACAGGCTCATCACCAACAGTCAGATCATATTTCAAGCAAGCACTGTGACCAGTCAAATGCAGTCAACAGGCAAAAGTAGGCAAGTGGTAGGCACAGCTGGCTTATCAATCACCTACGGTGCATAGCTGTATCAAGTTACAGAAACAGCCACAGCCAGTCAATCCTGTTTCATGTAGGCACAATTTACTTGGTCTAAAGATAGTCAAGGCATTAAACTCCCTGTGAAATTATTCTTTCAGGCACATGCTGTCATTTTGAAGAAAACAATCAAATAAGGCAATATTTCCAAAGACACGTCAAGTGACCCTTTTCTGGAAATTTCCATTAGTAGTTGGCTTGTAATGTGGCAAATCTGTAAACAGGTGAGCACAAACATTGACACGATGCACACGCGATTGCTATTATTGGATGGTTTTGTACACAACATTGCATACCGGTAGCTGCAATCGGCTGAATGATGTGTTCCAGATGCTGATTTCGGGGGCATTTCAAAACATGACTCGGCAACTTTTAAATTGAAATATTGTTTTTCTTGGAATATACAGCATTCATTGAGCTAAAACATCTTCACGTTAGTTGTTAAGCACCCTTCTTTAGATTTTGAGCACTTTTGCTGCTTCAAACGAAAAAATGCACAAATGACCAATTATCTACCCTACTTTTGGAGTCTGTCATTCTGGAACTAAATACTGAATTTCACCGTGTTCACCAATTTCCAAATGGTTTCAACAAAAACAATGACTACAAAATATCCTCAGTAAATAGCCATTTGTCAAGCCAAGAATGACCAATGACCGAAGTAGCACAGATATCTATTTCAAGTATATATATATGAGTAAAGGGGAATTTCCAGGTTTTATCATTGCGTGCTTGCAGGCTTTGACAAGCAAACTGGGTTGCAATGAAAGGAACTGCACTGTCATTATGTAAACAAGTGAAATCAATGGTTGAAGCAAAACTTCGAAAATCCCAAACACATTAACAAAGCAATAACATTCTTTGAGTTGAAGTTGGAAATTCCCGTTACGGAATATATAACCATGAGTTCCAAGAAACATGCAAGCTTTTACAAAAACAATTTTCTTTAGATAATGGAGAGTTAAGTAAAAAGGTTTAAAGGGAATATACAACATTTGCTTTTCCTATAATTTTCAGAAATGGATTTGGGGTTTAATATTTCATAGCAAATGTTGTTACACTGGCCTGTTTAAAGTTTTGTGTTCACAGATGCTGGTTAAACCAAGAAAAAAAATGCTTTTCTTGTAGTTTGGTTCCCTGACCCCCCTTACGATGAAACGGAGCAATTTATAGACATCGGGAAATTGTAAGGTCAGGGAACAGATGTGTAACCCATTGCAAACAAAATGTGGACTAACTAAATTTGGTAAATTGGGTGCAGCACTTGAAGTAAAATAAACAACTTTTTTCGAAGGATGTTCAGCCGACCATCGTTGGAGAGTGAGGCAAAAATTACACTTTTCTTGAAAATGACAGCACACATGGTTCCATGATATTACAAGCTGCTTGAGACTATCATTCACCAACAGTCAAGTGAGGTATTTCATAATAATTTGGTGGTTTTGTTTTTGATGTTTACAAATGTTGCACATTGCCTTTAAAACTTGGTGATTGTTCGAAGATTTTTTTTTGCGATCTATAATCTGTCCTTTACAATGTTGGTATTTCAAAGATATTAAACTTCCATAATCCCAGGTCAATACTTTCGTTTAAAGTCTTTTCCATTGTTTTGCGTGACTTTTACCTTCCAAGTGCATTCAGAAACGTTTTAGCTAAATAATCTATCAATGTGGAACTAAATATGAGGAAATTGGTAGTACTGATTCTTCTACATCCAGTTTCATTGCATCGACTTCTCTGTTTGCTAACTTGTTAAACAAAACTAAAATCCTAAGTACAGAGCCGTGATGTCATGCCAAGAATGGCCAACAAACAAATCACAAAAGATATCGATTTCATCTATCAGGCATAAAGGTAGAGTATATCATTTGCAGCTATCCAAAAAGCAACTGACAAAATTATGGTTGAAAAGCTTACTTAGCTTAAAGATGGTAATGACACTAAACTCCCTGTGAAATGTTTCTTTCTGGCATGCTGTCATTTTGAAGGAAACAATGTAAAGGCCATTTCCAAAGATGAGTCTATAGACGCATTTTTGGAAATTTCTGTTATTTGTTCGTTTTTAATTTGGCGAAGCCATGAATGGGTGCACACAAGCGTTGACACAAAGCAAACGCGCATGCAGTTGTTATAATTTGTCGGTTCAGTGCGTGACATCATGTAGCTGCATTCGGCTGATTGAGAACTTGTCCCGGATGCTGATTTTGAGCACAATTCAGAACATGACTCAGCAACTTTGGATGGAAATTAAGATCCTAGAATATTGTTTTCTCAGAATATACAGCATTCACTGAGCTAAAACTTCATCAGGTAAGCTGTTAAGCACCCTTCTTTAAATTTTGAAAACTTTTGTTGCTTCAAACGAAAAAAAATGCACTAATGACAAATGATATACTCTACCTTTAAGATAATGAAAAAAAAAGTGGAATGGAAACGTGACATGAAAATGTGACCTGTCCCTCAAGGGCAAACTATTACTAATCTGACAGCGAAAGTAAAAACATGATATCCGCAGTCAAGGAACAATACAATTGAAGGGTTAGAAAAGGGAAGAGGAAATAAAAACCTAGACGTCCTCCGAAAAAATGCGAGAGAAAGTCCAGTGTTTCATTTCATGAGGAATTTTTCTGAACTATCATTTTCTAAAATGCCAGAAAATTTTCTCCAGTTATGAAACCCAAAAATTGTGGAAATGTGTTGTTTTCTCACAAATGTTTAGCATCCAGTGAGCTGAAACTTCAACAGGTTACTTGTTATGCACCTTACTTTCAAATTTTTTTTACCAATTTTGTTGCTTCAAAATAAACCAAAAATGCACCAAAGGGAGATTATCTTACATACCTTTAAACATTCTATATTCTGCTTACAAAATTACTAAAGGCAAAAGTAAAACTCAATATTGAAATGTAATTTCCATCATAAATGGCAAAATAATACTCTTTTTGGAAGATCTGGGTCTGACTTATAGTAAGGGAACAGAATGCTCGGCCGGTTTTAAACACTATGCTTAAGACCAGTTGGAGTCTGGTGTAATTATCAGAATCCAGACTCCAACCAGCCTTCAACATAGTGTTTAATACCAGCCAAGCACATATTGATTCCCATTAATAAATACCTTTTTGGCGAAAAAAATCAAAACTTTTTGGTCCATAAGTCAAAACAAGTCAAAAATTACAAATTTCCAACGATTTCGCTCAACATTTTTACTTCATGTTTTTCGAAACACCCCTCTAGCTACATTATGGCATGTCCCTATTGCGAGTAGTCGTAAACAACTCCTTATATGTGGATTGGCTCGTGCGTACTGCAAGATTTGGCGCAGAACGCAGCTGTGCCGGCGTATTGTGAATTTAGGACTAAGAAATACTGAATCACTGGTAGTATTGTGCATGAGTACGTGAGGATTCAACCAATAAAACGGTAAAAGGCACCAGATTTTATAGGAGACCAAATTTCATGTGATGCTGGAAAAGTGTTTAAGACCAGCCAGCTGGTCTTTGTCAACCGTTTAAAACCGGTCACGTGACGGGCTCTCGACCAATAGGAATGGGTAAACTGTCTTCGGTATTTATGAATAAGTCTTACCGTTAATTTCAGTGTTTCAATTCCACCCTGGTTCTTTTCCTCAAGGACTTCGGCGTCAAAGCCCATGTCATCGATCATCTCTCGTATTTCCTCTGGGGTCACGACATCTGGGTCATAGGTCACCTCAGCCTTCTGGGCCATGAGAGCAACCAGGGCTGCACTGATTCCTATGGGAAAGGATGTAAACAACCTTAACATTTCTATAAGTTTTTTGCCTTTGGAAGTGCCATACAATATATACCATACTTGTTTGGTTGAGCATTGTCAAATGTAAGGTACTATGGAGGATTTTCCGCCCAGACCAATAAACAGGGGCGGATCCAGGATTTTTTTTTTTGGGGGGGGGTGGTTCATCAGAAAATCAATTCTGAAATGTAGACAGGTTTTTTTCTCCAGTCACTTGGCCTCTGCATAATCAATAGGGGGGGGGGGGGGCCTCGTACCATACTTTCAATGGGGGTGCTGTTCAAATCCGACGATCAGTAACACTATGGTACAAAGACCCTGTAACCCAGCTGGCTCTGTCAAAATTTTGTTCACAGGCAGATTTTATGATCAGTAAATTTTTTTTCGGGTGTCAGAGCAGGGGGGTTCTCATTATTTTTAATGTATTTCTATGGAAAACAAATTGAGCCTCGAAAAACAAGATGATTTATGTAAGATGGCAATGACAGGACATGAAGTGCACAAAATATACATAAAAAATAATGAGTTCATGTGGCAACAAAAAAAGGACAAAAGCTCATAATACAAACATATAAACAAAATCTGCTAGTAACACAAAAGCAATGAAGATTCCTCATCATAATATGTTAAAGGGAATATACAACATTTGCAAACATCGAAAAATAAAACTACCAAGTTTTTACGAAATACTTTACTAGGATGTTGGTGAATGAGAGTATGAAGCATCCTGTAAAATTATGGCACCTGGTGTGAAGTCATTTTCAAGAAAATAGTATTTTTGTATACATTTCCAACGATGGTCGGCCGACCACCGTTGGAAAAACCTAACTATTTTTCAACTACTGATCCAAATTTACCATTTTTTCAGTCCAAATTTAGTTTGCTATTGGTTACATGTTCATGAACGGGTGCAGGCAGGCTAGACAGGTTCCCTTACCTTAAAATTTTCCGGCATCTATAAATATTGATCTATTTCATCTTTAGTGGAGTCAGGGAACCAGACTGCTTGAACATTTGTGTTTTTCTTGGTTTTTCCGGCATTTTCGAACACAAAACTTCAACCATGTTAGTGTAACAATATTTGATCTATTATACTAACCCCTCAAATAGTTCATTTCTGAAAATTACAACAAAAGCCAATGATGTACATTCCCTTTAACAAGACATAGATCAACACAAAAATGCAATCAAAGATAATACAAAATGCACAAATTTAACAAACATTTTTTTTTTCAAAACTGGGCCTTACAACTGGGCCTTTAAAACTTCTGTTGTTGGCATCTTTTATATTAAACAACTTATGCAAAAACTAAATGCATCGGTTTGAGTAAATGAAACTTTAAATAGAAAAAGGAGTTATTAATTGTTTAATGACTGTATATTTGCAGGCCCAGTTGGAATACTGGACTGGTTTACTCAAGGAAATACCTGCCCAATTAATTATTGAAACTTTGATTCTAAACCATAAATATAATGTCAGTCTATATTTAATAAATAGGCCTATACTTATAAAAAAATAACTTAAAATTTAATTGTTTATGAAAAACATCATGTTTATATTAACTGCTGAAAAAAAAAAAATCAAATCAGCCTCTGATTAATTGAAACTGAAACCGAAATGGGAGGAATTTATTCACTGAAGAAATAATTATAAAGGGCGAGTAAAAAAACAAAACAAAACGAAACCCAAATGTCAGGACCATTGTTTCAGTGAACTTCTGCATGTAGCACTTTCAAAATCTACATGTAGGATATGAAAGCCCAATTCATAAGCTTTCTTTTAGTAAAAGAATCATTCAAATCACTTATGTACTTTTCATGTTACGGAATTTTAAACACAACCACCATTTTAAAGTTCTGTCCACGGATCACAAAAAAGGTAAGTGTTCTTTCAGCAGAAAAGAAAACAATTCACATAGGGATGTGTGAATTGTTTTCGTTTTGCTGAAAGAACACACACCTTTTTTTGGTAATCCGTGGACAGAACTTTAAAACAGTGGTCGTGTTTAAAATTCCTTAGCTTGAAAAGTACATGAGTGATTTGATTGATTCTTGTACTAAAAGAAAGCCTATGAATTGGACTTTCATATCCTACACTTTGAAAGTGCTACATGCAGAACTTCACTAAAACAATAGTCCCGACATGTTGTTTTCGTTTGTTTTGTTTTTTACTCGCCCTGTATTTGCTGGTCTATTGGGAACAATGAACTCAGGCTTTTAGACCTTATCATGTTGCACTCATTTGATTTTTTTTCCCATTCAAATCAATGTAACCAAAGCGAGGCTGGAAGGAAAAATAGTCTGGTTCCTGTTTTCATAAAAAAACTGTATCATTCAGTACTGTTATTGGATACAGGGAACATGACTGAAATGGTGGCGGCATGATAAAGGTCTGTTCTGGGCCATATACATACCTCGATGTTTGAGCAGCGTCTTCTCTATGGTAGCCACGCACGACGCGCAGGTCATTCCCGTCACCCGCAGCACGCATTTCTCCTCCACGCTTCGGCTGCTCAGCGCCTGGTATTTGGTCTGGCCTGTGACTCTGAGAGACGCCTGCTCCTCCTTCGTACCATTTCTGCTTGAAAACCTCACCATCTCGATAGACGTAGGATCAGAAGCTCCTTAAAGGGAAGATACAACATTTGCAAACATCAAAAAACGAAATGATCAAATTATCATGACATACCTACTGGGTTGTTAGGGAATACCAGTCTAAAGAATCCTGTAAAATCGTGGCTCCTGGTGTGCTGACATTTTCAAGAAAAAATGGTATTTTTCCAATGCTGGTCGGCCGACCAGCATTGGAGAAAACTGGCATTTCTCAAAAACTGCTCCTAATTTTTCATAATTAGTTATTCTGTATTTTTTTGTGCAGTTGATTACACACCCGTGAAGGGGTACAAGCCTGCTAGACTGATTCTCGGACCTTACAATTCCTGAAAGTCTATAAATTGCTCCGTTTCATCTTAAGTGGGGTCAGGGAACCAGACTACAGAAACATGATTGTATTTCTTGGTTTTTCCAGCATCTACGAACACAAAACATATAATACTAACCCCCGAAATGCATCCATTTCTAAAAAATTACAGCAAAAGCAAATGTTGTATATAATTCCCTTTAAAAACACAAGATTTCAGAAAGAAACATTCTTGCATTTCTAATACTTCACAGGAAATACTTTGACTTGATATTCAATTCTTTAAAACTGCCAGACTTTTTTCCAAAATATAAAAATATGTACACTTTTGATATAATAACTTAGCTAGTTGAATTGTAACTTTCATTATTTCAGGGCAGATCACCCAGACACAAACTTAAGGATCAACTTTTTTCAACTTTGTATCTTTGATGTTTGGGTTAAAGACCTTTAACGGTATTGACTCTAGAATATCCGTTCTTAACAAAAGTGGAAGGAAAAGGATGTTTGAATATTTAGGCTAGAGAACACCTGTGGCCTGTACAGGAGTGTAACGGAAAGGGCACAGCTCGGGTGGGGAAATGGCTGCATATTCTCAAATTACTTTGCTATTGCTTTTCCTATGGATTTGGTAAATGGGTGAAACATCCGCAACTAGAAAGCACTCAGAGAGCGCAAACCTCCGCCAAGGCTAAACAATTTACCGCCATATTGTCAGTATACCCAAAAGAAATACTCGAATATCAACTGGAGTTCGTCGCGCATCAACTTGACACAAGCTGTCCACAACTCAACTAAGCATCATTTTTCATAAACCGTTGTCAGTGTTGGATAATTTACAGTCTTTGGTAGCAAACAGGGTATCAAAATGTAGCTAACAACATTTCCCAAAGGTCTATATAAATGACATTATCATAAGACGATCAGATTCAAAAATTTTAACCCCTCCAATGAGTGTGGACTTTCTCCTTTTTTTTTGCGGTGTTTATTCAAATATATTGTGAGCAGTTTGATGGAGCTGAAAAACTTCCATGATGTTATTTTGCCATTTTACATGCATGTTTTGAGGGTTTTCATGAAAATCATTGGCTCAAGTTTTTCTTTAACATGTGTCAAATATCAGGCATCTCACTTCCTCGAAAAACATATTGATACATAAGCCTACTTATATTATTTATATTATTAAGGAAATAAAATGTACTTGGCTGGTATCAAACACTATGTTTAAGACCGGTTGGAGTCTGGATGCTGATAATTACCCCAGCCGAAATTCATCAATACCTTTTCAGTCAAAAAGTCAAAACTTTACAGTCCAAAAGTCAAAACAAGTCAAAAATTATAAATTTCCAACAATTTTGTTAACTATTTTAGCTCATGTTTTTCGAAACACTCCTCTAGCTAAATTATGGTATGTCCATCTTGCGAAAAGTCGTAAACAACTCCTTATGTGGAGATTGGTTTGCGCGTACTACGCAACGTGGCACAGAATGCAGCTGTGCCGGTGTAGTATGCATTTAGGACTATGAAATACTGACTCACTGGTAGTGTTGCATATGCCTACTTGACGATTGCAAACGTTCAACCAATAACACATTAAAAGGTAACGCATTTCATAGGAGTCCAAATTTCATGTGCCACTGTAAAAGTGTTTAAGACCGGCCCTGAGCCAGTCTTTATCAACCGTTTAAGACCGGCCACGTGACGGGCTCTCGACCAATAGGAATGGGTAAACTGTCTTAGGCATTTATGAATTATATTTATTCTTAATATTATTTTGGCAAGTCCAACTTCATCAATACCTTTTGTGTCCTCAGAAGTTCCTTCGTCTTGCTTGCTCGACACAAGTTCTACAAAAGTGGAAAAAAGAATGAGTATTATAAATATTATACGTTTTTACAACCATCATTTTTGTTGGTGCAAAGAAAAAGTTCCATCAGCTATACTAAAGAATGATGTAGTTGACATGTTCTTTTTTCTTACACAAATACCCAGGCAAAACAAAACAGCAGGGAAAACCTTTTTCAAGGAATGGCCAAAATACTCCATGGAACAACAAAAAAGTAACATCCATTCAAATAAAAAAAAATAAAAAGGCAAAGCTATTTCAAACAGAAATGTAGACAGCTTTCATCAACTAAACTTTAAAAACACAAAGTTCTGCCACATTTAACGTACTTACCCAATTACAAGACTACAACACTGAATAAAATGCAATAGTAAAACAGAGAGCGAAATTAAAACCACCACCTCCTGTTGCAAAAATCCAAATCAAACTGACACACGGCAGCCACCGCATCCACTTTTCCACTTATCGAAACTGTTAGTTAACCAACCAACCAATAGAACTGTACTTCAAAGTGGCTTTTCCCTGGGAATTTCCAGAAGGAAGTACATACAAGTACCATCAAGGGACACACAATTGCAAAACTTCCAAACATGTATTTCCTCATAACGAAAAGCAGCTAGTGTTTCCTACATGTTAGCCAGGGGCCAACATATCCGACCAATCAAAGCAAAGCATCATAAACTTGAGGCCTGCGTCTGTTCGATGAACAGAACATAGGGCTTTCCCACGTTATGAGCTTTATAATGAGATGAGGCATATGTGTCTATGTGCAGTCATTTCAATGTTCAATTTCCGGTACTCAGCTGATTCAGCAAGTCATGTAGTTCTCTAGATATACAGGGTGAGTATTTTTGTGTAAATTTTGTATAATTAATTTTTTGTTTCTAATGGTTCAACACTGTATTGTAATCTTAATTCAGCATGTGCCGCCATGATGATTTTTAAAAAACCAGTCTATCTATTCAAATCACTCACATACTTTTCACAGAAGTTACGGAATTTTGAACACAAACACCATTTTAAACTTCTGTCCACGGATCACAAAAAGTAAGTGTTCTTTCAACAAAACGAAAACAATTCATGTAGGGATGTACGTGAAAAGTACACGAGTGATTTGAATGATTCTCAGACTAAAACAAAGCTTATTAATTGGGCTTTTGTATCATAGATTTTGAAAGTGATACATACAGAACTTCTTTAATAAAATGGTCCTGACATTTGGGTTTCTTTTTTTTTTACTCACCCTGTACATGTAGGACTTCAAAATATGCACATTTAATAAAATCCTATAAGTTTTCAAATCAATTAAAATAAAGTGATGCTTTCATCACGACATCATTTCGGATTACATGTATGCCTCTTATGTCTAATTTTGAGAGTAGAATAAAATATCAAAAGTTTAAAAATCCATAATAAATCAAATGATGATGTCATCATGACATCACTTCAAAATTTGCATACTCGTACATTATCTACCCCACCCAGTTTCATGACGATCAGACCTACCCTTACTTGCGCTTTCAAAAATTGTAATTCGGATGCTGTTACCAAGAAGTCACTCACTTGTCACATTTTGTGCAAATATGTACGACCTAACAAACCTATTACAAGAAAAATTTGGAATTTAGCATGTTCTGTTGATGAGACATGGTTTAAGGGTTCAGAAACTAAAATGCCATAGAAAAAATCCCATGATGACGTCATCAAAAGCTGTTCTTTGTTGAATTACCGATGGAGCTATCCAATACACCATGGAGCTATCCTTTTTATAGCTACACGATTACACAATATGCAAAGTGTACCAAGTCTATGTACATGAGTGTAAGTGGCCTATGGGCTCCGTGCACAAGTACTCCTTTGACGGCCAGAAAAGGAGAGTTGGGGGAGACCTAGACTGGTTCCCGGTCCATACACTACGTATTTCGAATGATCCAAAGTTATTGGGTGCGGGGCTTTGTCTGGGAGACCATCGCAAGTTACATTTGAACATATTTACGTACGTGTTATACATAACTGCCGAGGACCGACACACAAAGGGAGAACAACAGATCCTTTCAGTCCTCCGGAGTTTGGGTCTTTTGTTGAAAACGGTCCTCTGTAGTAAGTTTGTGTGCTTAGTCTATGAGTGAGTGTCATATTACAGGGACAAAGGGAAACACAAATCATTGTCCTCGAGAGTATAGTAAAACAAGAGTGTATGCGCCGACGACGCCTGACACCCACGCAAAGACGCTGTGGCTAATAGCTTTGTCTTATTCAGGAAGTCGTACGTATACTTCGCGCGCGAACCAGTACAGTACAGTACACACACGCTGTGTCCCGTCCACGGAGGTCTCAAAAGTGGTAAAAATGCACCCTCTTTTGTTGGCACGCAGAGTCAATACATAATATCAGATCCCTCATAAATGTACATATGACATAATGCATGTAAACATTTCAGTTTACTCTTTAAACTACTACACTCACCCAACACTCTCCCAACACTCGTGAGCTGGAAGCCTGCAAATTGTGCACGCAAGACTTCAATAATATAAAGCCTGGACCATCATCCTCTACAACAATACTAAATGCAAAGTGTAAAAATACACTCAACATATTTCTAGCCTTCACCAAATCATGTGTACAGCACGCAGCCCAGATAAAGCAAGTTTAGAGGACAAAAGTTATCCAGAAATCACTTCAGATCTGTCAAAGCTGGCATTAGTTCCCTATGTCAACAGTTTCTTTAATCCTTTTAGATACCCACTGTTGACTCGTTGTATGTCCTTACTGTGGTTCAAAAGTAACACGAGATAAATATCCGATTGGAGTTGGCAGTAATCCCGGCTTCCAGCCAGGCACCCACTCAGAAGGACACTCTCTCGGGCTCCAATATTAAAGTGGGACCCCCAAAAATTAAGCTTTCGCTGTCTTTTCTGCTTTTGTCTTTTGCGGTGGCTATGGGCTCCGTGCGCCGACAACAGAGGGCGCCCTTTTACCTAGCAACGACGTCCCATGGGCGGACATTTCGCTGGTTGACGCGCACTGTTCCTTGTGTGTGACGCACGTACACCAGGGGATTTGTACTATGTACACGCAGTGGCCGCGTTTCGCAGCAAATGATTTGCAGTCAGGCAAGATGGCGTCAGTCGGTCACCCCCAACTGTACTCTCTTTGCTGGTGAGGGGGTACTTGTGAACGGAGCGGATACATGCCATGTGATAATTACTTTTATCATAATTATATGATAAAATATCTTACACGTAGCAAAAATGTATACATGGTTGGTTGAGTATATATCTCCTTCAGCAGACATGGCAACTATCAGTTCTCATAACAGTAATAATGTATAGCATGTCTAGATTCTATTTTCTTACATTGGTCACGTACGCCTGTTGCTTAGGCAAAATGCACAAACACAGGGCAATGTATGGATGTAAGGCTGCCATCAGCTCATAACCAAATAAGGTAAGGAAGTTGACATGCAAATGAGATTATGCAAATATTGGAACTTTCAACCAATCGAAGCCTTCATAATCCTTGGCCGTCGTCGGTGAACAAAAGTTTGTTAACACCTGTCACTTTGTCACAGCAATAGCTCCGAGACGTTGAATTTTTAAAGTGGCTCTTTATTCGTTTTATTCATTGTCTTCTCAGTATAATTTGAGCGAGATGACTAATGAAGTCTGACTTAAACTTAAAAAAGTTTTTATTTGTTAGAAATGATAAACATGAGAAATAAAAAAATAGAAATAAAAAGAAGAAAAAAAAAAAACCCTGCACACTATACTGACTGGATTGACCAAAAGATACAATTAAACATTTCAATCCTAGCAGGAGACCTTTCACAAAGGCAAAAACAAACACTTAGCCAACAAAAAAGAACCTGCTAATAAAGGTTAGTCATTGCTTAAACCATTGCTATGACGTCATACTATTGTTAAAAGTGTGGATTCGGATCTACGAATCGCTTACACTGGTCACAAAGTGTGGATTCGGAACGACGAATCTTAAAGTAAAGTGTGGATTCGGAATTACGAATCCACACTTTGAACACGTCTGACAATTGTTCTCCATAATGAGCATGAATAGGACCGTCTGTGTGAAAATTTGCTTTCCGAAAATTACCAGTGCATCTTCACTGTCACATTCTCCGCCGTCACTGCAAAAACTACTTCTAGTCAGAAAGAAATCGTCGTCTGAACTATCCATTTTGACGTAAGGAGCCTATACACACAAAATGACTTGGTTGGACGGGTGTGGCGATACACATGCTAAACACACCAGGAAAAAATGTTGCAACCTGACGCCACTTACGCGCTTGTGTACAAAGTCTATGGAGAGTCATTTCAAGTACAGAATTTCGAAGAATACACTCACAAGTGTGGATTCTTAATTAACGAATTCACTCGGCGCTTCGTGCCTCGTGAATTCTTAAATTACGAATCCACACTTTCTCGTGTATTCTCCTAAACCAAAATGTTGAATGTTGACATGAACCTGAAACTGAGAAACATTTCCAATTTTTTTTAGGAAATACTCGGAAAATGTTCTTGACTCTCCTTAGACTTTGCACACAACCGCTGAAGTGGCGTCTGGATGCTACATTCTTTCCCAAAACTTTCAACTGTGTCTTTTTGTGCTGCAAAATCATTTCTTGATACATGGCAGTGCTCTTGTGATGCATTACACAGGCATGCAACTGGGAAGTCACAAAAAAAGAGGAAATTCAAATTTCTCCAAGACTTTGTACAGTGTTTTTCTATTTTCAATGGCACACTTGGGAAGTACAAAAAGAGGAAATCAGCTGATCCGAGGAAAAGTTGCATGCCTGATTACAGTGATGGGATAAAGAAATCTCAGAACAAAAACGAACGATAGTTAAGATTGTTATATCGTGTGCTTGGATACTGTAATTTCATTGGTCTAGAACGGCCACCTGTCCAGTTTTTAAAAATGCATTTACAATGTTTTCCAAATGTGCTGGATATAAATTACGCGCGATCGTGTAGAACATGTCTGCGTGCTCGCGACTGAGAACTGCAACTGGCAGTCTCGTGTCCGGCACGAAAAGCCTGCAGTTATCAAAGGTTACTCTGTAGTGATTTCATTTATTTCTCGCACAGTAAGTCCAGCATTTTGTCTCTGACTGATTGGCACGGTATCACAGAACAATTGTTGACTGCTGTGTTGTGGGATATGTCCTTTTTAACCCCCTAAGGGCGCAAAGCACCCTCGGCTTCGCCTCGGGTACTATGCGCCCCTCGGCATATCCCACATCACAGCAGTCAACAATTGTTAAATATATGACACATATTAACCAGTTCACGCCAGGATTATTGTGACAAGAATGGAACAAGGCGCGAGATTACTTTTTATTCGACCTCAGGCCAGACGGGTTGAAGCCATCACCCTCGGGCAGCACACTTATATTTCCGGCCTTGCTCGCTGTAAGCGGGTCGCTGACAGATATTTCCGGCCTCGCTCACTGCGTGTTTATCCGTCATCCGTTCCCAAATACCGCAAAACCTGTGCATGTATACACGGCCTCCGGCACGAATTGGTTCAAGCAATTTTAACAAAATTTTGCCGAGTGGTTCATACCACGTATTGGCAAAATAAAATCATCTCGTGCAACCTCATGAACATGTATATATGTTTATTGATCAAACCACCCTTTACTTTTAGGGGAACATTGTTGAAAATTAAAAACCAAAATTGGTGCAAGTAAGTGCATGGTGAACAAAAAAACATAACAAAAACAAAAGCATGTGAAGACTGACAGAAACAATGTGTAAGTTACTCAACCCACCTGCTAATGATGCTACATGTCTACAAACTATAAAAGACTACAATAATTCTAACATGAAGTTACTCCATAGACCAATCCAAGTTGCCTACTTTCATTTATTACTGGAGTGGCTAGTTCCCAGCATCACCGGGATGCTCCAAATCTTGCTTTGGTAAATTGTACACCTGGCACAAAAAGCAGTTTTTATAATCATCCTTGCTTGGACATTTCTCGGTGAACAAAAAATCGTTTGTCACGGAAACTTTCCGGTTCAATTTGATACCTTATTTGGGAACACTGTGTAAGAAATAACGAGAGCGCAAGCTCTGAAAGTCCTGAAACTCTAAACTAAATATTGCCCTTAGCGAAATTTTCAATGGGCATTGTAACACACAATTGAATGCAATGATGCAGGCCTCGCATTCAATTGTGCGTTGCAATGCCCGTTGAAAATCTTGCTAAGTGCAATTTTTAGTTTTGGGGTTTTAGGAGCTTCAAGGCTATTGCGCTCTCGTTATTTCCTACAGTGTTCCCAAGTGCGGTATCAAATGGAACTGGACAGTTTCTGTGACAAAATGTATATTTCGCTTTTTTTTGTTCAAACTAGGACGATTATACAGATGTATTTCACATAATCTGCTTTTTTTTTGCAGATTGCAGTGATGTAATCTTGTGTCGATATCATAAGATTCGTGTCGGTTTGTACCCTGAAAATTGCATCATTTAAGCTTCCTCATTTGCCGGAAAAATTGCCCTTTTTCAATGTTTGCTCTTGTGTTTGACTGCATGTCAATACAGAAACTAGACTACGTGAATCAAGTCCCCGAGGTTAATAAAAAAATGTTTGGGTGCATGTTAGAATTGAGATTCATGGAATACTTGTTACCATCGATGTCTGACAAAAGACATTCTAGTTCAGTTGCTTCAGCCTCCATCCTCGTATGACGTACATCCTCCTCCCGTCCTAAACACGTATCCCGTCCTTTTTCGCGTTAGCATGAGTGAGCAAGATTACGTTAACAGTTACCATAGTGATCACAGCGAAATGCATGTTCCCAATCTCAAATAAACAATTCCAAAAACAACTGGACAGTTGATATAAACGAACAGTATTCAGAATGTAACAGTTTGGCATATGTGACCCGTGTTGCGAAATTGATTTATACACATGGTCGGAAAGCCCACAATGTAAGCTTTCATTTGGTATGTAATAGAGTTCTATAGCCCCTCCCGTTCTGGAGATATGTCATATTTGCATATTAATTACTTCCTTGGAGTTCGAATTACACAACTGAGAAAACAGGCTTTGAAATAGTTGGCTCTGTTGTAGACTTCGGCACAACGTACTCAAAATTGTAGTTTTTTCCCCTACATCATTCATCAAACTCAACACTTCTGCGAATGAACTCTGAAACTTTAGATATTAAAGATGTCATGCATGACAAAAAATGAAAATCACATTTTGACGAAATGTTCAACCTCTCAACGTTGAGCGGCCCATGCAAGATAATGCACAGCACGACTTAGTACCCCTTTAAGCATATTCCTAAACATTGTTATCGACATTGTCCACATTTTGAATCCCTAAGCCTAAGAAGTCTCCATCTACCTTTATCATACTTATTTTGTTAGTTATGTATAAATGTCAGTGCCTGGTCACAATATTGACAACCATATGTTGGATATTAGATATGTGAAGCAATTAAAGCTGTATGCTGTTATAGTTTTCTCTTACATTGTTGGGAGAAACATCCTTTTAAAGGGAATATACAACATTTGCAAACATCAAAAAATAAAACTACCAAATTATTATGAAATGCCTCACTGGACTATTACAGAATTACAGTCCAAAGCATCCTGTAAAATCATGGCACCTGTATTTTTGTATCAATTTTCAATGCTGGTCGGCCAACCAGCGTCGGAAAAAACTGGCTTTTTAAAATACTGCCCCCAATTTACCATTTTTAGTTAGTCCGCATTTTATTTGCAATCGATTACACACCTATGAATGGGTACAAGCCAGCTAGACTGGTTTCTTGACCTTACAATTCCCTAATGTCTATAAATTGCTCAGTTTCATCGTCAGGGAACCAGACTACAGGAACATGATTGTTTTTCTTGGTTTTTCCAGCATCTACGAACACAAAACTTCAAACAAGTCAGTGTAACAAAACTTGCTTTAAAATACTAATCCCCAAATCCACCCATTTCTGAAAAATACAACAAAAGCAAATGTTGTATATTCCCTTTAAGTGGAAAACAACATTGAAAAGATAATAGTCCAAACATTTTTCACTGCAAGGCAGATTGGACAGTTAACATAAATGGTGTCCACTTTCCACTTGTGCAAAATGTCTGCAAGTATCAAACAAGGCAATTGTGGGCTTCTTGTAGTCTTGTCAAGGTATCCATTTCAAATCAAATTGCGGAAAAAGCCTTGAGGAGAAGTACATGTAGGTTTATTCACAAATACGTGGACACTGTTTTAACGTTAAGTGGTCACTGTAACTAACGTTAAGTGGACGCCATAACTAACGTTAAACTTAATTTAATTTTCTCCAAAACTGCAGGCAGCTTGATAATATCAATAACATTTTTTTGACAAGAACAGTTAATTTAGATGTTTCTATTGCCAAATACTTTCGCTATTTTTAAAATTTTTAAAACATCAAAGTACCAGTTTAACATTAGTTACAGCGTCCACTTAACGTTGGTTACGGTGTCCACTTATTAGTAATAAACTAACGTTAAACTTAATTTAATTTTCTCCAAAACTGCAGGCAGCTTGATAATATCAATAACATTTTTTTGACAAGAACAGTTAATTTAGATGTTTCTATTGCCAAATACTTTCGCTTTTTTTTTTAATTTTTAAAACATCAAAGTACCAGTTTAACATTAGTTACAGCGTCCACTTAACGTTGGTTACGGTGTCCACTTATTAGTAATATACCTACTTCTCCTCAAGTTTTTTCCACAATTTGATTTTTAATAAGAAATGGATACCTTGACAAGACTACAAGAAGCCCACAATTGCCTTGTTTGATACTTGCAGAAGAATGCACAAGTGGAAAGTGGACACCATGTAACTTAGGTTAACTGTCCAATAATATCATTATAATCTGCCTTGCAGTGAAAAATATTTGGCCTATTATCTTTTCAATGTTTTTTTTCCACTAAAGGGATGTTTCTTCCAACAGTTTTAAGAGAAAACTAACAACATGCAGCTTTCATCTTTGCTTCAGATCTCTCATGTTTCACTTTTTGTAGCCAGTATTGTGACCTAACACGTAGGCACAGTTAAAAAACAACTTCCAGGTCCAGCAGAAAACCTGGGCAATAATTGTCTCGATGGAGTTTCTGCATACCTTGTAATTCGGCCTCATATCCCATGTCATCGATGGCTTCCCGCAACTCCAGCGGGCTGACTTCCTCAGGATAGAAGTGGATGGCAGCCATTTCCTTTGGGAGGGAAACAAACACCTTGTCGACCCCCTTGACTTTGGCTAAGTTGGCTTCGATGGACCCGGTGCAATTCTCACAGGTCATTCCATGGACCTACAGGTACAAGAGTTTACAATATGTCAATGGAATAGCTAATATTCATTGACTTATTTGAGTCAAAGTTCATTGAGTCATTTGAGCTGGCAGGGACCACTAGAAATGATTCCCAAACGGGATGTGGATCATAATTTTAATATGGCAATTTCACCAGACCCATGTATACAATGTACATGTTTATACATGTCAAAACATATTCAGATGCATTCAATTCAATTCAAGGAATTTATTATTGGTTCATTACAGGTCAATGGCTGAATTGTGAACGATTTACATCAAAGCACAAATATAACAAAACATTTAAATAACTTCATACAATAAAGGATTTGTCATAAACTACCACATAGAGATAAATAAATAGCAAATGTCAAACAGAATAGCAATGCCACTACACACATAAAAAATACATATTTTATCTTTTAAGTAAACATTAAAGCAACATCTGTTGGGGAATTTAAGGTTTTTACTATAAAACATACTAAATTCAATTGAAAATTGAAACTTTTGATTTCTATGTTGTTTTGAAAACAAGTTTAGATGATTATAACAATACCACAGTCATATATTACCAATCACTGCAGAAATTAATGCGGGTATTTGTCATGTGAGACATCCATTAACCCTCCTACTATTTGAACAGTCACAGACAGTCAAAATTTCCATCCACTTCCCCTGCTATACTTTTTACTCAGGCTAGTCACCAACAGTCAGATATGTTAAGCAAGCACTGTGACTAGTCAAATTCAGTCAACAGACCATGGACAGACAAAGCAGGAAAGTTAATTGTTGGCACAGCTGGCCTATCAATCACCCACAGTCACAGCAAAGCTGTATCAAGTAACATAAACAGTCACAGCAAGTCAATCCTGCTTTATGTAGGCTGGGAATTCTTAACTGTTGAAAACAGTCACTTGATTGATTTTGACTGAAAAGACAACTTGGAACAGAATGTATGTTTGCATAGGTGGGCTAAATCACATACATGTACATGCATGTATAACCATTGATTCTCAAACACAAGCCATATGTCATTCATGAATAAATAAAACAAAATATATATTAGAAATTTGGAGTAATTATTGATGTCGTATACTGTTGGTAGTAGATCGATGTAGTCTGATGTGACAAATTGACAATTACTTTATCAAATACAATTTTTTTTTTTTTTTTGCTTTTTTTTTTTTTTCTTCAGGCTTGGATTGTACAGACAAGGTGGGTACTATTTGCTTTTTTGGTGTCCCCATGTACATTGGTGTCCTCCATAATTTGCCTTGGTGCTTTCGATCATTTGCCTTGGTGCAATTTCCCATTCCTTGGTGCTCTTTGGTAAAAAAAAATGAGGTGCGGAAATAGAGGGCGCTGTTGGAGCAACCGCGGAACATTTTGGAAAAAAAAAAGATCGACGCGCATGCTTAAAATCGACGCTCGCGCTGACCAGAGACCGACTTATTATTTTTTTGGCCTTATATAGATCTTTGGAGAACGTTGTAAGAGCTATACCACGTTTAATACCAAAGACTGTAAATCGTCCAAAATTGAAAACTGTTTATGAAATATGATGCAGTTTGAAAAGTTGCAAATTTAAAGATTATACTAGGAGAGATTGCTAAGCGTTACCAAACATGCCCGTGATCAGCCCCTATCAACTGCACAGTGCTCGAACAAAGCGCAGGTAATTCAATTTGCGTGCTCCCATGCTTGCAAGCACTGTGCGATCGGTATTCCCTGCCGTTCGTTTCGGGCAGTGTGACATTGTCACGCAGCAATTTCCACTCACATCATGACCCTTTAAATTCGTAAGTTTTCAAACTGCAGCGTTTTTCATAAACAGTCAATGTTGAACAATTTACGGTCTTTGGTAGCAAACGGGGTATCAAAATGTAGTCTAACGACATTCCCCCAAAGGTCTATATTAATGACGTTATCATAAGATGATCAAATTCAAAATGTTGACCCCTCCAATGAGTGTGGACTTTCTTTTATTACCGCGTTTATATTGATGTGAGATGCACATAGTCAATTAAAACTGTATCAAATAAAATATAGGCAAAACGGTGATTTAACAGGTAACATTCTTACAAGACAATTATGTCATGAATATATACACATGTAATTCGTTGTGTCCGTGCAACAAGGTCGTATCTCCTAAAATGGCGTACCAGCCCTCCCCTCCCCCCCCCCTCCAGCTCCAGCCCGTAACCAACTTTACAATTTACTTAGTAACTTCTCGGTGAGTGAAAAGGAAAGGTTTTGATTGTCACTTGTGGGGAATTTTCAAAATGAAAACCAGACATTTCACATTTATGACGCTCGCAAAAGTTGCAGTTGACAGCGTAAAGCTATGCTCAAGGTTCTAAGGGTGCAGACCTGTAAATCGACTCCCATAGACATGTGTGATAATTACGTGTACTTCAAAAATTATTAAAAATACTCAAAACTCTCCAAAGTGTTTGAGAATTAGCCCCAACAGTCCTGAATCCTCCAATTTCAATATAATTTTGCACACCCCCTAGGGAGTTAGGGTTAGAGCTTATTTCATTTTCTGTTCAATTTTTTGGTGGTTATCCGATGACTTTTGGGGAAAAATTCCATCCAAAAGTAGTCCTGTTGCGCATCGCCATTTTGAAACATGATGCCTGCACTCCATTGCAAAAGAGGGCAAAATATGGCAAATTTTGTGCCCAATTTCAACCGAATTTCACAGAAATACGAGCTCTCACTCCTGTGCACGGCTTTCAGGGCCCATCTTTTTTACAAACCTTCCAGATCATGGTCCAGAAAATGCTTTAATAGCAAAGAAAGTGAGGGCATTGCAATCATGTTTTGGCCCGCGTCGGCAATTCTGGGCCAAGGTCTGCACCCCTAAATGGCAATTAATTTAAACCATTTTATAGGCCATGCACTGCCCCAAACCGCCTTGCCGATTACTCAAACCATGAGCACTCTATGTTTTTATGAATTCGTCAGGGAATACAAAGTACCAGTGCAAATTATATGGGTCTAACTATTCCCGTTTTTTTTTTTAATAATTTTTTTTTAACCAGAATGTTTATTGAAAACGTCATGTGAACCCGCCATCAAACACACTCTGCTGCCTGAATTCCAAAATATGACTCATTCGCACAACACAGAATCCGCAGAAAAACCTAATTTGCGCCAAGTAGAAATGAGAAATTCCATAAACCCTCACATAACACGTACCATCCAAAACAGGTTCATGAAAATGTCATTCGACATGACACAAAAGCCCAAACAAATTCAATGTCAAAGCAATTTTCTATAAGAATTACACACCCACCTGCGGCACATACTGGCTGTGACCTGTAGAAACTTGGGAACTGAAATCGCGCTTGCCATTTCTTTATTGATTTGTCAACTGGGGGTACACAATCATGCAATAAAACACAGGAAGCACGTGCACAGCGAAAATCAGTCAACATGGGACAACAAAACACGTCACATTTATGACGCTCGCTAGAGGTGCAGTTCACACCGTGAAAGCTATATGCTCAAGGTTCTAAATGGCAATTAGTCAATCCATTTCTAGTCCTTTGCACTGCCCCAAACCGCCCTGCCGATTACTCCAAATCTGCACGAGAACTCGGATTTTTCAGGGAATACAATGAAGTAGTGCTAACTATAAGAGGTTAAACTATTCCCGTTCGTTTTTCTTTCTGATATTCCATCTATAGTCCTTGTACTGCCCCAAACCGCCCTGCCGATTACTCCAAATCTGCACGAGAACTCGGATTTGTCAGGGAATACAATGAAGTAGTGCTAACTAGTATAAGAGGTTAAACTATTCCCTTTCGTTTTTCTTTCTGATATTTTATGTATAACCAGAATCTTGATTGAAAACCTCATGTGAAAGGCCATTAAAACACACTCTAGCTGCTGCCTGAATTTATGCAGTTCCCGAAACATGACTCATTTATACAGCACAGAATCCACGAAAAAACCTAATTTGCGCCATGTAGAATTAAATGAGAAATTCCATAAATCTTTCTGTTAAACTGCACGTATACACAAATATTTGACATGACACAAAAGCCCAAACAAATTCAATGTAAAAGCAAGTTTCTAAAAGAACAAACCAACCATGACACAAAAGCCCAAACAAATTCAATGTTTAAAGCAAATTTCTAAAAGAATATACCAACCGGTTGCACTGGCTGTGACCCGTAGAAACTTGGGAATTGAAGTTTCTCTGGCCATTTCTTTATTGATTTGTCAAGTAGCGGTACACAATCATGTAATAAAACACAGGCAGCAAGCCACAGCGATGACAAAACAAGTAGCTCGAAGGTCACTTCAGGACAGGATTTCGGTTAAATCACTTGACTGAAAGATTTAAGGACTAACCTTTGAAAATTGGTAAACTGCCAGTGCTAGAAACGAGACTATTTTAAATACATGTTAAAGGGACACTGCGTCCTGGAACAGCCCAATTGGGCTACAAAAAACACTTTGAACAAAATGATGTTCCTTGGAAAGAACATTTAAAAGTAGGATATAAACATCCACACAACTATTCTTTAAAAACTGGGCGTTTTTGTGTTATTCCTGTATTATGCGTGCGAAAATGACTTTCGGGGTCCACTTGTGCGACCCCAAAAAGTCGAGCTGTTTGGGTGCTAGTTGTGATTTCATCCGTAAAGTGTTCGCCTTTTGCGGACGTGTAAGAAACCACATTTTGTGCATTGGTGATTGGTCACTGCTGATCGCGAGAACGGTGCTGTATTGACGCACACAACGTGTATATCATACATTGACTGAAAACGACAGGAAAAGCGTATTCGCACTTGGTCATGTCCAATGTAAAGAACCATTTTTTGGGTCTTTTCTCAGGAATGGTAAGACATTAGGTTGGTTTCCTTTCAACCAGATGTTTGAAATATGATAAAGTAAACAACCCAAAACATGACATTTCCGGGGAGTTCAGGACCTAGTGCCCCTTTAATATGGGTGTAAACAGTCACATTATGTGCTGTTTGAATAGCAACTTGCAGAATCTCTGGCAAAAGAAGTGCGGTCGAATGGGTTCTCTTTTTTCCTAGTATGCAAAGTAATTTCAGACTGATTTAGACACACACAATACACTTGGCCTTCCATTGATAGCCGTACTTTGAACTTTGGTCAATACGAATGTCTGGCAGTGTAGTGCAGACTTTTTTGAGAGCTTTGCAAAATTGGGAACATACTATTTGCCTTTCCTGCCCGTCGGCAGGGGAAGTTACAATGGGCAGAAAAAAAAAGTGTGGAGGCAAGATCACCCTTTATTCCGTTCCATTTGCCGGCAGATTTCAAGGGATCATCTATGTACAATGTACGTGTGAATTCATAAGCACTCAAGCATCGACTGGAATATGTAGACGCGGCTCTTGTTTGTTTTGCTCAACATACAGTGAACAAGTACCTGCTTGACAACTTGGCTGCAAAGAGGTGAGTTTTACTGAACTTTTATCACAAGAAACTTGTCACAATATCCGTAGTTACAAACTAATATATGCTTTTAATGGATTTGGATGACATTTTTAGGGTTAGGGTTAGAGATAGGAATATGTACGGTTGGAACATAGGTGTGTAACCATGATGCCTTCTTTCACAACATGGAATGTCTGGCAGTGTAGTGCAGACTTTTTTGAGAGCTTTGCAAAATTGGGAACATACTATTTGCCTTTCCTGCCCGTCGGCTGGGGAAGTTACAATGGGCAGAAAAAAAAAGTGTGGAGGCAAGATCACCCTTTATTCCGTTCCATTTGCCGGCAGATTTCAAGGGATCATCTACATGTATACGTGTGAAGCACTCAAGCATCGACTGGAATATGTGTAGCTGACTCTTGTTTGTTTGGCTCAAACATACAGTGAACAAGTACCTGCTTGACAACTCAGCTGCAAAGAGGTGAGTTTTACTGAACTTTTATTAGCATGGTGGTCAAAAGAAACTTGTCACAATATCCGTAGTTACAAACTAATATATGCTTTTAATGGATTTGGATGACATTTTTAGGGTTAGGGTTAAGGTTAGGGTTAGAGATAGGAATATGTACGGTTGGAACATAGGTGTGTAAACCACGATGCCTTCTTTTACAACGTGGAAATTAGCAACATGCACCCATACACTTCTATATTTTCATTTACACTTGTATATTTTCATTTCATCAGTGGTAAGAAAAGGTTTGATTTTTGTAGAGTATCTCAGGGATACAACTGCCTTTTTGAAAAATAACGTGTACAGTTAGGATTATTAAAAAAATACCTCAACACTTAATTACGCCTGACGTAAAAATGTTGGCATTGAGAGTTGACTCAAATCATAGAGCTCAAGTCACCATTTTCAGTGTCTGAAGTTGATTCAAGTCCATGCAGGCCTACCGAAGCAAATGACTCGACTCAAATTGAGTCAAAGGCTTGTGTGAGTGCTTTAAATCGTGAAACTACAGATTCATGTTTGTTTTTGATACAATTACAGGGTGATCGAGCAGATAACTTCATTGGGACATTGCCCAGTTCAATTATGAATATTTTTGGTCACAACAAAAATAATCAAATTCAGCCTTTTCCAGAGTAGCAATTTTGTTTTAATTTTGAAAAAAAAATGGGTTTGATAGGTTCACGTTATTTAAACGTGACTTCCAGTTCGATAATGTCATCAGTTGAAAATTTTCAAAATGAAAATTGATTTAGTTTATACAGGATACATACAATGCATATGCAACATAGTGTGAAAACAAGTGCGAGTGCACAATAAGCTCTGGCTGCCTTGCATGAAATGATTGTGCGTACAAGCCTGAATATCTAGGAACAAAATTTGTAAAAGTTTGACATCTGGTTTTTAAATTAAAACATCGCGCAGTATTAAAACATCATGTAGTGTAAGTGCCAAGCGTGCCAATAAGGATTTTTAGCACTACGCACACAAGGTACATACCATACATGGCCAGAGGGGTGTTTCACTTGAGTTAGGGGGTTCGTTTTTGGTCAATTTTTGGGGTTACTGACCAACCGACCGACCGACACCCAAGTTGCCAGAGCTTAAAAATATTAATACAAATTGAAGAAAGGTTTACAGATCTGGCTACAAACATCAGTGCCAGTTCCAAAACGTTGTACCAACCGGTGTTAAAGGCAATGTACATCATTGGCTTTTGCTGTAATTTTCAGAAATGAACTATTTGAGGGGTTAGTATAATAGATCAAATACTGTTACACTGACATGTTTAAAGTTTTGTGTTCGAAAATGCTGGAAACACCAAGAAAAACAAAAATGTTCAAGTAGTCTGGTTCCTTGACTCCACTAAAGATAAAATGGATCAATTTATAAATGCCGGAAAATTGTAAGGTAAGGGGAACCAGTCTAGCTGGCCTGCACCCGTTCATGAACATGTAACCAATAGCAAACAAAATTTGGACTGAAAAAAGTGTAAAGTTGGGGCAGTAGTTGAAAAATAGTTAGGTTTTTCCAACGGTGGTGGGCCGACCACCGTTGGAAATGTATACAAAAATACAATTTTCTTGAAAATGACTTCACACCAGGTGCCATAATTTTACAGGATGCTTTAGACTGTCATTACCAACATCCTAGTAAGGTATTTCGTAAAAACTTGGTAGTTTTATTTTTCGATGTTTGCAAATGTTGTATATTCCCTTTAACAGGACCTTTATGATTGTACCCTCATGTTGATTGAGCAACCATAAATTGCTTTGCCTGTCAAAAGGTTTACTGCAAAATTGTTTACTTAGACCTACTGCTCAGTGTGCTATGATTTACAAAATCTCGGCTTCAGCTGTGGCTTTATGGCTTCAGCTTCAGGCTCTAGCTCCACGATTTCAATTTCCCCGTGCACAGGGCAAGGAACTCCTGGTGTATGTACCATTCTATCAAGTTAGAGTCCAAAGTCTGACATTTTTCCTGTCTCTATTAGTTTGTGATTCACCATTCACGTGTCATGAAGAATGACTTCAAGGATTATTTGTTGGGTAGGTAGTTTGAAACTTTGATTTCATTATAACTCTTAAGCCCTTTTAACAATAGACAAATCTCGGGGTTGAGCACGACTGCAAGAAGGAGTGCATCATAATTATAAAATCATAGATTGCAGACGTACCAAGGACAGGAAAAAAGTGGACCACAGAGTTAAGCATAACCCATATTCCTTTATGTATTCAATTACAATTAGGCCTGTGCAACTAGTACGACTAGTTGCCAATACTAAAAAGCATTGGTAGTCATGACTATCAATTTCCAAACAGCAGGCTAGTCGTTATGCCGTGACTAGACACGACTACTGAAATTAGTCGCGACTATTGAAATTAGTCGCAACTATTGAAATTAGTCGCGACTATTGAAATTAGTCGCAACTATTGAAATTAGTCGCGACTATTGAAATTGGTCGCAACTATTGATATTAGTTGCGACTATTGAAATTCACGAGTCATTCACACCTGAAAATCTGTGATCGAAGCAATGAAAAAATAAAGATGTTTTAAGGAATAAGGATTTAAACGATAACAGAACATGAATGCCAATTTCAGAGGCAAAAGTGTAGTTTCTAATGTGATCACTTGCAAGCATACATAACTGAGTACATCCAGGTTATCCCTGCTATAGTATGAATAATATGTAGTACACATGTGATACGGTCATTACTTTGCAAGCATATCAAAGGCTTAATATTCGTACTACGCAGACATTATTCATGTGCAGGCCCCTGTTTTGATTGTAACGGAACATACTTGAAAGTATGGAGATTGCTTCTGAATTACGAATGTACATTGTAAGTAAAATGAAAGATGATGTTTGCTTTATATAAATACTTACTCCATAATATACTCATTTGATCAAACCATGCTTCAATACAATCTGCCTGTACTAAATAGTTTACACGATATGAAATAACAGTAATCAATTCTGTCAAAATACCCTTAAACAATATGGAACCGTCTGATCAGGACAAACTGACCTCCTTTTTTTTTTTTCTGCCCCACATGCTCATTGCACATGCGCAGACCCATGTGTTAGATGTATTGCTCCACTGATTCGAGGTATTTATATTTAATGAATAAATTATGTGTTGCTTAAGTCTCAACTAGTCGACTAGTCTCAACTTTTTATCACAACTAGTCACGACTATGGAAATTCACAGTCACCCATCAGGCCTAATTACAATGCACATCAGTAACCTTGAACACCCCACCATTTTTTGTTCAAAGAAATTTCTCTATTTAAAAAAAAAACCATTTCTGTTCAACAAGCTTGAAATGGTCTTGGAAGCTGCGGCCATACTGTAGACCTGCTGTAGCCACCAAGTCATATACATGATGTACAAGTCTGTTCTTATAATTATGCACAACTACTCACGTCTTGACAGTCAAAAGGATCAGCATCATTTTGTTAAACATCAGTTGGTGCATGGAGCATTTTATAGCATGTGGAACACACAATTTGTGTGCAGTACAGTGCTAGCCCCAATACGAAATGAGCGACCTTAGACCCAATTGTCCACAACTGCAATAAATGGGTAGGTGACTAGAGACATGAAGCACATGTTGTTGAGAGGGCCTAAGGGACAAGGTGATTGATTGCCAAAAAAGGCATGTGCTGATCGAAGTTTGTTACTAACTAAGGCAGAGACGTGATGCATTTCTTGAGCTGCTTTCTTGCAGCTAACAAGCTCGAAATGATATCGGAAGCTGCGCGCCAACGAATTTGTGTTCATACGTTACGTGATTGTGCCCTGTCATTTCTAGAAGGGGTAGTTTTCTCAGTACAAATATCAGGTTTGTGACCCTCGACCGAGACCCAATTTTCGGGGACTGCATAGAGTTAGGGGCAATCCGCAAGAACAAGCTGCCAAGAGGGGGACAATGAACCATGTGGCTGAAGAGAGTAAACAGGGACCTGACAACCACAGGGTAAACATCAACGATCGACACACTTGGCACGTGGCATCAGACAGACAGCAGTGGAGGACACTTACAGAGTGCGCGATGTCAGATCTACTTGACGCAAGCGCCTAGATGAGATGATGAGGTGATTTACAGTGGTACAGGTGCGGGTGTCTCTGGCACGAGTTGGGTTGTCTCAGGCACAAGTAGGGGGATTGATAGCGCCAAGGTGCGGCACTCCAATGTCTGTTACAAACCAACCAACGGAGACATGTCTTTTCCTTGAGCTGCTTTTCGCAGCTAAAGCTCGAAATGATCTCTGAAGCTGCAAGCCAACGAATTTGTGTTCTGCCTTATGTGATCGTGCCCTATAATTTCTAGAAGGGGTAGTGTTCTCAGTACAAACATCAGGTTTGTGACCCTCGACTGCGACCCCACTTTCGGTGATTGCATAGAGTTAGGTGATTTACAGTGCAGAGGTGCAGGTGTCTCTGGCAGAGTTTGGTAGTCTCAGGCACGAGTTGGGTGATTGATAGCGCCCAGGTGCGACATTCAAACATCTGTTACAAACCAGTGTTGTAGTCGAGTATTTTTTTCCGAGTACCAAGTACTGCCGAGTACTTACATGTATAGGTTGCCGAGTACGAGTACAAGTATTTGTACCTCTGAGTACAAGAACGGATCTCTGAGTACGAGTACAAGTACTTCCGAGTACGAGTACGAGTACTTGTACTTCCGAATACGAGTTCGAGTACGAGTACTCGCATTTCCGAATACGGCCATACGGCAAATGGTTCATTGTGCGTAATTGGCCCAGGCCCAGTCGACCGATATACAGACCCACTCATGGCTAGCTGTTAAATGTATTAGTCCGGACTGTACTTGCACAGAGGAAAATCAGGGAAGCTCGATTTCTCAACAAGCCAATCAACAATTTCCAACTGAAAGAATTGATAGAATAAGGCCATGGTAAGTGAAGCTATAACATTTTGCCCCCCGAGTACTGCTATTCGAGTACAAGTACTTTGCTGCCCGAGTACGAGTACCGTCTTTTCGAGTACGAGCACTTTGACATTCGAGTACGAGTACTCAAAAAAAAGTACTCGAGTACGAGTACTACAACACTGTTACAAACCAACCAATGGAGAGACATGTCTATTACTTGAGCTGCTTTCCGCAGCTGAAAATGCCACCATTGGATGCATCTCAAACATGCACAAAGTTTACCTTGATTTTGATTTCCTCTGGCGGACTTGTTGTATGGACGATTCCTTGCATATTGTCTTTGTCTACAGCAGTAGCATCTGTCATCTCGACTTGTTGCTTGTTCTCTTCCACGGCTGTACTAGTTTCTTCATTGGATATGGGAAAAAAAGAACGTTTATGGTTTGAATAAGGCCACATTTTTAATTTAAACCAATTCTAAATTTCTGATTTTTGAATGGGTTATAAAATCCGAACCATTGTGTAGATCAGATACATTTATAAGACTTCCAGTAAATAGTCATTCTAAATCAAATGGATATAATTTTGCGCACTATAGGATTAGCTGTAGCGGGCCTACTAGGCCTTACTAACCTCATTATTGTTATTAAAAGAACCCACTGTAATGTAATTTGTTTTTAATGCTACCCTTGAAAATGTAGTGTCCCCATTTAAAGCTATAGTCCATCATTTGCAGCCATCCGAAAAGTAACTGGCGTAATTATTGTTGAAAAACAAACTTAGTTGAAAGATAGTAAGGGAACTAAACTCCCTGTGAAATTATTCTTTCTGGGAAGCTGTCATTTTGAAGTGATCAATGAAAGAAGGCATTTCCAACGGTGATTCTTAAGAAGCACCGTAGGAAAATTTAAATTAGTAGTTCGTTTTGTTATTCAGCGCAGCACGCGTAAGTATTGGAATGACGCACACGCGCGCGCGGTTGTTATAATTCGTCGGATCAGTGCGCGACGTCGCGTATAGCTGCAATTCAAAACATGATTCAGTAACTTTTGATTTGAAATTGAGATCTTAGAATGCTGTTTTTCTCGGAATGTACAGCTGAAGCTTAGCTGAAACTTTATCAGGTTAGTTGCTTAGTATCCTTTATTAGATTTTGAACTCTTTTGTTGCTTCAAACGAACAACATGCACAAATTACAAATGATGGACTATAGCTTTAACCTTACAGTTTTATTACCAACCTGGCTTATCAGCCCCCTCCATGCTGTAGTACTTTGTCTTTTTTTTCTGAAATAAATAAGAAATCCATTAAAGGTAGAGTAGATCATTTGCAGCTATCCAAAATGTAACTGATGAAATTATTGTTAAAAAGCCTACTTGGTTGTAAGTAATGGCAAATAAACTCCCTGTGAAATTATTGTTTCTGGCATACTGTTATTTTGAAGGAAACAATAGTAATTTCCAAAGATGCATCATGTGACACATTTTAGGAATTTTCCGTTCGTAGTTGGTCACGTAGTTGGTTAGTAGTCGGTGAATCTGTGTATGCAGTGGCGTAGCCAGGAATTTTTCAGTGGGGGGGGGGGGGGGGCGCTGGGGGGCCTGGAACATTTCATGGGGGGCGTCATGTAGATCAACGATAATTTTTTTAGAAACTCAAAATCTCAGTGGAGGGGCGACTGGGGGGCGACAAGGTTTCATGGGGGGGGGGGGGCTGCCGCCCACCACGCCCCCCCGTGGCTACGCCACTGTGTGTATGGGTGCGCACAAGTGTTGACACAACGCACTCGTGTTGGGTTGATATTATTCTTCAACTCAGTTCAGCTGAATGAGAACGTGTCCTGGATGCTGATTTTGTGCGCAATTCAAAACATGACTCTAACGGCACATTTTGAATTGAAACTGAGATCCTAGAATTTGTTTTCTTGGAATACATACATGTATACAGCATTCACTGAGCTAAAACTTGATCAGGTTAGACCCGTCTTCAGATTTTGAGCAATTTGTTGCTTAAAACGGAAAAAAATGCACAAATTACAAATGATTTAAACAAAAAATGTTCAACAAATTCATTGTTACATATCCAAGATAATTTCTGTAAATGTACGCTTAAGGAAACATTTTTTGGTCACAAGTTACGTGGAAAAAAGGTAGACATATATTAGGCCGATACATTTACAATCTTTCACTAACATCACAAGTCCTACGCCAGTAGTAATGTTTACGCCCTAGCTCTTGCGTTCGTGACCTTCAACCTTTTGTCTTCGTTCTTTCGTTTATCGCTCAATGTGCGTTCTCGCCTTTGTTCATTAAAGTCTCCCATTATACCCGATAAGTCGATTACAGTTGCGGTTATTGTGTGTGTTGGATTGAACTCTTGTCCTTACTGGCGCTATTTATAGGCAAACATTTTCTGTCGCAAATAGGCTAGATCGATTGCTCGTGGTCCAAAACATATACCAAAATTCGTGGGGGTGGGATAGGGGCTACATTCAAGGAATAATGGAGGATTTTGCAGGATTGAGGTTACACCCTAGCAAAAATGCCTAGGGAGTCAGTTAAAAATGCAACAAAAAATCATTTTCTGTGTGGCTTACAAGTATATAACCATAGAATGCACAGGTTTCAGGTGCTACGAGTAATGGGTAGGGCGATTTTGGGCGGACAGTGACTTATTGGTTAATTAATTAACACACCCGTAGGTCTGATTTTTCTTCATTTTTGCTCCTTTACTTGGTAGTTATTATACAGTAATTCAAGTTGTACTGCTGACATTTGGCCAATATGAATAGCTGTTTCACTAGAGGGCGCCATTCACCTTTTCTGTACCATCATGCTATCCATCAATGTTGAATTTTTGCAATGAACACTGGGGTTTGTGACTCATGATCAGTGTGTCAAGGGTTCAAATCCTGCGGCTTGACATATGTTGTGTCCTTAGGCAAGCCACTTCACCCCAATTGCCTCTGGATTTCATGCCCCTGAGATTACCAACCACAAAAATGGTGGTATCCATGAAATGGTCCTTAATGATGTATAATTGCCTCCTGTCCATTGAATTAATGTAACAATCTTCCTTGTTTAAAAAAAACCCAGTACTAAAAGCTGTATGGATAATTTACTTTGCCAGAGAGAATGTAGTATCCTGATGCCATTTTCCAATGTACAGTATCACAACAAAATTGTCACCTTACCCAACAATACTGAAAGAATTACATGGATGTTGACGTTTTCCTCTGAGATATTTTTTTGGGGGAACAGTAAACCACAATATTGCAGCTTGCCGTGTACATCAATATAAGAGAGGCGCGGCTCTAGTGACAGAAAATCTTGTCTGAAGCCCACCGCACACTTTCCAATTTAGATTGGTCCGCACGATGATATGCCACACCGATTCAAGTGTGTACAGTCACTGGGTGTCCCAAATTTTTGGACTAGTTTTCACTGTACAGTGAGCTGTACAGCTTTTTGGTGTAAATTGCAACTTTTGCAAGTGTCATAAATGTGAAATGTGTAGTATTCCCATGTAGCCTAGTTTTCATTTTTAATTCAAAACCTTTCTTCTTTCTCGTCAGAGAAGTTACTTTGTAAAGTTAAGTAAGATTTGAGGCTTTGCATGGTGGAGATACTAAATAATGAAAGGTTTGCGGAAACACCATGTGTGAATAATTTCTCAACTAAGAGAATGGTTCTGAAAAGAACTGTATAAACTCGACGTTCTGGTCAGTATGCTCTGACCATCTTCAGGAGAGTGGCTCTCCTGAAGACGGTCAGAGCATACTGACCGGAACGTCGAGTTTATACCTCTGGTTGCAAATGCGACGGCTGTTTTCTGTCCCGTGGATCCTGAATAGAGATCAGTGCACGTGGCCCCCAGACGATAAATGCATGGTACAGGAAACAGCCGTCGCATTTGCAACTCGCGCCCTCGCTCGACAAGCAATTTGCATAAACGCGACGTCACAGCTTGAGGTCATCTCTTGTCACATTCAAAATGGCTGCCATCACCCGACGTTTCACGAGTGCATTTGGGCTCCAGACAGATTCAAGAATATCTCGGAATATTGAACATATTACACCTAAGCATCCCAGAAGTGATAGATGGGACATCATAGAATACAACCATATGTAAGAAACGGACCGTAATTTTTATGAAAACGCCCCCAGTAGTGCGCGGTACCACAGTGTGTGGCCAGAGGTTCAGCGCAGCATACCGCGGCCACACTAGTGGGGCTACGTTACAGTAACTTAGACTTTAGTTTTAGAAATTCAAAATATTAACAGTTAAAATTTATATACATTTAACTTTTTTTCTCTCTAACACAACATCAATTTAAACGTTTACCAGGGATGCGAGTGACCACTGATAAAAATAGCTGAAAACATCTGAAAAAGGTGTAAAAAAGCTGAACTTTGGAAATCTCCTATACATTTGTACACAGCAAGTGAGGGAAAAAGTAGCTGGAGTTACCCAGCCCTGAGTTTTATCATATGGGTTGTGTATAAGGGCTGGAGCGTATTTTTCTCATAAGTAGTAGTATATTCAAAAAAAATTTGGAAAATGTTCAATTTTGTCCCCGTTACACACTAATTGCAACTGCAACTCACCCCAAACTTGCCTGGAATAACCATTACACAGGTCCTTGAAGTAAAAAACGATCCACGATGAAGATTCAGCCTACAATTGCAGTGAAAACAGGAGGAATAACCGCTAACTTGACAACCTTTCAGGCATGGCCAGGACTGCTTTGGAATTGTGCACACAAAAAAATTGTGTACAATGAATGGCGGCGGTCGATTACCACCACGTACAGCTCGCTGGTACTACGCGTTTTTCGCATCACAGTGCGGTACTGGAACGGCAACCGTTATTGTCCCTGTCTTTCAATGAACGTAAATATCACTGCACTATGAATGCACGATAGCCGGCCAACTCGACGGTTGCCGTTCCAGTACCGCACTGTGATGCGAGTGAACCTCTTCTTAATGCATGAAACAGTCATCGGGTATTACGCTTCCGCGTCACGTCATGCACCGACCGCAAAAACGCTCGACAAGCAATTTGCATACACGCGACGTCACAGCTTGAGGTCCTCTCTTGTCCCATTCAAAATGGCTGCCATCACCAGACGTTTCACGAGTGCATATGGACTCCAGAAAGATTGAAGAATATCTCGGAAAATGGAACATCATTAGACCTAAGCACATGCTAAGCATCCCAGAAGTGATAGGAGACATCATAGAATACAACCATAAGAAAGTAAGAAACTGAAAATGTAAGAAACTGCCCTGAATTTTATGAAAAACTTCGTCCTCAGTAGCGCGCGGTACCACGGTGTGTGGCCAGAGGTTCAGCGCAGCATACCGACGGCCACACTAGTGGGGCTAGGGAAAAAGCTGAATCCAAAACTAAAAAATAGCTGAAATCAGCTTTTAAGCTGAGATTTCACACCCCTGGTTTACTTTTATTTTAAACCCTTTTCATTCAACGATTTTACCTAAATCTATTTGGTTCACTCAGTCAAAAGGCATCACGACGACACGAGAATTTAGATTTTTTGACGGATCCGGTTGTAAAAATGACGCGTGGCGCATGACGTAGTCATCGCGTTCCGAGAAAATGTTCATGGTTTCAAAACATATTGAAAAATAAACTTCCAAATTCAACGTGTTCCCTTTTACTAATCCTCAAATCTTTCCAAATTACAAAAGAGGAAGAACCAAATTTCACAAAATGTTATAAACTGAGTGCGTACTTACCTCTATTACGGCAGAAAACGAGTAAAACTGGTTGCGTTACGCTCTCCTTTTTATTTACCAGCAGGCACGCAACACAACAATGGCGCAAAATTGCAATTCACGTGTTGTGTCAGCTGACGTACCATGTGATCGCATTCCTACATTATCAGGTGACTTGGAGCGGTCACCTGGTTTAAGCGTATTTTTAGCAACACAGTGAGTCATCTCGTTCTCGTAACTTCTCTGAAGCCGTATCCGTATCGGGTGTTTTTCTTCGGCTGTGGATGTCAAAACTGTACATTTAATTGTCGGTAGCATATGATACTAGTGGTAGCCCCAAGTAGCTGAAGTATGGCTCACGCGCACCGTAAACTGAATTTAGTGTTGGAATCCTGGGCCACCAATTGAAGGGGGGGGGGTCTTTTATTTTGAAAATTTTCTGTTTTATTTTTGGAGTTTGAAACCAATTGAGCACGCTTAGACCGGACCTAGTCATAGGCCTATACACTGAAGGGTTCATGCAATGTATTTTTCTTACAAAAATATTTTGTTCAACTTTCCACTCCTCTTAAAATGTGTCACATCTATTTGACAATCCCTTTTGGTTAATTTTATAGAAAAAAGTAGGGCCTACACTTCTTTAGACATTTAAAATTGTCCTAATTTTTCCGGACAACTAAAAAATAATGCATCGATACAATGCGTTTTTTTATATTGAACATCAATTCTAGTTCAAGAAGTTAAACATTAAACTTGTCTCTAAATGTTCCGAAAAGTCCTCAGTTGCAAAGTTTTCCGCACTGTGTGATTGAGTTAGGCAACTTAGGCTTAATTGTAAATTGCTAAAAAAAAATTAAAAAAAAAACACTTAAAATGACAAAAATATACCAGTTTCGAATGAAATGGTTTACACACTTTCAAAGATTGATTTTTTTTTACCTAAGATCTCTAAGAATTAAGAATGAGCCATTTCTTATTTCGAAAATATGAATCAATCAATCAACAACTGTTTCACCTTTAATATAACATGTATACTGAATAAATAATAAGAACAGTAAGAATATATAGGACTTGAAATTCTCTTTACATATTCCCCATACCAATTAACTTGAGGCTAACTGCAACATTCAAACAATAATTCAACCGACACCTCTGTGCATTTTAAAGTGAACAGCAAAGTTACGATGGTGTTGACGATAGCTCCCTTTTTCAGGAGCTAATGTCACAAGAAAGCGAAACACAAAATTATGTAAGTGACACAAAATTAACCAACCCTGTCAGCGCAATATGCAAGGTGACCTAAAAAAAACACCGCAACTCTGAAAAATGTCCTTTTTTTTTCAAAACCATGGTCTGTGAATTTTTATGCTTTGGATTTAAAAGCTGATTTTTTTTTCTTTCAAATGCTAAAAAAAATCATGAAAACAGCAACTTGAGTAATTGAGAAAATGCTGTATGTAAAATAAATGATATTTCATCCTTGAAACAGCTTTCATTTTCACAATTTCTTTAATATTTTGACATTTATATGATGCTGAAAAGGTTTAAAATAGGTTTAAAAATGATACAATACATGTTCAGGTGGAAAATAAAGGTATTTGCATGAACTTCATTCGTACTCTTGTCATATAATGTTTTGTGTTTATAAGTATTAGGACACAATGCGCTACTGCATTTCATGCACAAATAGGTATCGTTTAAATCCCTATTATGGTAATGCTATTTGAATGGACTAAAAAAAGAAGTTGTGTTAAATTTTCTCAGCAACCCAATGTGCTGTTTTCAAGATTTTATTTTTAGTATTTGCAAAACAAAAACCTCTCAGCTTTAATCTGATATCAAAATCATTCAAATTCACAGATCACGTTTTTGAAAAAAGGTAAATGTTTCACTTTTTAAAAAAAAACCGTAAATGTTTCAGGGTTGCATTTTTTGGGTCACCCTGTACAATACATTAACATCGTGAACACTCTGTTTTTTCCCCTTCACAAATGAAAAAGCATGCCCATGTAGGTAGAATTGCCTAGCTAGCTAGCGGGACCGCATGAACAGGTAATAACCTTGTGGGTTTTGTACTCTTGTCGTGGCAGCAGTGACAATTTCCCACGGGAGTCACCAATGCAATAGTCCCGCACCTTTGCACCATCCTTCCTTAAAACTCCATTCCCATACCTACCAGATTCATGTCTGTCTCATCGAAGTTTCTTTTGGAGTTCTGAGGACAAAGAGGTGAAAATACGCATGAACGATGCACCATGTTCAGTTTATGGCCCTGTAACTTTTTGATATATTGGGGAAGGGGGTGGGGGCAAAGGAGGGGTCAATTTGTAGTGGGCAAAAGAGTTTATACCACTTCACGTGTCTACCATATCTCTAAAAACCGAATGGGCCTTACTCACGAGTTGCCATTTTTGTCGAGTTCCCTGGAATAATTTCATTAATTGTTAACTGTTGAATGGGATGGCACCAGACTATTTATGCAGACACAATGCAGCCTCATTTTACTGTATTTTTTTTTAATATGGCTTTTAAACAATAGGGAATGTTTAATTACAAATATTAAATTATTCATTGAAGCAGACTGGAATTGATTATTAATTAACTTGCTTTCATTTCTCTTCGCAAGTTCCCAAATGTAAAATTTTACATAACTTTCAATTCAATATGCCCGACTCGTGAATAAGACCCATTGGTTGGGACTGTAACTTATAGGGTCGGCGCTCGATCAATTTAACGTACAGCTCTTTAGCTTTTACTGACCCTATATATAGCTGGTTGCAGCCTAGGCTTCATTTTCACCTGACTCACCGACCAATTAACCGACTGATGGTCACTTGTGATCCGGGCAGTGCCATCGTATAGGATATCCTTGTATTGCCTGTATAGTCTTATCAGTTGGTTTTTTTTGTACACGTACCATTAGAACAAATGCATGTACATATATCATGTGTCATATCGGCCAGAAAAATACGCATTGAGCTTATTAATATTATTTCGATCGTGACTACTGCAAATTGGTCTTTAGATTGTATATATCAATCTCCGGGATAATGAAACAAAATCAAAGGCACTGGCCTCACCCACCTGAATATTTTTGCAAACGCTCGGTATTTCGAAGATGTTTCCAAACTCTGAGGAATCTGGTACGAACTTGAAGTTGCCGAAGTTACGCATATAGCCATCGCTTTCTGAAAGAACACAATATAATTCAAAAACTGAAATAAACCTGTAATTATACAGGATTACCCAGCAGTGTACAGTAATTATTGTTAAGCCCAATTCCCATGATGAAGCTTAAAGGGAATGTAAATTATTGGCTTTGGCTGTAATTTTCAGAAATTAACTATTTGGGGGTTAGTATAATAGATCAAATATTGTTACACTGACGTGTTTGAAGTTTTGTGTTCGAAAATGCTGGAAAACCAAGAAAAACAAAAATATTCAAGTAGTCTGGTTCCCTGACTTCACTAAAGATGAAACGGATCAAAAATGCCGAAAAATTGTAAGGTAAGGGAACCAGTCTAGCCGGACTGAAACAAAAAAACCGGTAAATTTGGATCAGTAGTTGAAAAACAGTTAGGTCCGACCACCGTTGGAAATGTATACAAAAATACAATTTATCTTAAAAAATGACCTCAGACCAGGTGCCCTAATTTGCTTTTGACTGTCATTCACCAACATCCCCGTAGGGTATTTCGCAACAACTTGGTAGTTTTATTTTTCGATGTTTGCAAATGTTGTATTTTCCCTTTAATACATGTATGTATATGAGGTTGTGTAAAATAAATACATTCAATTTCGGGGAAAAGTGTTAAATCATGGTCCCTCATTGTTGGTTGATGTCTGACTACCATAATATACATCCTCCGCTTCATGTTGACATATAGTGAAATCGATCGGGACCATTAATTCCGCACTATTTCCCCTTGTACAACTCTTTTCTTTTACCGTATTTAAACCACTCGAGTCTGACTTGGGGTAGTCCAAGTCCAAAATGCAACAGACTGCTTTAACTGAATATCATCTTAAGAATGCAACCTGATTTCCCACAAAATAATGATGAAAACTTGTTGTCAAGTTGTTGACTTTTTTAACCACGATAAGCTATGCGGAGATTCACGTGAGGGCGTCCTGAACACCGCGACTCAGCACTCTAAAATGGCGGCGGCTCGGCTCCGTGACAAACATGAACATGGCATTTGTATTCAAAATTCCGTAACTTGAAAAAAGTACATGAGTGATTTGGATGATTCTTAAACATACAAGACCAAATTAAATTTGGTCTTGAATGACAAGTTTTGGTTGAATTTAGCAGTATGATGTTACATTTGCTGCTGGAGTTTAATTTCATTCCCCAGTATACATGTATACATTTTTGGTTGTGGGTGTTCGACAATACCTCGAAATCCGATATTTTGTCCTCACGCGAAAGGGGGGGGGGGGGGGTCGATTTATTAGCCCATTAACCTTGTCAAAAGTGTTGGGGGTTACATACCCCCGTCCCCCGGGATTTTTGCCCCTGGTCTTCGGCCACTTTCCTTGAAACGGAGTTAAACACACAAAGAATGGGTCATTATGGTTCAGTTTATCATTTGAATAAAGGATTTTTGGAAGAACAGGAGATATAATTTCAGACAAAAATGGCTTAAGTGGTTTTTCAAGTCCCGTTTTGCTCTACTATCTTTTGAACGAAACATCTCATAATGAAACCAACTAAAAAGCATTGGGAACGGTCCTCAGCAACAATATTAGACATCAAGTTTGAATACTGCCCCAACTTTTAAAAACATGCCCGATTCGAAGTTATATTTTTTTGTGGGACAGACAACCTGTACACAATTTCTGCCGCCCAATTTAAACATGTAAAACAACAGTCCTGGAAATTTTGGGAAAGGGGATCAAGACATGGAAAAAATGGGGTGAGCAGACTATCCACCACTGTTCCAGAGACTAACATTCGCTTGGTCCCCCCCCCCCCCGCCCGCGAATTTTTTTCTCCCAAACGTCATCCGCATGCATGGTTGTTTAGCGCCTTTTACGATACTTTCACGATACGCACGCAGGTATATAATTATTTGTTTCCCTGGTTGGTTTACTGAACACGGAGCTAGTGTGGTTTTCGCGATTCAACTGCACAATAAAACACAGTAATACGCCAGACGAAGGAAAATCCAAAGAAACGTAAACGTGAACGTTATTTTCGTTCCGATTGAGACACTGATAAAACGTCGCAAACAAATTAGTTTTTTCGGAGGTGTTGTTTTCATCAAGTGTCTTGGCAAAATGTCACAGTCCTATCTGATAAAAAAAATTATAGTCCTTTTTCTGTCATTTATTGTAATATCTCCAATATCAAAAACTTATTTGTAATATGAAAAAGTGATTGAAAGACGTCCTCCGGTGAGCTGTTTTTACCCCAAAAGAGACTAGATACAATTCGGCCACAAGAGGGCGTGTTGTACGAGCAAAAGCACGGACATGCGCACAAACCTAATGTTGCCCTGAAAACAGCGGTGGATTTGGTCAGTATCAAATCAGGGCATAAATGATTGTAGTGCGCATGCGCAAAATATACCGCCCCTAAAGTGGTAACAAGCATTTTGATAGACATTTGAAACAAAACCAGGGTGATAGCACCCTAAAAGCTGCCACCGCTGCGATGCTATCATATATTTTCCAACTCTGGAGATGTATACATTGCCAAAAATCGATACTTCGTTTGTTTTCCTGAATTGATACCGATAGCCAAGCGTTGAGACCAGGCTGATGGCCTAAAAGGCGTTGCACACATAATTATCACAGTATGCCATTTATTTCGTGCAAGTTCCAGGCCCAAAGATCATATAGCGCCGCATATGTGAATATACGTACCGAATATATGCTTCAATTATTCTGCAGAAACTAGCAGTTTTGAGTAATTTCTAAAACTGGCTTTTGTGAACACTCTGGGCCTCTATTTGCAACTTTAAAATTGTTAAAATTCACTGACCTGTATCATTTTAACTCAGGATAATTTATGTATAAAATTAGAATCGTGCATAACCTGCTTGTTTCAACCCCTGTTTTACACTTTACTTCAAACATTCATTCCTATTATACCCGCAGTACTACTAGGAAAAACCGTTGTTCATTATGGTGGAACCTCATTGTCCAAAAATAGTGTTGTCCAACATGGCACTCTATATTGGAATAGTCTGGATGACTCTTTTAAATCATCACCCACTCTCTAGTTTTGCTAGAAAACTAAAAAAAAAGAAAAAAGACACACCTGTGTCTATGCTATGCTTTGTCTTTCCATGTATGCTTGTCGATTGTCTGTCTGTCTGTCCATAGGCTGGGGAACAAAAACCTGATTAATAATATTGATTCCTTGATTCTTTTCCTTTCAGACATCTGGAGTAGGTAAGGTGTGGAAAATTGTTGATGAATCAAAATGCACAGTGCGTGAAAACCGGCCGTTGCTAATCCACAGATGTCTGCCTGGTAAGTTCACTTGGCTCGAAATTGGACTGTTAATTGAGTTCAATTAAGTTTTCCTCGCAGATTGGATTTTTTTTTCATTGTTTGGGCGCATAAAGTTTGGGTTTAATTACCTCATATACACCGCGTTCCATATAAATTACCTCATACATGTACACTGCGTTATTTAACTACCTCTGCGTCGCGCGCGGGTGTGACTGGCCCGCGCCTCGATCGGGACTTAACCTTTCATTAACAAATCACGAATAGCAGCCACAGCTGAAGCGACCTATCGCGGTAGAATCGCGTTAGAATCGCGTTAGAATCGCGTTAGAATCGCGTTAGAATCGCGTCAACGCAGCTTGTTAAATATTGTCCAATTACATGATTGTACGAATGGACGCGGAACGCGCAAAATCGGAGACAAACAATTCCTAGCGTACAAAAACCCCATAAGGTTGTCTAAGGGGTGTGGCTTACTCGCAAATGGCGATAGGTCAATTGCACGTGATTTACATAAAAAAAGTACATTTTTAAAAGGTAATACCGTGTTTGTATATAACAAAAATATGACATTAAATACTAATATTAGAAAAAGTTTAAACATTGTGCATACAAAAAAGACTCTAAGGAAGATTGTCTATTAAAAAAAATAATGTACAGGATATGTTGCAGTCAATTTATGTTACTTTGAAAAGGGAGCATTTAAATTATGTAAAAACATATAAAAGACATTCAAAAAGGTTGCAGGTGAAAATCACTTAGAGTTTCATTTAGGATTAGAATTATACAAAATGCAACCGTTCAGTGTGCATATCTGGAAGGAAAGCTCGCAGTTTTCAAAGGTTAACCTACAGTGATTAAATATATTCGCCGTGCGTGCTATGAATCCCGGGGGGGGGGGGGGGGTTAAAAACGCCACCCGAGTGTTGATATCATCTTTTAACGCGAGCGTGTTCCGTCTGCACAGAATCTGGGTACCAGAAAAGTCAACTGTGGTACGGAAACCACAATGATCAGTTAAAAATCACACAACGGACCAAGAGTCAATCGTCTGGGTCCTCCAGCTCCGTTCATAAGATCTACAGTGACTCCAATTGCATCATGGTCAACGTCATCAAAGTATCCGTCAGTGAAGAGAGTTAGTACAATGTAAAGCCTTAAATATTATGTTGTGTAGGTGATAAGGCCCAAAAAAAGTCACCGGTTTTTGGTACGGAGTTACCCCCAAAGTGGTGCGGCGACGCGTCCCCCCCCCTACTTTTTTCTTCTTCAAATGTCGGTTGATGTTGCAGATGACGCTTCGATAACTGCTGGTACCAAAACTACGTCAAATCTATACAAGTGTTTTTCCTTTTTAGCTGTTCGTGATCCTTTTAGCTGTTCGTGCATTGAATATTATTCTGTTACATCCTATTTTCACTTTATCACGTTTCCTTTGTCTTTATAGGACTCCAAAAGAGAAGCAGAACAGGAGCAACAAGAGCTTGCAGCTGCCGATGTTTGGTTTAAGGTAACGATACTTCCCTTCTGAAACTTGCCACCAAGGCCTAACTACTTGGTACCAAAAAATGCGTCAAATCTATTCAATTGTTCTTCCTGTGCACCTCCAACGCGCAGAAAGATCCGCCTCAATTATTGTTGGGCCGCAATTAATTCGAAATTTGGAAAGGATATTACTTGACATTGGCGGATTTATTCCGGGTCAAAATGACAATTTTCCGGGTCAAAATGACAATTTTCCGGGTCAAAATGACACTTCTTTGATTCATTTTTCGCGTCATTGTGACGTGGAAAAGTGTCATTAGACCCAGAAAAGTGTCAGCTGGGCAGCCCCCCCCCCCCCCCCACGGATTCCGGGTACAATCTGACCCAGAGACTGTTCAGAATGCACATGTATATATTGAAATGATTTCCTCAACTGACGTTTGAGTTCAAAGATAATGTCACTATTTTATTATTACAATCCATTGAATCAAACAGAATTATTCGAAAAGGGAGATTTAAAGACAAATATGATGTAAAACGTATTATGTTTCTCTGCAGACAATATTATTCATCCTTCTCGTTTTATTTTAATTTGATAATTTTTTTTCTCTGTCTTTAGGACTCCAAAAGAGACACGAAACCAAAGCAAGATTTGGAAATGCCCGACTGGTTTTAAATAATGTCCTTCCGAAAATGTGCCACTTCATCGAAAGAAATATGTAAAATCCACAAAACAACATTATTTATCTACTCCTTGACTGTTGGTTATAATAATTTGACAGCAGTCCCGAATAGGTTGGATTATGTCCTATTGAGATTAGTTGCACAATTATTCATTACTATTCATGAAACATTTTATGCTCATCTGGGAAAAAAAGTTATCGTAATTGTTGAAGTGCATTTGTTTCCAATATTTATCGTATGTAGTTTGGGTATCAATTCCACAATTATTATTGTTTAAAAATTCCATTAGAATAAAACGGAGCCTTATTTTGGAGTCAAACAAAATTATTGTGAACTTTTCGTAACCTTTTAAGGGCCCATCTCAAAACATATCCGGGACGAGTCACTAAAACAATGGTCCCAACATTTGGGTTTCGTTTTTTTTTACTCACCCTGTATACAACTCTGTTTAGGTAATTGCATTCGAACTTCATGTTCGTAATTGCAGGTTTTTTGTTAATTTCAATTTCCCCTATATATCTTTATCTATCTTGTATTTCATTACGCTCTTTCATTGGAGTATAAACAGTTCCACAACTATTTGTTCAACCGATTTGTTTAACATTTGTCGGAGGTTGGAACTTGTTGAGGTACTAAATATTATATAATTGTTTCAATTAAATTTGGTGTTTGATAATTTCAATAAATATTTATTTATCCCATAGGCCTATGCATAGAGTTAACAAATCACTCTCATTTCGCAAAGAATCATTTCAGTGGTTACTCCAGTGAGACTCTCGAACTATTAGACTGAATTTCACTTTAAAATGTCCCTGCCCATAGTTGGGGGAGTGCATCTTCACTCGAAAAGTATTAATTTTGAAAAGGGTTAAACAAGCACAATTTATATATCTACACAGCAAAGTATATATTAATGTAGTATACATGTATACCGTTCTGAATAGCATACGGATGTCTACCGCTATACCTCTCTGTGGCGTGCGACACTCACAGTACTGACATTGTCAGTACATTCTTAAAAAAATAATTAATTTCTACATAATTTTCTCGTCACAAAATTTCACATTCCACAATTTCCATGTTGAGACAGTTAAAAAGCATCACAAGTTCCCCTTTAACCCTGGGTTCACTTTTGACCGAGAACTTCTGAGGCAAAGATCAGACCCAGGCCAACTCCCATAGAATTTGTATTGTTACGTATACTATTGTAAGTATAGCTGCTGTTATCACAAGGCCATCAATCATCCTGTTACAAATATTTTCAGGTCATACTAGTTGAGTGAAACACTCGAACAGTTAGATTGATGAATTCACACGAAAGGTTCTTGTCCATATAGTTGGAAGGAGTGAATTTTCCCTTGAAAATTATTAACAAGCAGAATTTATAAACACAGCAAAGTATCTATCAATGCAGTATATACCGTTCTGAATTGCAGACGGGTGTCTACCGTCATACCATATGGAATGATTATGGCTTGGCTTCATGCTTTTATGCAGTAGTGCAATGCGAATCTTTTAAAAGGTATTTCACTGTCTGGCTTCTCGATGCCAAAAGGGGATTTATTTTCTACATTTGGAGATTTTTACAACATACAGTATAGCCTCAACTACATTAGCGGAAAACCTTTTAACTGGACTTTTAATTATAGCAATTCATGAGAGAATGGCTGTGCCATAAAAAATATTGATCAATACATTGTGTGTGGTTAACACTAATTGGCAACTTATTTTCGTGCCGGTAGACGATAGGGTTTTTGTCCAACTTACACAAATATTTATAGGTTTGTTCAATTACCATAACGCATTACTGACACAGCTCTCAATAAAAAACCCTATCTATGGCAATGAAAACCTGTTTTTGTTCTTGAGCTAAGTAGCGTGTTCCTGTGCAGCCATAATAGGATGCATCGTCCAACTTTAAACTTAATTTCTCATAAATGCAGTTATCGCCCAATCAATTTGTCAACTTTTTATTCAAACGCCGAAGCTTTTCACGACCATCCACTGTTTAGCTGTCCATTTTAAATCATAATAACTGTCGAAACAAGATGAAATTGTCATGTCTTTGCACACGTTTAGATTATAAGCAGTTGCGCATTAATGCATGTTAGTTGTTAGTCAAAAACCCAGTAACATCATGTATCTTATTTCAAATGTACTGTAGCTTCTTAAACAGGCTACGTAGAGTTGAAACGCGCTAACAACATGCATCAGTTCACAACAATTTATTCTGCCATTTAAAAGACAGCCCCTTTCCCACAGCCGTTCCCGATAATGACAAACAATCCTACATGGTCACAATTAATAATTACTAGGCGGCTAGCTACCCGGCTTTCGCGGTTCGTAGGACGCATATAGATTTGCTGGATGTAGCAATTGATTATCATGAGAAGTTGTTTCCCTACTGCGATCCTTTAGCGCAAACCGCTTTGAAATCGGTGACCCGCGTTTTCACACATCCACATGTGAACAGCGACCTCTATATAGTCATATTGGCGTGTTGGGATTCCTCCTTTTAGACGCAATCACAGCGCGAGTATATGAGTTTATTTCTGCATTCAATATTGCACGTTGAACAATAGAGACCAATAGAGACCAATAGAAAACAACATTATGGGGGGGGGGGTCTTCCTAATGATGTCAAACTACAAACAAAAGAGGGACAATAGGGGGTTCACGATTGCAGGTATTTGTGCGAGTTTGTTTCTGCATTCAATCGCGGACGTTGAATAATAGAGGACAATAGGGTCCCCAACTCCCGAAGGTCCCCAATTTACGATCGTGTATAAAACATATGGAGGTCTTCCTAACAAAGTAAGTATAAACAAAAGAGGGACAAAAGGGTCCCCGATTGTATTGCAGGCAAATTTACACTCTTGTAATTTGTATGCGTGTGCGTCTGGGTATATCACATGAACACATACACACGTTGTACCTACGTACATAATAGAAAGGGCCCGGGAGGACCCCAGGGGAGCCCCCCCCCCCCCACGGATCGCAATCGCTTAACAAAGGTTGAAAAAAAAAAATCTAAGTTGGACCAAGCCTCACCCACCCACCGAGTTTGAGCGCCGTGCATTCTGCCACTTCCGAGAATAAACCCGGACAATCATCTAAACATCCAAACATAACAGAGACTTGTGTATTCAAGCATGCATCATTTAGCTGATGATTGAAGCAATTATGTGCCTTAAAACTCAACATGAACATTCTTAATTATAAATGAACATATAGGCCCCTAATCACAGGTACGTTATAATGAAACACGTGCAGTGGGTTTTTCCCACTTAGCTTGCATTTCTTCACATTTTATGATGTAAATTGGCAACTTTTTGGGGACATACATGTACATGTACATGATAGGAAAGTGAGATATATTACTGAACTGTATTCCCAAATCCTATAAAGGAAACAAATGTTGCAAACTGACGCCACTTTTTTCTTCATATATCCATCATCTCAATGAAGGCCATCCATTACAAATAGGATAATAGGACATGACTCTGGGACTGAGAAACATTTTCAATTTTGTTAGGAAATACTTAAAAAATGTTCTTGACTCACCATAGATTTTGTACACAATCGCGGAAGTGGCGTTAGTTTGCAACATTGTTTTCCTCACGTACCATTCGTGTGGTATTTTTATGTATTTTAACAGCTTTAAAAAATAATAGGCCTACATAACAAATATCAGCATATTTAGAGAAAAAAGTTCATTAGCTTTTCAACAATTAACAACAAAATGTTTCCAATCGGGTAAATATTTATGGAGTTATAGCCAATTGAAAATAAGTGTTGTTTTTACGTCGTTTTGCCTTTGCAGTACGCGGGCCATGTTCAACACGTCACGGCGTGCACACAAGTGGGTTTGTTTATCCAATTTCTATCCCACAATTCATTGCGCGCGCGAGACTTACAATGCTTAAAAACACTTTGCAACACGTGGGTGATAAAACCTCTCTTAAATCTGGCCAAATGTACCACCAAATTATCCCAACTTGTACAAACATAATGCAGGAGTACGTATTTATATAATGGGTTAAATTTAACTTACCAACTGTTGCATTCCTCAGAGTAATTTGTGCAATTAGAAGCAACTCTAGTTGATGTCGCTCACTCCATGTTCATTCAGCGAGATTTCCAGAACATGCACCGTCACTTGAGGGCGCTATTACACTTTTTCACGGTTACAAATATTAAAACACAAAATGCAGCTATCAGACACGATTTTGCCGTCAAGCAATGATTTTGGGACCGGGGGCACACCTGGGTCTGTTTTTTCTCTTTTCCCTCTTATTTTTCCACTCTGGGGGTGGGACCCTGGTTGGCCGCGCCCTGTGTCCGCCACCGCCCACCGGCTATAAATATGACAAATTTATGATCTGTAAAGCTATATTAAAGCCAACCCCAATCGCCGCAGGATCCGAATGGGGGAGGAGGGAGGGGGGGGGGCACGAATGAGAGTTTTCTTCTGCAAATGCGAAAAGCAGGATGGTGAACAGGACCCCCGAATAAACCTTTATCATGCTGCCACCATAGTCATGTTCCCTGTATCCAATAGCAGTACTGAATGATAATGTTTTTGCGCAAACAGCCTACCCGAGACTATATTTCCTTCCAGCTTCGCTTTGATTACTTTGATTTGAATGGGAAACAAATCAAGATGGCCGCAACATGACAGTCTACGTAGTGTAGATCCTAGACCACCTATTTCATGAAATCGTAGAGAAAATGAAAGGTGATGAGCAACATCAGTCCTCTCTACTTCTCTTCTGGTTTTAGTCCTAATAATGTGATAAGTCAGCGTACAGGGAACCACGTTTGGGGTTGCCTCCTGACAGTTCGTGGGCACTATTAGCCTTTTTTCATAGGCCTAGGCTACATGGGGAGGGGGGAGACAAAATAGGAGGGCCATATTTGGATGCTACTAAACAGCTTTATCTGAAAAAAAAATCTTCCCCCTTTCATTTACCCTTTTTTAGTTGGGGGGGGGGTGTGGTCCGTCGACTTAAGAAAGGTTTAACCGTGAGATGCGCGCAGTGAAAATTGTCAAGACTTGAGGGGGCGGTCATCAGCCTCCGTAGACCAACTCCAATCTTCAAATGATACACATGATCTCACAAAAGCAATATTTGTCTCATGTCTAACAATATAGGCCTATAACTCAGCTAATAGGTCTACGGGATCAAACTGAACACAGAGGCCAGTCAGAAGTTGATTCGAAACTTCGTATGCAGTCATAAAACGTTAAATTCCACTATTTAAATCTCCGCTTTATTCCACTTTTGCATGATAAACCCATCTGTGTACAAATACGTATACAATCTGTGTACAAGTGCCAAACATAAAAGCATAGGCTATTTCTAACAATACTTGCAAAAGTAATTTATGATCGACTCTCAGATTCATCATGTCATTCCATGACGTAAATACACTGTCACTTTTTCCCCTACGCTTTCAATCGTAAAATCGATGGTGAATGGTAATAATAGTCGCTTAAAATAGATGCCTTTTTGTAACCTCTATTTGTACTTTGTACAGCCGTCTGGTTTTGTCAATGGTTTTTATTTTCGTTTCCAGACACAAACGTTTCTCGGGTTCTGAACACGTACACGCGAGGCGCATGGTCGACTGCGTCCATTCATGGGACAAGTTTTCCCACGCTGGTCCCTGCCAATAATTCTGGTGCTTGACTTCCGTCTATGAATTTTATAGGTTCGCTTTATAGGTTAAAAAAAAACCGCTTTAAATGCTTCCGAAAGAATGATGAATACGTTATATACATTGTACAACGATTTTAGAGTATATTTGTTTCAGTCATTTATCGAGACTTGGAACTGAACAAATCTTCTTTGCCCTCCACCACGAAAAAAAGGTCTTTCTCTTTTTAATGTAATTATCAAATATCATACAACTTGCCTGCTCTGGGCCCAACGTCATGGTAAACAAACACTATTGCTTAGCAAATTTCTATGCTGTGAACCAGTAATAACAGCTAGACATCCCATGACGATTTAGCTGGTAAGCTGTTTTATTGCTGCTCAGAAATATTTTCTGTGCTAAACAGAATTGTATATTCTTCATCAAATTGGCCCCTGATGTTTAGAGCTATATACAACACTCGTTTTGTTTTGCATTTTCTGTAAACCCTTTAGAAGCTGAATTGAGGGCTCTAAACAATTATGCGTATAAGTAGCTAATGAAATTCTCCGTTTAAATAAGTACGTTTCTAATCTTCCGTTTAGATGCGCATATAAATTGTCACTCACTGTCTAACGTTAAATTTGAATGTAGTCAATTTGTGCATTTAAAATCACACTACTATAAGCAGCATAGCATGTACAAGCTGTATGGTGTTTTCAGTGAAAATGAATGTGACCAGACCGCATGAAATGAGTAGCCACAGCTACTTGTAAATACATATCCTTGTAGAATTCTTGCAAAATGACTATTAATGGAAACCGGTGGCGGATCTTGCCCCCCCCCCTCCAGTGACTAATGTTATGATACTAGTAAAATTACAAATCCTAAATTCCAATTCACAGATTGCCTTAGAATGCAGGAGAAAGATCTTAGATTTCAACACTTTCTGGGCTTCACTAAAACCCCTTTTCATATCACCCCCATGGGCGTCAAAAGGGGGGGGGGGGCGTCCCCTGGAAAAGCAAAAAAAAAAAAAAAAAAAAACAGGGGCGCGAAGTCATAGTGGTGTAAATTTAATGAGTTGGGGGGGGGCAAATTGTCTCTGCTCCCCTCTAAAACTGAGAAATCGAGGAAATGTTGAAAAATACAGGAATTTTTCTGGGAAAAATATGTTTTGCCCCCAAAATCCTCGCGACGCCCATGATTACCCCACATTTCCTGGAAGCTAGATCCGCCCCCTTGAAACTGTAAAGTATACATCAGAGTACTGTATATAGGCCTACTGCTCATATTAAATGCAGGCGGAAAATGACGAATTTAAAACTCTGTGGTCACAAATTCGGTCAAAACTAATTCTGATTGAGTGGACATCCAATATCTGAATAAGAAAAAAACCAAGTCAAACATTTAGGAGAGGCAGCGTCAGACCACTTTTCTGTGTAAATTTCATCAACTGAAAATACATTAATTATACCTAGCGGTACATGGACTTCTCATATTCAGTTAATAAAAAACCTTGAAATGTGAACAAGGTCAGATCCAGAACACAATTTTGAGGGGGCCAATTTTTTTTGGGTCCCCCAAAAAGTGGGTCCCAAAAATTACGGCGTGGGGTTCGCGGCCCGCTTAAGGCCCCGATGTTTTTTTTTCTATATGCTCTGTGGTGCGATCTGAGGCTATTTCTGACCACTTTAACCAGATCTTTTGGAAGAAAAGATGGTGTGTACGCAGTGCCTGCCTTTATTGCGACGCCACTTTAAAAATATGTTTTTTTTGTTTTTTTTTGGTTCTGTTTTTATCATACTCCCCAACAAGAGGTGCACCATAAGCGGCCTATTTGGTATTGACCACAACATTAAGCGACTGCTACAGTAACAACTGTACGCTGTTTTAATGACGGTTTCTGACTTTATTTAAGTCACTTTACTCTGTAGTTTTATACCCAACGGGCCTAGGGACATCATAATCAGATTGGCCCTTCAAATGCTCATAATCATCATTACCCTTCTGCCTATCACCCTCGTTGAACCTCTTCAATGCAGCTCTGTTGAGGTGTTGGTATTGGCTCGAGGCATTCTCCTCCCCAGTGAGGTCATCGTCAGCTTTGCCTTTCAGTCCCTGGTACTCTGAACTCTCCATCGTTGCTCCGTTGAGCTGTTGGTATGGGCTCGAGGCGGCGTTTTCTTGTACATCAGTGCCTGTCACACTGACTTCCTCGTACCCAGGGGTTTTGTTATGTGACCTTTGCGACTCCCTGGTCGGAAACACTTGGAAATAGGCATGATCATCTCCCTCCGTTAAAGACTGCCCTGGGGACGAGTGAGCAACTTCGGTGGCAGAACCACTCCCTTCGTCATTTCCAATTTCAACTTCTTCATAGCCAGCCCGTCTCTCAAGAACAAAATCAGGATGTACGTCTGCGGCCTCCGTAGTTGGCCCACCTGTCACATAGCGGACGCTCCCCTGTCCGTCGACTAGTGCGCCTGCGCGGGTGACTGGCGAAGGGTCAACGGTGGTGGCGTTTGGTGGTCTCACCGGCCAGTGATCATACGCGTACGAGTACTCCAGGTTATTGATTACCAGTGGCTCAGGTAACTGGGCTCTGTTGGAAGCTACAATTAACCAGAAAAAATGTTAAGTTATTGCCTCTTCATTCAATTGATTGCTTGGTTGTCTTCTCTTTGCCAGTAACTGTAGACTAAAGCAAACGTGGTCCCCCAAAGTATGAAACTTTCTGGCAAATAGTATTTTTACCTGTGTAGGCTACAGGAATAGACCCAATTTCACATTGGTTGAAATTCGTGTTTAAAATTCTCTTTCAAAGTTTCGATAAGTTCTTTTACATGAGCTATATATATATATATAGGAGTGATTTACCTTTCCTTCCCAACTCAGCATTTCTGGACTCGTCTTTGTGCTCCCTACGAGGTGAAAATATGAACAATTTACTTTATTACAGATTATTATTGCTTTTAATAACTTCGCTCGCATATTCAGTTAGACTATCTTAATTAATCACATAGCAACTTTGATGAAACAAGCGGTCAGTGACACCACGAAGTAACACCCAAGTGCAGGCCTACTTGAGTGCTCGCTTCGCGCGCGTATTTAACAGAACCGAGCGATTTTTCATTTTCACGAAGTAAAACTCATCTATATTTCACCAGTTTGAAGGCTTTTTATTAAAATTTTCTGTAATCCTATACAAGAATAGGTATTAATTACATTCCTGTCAAACGTTTTAAAGCGCTTAAATCCACATACATGTAGTATTTCCGTATTAACAGTGTGAAAACTAAACCCGCCGTTCCCGCCAGTGTCGGATGTGCGCGCGCACACTTGAGTGATCCTTCGAAGTAACACTGAAGTGGGCATGGGTGTTACTTCGTGGTGTCGGTGATGAAGCATTAAGTAACAGGCATTTTCACAATTAAAACGCAGATAGTCATTTAAACCAAAATATGACAAAAACTTACAAACATGAATTGAGAGCCGTAAATGGAAACAAATTAATGAAGCATCGAGTTAAATAAGTCCCAAATACTTACGACGGTTTCTTCAGCATGGCTGACAATTTTCCACTCCGGCAAAGGTAAATCACCACAAGAATCACCAGGATTAACAAGACCGCCCCTATGGCGATGGGAACAACTACGGTGACCTGGCCACCGTCGTTATGTTTTGAAGTCGCTGTCGTGGACTGTTTTGAAGTCGCTGTCGTGGACTGCTTGCTGGGTTGCAAGCATGTTGACTGTTGAATGTTGAATTCGCTCGATGTGGATAGGCCCACGGGGGCTGAAGTTTCCTCTATGGAAGTTGATGGTGTCGAGAAAACCAATGATGAATTGGCATTGGTGCAGTTTCTGTTTAAAGGTGTTAAAAAGAATATGCTACAGTCATTGTACGCTGGCTTGCAACCCATGTATAGAATAAATGTTATGTCACATTATTTTTCTTTAGGGCTCGAGTTCATCCTGCCTCGTGAAGTTAACGTTTTACGATCCTTTTAAGAGTTTGTTTAAATTTACTGACACATGTATTCGCTAACGAACATGAGGATGTTACTCATATCAGATGTGAAGTTAAATAGTATTTTTAGCGCTTTCCACGTGATTTGAGACAAAAAAAACACGTTTTATTCAAACATTCAATGAAATGTTTTCAGAATTCATCTAATAAAGCAAAAACCAAAATCTCTTCGAAAACCCCAATGTCAATCCGTACCTAATTGTATATTGAGACTCTGGACCAGGAACGGAGGTTGGCAATACGCCACTGCTTTTGCACATGCAAAATGGACTCGCACGTATGGAGTATACACATGAGCAGTCCTCATCATATTTGCACACAATGGCGTCTACATAACGGCAATGCGGGTTTTGACATGGTGCTCCACAAAGTTGAAAACCTGTAGGGGTTAAAAATGAAAGTGATATTCTATCAAAATTTCAATAGACTGACAGATATGCGGCGACCGACCAACCGTGCGAGTAGTCGGTATATGGCTAATTGCTAATTGACACTCTTTCCAAACTGCATCCCACAACTTACATGGTAGAAATTAAAACTTTGAATGTGATTTCGTGGGAAAATCCGTGTAAAGGTATTTTGTTGAACCATGATAAGAAGAGCACTGTTAATACAACGTCCTGCTTATAACAAGCACAATTGTAGGTCATAGGTCTTTGTTTTTCTTTGTTTTCTTTACTGTTAATACAAAGTACCTGTTATAACAAGGTAATTTGTAAAGTCACAAGGACCTTGTTATAAAGGTGTTCGACTGTATATTGTATGGAAGAGAAAGAAAAGGGAGGAGTTGAACCTACCTGCATCGTTGTAACACACATTTATTTGTCCGCTTGCAATAGGGTGACAAATATTCCAGCACAGGTGCCGTTGGAGGTACATATTATGATGGCAGGATGAACTGAAAATTGACATTATGGGAGTAAATACTTTACTTCAAAGTACGTGTATTGGCTTGCATGGATGTTGAAAGTTTCTGAAATTACGCAAAGCGTCTATGACAATGAAATTAATTTTACATCAGATTTTTTTGTTTCATTGTAATTATACCTCATGCGTTAAGGCAGAGTCAGAGGGCAGCGGTTTTGTATCGCAAGGATAGGAATGAGTAAATCTTTTGTGCATGCATAAATTCTAATAACAAAGAATGAATGCAAAACGCCCGCAATGCATAAGATCTATAAGGCCTAAGGGAACAAAAAGTTTGTCATGAGCTCATCGGACTGACGTTTATTTCTATTCCTCATCATTAAAAATATACCTGGCTAATCAGAAAAAAATAATAGGTTAAAGGGGAGTGATGACCCCTGAACATTATAACAAATACAGCAGTAAGGTTTAGACAAACTCTCTCCAAATATCGCCTGAAAAGTACAGGAAAAGTAAACATTAGAGATACAATATTCCATTTTCCTGGTTATTAACTAGCTAAGTATCTATTATAATGAATGAGTGAAAACAGTTTTATTTCAATTTCCTTAAACAACTTTTCCTCACCCGTTGCTATCCCGCTGTGTGGTTCACAATACGGAGGAAGTCCAGTATTTGAGCCACACTATCGGGACAAGGTCCGATTCATCGTCAGAACCGTCAGTCAGTAAGTTCTTCTATATTCTATCTTGAGAATGACAGCATATCAAAGGCTACGAGCTCACAGGATGCTTAATACTATTATTTACTAACAATCAATTTAGACAATTTTTGTACTATTTTGGCAATTTCGTTTTTGAATGTTTGCAAAATGGTGTACATTACCTTTACCCCTAACAGTCCTGCATGCTTCAATTTGTTTCACAAACTCCAGAGAGTTAGGGTTAAAGAAATTGTTGTTCAAGCACACAGTTACAGCGGAGGTTTGGTATTTGTTGGTGAACTTTTTTAACTTTTTTAAATGATAGGCCTAGATACACAAAGCATAAGGCCTTGATATTTAAACTATGTGATAATTTAAATTATTACATATCTTCATGCAAAGAATACACAATAACAAAACATCAAATGTTGGAAATTGAGCTACCCTGATTCTGAAATTGGACAGAAGTGCCTCCGCATCGCCATTAACACGGAATGGTTTTGAGGACCTTGTAGTTCAGGTGGAAGCACCAATGCCGAACATATCATCCAGAGTGTCGTATGGCTGAAGGCGACCACAGCTAGCTTCAACATGTTGGGTCCGATTCCTGTTGATTTCCTCATGGTTCAGTCATAAGCACGAGGCAAAAACATTTATTTGCAAAACCAAACAGTCACGTTTTGTTTTCTTTCAGTCACTGGAGGATTTCTTCTTTATGAATTTATCAGCATGCTTCAGTCTGATCGACCGTGGACACATAATTTTTGAGTTCACACATAAAAACGTAGGAAATAGCAACATTTTGTGCAGCGTTTGAGTACACGGAAATACATGTACATGTTAACTGGTATAATAGTGGTCAAAATGAACACTACTGGCGAATGGTGACGTACATGGCATGCATCAGTGAGTTCCTTTGTTATACAAAGAGCCAGCTGACGGTGACGGGTACCGATATTGTTGAAAGGGGTTATGTACGGAAGCGTATTTAGGACATGACCAAAACAAAGTCGCGGCCCACCGTTCCGCCCGGGAGGATTACCATTCCCCCCGGGCAGATTACTATTCCGCCCGGGCGGATTACTTTTTCCGCCCGGGCGGATTACTATTCCGCCCGGGCGGATAACTATTCCGACCGGGCGGAATAGTTGGCCGGGAAAATTTATTTGGTCATGTCCTAAATACGCTTCCGTAGTTATGATACACTTTTACACTGAAGCACAATTATTTCGAACAAATATCGATCAGACACTCTTTGGGGCTTATCATACTTTTCAATTATTGCACCCATTTTCCATCTCTTCAATGGGCCGCCCTAAGTATTTTGACAACTGAGGACGCTGTTGTTGTCATTAGTCTATTTGAGATATGGCCGACATAAATAAGAGGGCGCTCTTTGGTTTTGGGTAAATACTAAAATAGCGGAAAAGAAACGTGATATGGAGTGAAAAGCATTAATATAGGCGTGTCGTTAAGTTGAGTCAATTAATGGGCTCCTTACACGAGTTTGCGGGACCGGGACTTCATATTTTTGTTCAACCAATAATTCATGAAGACCACATTTCATAGCTCCTGTGTCATTAGCGTCAACTGACCATTGCATGATTTGTCTACAATGTACAAGTTAAAAACCAACAATAAAAAGATACAGGTGTAGGCCTATATAGCTAATGTATTTTCAGGATCTATTTGTTTTAGAAAAAGTCCAAAGTGTGGCTTACAAATATGTACATGTATATACAATTCTAAAAAACACAGATTTAATAGGGATCTAACTACGGTGCTAATGACTTTGGCTTCCGCTAAATACACTTCTGTCAAAATTGTAATATTTTAAGTATTTGAGATCACTTTTTTTTAGTCAGTGAGAAACTGTTGATCAGTACCTGAATTGCTTTTCTCTTCCACTTTTACTAGTTCGTTTACTCTGATCACCACAGAGATGCATTGAAATTGCGTCCTCTCTTGGCCGAAAATGGCATTAAAACTAGACTACAAAAATTACACATTTTCCTTTTTTATGTCATCGGAGATGCCATTTTATTTTAGATGTTCCATTCAATGAATTTTTTTCATGAGAACATATTCTGTGCAACTTTCTACTCCTCTTAAATGTATGAAAACTATTTAACATCCTTTTTGGTTAAATTTTATTGAAAAGTGCACTTCTTTAAACATTCAAAATTTCCCATGCTTTTCCGGACAACTGAGGACGATGTCATTAATTTTGAGGAAGACACTGCTCAGTTTAGGGATATTGTGTTCAAATTGTGAACCAGAAAATCTGGTCACTGAAAAAAATTGTGAGAAAAGTTTGCTCACTGCTTACTGCCATGTACTGAGACTGAGTGACATAATGGTATTTGATGTTAAGTATGGTATACAGAAGCATAGGCCTACGCAAGAAGAAGAAGATAAGTTTTCACATCATGACTAGGGAAATTCAAATTAGAATGTTGAAAATGAATGTTGGATCTTTTGGGTATTTCAGTTTGCCCAATCGCACTGTGTGCAAGAAATAGTCAATCTTGAGATTGTATAAAAATGTTATGAACATATCTTTTGTTTGCTTTAGTATAATGACTTCCTAATCTGTAGTATTATTCTCATTAAGCTTGAGGCCGTGTTCATTAGGTTTGCCCTTCAATTCCTGGTAAGTCGTACTCTCCATTGTTGCTCTGTTGAGTTGTTGGTACGGGTTCGAGGCTGCGTTGTCCTGCACATCAGTACCTGCCGCACTGACTTCCTCGTACGCGGGGGTCTCGTTCTGCGACCTGGACAACTCCACACCTGCCGTTAAGCCAACTGCAGGTCTGCCCTTCGCACAGAGGGCGCTCTCTTGTACATTCACATATGCATGGGTTACTGAAGCGTCCATCCCAGTTCCTTGTGTGGTTGGTCCCCCTGACAAGTGATCATGTGCGTACGAGTACTCATCAACACCGCCGAGTGCCAGTGGTTCAGGTAATCTCTCTCTGTTAGAAACTGGAACATACCAATAAAATTCAGATAGTACGGAGGACAAAACCAACATTATACAATGGCATTATGATCCCTCCATTATTGCCCTTAAGTAATCGGACCCACAAAATATCGACTCCAACATAGCGCCCTGACTAATTATGCAAAAAGGTTTCTGTTGGAGTGATTTCTAACAACTTTCCAGGAATAAAATGTCTAAAACAAATCCCCCGAATTCTTCCCAATTTTAATTCCCATCTCGGTTCACTCTGTTGACCTTCCTATTGCTACTGTTCCATTTCGAAGTTGTAAAATGAAGAAAAGAAAAACCTTTTGACAAAACCATAAATTCAAGTATTACCCTGCGTTCCAAACTCGATACTAGAAGACTGGTCGTCTTGCTTTCTACAAAGAGATGAAAATAGAATCGGCATTAAATCTCCATGCTTTCAGTCGTGGACTTCGAGAGACGAACATGATCATATTCAAATCGTGGACCTTGAATAATAGAGGACAATATGGTCCATGATTGTCCGAAGGTCCACTTTTGAGGTGTGTGTACAAAACATATGGGAGGTCTTCCTAAAAAGTATCAACAAAAGAGGAACAACACAGGGGGTCCACATTAGGGGGTCCACGATTGAAGGTATTCTCACACTTGTGTGTACGTGAATTACATACACCCCGTGAAAAGGAAGAGAGAACAACAGGTTCTTTGTTGTCCTCGAGAGTTCATCTTTTGTTGAAAACGGTCCTCGATCGGGAGTTGGTGTGCTTAGTGTACGAGAGTGTGTTATTATGACATGTATAGGGACAAAGGGAAAGACAATGCCTTGTCCTCGACAATGCCTTGTCCTTCGCCGTTCGTTAATGATCCCCCTTGCGTCTGGGTAACCGTTTATCCTTGCGCGAAACTTTTGTGGGATAAAATCTTATCGAACTCTACTCTGTAGACCGGGTGACCGCGCCACAATATTCAGTTAAGATGTCTGAATAAATCACGTCAACGTTGATTGAACAAGCATTACGTAATACTAGTAGGCTTGTTCAAAATTAAAACGCACTGAGCAATTTACACATGCATGCCGTAAATGGAAACAAATAAAAAGCATCGGATTAAATAAGTCCCAAAAACTTACGACGGTTTCTTCAGCATGCCTGACAATTTTCCACTTCGGCAAAGGTAAATCACCACAAGACTCACCAAGACCGCCCCCAAAGCGATGGCGACGACGTTGACTTGGCCATTAGGCCTATGTTTTGAAGTCGCTGTCGTGGACTGCTTGCTCGGTTGCAAGGATGTTGATTGTGGAATGTTGAATTCGCTCGATGTGGATAGGCCCACTGGGGCTGAGGTTTCCTCTATGGAAGTTGATGGTGTCGATAAAACCAATGTTGAATTGGCATTGGTGCAGTTGCTGTTTGAAAGGTTTAAAGAAGGAATATGTTGCAGTCATTTAACGCTGGCTTACAACCCATGTATAGAATAAAATGGTATGTCACATTATTTTTTCTCTAGGGCTCGAGTTCATCCTGCTTCGTAAAGTTAGCATTTCACGATCCTTTCAAGACTTTCTTTAAATTACTGATACATATATCTTTAACGCACATGAGGACGTTACTCAAATCAGATGTGAAATTTTATAGTATTTTTACGCTTTCCACATGCTTTGAGACAAAAAGTATTTTTATTCAAACACTCAATTAATTGGTTTCAGAATTTACCTCACAAAGCGAAAATCAACATTTTCGGGAAAAAAACCAATTGTCAATCCGTACCTAATTGTATATTGAGACCCTGGACCAGGAACGGAGGTTGCCAATACGTCATCGTTTCTGCACCCGCAAAAGGGACTCGCTCGTATGGAGTATATACATGAACACTCGCCATATTGGCACACCACGGCGTCTTCATAACGACAATACGGATTTGTACATGGTGCTCCACACAATTGAGAACCTGCAAGGGTTAAAATAAAATGATAGGACCAAGTTCTATTCTCTCGAAATGTAAATATACTGGCAGTCAGTCAGTATTGTCTTGGAAGTAAGTAGTGAACAGTACAGAGCCGTGACAGTTTGAGATTATTTGGGAAAAAAAGCGAGACGAAAATTTAACCTGTTGATAAAATCTGTTACTCAACATTGCGTAAAAAATACATCAAATTTTCAACAACGAAAAAAACCAATTACTTGCGATTCATCTTTGATTTTTTGTAAATCCGAAACTGCATCTCGGTCGAAACTATTCTTTCAGTTCTCGAGTTACGTTTTCCTAGAAAATTCATCATTACTAAAAAGAGGGACTGTAATTCGTTGATACAGCTGTAGTTATATGTCTGCGAATAAATTTAGGTGTTTTTTTCTCTACTCATTGTATGGGAGGAAAAAATAACCTGGACCTGGACCTACCTGTGTCGTTGAAGCAATCATACCAGTCGTTTTGCCGACAAAGAATCCGGCAAAGGTGCCGTTCGGAGTACATTTGAGAGTCGCAGAGTTGTCTGAAAAAAAGGAAGAATATCTGCGAGCATTTACTAAGAAATAGGTTTGCAGGGATCCAGGAAGTCTCTGAAAACACCCCTATGACAAATGAAGGGAATTCTCCTCCCAAGATCTGCACCTTCCCACCCACATGGACCTCCATCAACCATTACGCACAATCCTACTTCCTCCGGTCCCACATCACACTGTCTGCCACACCACATGCCAAATTCGCCGAGTCCCCAACCCAAGTTCCCGGAGCACGCATGCACTAGAGTGCCACCCTATAGCCATGGGAAGAAGGCAAATCCCATTTGGCTGTAGCAACCCAAACTTACATTAACCTTAATTTAAAAATGTTAATTAAAACGAACATCCTACGATAAAATGTCATGCATTATTAAAGCTATAGTCCATCATTTGTAATTAGTGCATTTTGTTCGTTTGAAGCAACAAAAGTGTTCAAAATCTAATGAAGGATACTGAACAACTAACCTGATGAAGTTTCAGCTCAGCTTCATATTCCGAGAAAAACAGAATTCTAGGATCTCAATTTAAAATCAAAAGTTGCTAAATCATGTTTCGAATTGTTTTGAATTACAGCTGTACGCGATGTCGCGCACTGATCCGACGAATTATACAGTCAATTGACCGGTTCCGCAATTTGACCGGTTCTGCAATTTCGGAAAACTAGCTCTCGTTTTCAGGAAGACGAAAACGCCAAGGACTTAAACTTTGGTACCGATGGAAAGGTTATTCAATCTGCCTGTGCGTCGTTCCAATGCTTGTGCACGCTGCGCCGAATGACAAAACGAACAACTAATTTAAATTTTCCTACGGTGCTTCTTAAGAAGCACCGTTGGAAATGCCTTCTTTCGTTGATTTCTTCAAAATGAGAGCTTGCCAGAAAGGATAATTTCACAGGGAGTTTAGTCCCCTTACTATCTTTCAACCAGTATGTTTTTCAACAATAATTACGCCAGTTACTTTTTTGGATAGCTGCAAATGATGGACTATAGCTTTAAACCGTGGTTGTTTTCGTTAAATAATGAGCAATTATTATCGTATTGTCGCATAACTTTTCTCTTCCCATATCCAGTGTACATTGAATTCGCACTACTCATCCCTGCTTGCTTTTTATTTGGTTGAGTGTTAAAATACATCGACATATGTATTATTAACCGACCATGTTAAATGTGTGTTGCTTAGTGTGTACGGTTCCCTATGCCAATTTAACACATATCCCACCAATAAACTTAGTATCCTATAGGAAAATTCATGATACTTGATAGGCCTAGAGGTAAAATATACACGATTTAAATTTGACAGTAATTCACGAAATGGTTCACTATACGGAGTAAGATCAACGTTTTTTGGGGCCTGAAAATTGTCAGAAAATGACAGCATACTAGGAGCTACGATTTCACAGGATGCTTAATACAGTTATTTACTTACAATCAATAATTTAGGTCATTTTTTTTGGCAGTTTCGTTTTTGAATGTTTGAAAAGTGGTGTACATTCCCTTCACTCCTAACACTGTTCAGAATGCTTCAATTTGTTTCACAAACTCCAGAGGGTTAAAGAAATTGTTGTTCAATCATTACAGCGGAGGTTTGGCATTTATTGGTGAACTTTTTAAGTGATAGGCCTAGATACATAAAGCATAAGGCCTTGATATTTAAATTATGTGATAATTTAAATTATTACATATCTTCATGCAAAGAATGCACAATAACAAAACATCAAATGTTGGAAATTGAGGTACCCTGGTTCTGAAGTTGAACAGAAGTGCCTCCGCATCTCCACTAACACGGAATGGTCTAGAGGACCTTGTAGTTCAGATGGAAGTAACACTGCTGAACATATCATCCAGAGTGCAGTATGGCTGAAGGCGATGACTGTTAGCTTCGACATGTTGGGTCCGATTCCTGTGGATTTCCTCATGGTTAAGTCGGGCGAAAAAAAACCCCATTTATTTGCAAAACCAAATAGTCACGTTTTATCTTCTTTCAGTCACCGGAGGATTTCCTCTTTATGAATTCCTCAGTATACTTGAGTCTGATCGACCATAGACACAACATTTTTGAGTTAACACATAAAAACGTAGGCAATGACAGCATTTGTGCAGCGTTTGAGTACGCGAAAATACATGTACATGTAAACTGGTATAATAGTGGTAAATATGACCACTGCAGACGAATGGTGACGTACTGTACATGGCATGCATCAGTGAGTTCCTTTGTCATACAAGGAGCCAGCTGACGGTGACGGGTACTGATATTAATGAAGGGAGTTATGTACGGAGCGTATTTAGGACATGACCAAAGAAAATCGCGGCCCACCATTCCGCCCGGGTGGATTACTATTCCGCCCGATTCCGCCCGGGCGGATTACTATTCCGCCCGGGCGGATTACTATTTACGCCCCGGCGGATAACTATTCCGACTGGGCGGAATAGTTGGCCGGGAAAATATATTTGGTCATGTCCTAAATACGCTTCCGTAGTTATGATACACTTTTACACTGAAGCACAATTATTTCGGACAAATATCGATGAGACACTCTGGGGCTTATCACACTTTTCAATTATTGCACCCATTTTCCATCTCTTCAATGGGCCGCCCTAAGTATTTTGACAACTGAGGACGCTGTTGTTGTCATTAGTCTATTTGAGGTATGGCCGACACAAATAAGAGGGCGCTCTTTGGTTTTGGGTATTAGCGGAAAAGAAACGTGATATGGAGTGAAAAGCATTAATATAGGTGTGTCGTTAAGTTGAGTCAATTAATGGGCTCCTTACACGAGGGTGCGGGACTGGGACTTTATATTTTTGTTTAACCAATAATTCATGAAGACCACATTTCATAGCTCCTGTGTCATTAGCGTCAACTGACCATTGCATGATTTGTCTACAATGTACAAGTTAAAACCAACAATAAAAAATACAGGTGTAGGCCTATATAGCTAATGTATTTTCAGGATCTATTTGTCTTAGAAAAAGTCCAAAGTGTGGCTTACAAATATGTACATGTATATACAATTCTAAAAAACACAGATTAGGGATCTAACTACGGTGCTAATGACTTTGGCTTCCGCTAAAAGCATTTCTGTAAAAATGTTAATGATATTTTAAGTATTTGAGATCAATTTTTAAGTCAGTGAGAAATGTTGATCAGAGCCAGAAGTGCTTTTCTTTTCCACTATAACTATTTCGTTTTTTTCTGATCAACACAGCGATGCATTAAAATTGCACCCTCTCTTGCCAGAAAATGGCGTTAAACTACTAAAATTACACATTTTCCTTTTTTTATGTCATCAGAGATGCCATCTTAATTTAAAGGCCGGTCCATTTAATGAAGTTGTTCATGAGAACATATTCTGTGCAACTTTCTACTCCTCTTAAATGTATGAAAACTATTTAACATCCTTTTTTTGGGGGTAAGTTTGATTGAAAAGTGCACTTCTTTAAACATTTAAAATTTCCCATGTTTTCCGGACAACTGAGGGCGATGTCATTTGAGGAAAACACTGTTCAGTTTAGGGATTTTGTTTTCAAAATGTGAACCGAAAAATCTTACTGCCATATACTGAGAGACATAACAACGAATCACCAAAGAAAAGAACAACAGCAACCTATCCAAAATTCAGGCAACTTATGGTGCTGAATATACGGGCGATTCACAATAGTGCGCCTCCAAGAGTTTGCAACGCGTTGGCCAATCACAATGCGCAAAATCAGTCGACCTTTTCCAAACGCGCATTGGGTCGACAGATTTCGCGCATTGTGATTGGCCAACGCGTTGCAAACTCTTGGAGGCGCACTATTGTGAAACGACCGTATTGACTCTTACATTGAGGTTTCTGTTTGAAATGACATCATACTTTTGCTCATGAATATAGAAATTCGCATTGGCATAAAAACCAAAAGGCACCAAAAATACCCTTGACAATGGCCAATTCAAAATTGAAAATAATGTTAAATGGGACACAAAGGTGCATTTTATAGGATTGCATTAAAAAAACACTACATTACATGAGCCCTTTAATATTACACTTGACTATCGTTAGGCTAGTTAGTTTTCCACGAGCATTAAAGTCCAGATCAGGTTGGACATTAAAAATGAATACAAAACGTTTCAGAAAAGCCCTTCCATTGTAATACCTGCTTTAGTCCGATCGACCATAGGCACATTTTTTAGTAACACATAAAAACGTAGGCAATGACAGCATTTGTGCAGCGTTGAGCACACAGAAATACATGTACATGTACATGTAAACTGTTTTTTTTTCTCAGTGGTAAAAATTAAGGCTTTACGAATGGTGAATGGCGAATGGTGACGTACATGGCATGCATAAGTGAGTTCCTTTGTCATACAATGAGCCAACTGACGGTGTACGGAAGCGTATTCAGGACATGACCAAAATAAAATTCGCGGAATATTAATCTGCCCGGGTGGAATAGTGGGCCGGGAAAATTTTGTTTGGTCATGTCCTAGATACTCTTGTGTAGTTATGATACACTCTTACACAGATGCACAATAATTTCGTACAAAATAATATCGATGAGATTCCTTTGGGGCTAATAATATTTCAAACATGGGGTACAAAATAGAAGGTCAAAATTTGCATATGGTAATGATACTAAGGAGCTAAGGGCTGAGTTTCCTCCCCCAGTAGTAACCGATTAAAAAAAAAATATCTGCGAAGAGGTCGTGTGTGGTCCGTCGACGTAACAGGTCAGGTTTGCTATCTTTACCGAACCGTGAGGTGGCCAAGTAAAAATTGTCAAGACTTGACCGGGGGGCCGGGGGGGGGGGGGGGGGGGGGGGGGGGGGGGGGGGGGGGGGGGGCGGGGGGGGGGGGGGGCGAGGGGGAGGGGGGGGGGCGAGGGGGGAGGCGGTGTCATCAGCCTCTGTAGAATTAACACAACTCTCCAAAAGGAACACATAATCTCACACGAGCAAATGTCTCATGTCAAACAATATAGGCCTATAAATCTGTTAATGTGTCAAACTAAACACGTGACAGTATGGATTCATTGATACAATTTTGTTCCGTCTACTTTATTCAGCTTTTGTATGATAAACCCATACCTAAACAAATCTTTATAAAATCTGAGTACAAGTGCCAAACAATATAAAGCATAAAATCATATATTTCAAATAATATAGGCGATCGAGTTACAACTCTCCAATTCATATAATACCATTCCGTGAATTTAAAGGGGCACTCTGAGGTCCTGAAATCCCCGAAAATTTCAGATTTTGGATATTAATTACTTTAATAGCCTATTTCAAACTAGTCTAGTATTACACACGTACTCAGCACCGTGCTCATGAACAGCGCTGACCAATCACCAATGCACAAAATGTGATTTCTTACACTTCCGCAAAATGCGAACACTTTATGGATGAAATCACAACTAGCACCCAAACAGCTCGACTTTTTGGGGTCGCAATAGTGGACCCCGAAAGTCGTTCTCGCACGCACAATACAGGAATAACACAAAACGCCCAGTTTTTAAAGGATAGTTATGTGGATGTTTATAGGCCTATCCTACTTTGAAATGTTCTTTCCGATTAACATCGTTTTGTTCAAAGCGCGTTTTGTAGCCCAATTGGGCTGTGTTCCGGGACGCACTGTCCTCTAATACTCAAACAGATTTTCCTGTTCTGTCAATCGTAAAATCTCTGGTGGATGTTATAATAGTCGCATAAAAATAGGTACCTTTCGTAACCTCTATTTGTACTTTGTACAGCCGTCTGGTTTTGTCAATGGTTTTTATTTTCAGTTCCAGACACAAACGTTTCTCGAGTTACGAACACGTACACGCGAGGCGCATGGTCGACTGCGTCCATTCATGGGACAAGTTTTCCCACGTTGCTCTGTGCCAAAAATTCTGGTAATGCACTTCCTTCTGTATGACTTTAAAAGGTCACTAAATTGATAATTGCTTAAATACAATTTAAATGACGAATGCGTAATTAATATACATTGTACTACAATTTACAGTACATTTGTCGGCGGCGCAACTGGGGTGAAACATCTCGGGGGCACCTGGGGGTGCACACGTTTCCAAGGGGACACTGAAAGAAATTGAACTGGGGCTTTCCCTTTTCGTTTTCGGACTGCATGCGTAACTGAAACACAAACCGCAGTGAGTTACGTTCACGTTGTTACCAAAACTTACCAATTAAAACAACTGGATTTGGCTATTGTTGCATGTGCTTTCCGGAACAGATTTTTGTGGAGTCCCTTTTTTTGAAAAAAAAAGTTGCACCCTGACGCCACTTTTTCTTCAAATATCATCTAAGTGAAGGTCAGTCATTGCAAAAATGATGATAAGACATGAATCTGGGACTGAGAAACATTTCCATTTTTTGTTAGGAAATACTTAAAAAATGTTCTTGACTCTCCATTGACTTTGTTACACAACCGCTGAAGTGGCGTCAGGTTGCAACATTTTCCCCCGTTTTTTTAAGGGCAGGCATGAGAATGAATTTCAATGAAAGAAAAACAGGAAAATTGTGCAAAAACAGGAAAAAGATGTGAAATCGGGCCAAAATAGCCCCCAACAGGCTATAAATAAATAAAACGCGGAGATTTGGGCAACAAAAAAACCCCAGGAAGTACTGTTTACATGAAGATTGTCATGCCTGTAGGGAGTTAGGGACTCCGTACACGCGACGGTCAGTCGTGAGTACGTAATGCAATGTGAATGAAGACGCCGTCCAACCTGGGCTAGGGACTCCGCCATTTTGAACCGATATAAAACATAGTTTGCACTCCAGCGTTATGTCGAGCTATCTTAAACGTATTAGTTCCGTATGACCGAAACAGTGGATTTTGCCACGGTTCTCAATGTACTTGGAGCAGGGCCAACAACTATACCTCAAATGGCAGACTCCAAAAAATGGATGTATAAATGAAATTATGAACAGCTACACAAATCAGCCTACAAACTCAATACTCACGAGGAAGACATTTCTTGCAAATAGGAATTCACTGTTTCAAAACTTGCAACTACAATACTACTAGAACGGCGAGCTCGATGTGTTCGTGAAATTCACAGTGCATGCATTCGACATTATACAACCATGCGTATTATTGCGGACGTAGTTTGCCCAACAGTTTTGGCATGACAAAAGTGTAAACTTCATTGGCGTTCGCGTTCATAGTAATACAAGTTGATAATTGCTTTTAGATATGAACACTAGTTCAAGCGCTCATTTCGACAGCGCGATGTATAATTTTTTGTTCATTTCAAGATTTCAGAGGGGGGGGGGGGGGGGGGGGGGGGCCCACCCGGGGGACACCAACATCCGCTGGGGGGCACGTGCGCCCCCCATGCGCCCCCCCCCCGTAGTTACGCCACTGGATTTTGCGTTTTAGTCATTTATCGAGAATTGGAACGAAAAAATCTTCCTTTGCCCTCAAACACGAAAGACGACTCTTTCTCTTTCTGTAGTCATCAAATATCACACAACTTGCCTGCTCGGGGCCCCACGTCATGAGATGAAAAACAAAAACTATCTCTTAGCTTGTGTGTGCCGTGAACCAGTTAAGGAAGTTAAACATCCCATGACTATTTAGCTGGTAAGCTGTTTTATTGCTGCTCAGCAATATTTCTGTGCTGAGCAGAATTTGGCCCCTGATGATCATAGCTATATACAACACTCGTAGTGTTTTGTCTGCATTTCTGTTAACTATTTTGAAGCTGAGGGCTCTAAACAATTCAGCGTAAAAAAATAACTAATGAATATCTCCGTTTAAATACATTTCTTATCCTAACATATGAAATTCTCCGTATAAATGCGTTTATAATTGTCACTTACTGCCTCAAGTTATATTTGTGCATTTCAATTCACACTAAGATACATAGCTGCATGTACAAGCTAAGTTTATTTTTAAAAAAATGAATGTGACCAGACTGCATGAAATGAGTAGCTACCAAGGGCGGATCCAGAACACATTTTTTTTTGGGGGGGGGGGGGGAATTTTGGTCCCCCCAAAAAGTGGGTCAAAAAAATTGCTTAATGGCCCGAACATTTTTTTGGATTCTAGATGCTCTGTGGTGCGATCTGAGGCAATTTCTGACCACTTTAACCAATGGTTTTTTTGAGGAAAAGATGGTGGTGTACTCATTGCCTGCCTTTATTGCGATGTCACGTAAAAAACAAAAACATTGGTTTCGTTTTTTTTTTTTTTTGGGGGGGGGCCCTGGATCCGCCCTTGGACAAGGTTGGATCCAGAACACAATTTTGAGGGGGGCCAAATTTTTTTTTTGGTCCCCCAAAAAGTGGACCCAAAAATTACGGCGTGGGGTTCGCGGCCCGCTTTAAGGGCCCCGATGTTTTTTTGTGGCATTACAGCTGTGCGCTTTAATGTATTTGCCTGACTGAAATTGGACATCGAAATTTTGAATTGTATACAAAGTCACCCAACACAAATCATGCATTTTAGGATTCGTAGTGTTGCTGACAAATCCGGGGATATACGGCGGCCATTTTAATTTCTTGTTCGTTCAATACAAGCGTCATGAACAGAGTTTCACTAGACGCGGCCAGTTTGGTATTGAGCCTAAAAGGGACTGCGCAGTTAAGGTAACAACTTGCGCTTGTTTTAATGACGGTTTCTGACTTTATTTAAGTCACTCTACTCTGTACTGTTATCCCCATTAGGCCAAAGGACATCATAATCAGATTTGCCCTTCAAATGCTCAAAATCACCAGTATCCTTCTGTCTACCACCCTCATTGAACCTCTTCAATGTAGCTCTGTTGAGGTGTTGGTATGGGCTCGAGGCATTCTCCTCCCCAGTGAGGTCATCGTCAGCTTTGTCCTTCAATCCCTGGTATACTGCACTCTCCATCGTTGCTCTGTCGAGGTGTTGGTATGGGCCCGAGGCATTCTCCTCCCCAGTGAGGTCATCGTCAGCTTTGTCCTTCAATCCCTGGTATACTGCTCTCTCCATCGTTGCTATGTTGAGCTGTTGGTATGGGCTCGAGGCGGCATTGTCCTGCGCATCAGTGCCTGTCACACCGACTTCCTCATACCCAGGGGTCTCGCGATTATGTGACCTTGGCGACTCCCTGGTCGGGTACACTTGAAAATAGGCATGGTCATCTTCCTCCGTTAAAGACTGCCCTGGGGACGAGTGAGCAACTTCGGTTGCACTTCCTTCGTCATGTTCAATTTCAACTTCTTCATAGCCAGCCTGTCTCCCTGGAGTAAAATATGGATGTACGTCTGCGGCCTCCGTAGTTGGCCAAGTTTCTGTAGATGAGGACCCAGGCCCGTTTGTCACATAGCGGACGCTTCCTTGTCCGTCGACTTGTGCGCCTGCGCGGGTGACTGGCGAAGGGTCAACGGTGGCGGCGTTTGGTGGTCTCACTGGCCAGTGATCGTACGCGTACGAGTACTCCAGGTTATTGATTACCAGTGGCTCAGGTAACTGCGCTCTGTTTGAAGCTTCAAGCAAACAGAAAAAAAGAAACCAAAGGTGGTAATTTCCCACTTTGCAAGCCGTTTAATCTTAACTTTTCACTAGCAAATTTACCAATAACTCAAGAATTATTAAAGCTAACGTGACATGCTCGAAGGTCATGATAATGCCGAAATCCTGTGGTAACTAGCACGAAGGCCCCGGTTTTGCACGGATTATGCAAAAACTTCAGACAATCAATGTCTTACAGGTTGTCCCACAAAAAATCCTAACAGGCGAATCGGGCATGTTTTCAGAAAGTAGTATTCAAAATCGTGTCTAATATATATTGCTGAGTAGAATAATTGGTCTTCCAAATGCTTTTTAGTTGGTTATGTTATTTGGATGTTTTGTTTAAAAGATTCAGCAATCGCATTACGAGACTTAAAAAAACCAAGACGCATGTTACTCTTGAACAAAGGAAATTAATCCTTTGTGTGTTTCTCCAACTGCGCTTTCGACGATTTTTAACCCTTGAGTTCGATGAAGCATAGCGTTTGTTCCAATGCATCGATTTGAATGAAAAAGTTTGTATGGAAGATTGGTTATCTGACTTTAAGAGGTAGTTTGAAAATATTCCAAAACTCACATGCAATATACCTTGAGTAATTGGTTTTCGAATGTTAGTTTTTTTGTGCAATAACCTGTATATGACCGTGAGCAATTACCCTTTAAATAATACTGTTAAACAAATGATGGATATTGAAAAATGTTAGTTTGGAAAGGATGTTGGTCTTTTAATGTATTTTTGGGTAGAGAGCTGGGCCTACATTACATCGGACTACGTGGACTAAGTTTGTAAATGAGCGTCTGTTTTTGAAATAAGTTTTGCTCTAGACTAAGTTGACGATGAGCAATATATTACCTCTTCTTCCCATCTCGACACTTGCAGACTCATCTACTTGATTCCTAAACAATGAGATAGGAAGTTATCCAGTTAAACGTATAGTGCCGATTATGTTAGGTACATGGAGGAGACGTTTCAAGTCGGAACAACTCGTTACTTTGGCCATATTGTTTATACATTCATTTACATTTTAAAAATATTAAGCGATTGTTTTAAAGGCGTACCTATGTATTACAATCTTCAGCAGTGACAGTAAAAGCAGAAGAAAAAAAATTCCAAAAGAATAAAGATCAACATGACAGCACGCACACGCTGACGCAATTTATAAAACCCTTTTTAAGAACAACACCATTTTGGATAGTGGTGATATGAAAACAGTATGATGAAAAAGGTTTCATGTTTGTTGTATAACAACTTACGATGGTTTCCTCCTTACAACTTTCAGTTTCCAACTTCGGCAAAGGAAAATCACCACAAGAATCACCAGGAGAATAATGAAGGCCACGGCAGCTCCCACGGCAATGCCTACGACACCAACCTGGCCGGCATTGCCTTGGCCATCAGCTGATGTGGTGGGCTGCCCATGTGCTACAGTGGATTGGTCCGGCGCTATTGAATGATGGCCATTTGATGTTGTGGTCGACGGATGTGATGTTGTTGTTTGACATGGGCCCGATGTGAATCCCAAAAAATCCCCATTTGTGGCTCCCTGTGAAGTTGCTTGTGTTGTGCCATCAATTTTTGCACAATTGCTGTGTTCAAAATAAGTCAATATAAAAAGTGTAACTTTTGGCGTATAGGTGATTTTAGGTCTCAACATTCTAAAAACAGATAGTTGTAATGCTGCCTTTTGTTTCAAATGTGCATCAGTTGAGTATCGGATAGACCTTTTTGCTGGCTTAATTGTTATTGTTGCATTGTGCTTTACGTTTAGTTTTACGACTATTAATTGGACCATACAGAAAATGAGATTAGCACAAATATCTGCTTCATTAAGACGATGGAGACTTCTTTTGTTGGAGTCTAATAATGAAAACGTAGCGCTTGAAATGTATTTCAATAGGCCTATCAGTATATTTGCAAGCAAATGATTTCGAAATTTAAACTTTTGCGTGTGTTCCATAATTAAGGACAAGAGATACTCGAATTCCCACGTGATCAGTAATAACAACGTGCAACCTTAATCGTGAGCACTTTTTGTGATATGCTGTCTTACAATTCTGGAATATTATTGACACAATAAATATAATAATACACTGTAATAATACTATTCTTAAATAGCTGGATGTCATCTGCATAACAATGATAGTTGATACCGTATTGCTGGATTATCTGTCCAAGTGGATTGGTGTATATGGAAAAGAGTAATGGTCCACCGACTGACCCCTGTGGAACACCACAGACGACAGGAACTGATTCGGACTGAGCATCTGAAATACAGACTGATTGAGAACGATCACTTAGATACGACGTGAACCATTTCAACGCAGAACCACTAATTCCAAGCGATGACAAGGGACTTATCAGTATCGTACGATCAACTGTATCGAATGCCGAAGATAGGTCAAGCGATACAGTGGCTGTTACATTCCCAATGTCCATTTGTTGGAGAATGTGGTCCAATAAGTGAGTGAGTAGAGTTTCCACACTGTGATGAGAACGATAGGCCGACTGTCGGTTATCCAGAAGATCATTTGTTCGAAGAAGTGACGACAGTCTGTTAAACACCACACGTTCCAGTAATTTTGATGGGTAGGGTAGATTCGAGACTGGACGATAATTGTGCAAACTGTCAGGATCCAAGTTGCCGTTTTTCAGAAGCGGACGAACCAACGCCAATTGGGGGGGGGGGGGTTAACATCTGTCGATGGGGGCGCTGTTCAAAACTGACAATTATGCACACAAAGGGCCAATATATGGTGCTTTTCAGGGCGATACATGAAATTCTGAAAAAGGCACCCAAAACGGCAGATGCGACAAAAAAGGGCACAACTTCTTTTTGGAAAAGGGCACTTGTTCAGGAAAAGGGCACTTCGTAAAGAAAGGGCACTATTCACAAATTATTGGGGGGGGGGGTAAGCCCGTTTAAAAAAAAGGGTATTTGAATGGAAAAAGGCAGTCTTTAACCCCCTTACCCCCCCCCCCCCCCCGGCTACGCCAATGCATCTGACGGTCAACTTTAAGTCTTGAAGATGGTCATTTACGCTCCAGTTGTGCTTATAGCCCCAAACACCTCCTGGGTATACCATTGAGTATTCTGACGTATTTTGATTGATCGACTCCTAGCTGGTGCGTGATTGTCGAGGATTTTGCGCAAGGCAGTAGTGCTGTGACCTGTGACGCCACAGCTGGGATCTGCAGATAATTCGTTACAGATCTTGGTGAGTTGACAGTGTACAATGTCTCTAGAAAAGGCATCAATATTAATTGAATGGAGATTTCTAGAGACAATAGTACTTACAGGAACTGTTGCTATGCGGAAGAGCATCGTAAAGAAAATTGCTCTGGGAGATTGTGGTCATCAGAGCGTGATATGAGAAGATCAAGGATGTGACCTCGTTGATTGGTGGCGACACTAATGTGTTGTTTCAATCCATGAGAAGCAAGCACATCCAAAAACTGAGAAGGGTTTGCAGCTGATGGATTGTCCATGTGAATGTTAAAGTCTCCAGTAATGACCAAAAGTGATTGCACAAAAAGGTAGGTGTCGATAAATGGAGCAAACTCATCAAGAAATGCACCAAGGGGAGACCCTGGTGGCCGGTAGATGATCACAAGATGAATAGAAGTTTTCTGTGCCGGCCAGTTCCGCTTGCAGAACTTCAAAAGTAGAACACTTCCTGCAATTCTTCTTGATTGTAACCTTGATTGAATTCTTGCATAGTAGGCCAACACCTCCTCCACGTTTACTGGCACGTGGTATATGATGGAAGGAGTATCCATCAGGAGTTAAATCAGCGATAACAGCTGGGTCATTCGGAGTGAGCCAAGTCTCGAAAATTCCTACCACATCCAAAGCCTTATCCAGCACAAACTCAACGAACTCGTCAGTCTTGTTCTTGATTGATCGAGCATTCAACATGCAGAACGTGGCGACTTTCGACTGGTTGTATTAACTGGTATGACTGGTACGTATCTGAATCAGATTCGTGGAGTGCATACATTCCGACAACTATGGAGTAGTGAAGCACGGTTTCCCACTATAACAGCAATCATGTCACAGTTCACTAGCAAGGAACTACTAGGATGAAAAACCGTCTCTGAGAAGTCTGTTGATGAATGAAAGCACAAATAGTTGTGCCGCAATTGCTGTGGTGAATAAGTCAATGTGCCACTAAATAACACAAGTTGACACAAAACAGTTACAACAATCTCGGTATAGAACGGCAATACACTGGCAAAATGCATCTATGACGACTCACAAGGCTAAAAACAAGTCCAAAAAAGCAGGATGGTGTACACGAAACATGATAAAACGGATTTTTTACATTCAAACTGGAGACAAATAAAAAACCCAGCAGCTATGTTCAAGGCTGTGATGGATGGCAAAATATGACTCGACTTTGACAGAATAAATTAAGTAAGTAAAAGAGCAACACTTTTCCCTAAACGTTTACCTTGGAGATGAATACCCGGTTGTAATCGAAGTTGGAAGCATGCCGCTATCATCGCGACAGATACAGAACGCTGCAATTGACGATGAATTGGAGTAAATGCAGGAACCCCTCCTATCGTTGTATCGACACACGGTCGCGTCTGTATAACTACAAAATGGATATTGATTCCCCTCTCTGCACATTCGACCTATAATTGACACAGTCATGTGAGCATTATTTCTGTTGCACTCAATCTCAACATGGAGTAAAAAATCCAAACTTTCTATACAAATCCCGGAAGTCCCCAAGTAATGCGAAACAGGCACGCATGACTGTTTCGCATTACTTGGGGACTTCCAGGATTTGCGCATGCCTAAAATGTCTAAAAGAGTGATAAACGAGCGACATGGAACCAGACAAGGGCATGTGATACATTTTTTTTTTTAAATAAAAGAGCCATGTTACTTTCCAAACTGGTTATTTTACAAGAACACGGATACCTCTGTTAGCGTATGAGCTTGAATTATCCCTACCTGCATGGCTGTCGTCACAGACATAGCGTAAATTTGTCATGGAATGTTGCATAATACTCCAGCAAATGGAACCATCAGGGTAGCCTGCAGGAGGCATCCTGTAAAGGGAACATTTGTGATATCAGTTTGAAGGATATGCATAAAGCGGTACTAATCTGAAATCAGACAAAATCGGAGTAAATTCTGTTAAGGCCGAAAGAAAGGGAAAACACGTACTAAATATGAATATGTATAAAACTGCTGCAAATATACCGGGTGGATACATATAAAAAAAATTAGATGGCCTAATTTTTCAGTCCTAAGCAGGACCTAGCTCAAGACATAGGCCTAAATCACAGATATTTGATCAAATCATCCTGACAGATTATCATCAAATTTAATTACACGTGATGGGTTTTCAAGGGCGGATCCAGGGGGGGGGGGGGCCAAAGGGGGCCATGGCCCCCCCCCAAAACGAAACCAATTTTTTTTTTTTTATGTGACATCGCAATAAAGGGAGGCAATGAGTACACCACCATCTTTTCCTCAAAAAAACATTGGTTAAAGTGGTCAGAAATTGCCTCAGATCGCACCACAGAGCATCTAGAATCCAAAAATTTTTCGGGGCCCTTAAGCGGGCCCCGAACCCCACGCCGTGATTTTTTTGACCCACTTTTTTGGGGGACCCAAAATTTTTTTGGCCCCCCAAAAATTGTGTTCTGGATCCGCCCTTGTGGGTTTTCAATCAGCGGATTCGCTTGGTCTGCCTTCCCCTCTTCATGTTTGCTTTCGAGAAAGGTCCTGCTTATAGAACGGAGGTATTTTGCCCTCCAATTTTGTAATTGTAATGCTAAATAAATATACATGTACTTGTAATTAAAATGTAGTCACGACACATTTCCCGATGTTTCAATGAATTGCACAGATTTTTTTTTAAATTTAGAAATGATGTTCATTATTGGCACACAAAAACCACGAACTTCGGAAAAACAACAAAAAACAATTTGCTACTACATACGTGTGTCCCCGGCAGAAGTGCATCCTCATCTGCGTTAACGATCCACGAATTTGCAGTTCATTTGGGAGCACACCTGCCGAACACATCCGCCATACATGTGCACTACTCAAGAGTGTGATCACAGTCAGCCTCGTGAACAAAGTAAAGGCAGTCCCTGTAGCTTGTTGCATGGTTATCACTGTTTGTAACCGCTGTCTTGCTGTTAAAACCCTCACTGTCCATTTTGGGCAACCATAGTTAAATCAAACTTGTGTGTCGCTTGACTAAATGGCCGCAGTGCATTGAGTACAGTACACCCGGAAACTAATTTTGCGTTCTTGTATTGGCTCGTATTGCGATGTTAAATTGAAGAGAAGTGACGCAGCAAAATCACTGAGGCAACGTTCATTGCCATGATCAATATAAGGCCCTTTGTTGAGCAGTACGCATGTGATCGTGAGGGGCGTTCTTTGTTTATTGAGGTGAGCGGAACTCAAATAATATGCATGCAAAATAGCAATGATTTCTAACTGCATGTGACAGAATGCGCAATTCCAGCTAATGACTTTGGCTTCCCTGAAATCCCATTTCTGTCCAAATTGTAATGGATTTATTGGGCAATTTGGTCACGGTCAGAATATTTGTATCAGAGCTAGAATTGCTTTTCCTCTTCCATATCAAGTTCGTTTACTCTCTGATCACCACAGCGATGAATTGAAATCGCGCCCTCTCTTGCCAGAAAATCGCATGAAAATCTAGGCTACAAAAATTACACAAGATTTCCCCCTTTTTTTGTCAACGGCGATGCCATTTTATTTGAACTTTACTTGACTAACGATAGGCTTGTTAGTTTTCCACGAGCATGAACGACCAGATCAGGCTGGACAATATTAATACAAAATGTTACAGAAAAGCCAGTCCATTATAATACCTAAATACATTGAATAAATTAAACAACTGTCTATTCCCTCCCCCCCCCCCCCCATTGGGATCTTAAGCAGTATGCAATAGCTTTACTAACAAGGAAACAAGCATGAACCCTTACATCTAAAAACACATGTATCTTACATGGAAGCTTTGTTATTTATTTTTACATTTGCTTAATCATCAAGTTATTAATTTTTCTGAACAACGGCGACGCTTGGGCCTTCGCAACCACATGGCTGCGTGGTGACGGTATATGTGGCTGGGTTTCGAGTAGTATAATAGGGGTGTAAATGGTGCCACCAACGTCAAAATAGTCCGTCCCCCAACCCCAACCCCTCCAAAAAAAAACCAACAAACATACAAAACAAACAAACAAACCCATCAGGGCAACTTGTTTTGTGAAAAATTCAAACTTCTAAAACAAATGTGAAAAAAATTGTGAGGCCCCCCCCCCCAAGCCAAATCGTGGGTGCGCCACTGTACATGTATACACATTTGCTTCAGTGGAAATCGAACGTTACTAGTCTTATTGGAAATGATGGACCACGACTAAACATAGAAACAATGTAGGCCTACAAGAATTGTGTCGGGCCAAGTCACACGAGTTTCACAAGCAACTTGGAGGCCCTCAATGCGCCGCACGATAACCCGGAAGAACCGGTACATTTGTCCAACAGTAAATAGTAAATCCTCCTAACATTTCAGGTAAAAAAGATTTGCCTGATGTTTTCTAGCAACAAGCTGCTTATGGTACCGCACAATTGTTGACTGCTGTGATGTGGAATATGACGTTTTGAACACCCGAGGGGCGCCTAGCTATACAAGTCGAAAGCTGTTCCAAACGTCATATCCCACGTTACAGCAGTCAACAATTATACCGCTGTCTTGGATTCTTTGGATTTTGATGTAAAAATCACGAAAATAAACAGCAGTAAACACAACAATCATGACAATCGAACGTCAACTCACATGCATGTCGCGGCGTGCTCGAAACAGCTGATCGCCTGCTAGTTCGCTGCTCCCACGTGCAAACATGGCGAAAATAGTGTGGGTAAGCGTTTCACACGAGTATACGTACTGCATGTACGCAGTCATAGCACATTCCTGTGTCCTCACGTACGTGATTTCCCACAGGGAGTTTGCCATGACTTTTTATAAATTTAACACGTGATCGTTCCAGGCCATTGAAAACCAAGTCTTATATCCAGGCAGAGGTGTAACAATATAAATTGACTGTGTGACAATTAAAGCCCTCAGGCTTCTCATAAACACATGCCTTTCATAACTTAAGTCGACTACCATTAATAGAAACTCAGGCAGCCAAAATGTTTTTAATATCCGATTTTGTATTAGAAAATGTGCCAATCCCAATCATTGTGCACACACAGGCCAAAATATATACATATATCACTTATATCCAGAATTTTTGCTGTAACGAAGTTCGTATTAACAAGAGCCAACTGTTCAATATAGGCCAAATTAAAACACAGATACTACTTTAAGGGAAACAGCCTATCATCCAATTCATATATTATAAGGCCTACTTTATAATAAACAAAAGAAAGAAAGGAAAGATACAGGAACAAATAGATTTTGAATATACAATGTATATATACATATTGACGGAGGTGAGCGTCGAAATACATATAAGGCCTACTTAGTAAAAAAAAATAAAGAAGAAAAGATCCAGGAAAAAATAAAATCGGAAAAATATATATGTATATAGTGACGGAGGTAAGCTTCGAAATTATGGTTCATAAAATATGTGCATCATGTACATGTAAATGTATATAGACATCTATGAACCTATCTATGCAAACGCTCTTGGCGGGAGCTCACTATTTTGTAAATTGGAAGGAAATCGGAATATCAAGTCTTAACTGTAGATTGTCAAATTTTGTCTTTGGAGTTTCAGAGGAAAGATGACGGATCACAAAATGTTAACTTAAAAAGACGGCAGTTAGTGATTTTAAGAAACTGCTTTATTATTAACAAGTATACATGTATTCAGTTGGTAACAATTAGGAAGTAAATTAAAGGAACAGCTTTTCCGAGCAAAGTTCGTAAAATTAGCAGTTAATTTTAACTCAAGAATTAATTCCAGTTGAAGTTGAGGTCACTGACTAAATAATTGATATTTTAATATAAAGCATAAGTGAAAAAAATATACATTTTTCATCCCAAAGAGGGTATCATGGTATTGTCACTTATTTGCGTTTGACAACCTATTTTACGAGGTTTGACCATCACGTGCGATGTGATTGTAATCGTCATCAGTCTCCAAGCTGTCATAAACGCCATTGTCCTTGCCTGGTAGGACGCCCTCATTTGTCCTCTTGCCGGATGCCCTGTCGAGGCGATCGTACTGCGACGACTCGTCTTCATTGGCCACAGGTGACAAGACAGCAACCTCGTATCCAGAGTTTTCATTTTGGAACGGAGGCGCCGTAGTTTGTAAATAATCTCCGTCATCCTCTTTCTCTGGGGAAACCGAGGTGACACTTCCATCTTCCCTTCCCTCGTCTCCCAAATCCTCCTTCTCCAGGACAAAATACTCGGGGTCGCTCGGGGCCTCCGTAGTGCCGGTTTGTTCTGAGGACCTCCCTTCTGGCCCATGTTTTACATAGCGGTCGCTCCCCTCCGTGGTAACTTTATCCACTTTGAAATAATAGTGATTCTCTTGACCCGTATGACACTCGGGCTTGGGCTCACCCGTTTCGGGATTGGTGGGTTCCTGTCTCCAGTTAGCGTCGACATATGCATATTCATGAGCGTCGGGTACCATTTGTTCGGACGGCTTAGCTGTACCCCTCGGAGCTAGAAGTTTAAGAAAAATTAGGTAAGATAGTTACCTATATACGAGATATTAAAAAAAACCAATGTAAACTTTCAATCTATTTCATTGATTCATTGGTTTGATTTTCAATAACCAAGATTTCAGTATTCTAAAATACGACAAACAAACACTTACCATTTTCGTTCAAATTCATACGAGATGAGTCTTCGGCATTCCTGAAAGTGGACACACACGATCCGAGATTTTCAAATTTTAAAATCACACAACTAACCGTACATTTCTGAATGATGACCTTCACAAGATGAAGGAGAAGTCATTTAATATAGCCCAACACACGACATCTTTCAAAACTGTCAAGTTCTAATCAAAATTAGGTCCTCCTTATAGAGACTTATACCCAAGTGTTTTGCTTTGCTCAATTACTCAGTTCAAATTGAAATACGTTTTGTGCATCCGTGATGGTGAGGTAGACCTAAGAGGAATTAACCAGTTAATGGTGAGTTAAATTAGACTAGGCCAACGTAAACACACGGATGATATCTACAAATAAAATTTCAAAGGGATGGCGTTGCCTGTCCATATGGCTGCAACCCTGCATTAAAATGCCCATAGACAGCAATGATAAATACCAATACTTCACAATTCCTTTAAAAAGACTCAGAACTCTCACGGTGATCAAGATCTGCAGACAAATGATGATCAACATGTCATCTTTCATTTTCTTTTCAATTTCTGTTGGGTTGACCATTGACTTGTTGAGATATTCTCACCTAAAGAAGAACAACCCCCAAACGAATGATGTTTCCCAAACTGTAAAGGAAACCATTTTGAAAAAGAATCCCTCCAAAACATAGCGCCACTTTCGGGCCCGATAGCATCAAAAATGCTCAGAATTGGCATCTCCAAGTCTATGCCAGAGGCCAGAGCTAGGTTCAGTGCACATGTCTTCAATCCCCAATTCCATGGCTCTCAGAACTTTCTAATAAAGAATATTTTGAGGTTATACCTTTTATTCATGAGCTCGGCGGACAGATTTTTGGCCTATTTACAATATTTATAAACGGCACCTTGGCCCGTTCCATGAAGCTTATAAGGACAGAGCCGCAGTACAGCATCGCTCAGACAAGACTACTTCAAGTCACATGTATTCTGGCTGGAAAGATGTTTTTGATCAGCGAATCTTTTCTGTACTACATGTGTAATTAAGCACACTTTCGTGCGGATTTAAAATCTTCGTGAAACTGGATTTGGGTTGTTAATATTCTTCCAAGACAGGTGATGTACTTCAAGCTAATAATGCACGCGCTGAATGAGTGTGCTGGGACTTTGCTGTGTAGCGGTGCCAAAGTTTCAAAGACTGGGTTTGATTTACCATTCTGCTGTTTGAACAGTCTCAGACAGTAAAAAAATAATAATTAAATCCTCTCCCTGCTATGCCTTTTACACAGGCTAGTCACCAACAGTCAGATCATATTTCAAGTAAGCGCTGTGACAAGTCAAACTCGGTCAACAGACAAGTGGTTCAGCTGGCTTATGAATCAACTACAATCAAAACATAGCTGTATCAAGTTACATAAACAGTCACAGCCAGTCAATCCAGCTTTATGTAGGATGTGAGCTCTTAACTGTTGAAAGCAGTCACTTGACTGATTTTGACTGAAAGGACAACTTTGCTCAGAGTTTGCATAGGAGGGTTAATATTGTTGAAAGTGATCTCTACCGCTGCCGCTACGCTGCTTAGTTTCCGGAAGAATTAGGGGAATTACATCCATATCAAATCTTGGACCACGACTAATTGGGCACATGTCTCTATCAAATATGTACTTACCTATTCTTTCGTGAAGAATCCGACGGTCCTCTTCTTCGCAATACGCACCACACTCCCACCCCGATGATAACGAGTAGCACAACGACCGACAAGACGCACCCGAGCACCACGGCTGGCAGATTGACTTGACCGGCTGAGACGCCGCGGCCCGGCGCGGTGGACGGACCAGGCGTGGTGGGCAGCGGAGGCGGTAGGCACCCGTCGTCCCGCGGGTCACTCCCGAAGGGACACATCTCCGAGGATGGTGTTGTTGGAGGTTTGAAGGGGACACAGCTTGGGGGAAAAAAAGATAAACTTAATTGTGTAAAACATCAGGTCGATAATTATTCCTTAGCTGACGTGATGTAAATTAATATTCCTAGCCTTGTCTTTCATTATTGTTTCCGTCAAGTTTTTGTCACATATACATATGCACTGTGAAGGAAACACAAACAATTATCATTGTTACCGTGCCCCCAGGATGCGAATATTACTTTTTTTTCTTCTGGGAGTAAATATAGGGCCTAGATTCTGACAACATTGCGTATGCGTCAGTTGTGAACTATGATGGTTCTCGGATTTTACTTCCCTTTGTAAACATTCCTAGAGTCATGAATCAGAAAAATATGTTTTTCATAAAAAGCACACAAGACAGAAATTTCACATTTTGGAGAAAAAAAAGAGAAAAATGAGGGATCTATGGAATTGAAATCGAAACCTTAAAAAGAGATCTCAAATCACGTGATACGTTATAATGCAAGGCGGCACCAGACCAATCTGAGGGGGGGGGGGGGGGGTTGACAACAAAACATGGTGTTTTTGGAAATAGATCTTAGGTCAAATGTGCGATCAGACCGGAATGATCTTAATTTTGGTGGCAAAATGTCCAATCGGCATACATACTATTCCTTGGGCTCCTCTGACCATGATCCAGACTCATCCCGGCAGATGCAAAAGGATTGTCCCTCTGAGTGGTAGACGCAGGACCCAGACCCATCGTCATATGCACACACGATGGCGTCTCGATAACTACAGACTGGTGACTGACCTTCGTCACAGGGAGCAGCTACATAACAATCAAAAGCAATCAAACGAGAGGATAGTCAGTTTTGGAGGAGTCTCAGAGATTTCGTCCTCTCCTAGGTACATAGCCCGAAGGAGATCTTGCCTTTCAAGATTAAAACTTAAGAGATCGATCTGACTGCTGCACAAGGCTTTACATGTACTTCCTTTTTACCCGCTGTATGAAGACCTGCAGCTGGCGCACTTTTTGTTTATACTTAATAGAGATGGTGTTTTAACAAGGACAGATTTCCGTCGTGGGTTTCAAACATGGTAAAAAAGTGAACCAATGCGTTTGTAAAGTGAATGACAACGGCTGAAACGAGAAGCAATACGGAAACTTGTCCTTTTTAGAACACCATCACACGTGTACGTAAACAAAAAGTAAGGTCTTCTCAACATGGCGTTCAAATTACTGAGACCCGTGTTCTCGATGTGTTCGCCAGTCAGAATTATAGAAAAATTTTTTTTGGGGGGGGGGTTACGTCATTGCCCTTGAACAACAAGACGGGGTAGACGGATACCGCGCTAATATTATCGTAGCGATTTTGTTGGGTCGGGCATCAGGCTAGTGTTACATATAGTAGGAGGAAAAGTTTTTATAAAAAGTGAGCACCAGGCTGCCGCAGGGGCATACATATACATTGACGCCGTGGTTAGCAAAATGTTTTTCCAACACAAAGTCCTCCCAACACCCTCATTACATAAATGTTTAGGAAGTACTTTGTAGCGGTTGTTGATTATTAGGTATTTTCAACAATTAAATAATATTTTTGTAATCATTAACACATATTCTTCATTTTTTACCGTGTTGGGTCGTCCATAGTTTGGCAACCCATTGTTGGCAATAATGGCAAAATGTGCCAACAACGCGTCGGTGATAGAAAGGTCTATTATACGGATTGCTATTCGTCCCCACATTCAAAGTCCGAAGGACAATGGGGGGGGGGGGGGGACACACCGGGAACCAGTCTATATGGTAGCAGACCAGTAAATAAACTTCCATAGACCCCAATGGTAAATGCTCCCACTTCAAAAATTCGGGAAAAATACTCACAACTCTCCAAGGTGTTCGAGACACCCATCAAATTAAAGCTTATTTCATCATCTTTCATTTTCCGTTCAATTTTCGGGGGGTCAACTGATGACTTTTAGGAGAAATTTCCATCTGAAGATGATCATCCCTGAAAATAGTCCTGAAGTCCATCGCCATTTTGAAAAAAGATGCCTACACTCCATTGCAAAATAGAGCGCTTTTAGGGTCCAAATTACATCCAGGTTACACAGAACTGCAAGCTCCCAATCCTGTGCACGGCTTCCACCCATATTTTTTACAAACCCTCAAGTTCATGGCCCACAGCATGCTCAAATACTGAAGATTTTGAGGGCATGCAAATCGTGATTTGGCCGGCGTAGGCAATTTCGGACCGATTTACTGGTCTGCACCCACATGACGGGGACGGAGGAGACAATCTGACACTAGTTGGCGCTGTTCATCATAGCCTTATTTTGTCGACATGTCGACGATTATTTGTGGGGAAGGGGTGACAATCTCCAAGCCTCCCACCCTAGCGACGCCCGACAGTATACCACTGGGTAAGTATAATGTAAGTTTGAAGGGGGAAAAAAACATTAAAATCAGAAACCTTCATGTTCCCAACATTGCCGATTGAGGATCCGGTTATCAGTGCGACAGATCTGCTGACAAAATGGCAGGACTTCACGGACGTTCGGTGGCGCCGGCTGCTCAACATCCATGCAACTGCAGTATAGAAAAAAACATGATGTGTTTGAAGAAATATGTATATTCCTGGGGACGGATTTAACCGAAGAATGCTGGCATAAAGCAGTGTGACACATGCGTATAGTCCTTACAGTAGTGTCGCTAATATTTTGATTACATTGTATTACACCATGATTACACAAAGAAAATAATGAAAGCCGACTTTGAATTCAAAATTGGTGTGGGTTCATCTACAACGTGTAGGATTTTATATGAACATAATTTACCTTCATTTCATTATAAAAATGTCACCTTCATCGACAAGACTAAGAGACAATTTTAGCAAAATGTTCTTTGTTGAGGCCTAGAAAGGCGAGGCACAGGCCTCCGGCTGTGCGGAAAATAATTGATATGGGGGTGCAATCGTTTTAGAAATATGTCAGCAAATAACCTTGAGGTTTTTGTTGGGGAGGGGGATTAGCCCTACCAGTTCTATTTTCAGTTGATAACTTGAAGCTGGCTGTGAGTTTGCGAAGTTTGTGGTTGCAAACGTTTTCGTAAAAATACCCCCCCCCCCAAAAAAAAGTCGTGAACTGTCTTTTCAACGTTTTATTTGCAAATCAAATTATCTGCAAACATGAACGGGAACTGTTATTTGAAAGCAGTCACAACATAAGCATAACAGTGTACCGTGAATTGTAACACAAAGGTTCTACGCACATTGATCAAAGAAATTAGCACAAGGAACTAGCACATTGCTCGGGGCGGAGTGACGTCATCCGATGAAAACTTCTATTCATTCACACGCCAGATTTCATCGGTTGCTATGTGTTCAGCACTCCAGACTCAAGAAACATTGAGTTCAGAGAACATGGGTATTCGAGCCAAAGTAAGAAAAAGGAAAGAATGTAGTACCCAGACGCCACTTCTAGAGTCGAGAGCATTTTCAAAGTGTTTTCTAACAAAACTGAAAATGGTTCTCAGTCCAAGATTCATGTATTTTAACATTTCTGCAATGACTGACCTTCGTTGAGCTATATGATGAAAAAAGTGGCATCAAGATGCAACATTCTTTCTGAAAGAAAAAATCCCGGAAGTCCGCACCCACCTGAGGCACTTTCCCATGTAATGTCATCAAGTTTTCATTTTATGTAAAATGCTGCGTGGCATATTTGCACAAAATTATGGGCCACAGCAGAAAAGGTAGAGTATTTAAAAGCATTTTTTTTGCACAAATAGTGTTTCTTCATCAGATTTACAAATGTTGGTACTTTTCAGGTCATATTAGGGAATATGAGAGGTGGCCCAGTATGGAATTATTTCCTTTCTCTGTTGTCGAAGGGACAAGATACCAACATTACATACGATACATCAAAAGAAGTGGAAACTACCTCATGCAGAGCTTGTTTCTCATTTCATCCACGGCCGCGGTGCTTTGTAACTCCGGGGGAAGCAGTGTGAGTCCATCGAGCTGCGCCGAACAGATCCCCACGATGAAAGCTCCACTGTAAAGCACCAAGGCTAACAAACTGCGTAAAAACCGCGCCGTGTGGACAGTTGGTGTCATCATAATTCCTCGCGATACTTCCCGATCTCGAGTAAAGTTCCTATACCGAACGGATGAAGTCTTCGGACAGTTCAAGCCTTTCCCTTTCCTAGACGATTATTGTCAGATCCCTCTTCAACGGCAGAACAAGCGTGTCTTCTTGTTCGGCTTGTTCGCCAAATTAGTACATGTACTTCAAAGCAGTTCAGTATTGCAGTGTGATCTACAAATGAACTGCGACACAGCGAAGAAACGTGAAGACAGGTGATTATCTGCCAATAGGTTACACCTATACTGGAACTCCTTTCTGATCGTTTCGCTTCGCTGGGCACAGTCTATTCACTCTGCAGACAGGCACACGGATGTGCCATTACGTACTGCCATATCGGACAATGCCCCCACATTACGTAATTTAAATCCTTCTTCATTGTGTTCTGCGGTTGGTTTTGTTGAAAGTGGAGATTAATAATGAAAACAAGGTGGATGGGCGGGGAATTCCCAAACTGGTTTGAGGTAATACGGACTACCGGTGTGGGGGAGGGGATGGAGGGGGGGGGGGGGGGGGGGGAGAAAAGGAAAAGTATATAAGTAAGGTGCAGAAAGATCTGTAGCAACGCTGTAAAAAAGCGTATGAATGTACCATTGCATGAACACCCCACTGCATGAGGACAGACATTTGATCCGGCCATAACCGAAGAAAAGAGAACGACATATCTCAGTGAGCACTGTTATATATTTACTAGGCGGTTACCACGGCTTTGGCGGTCCGTATGAAGCACAGAGTTGCTGGATGTAGCGATTGATTACCATGAGGTTGTCCCCCTACTGCGATCCTTTTGCGCCCGAAACTGCCCCGAGATCGGTGCTCCCTTTTGGCTACGGTCACGCCGTATCATACAGCCGTGTAGCTTGGGAGTTCCTCTTTCAGATGCAATCGCAGCGTGGATTGGTGGGTTGGTTATCCATTCAGACTGCGGACTTGGGACAATGGGGTGTGTGCGATTTCAATGGGTCCGAGGACCTGGGCCCAGGTCCTCGGGAGAAAAAGTTAAAGTACAAACAAAAGGGAAGAAGAGAAGAAAAGGATCAGGTCCTCATGAGTATAGTAAAAATGAGCTGTGTGTGTGTGCTTGCATTTGTTTATGGTGTAAATCGAGGACATACACGTGCAACATCATCGATGAATTGAGGATAGGAACCGAACCAAGGACTCAATTAGAAAAGTGTACAAAACCAATGAGAGCTTTTGCAAAAAAAAATAAAAAATAAAAAAAAAAAAAAAAGGGGAACAACAGAAAATCATCAATTTATACCCTAAACAAACGTGTCGGTGTGTACAAGCATTACATTCACTGTGTGGGCTTTCGATCAAAAGATGTCCACATAAACTAGGTAGCAGCGACGTTATGTGGAGTTGCTGACGTCTACACAAGGTTATTCCCTCTCCGGAAAACATGTTTAGAGGCATCTAGATCCACTCCATGCGATTCATTAAGTCGAAAGTTGATATGATGTTCTTCAGTGAATTTCACGGACTCAACCAGACTAGGCGATGTTAAACCTCCCCAGACCGTGGAGGAGCACTAGCATCAGGGTCCTGACCAAACTCAAGCTCCACAAAGGCCTTGTCATCTCCATCTTCCTCTAGGGGTGCGAGAACTGGACTCTGACAGCCGACCTGGAGAAGCAGATTACGGCATTCAAACCCAAATGCTTCCGGAAGCTCCCTTGCTGGTTCCCAGGAGCTCCTTTTCGTCCAGTAAAGAGAAGGAAACGATGTGGTTCGGTCACATAACCCACCACAACTTCATTGCTAAGACCATCCTGCAAGGCTCTGTACAGGAGGAAGTACAACATCAACATCAAGGAATAGAACAGGTGAAGAACAGATCAGGCTGGCGACAGCCCTGAACACACTGTCTCTCCTCCAACAGGTAAAGAACATATCAGGCTGGCGACAGCCCTGGACACACCGTCTCTCCTAGAACAGGTGAAGGACAGATAAGGCTGGCCACAGCACTGGACACACCGTCTCTCCTCCAACAGGCGGCAGATAGATCAGGTTGGCGACAGCCCTGGACACACTGTCTCTCCTAGAACAGGTGAAGGACAGATCAGGCTGGCGACAGCCCTGGACACACTGTCTCTCCTCTAACAGGCGGCAGATAGATCAGGTTGGCGACAGCCCTGAACACTCCGTTTCTCCACCAACAGGTGAAGGACAGATCAGGCTGGTGACAGCCCTGCACACACTGTCTCTCCTAGAACAGGTGAAGGATAGATCAAGCTGGCGACAGCCCTGAACACACTGTCTCTCCTCCAAGAGGCAGCGGATAGATCAGGCTTGTGACAGCCCTGGACACACTGTCTCTCCTCCAACAGGCAGAGGATAGATCAAGCGGGCTACAGCCCTGGACACACTGTCTCTCCTCCAACAGGTGAAGGCCAGATCAAGCTTGTGACAGTCCTGGACACAGCGTCTCTCCTCCAAGAGGAAGTGGATAGATCAGGCTTGTGACAGCCCTGGACACACTGTCTCTCCTCCAACAGGTGAAGGACAGATCAGGCTCGATACAGCCCTGGACACACTGTCTCTCCTCCATCTGGTGGACAGATCAGTAGGCGACAGCCCTGGACACACCGTCTCTCCTCCAACAGGTAAAGAACATATCAGGCTGGCGACAGCCCTGAACACACCGTCTCTCCTCCAACAGGTGAAGGACAGATCAGGCTGGCCCCAGCCCTGGACACACTGTCTCTCCTAGAACAGGTGAAGGACAGATCAGGCTGGCGACAGCCCTGGACAGACTGTCTCTCCTCCAACAGGTGAAAGACAAATGAGGCTGGCCACAGCACTGGACACACCGTCTCTCCTCCAACAGGCGGCAGATAGATCAGGTTGGCAACAGCCCTGGACACACTGTCTCTCCTAGAACAGGTGAAGGACAGATCAGGCTGGCGACAGCCCTGGACACACTGTCTCTCCTCTAACAGGCGGCAGATAGATCAGGTTGGCGACAGCCCTGAACACACCGTTTCTCCTCCAACAGGTGAACGCCGGATCAAGCTTGTGAGAGCCCTGGACACAGCATCTCTCCTCCAAGAGGCAGCGGATAGATCAGGCTTGTGAGAGCCCTGGACACAGCATCTCTCCTCCAAGAGGCAGCGGATAGATCAGGCTTGTGAGAGCCCTGGACACAGCATCTCTCCTCCAAGAGGCAGCGGATAGATCAAGCTTGTGAGAGCCCTGGACATAGCATCTCTCCTCCAAGAGGCAGCGGATAGATCAGGCTTGTGAGAGCCCTGGACACAGCATCTCTCCTCCAAGAGGCAGCGGATAGATCAAGCTTGTGAGAGCCCTGGACACAGCATCTCTCCTCCAAGAGGCAGCGGATAGATCAGGCTTGTGAGAGCCCTGGACACAGCATCTCTCCTCCAAGAGGCAGCGGATAGATCAAGCTTGTGAGAGCCCTGGACACAGCATCTCTCCTCCAAGAGGCAGCGGATAGATCAGGCTGGTGACAGCCCTGGACACACCGTCTCTCCTCCAAGAGGCGAAGGATAGATCAAGCTGGCTACAGCCCTGGACACACTGTCTCTCCTCCAACAGGTGAAGGCCGGATCAAGCTTGTGAGAGCCCTGGACACAGCATCTCTCCTCCAAGAGGCAGCGGATAGATCAGGCTTGTGAGAGCCCTGGACACAGCATCTCTCCTCCAAGAGGCAGCGGATAGATCAGGCTTGTGAGAGCCCTGGACACAGCATCTCTCCTCCAAGAGGCAGCGGATAGATCAAGCTTGTGAGAGCCCTGGACACAGCATCTCTCCTCCAAGAGGCAGCGGATAGATCAGGCTGGTGACAACCCTGGACACACCGTCTCTCCTCCAACGGGCGAAGGAGTGAGTGAGTAATAGAAAGTTACTCAACTGCCTTAACCAACAGAATTTTTCTGGTGTTTGTGTCCAGACAATGTTGTTATACCGCTGCCCATTCACTCCATGGCCCAAGGCTACGAATGGTATCTTAACGCTGTGAGTATAGGCACTGAACACAAACACTTTACAAAGACAGGGCTGTCAACTGCAATAGTATTTATTTCTCTAAATATCCCCCAAATCAAGATAATTTCACCCCACTTTTTTATAATTAAAATGCCTTAATAGTGCATTGTCCTTATCACTGCAATGTATCATTCAATATACACTGTACTAATTACATATTTTGGCTGATTACTCCAAACTCTCCTATATATCTCGCATGCTTGCACTTAACTAAATTTATTGTGTTTATTCTCCTTCAAAGGAGATACCGGTGCTTATAACACGAAGGTCTGAAACTGTGTGGTGCACAAACAAAATACAAACTTCGCATATCGTGCTCACAAAATGATGCCATGCTTTACACAACAATGTTTTATACAACTTGCATGCAAGCCCAGAAGCGTTCCATTAGAAGTTTCATCTCCAAATCAGATACCAATAATAAATATTATCAATCATTTACAACTCTCAATATAGAATAGGTCATTTCTGGGTGCAATAGCTACACAACATGTTTTAGTTTGTCCCACAAGCACAAAACAAAACTCTCTTATCAAACATCATGCACTGTTTATAACTGCAGTTAAAAATATAAAACTAAACAGACAGGACCAATTCAGTGTGAAAACTCAATATTTTACAGTTCACTAAATGAATCCTTTCACGTGGGAATGGGTATACAAAGAGTTAATAGTGTCACTTACATTACATTATTCAAGCTCGTTATAACAATGGAAACTAAACAATACAATGTATTTCAATTCTCTGTGTAATAAACAAAATAACAAAAGGCTATTTATCATAATAATTAAACCAATTAAACCAAACAACACTTTGATTGCAACAGTTACTTAACTTGAAAGAATGCTGAAAAGTTAAACAAAGAAATTGACTGGAGAGGGTTTTGAGCCTGCAACCTCCGGATTACCGTTCCGCTGCTCTACCAACTGAGTTATTCAGCTATGTTGGCTGTTTTCCAATTCGTCAATGTCTTTGTTCAAGAGGCGCTAGTCAGAGGCCATAAACCTGTATCTGCCATGCAGCCAGGGATCACGCAAAGTCACGAGGCAAACCTGGCAAATAGCAAACGGGATCACTCAGACAAGATACAGCTGTTTTCCCTTTGTGGTTCATTTGATAACTTGAAGAAGTTAACTTAGTATAAAATAAATCACAAGAATGATCTTTGGTTTGTCTTTTGCCATTGAGAAATAATTTGTTTCGGCATCTATTTTTATAGCTTCTGTCAAAATGTTGACAGTAACTGACAAGCTTTAGAAAACAGATTTCTTACTCACAAATGCAAATCGTGCACTTTTCTAATTTCAGAATACAGTTCTCAAGGTCCAAAGACAGATTAGAAGAAAACTTATGAATTGAAAGCATACCTTAAATATATGTATAACAATACTTTTTAAAGAATGAGACTGTTTTGAAAACAGGGTTCCCACAGAAATCTTATAATGAAATTCAATGATTTTTTCCATGATTTTTCCAGGACAAAATAGGGGCTTTCCATGACCAATTCCTCACTGTTTTAGCATCTTGGGAGCTTATTTACAATACACTGGCCAGTCATCACACCGAGGCAAGAGATGCCACTCCCTTTCAGCCTTCCAGTGTGACACATGATCACTGAGCAGCAATGAAAGCATCACAATGAAACACTGAACATGCAACGAATATAAAGTGAAAGTAAAGCCAACCGGAAGACTGCTAAAGCCAATGTATCATCACGAATTGGCTATGCAGGATTCCATGACTTTTCCATGACTTTTTCCTCAGAATACAAACTTTCCATGACTCCTTGTGCTAAAAATAACACAATTCCATGACTTTTCCATGATAGCATTAAATGCCAGTGTTTTTCCATGACTGTAAGAACCCTGTGAAAGCAGGTGGATTTTTGAAAACGTATCTAGCATAAATGACTTTTCCGCAAATTTTTCTTCGGAATGCAAACTTTCCATTACTCCTTGTATTGAAAATAACAAAATTCCAAAGTTTCTCCATGACTGTAGGAACCCTGTGAAAGCAGGTGGATTTTTGAAAAAGTATCAAGCGGAAAAAAAGATGTTCTGGCACTTGAATATATCCTAAAGGTAATTTTAATGAGCTCATTCCAACATCCGGAGGGTTTAAAGGGAATATACATCATTTGCTTTTGCTGTAATTTTCAGAAATGGATGGAATTGGGGGGTTGGAAATATATAGCAAATATAGTTACAATGACTTTTTTTAGGTTTTGGGTTCGAAAATGCTATAAAAACCAAGAAAAACAATCATTTTCCTGTAGTCTGGTTCCCTGACTCCATATAAGAAGAAACAGAGCAGTTTACATACATTGGGGAATTGTAAGGTCAGGGAACCAGTCTAGCTGGCTTGTACCCGTTCATAGGTTTGTAATCAATTGCAAACAAGCGCGATGGTCAATTGGGCCCAGTATTTAAAAAAAAGCCAGTTTTTTCCAACGCTGATCGGCCGATCAGCGTTGGAAATTGATACAAAAATACCACTTTTCTTGAAAATGACAATATACCAGGTGCCATGATTTTGCAGGATGCTTTACACTGTCATTCACTAACAGTCCAGCAAGGTATTTCAAAATGATTTGGTAGTTTTATTTTTTGATGTTTGCAAATGTTGTATTTTCCCATTAACGGCATGAAGAAACATTTGTATAATTGGAAATAGACCTACTGATTTAATGAGAAAAGCCTTGCTCAAAGTGAAAGTATGACTGGTACCAAATACGGTGTGAAATCAGTCCACCTGAAATGGTATTGTTTGGAGGAAAACAATTATTGAAGGTGGTTTTACAAATTGTGCCCACGGGCTCAACCTTTCTGCGTATGTTAGCAATGGAAAGCAGTTACGAAACACATGTTTACACCTTTTTCTGAAAATGTATAGTATCCACTTAGTTGAAACTTCACCAGGTTAGTTGTTGTACACCCTACTTAAGATTTTGAACCATTTTTTGAACAAAAAAATATGTTAAAATACTCCATGCATGGATACCATGTGTCACTTCCACTTCCGTTCAACCCTCTCACTTAGTTTGTGCGCACGCGCCAAAATCTCGGTTAATGCCAGTGACTGTTTAAATGGCAGCGCCGCGGAGAGGAAAGACCAATTTCCATCTGAAAACATCCAGTTCATTTTGCTAGATTAAGTGAAATACATGCCACCTGATAAAATTAAATGAGTTTATTTGTCTTTTATTCACCATATTTTTGTGATAAAAATTCTACATTTTCAAAAAATGTCGTTTTAGATCGTTGTTTTCTTTCATCATGCAATCATCGGCTAAAAGGGCCAACTTTAGTTGGGACATTTTTTAATATTCTCCAGTTTCCCCAAACATACCACTTGTCACAGCATTTGAATGAGATATTAAAAAAATTATTATTACAGGATTTACGAGTTATTATGAATAGGTTTGCATTCCTTAGGTGGGTTTTATTTTTGTAGTTTCCGACCAAACATTTACATGTACGAACCGCACGCTGTCAAAAAACGACGTGACCGTGCACAGACCGCCAATGTTGGGCCATTCACTGGAGCACGACATCACCGAATGAAAAAAAATGTAAAATCGTCTTCAGACACATCTTTGGAAAGGACCTTTTTTGTTTTCTTCAAAACGACAGCATGCCAAAAAAGAAAAATTTCACAGGGAGTTTAGTGGCATTACTATCTTGAAACCAAGCATGCTTTTCAACAATTATTTGTCAGTTATTTTTTGGATAGCTGCAAATGATGTACTCTACCTGTAATAGTGCACACAAGTCACTGCAGCACAGAATTTTGAAATATAAAAAAGCTTAGAAGATGAAGAATGTCGGGTTTTCAAAGTGGGAGGAAACCCATAAATGATACTGTCGCAAACCTACAACATCAGGTGGGGACTGAAAATCTTAAACGTGTCAGGCGTGGGTGGGAATCAGACCTGGGTTAGGGTCAGACTTGGACCTGGACTGCTCTGAAACGTAGAAATCTAAATCACGCCAACTTTACTGACTCGTTAGCCAGCAAATTTCTCCAAACCTCCATTGGGCAAAGAAGGTCCTCAAGTTTGAAGACTCAATTAAATTTTTAAAAGAGACATTTCTTCAATATGTTACACATAAGGGGGAAGTCAAGTGATTTCAAAATGAGGCTTAAGACTAGGCTGGTACATGTCCAACCATGGTCCTACTATTTGAAAAGACTGACCTTTTCATTCCTTGTCATTAGTCTGGTGGCTGGCTATGGAGAAATGTGTAGTAAATAGAGACTAGTTCCTAACTTGCCACATGTTTCTTTTGACACACTTGATTGATGCAGTACTGAAGCTGTGTTGGACTGGTTGTTTCAGGAGCCAGTCTATTTTCATGTACTGCATGTTTTCAATACCTTAAGTTTTGGGACTCTCATACACAGTATTGCGAGTCCCAAATTTCCAGACTAGTTAAGGGGAAGCAGGTGGGGAAAGCACCGTGGTGCCAATGTGATGTTTGTGATTCAACCACTCATAGGGTCTTCTCTACAATTGATGGCATACAGCAGTCTCCTGGTCATGATCTCCTGGCTGGTGTACTGCGGCAGCTTCACCATGAACATGCAGGTCTCTACGCGGATGAAACGTGTGTCTGGAGATCCTAAAAAGGGAAATCAATTTGGAATCCATTAAATTCATCCGGTACCATGCAACTACTTCTTGGACTCTATATAACAACACAAAACACAGCCTAACTTGTTAAGGCCAAAAAGAAGGTGTCCGGTTTCTGGTATGGAGCTTGCCCCAAAAGTGGTGCGGGTACGAGGCTTTTTTTCCCTTTTTTTAAATTCAAATGTCGGCTGATGACTGCAAATGGTGCTCAACTAAATTTAGTGCAAAATGAATGGGAGCCCAGAGAAGCCACATAAAGCTTATACTCGATCGTAACCCCATCTAAAAACACGTTAAAATTGTGCAGCAGCAGGATTCCAGTCCAACCAGTGAATTTGGCGGTTTTGAGACATCAGCTTACATTGAAACTTTTTTTTTTTATATTTTGCTGACGCACATGGCTACAGCGATGCGCGTGCAGACCAGAAACAGGAACCTTTTTTTTTTTTTTTTTGGCCTAACGTGCCTAAAATGTGATTTGGAAGCAACTTTGTCACCAACATTAAGGCAAGTTTAACCAAATTTCATGCTGATGGACTTGTACACACACAAAAAATCTCATCCCTTCACTTTCCATTTTGAATAAACACTAAAACATGGTTTGAGGGTTGATACTCGATATTACCTCCCCGAGGTATTGGAAGTTGACAGACTCGTTCCCAAGGCAAAGCCAAGGGAACTTCCTATACCTCGGGGAGGTAATATCGACTATCCACCCAAATTAAACCATGTTTTATTGGTTTTACTATACGTCATGCATATTCACAAAAAATTTCATGAAGTTACGCGTAAGTTTTCTCAGCAAAATGTTGTTGTGCTTGTGCCCCATCTTTACATGTAGCTGCTGCTAGGGCGATGTTCGCGCGTGCGCACTACCCCCATGCGCCAGTTCCACAAATGCTTCGTAAAGGGCATGCGTATTAGACTAGTGCACTGGTAACCAGTGCGACAGTCTATTACGCGTATATTTAACCCGTGCGTGAAACCTCGCATGTGCACTTGGTAAACAGCAAAATTAGTGGCTGACACAAGTGGCTGATGAACTCCTATTTCAGTACAAAATTGGTGGGAAATGTATTTCTCTCTTCAAAACCACCCCTTCACGAAACCTAACTCTCTAGCTACTGGCTCTTGGGAACAATACACGCTACGTGCACACCAGCATGCATTTGCACACAAAAACCGAGCTACTGAACAAGGATGAAACTAACTGTTGAATATAGTAAATCCCATTCACCATGGGCGAATGGGACTTTTTGAGCCCCGGCGTGAATGGGAGCAATAATGAATGTCACGTGATGTGAGTTCCATAAATCAAATGACAAGGATCTGTATGTCAGTTATATAATTGTGATTGACTTGATATACTTGTAAATTGAGTTGTGAATTTGGGCGATTCACAATGCAGTGCACCACCCAGAGTTTAACACAGGGAGTTCATTTTTCCAAGTGCATTGTGCGAGATGGTCGACAAATTCGCAGGGCGGGACATTTGAAATTGTTAGCTTTTTTCGAAGCTAGTTTCGTAAGCATATGAATCTATTACGAAATAGCTCAAGTTGTCTACTGACACTCATTCAAATGGGCCGTGTTTTGTCGACCGTAAACTTGAAAAATGGACTCTCCATGGCAAACTCTTTGTGGCACACTGCATTATGAATTGGCCGAATTGTATCTGATAGACATATGATTTGATTTTGAAATGGCTTGTGCTTGATTTGTGACATGACTTGTGACTGACTTGTGATGACTTGCGATTGAGTCTTGTGATTAACTGTGTTGATTTCTTACTCACTTGTTACTGACTTATGATTGCCTTAACTCTTTCAGTGCCAAAGTCGTACATGTACGAGGTATATTTGTTAGTTCGAAATTGCCAACCTCGTACATGTACGAGGTAGTGTTCGTACTTAAAATCGCCAAACCTCGTACATGTACGAGGTAGAGTAAGCATGTTATCAAAAGGGGGCGCTCTCGCTCTTTCTAATAATATCATTTTCATTCAGGTACGACCTGTATTTATTTGTTTCATTCGAGTTCTTGCAAGAGGGAGCAGCACTGACACTCGTATTTTCTGCAAAAAGTGGAATTCCCCTGTGTGCACGACAGTGTTTCAGGGTGTATCACTATGTACGTGACTACTATTGATTTTCCAATATACCGAGGATATACCAGAGATCAACAACAACAAATTTAGTGAGTAAAACTTATTTACTTAATTTTTTACAGAATTTTGAACAATTAAAAAAACGCTCGAAGTTGGGCACTTTAGGGTTAAACTTTTCAAATTTCGCGGGCACTGAAAGAGTTAATGACAACTCTACAAGAAAGTTTCTGAGACTCACCCCCGGTTCCATCAGGTGGGGCTATCTTCATTGGGTAGGGTGGCACATGACTGGTATCAGCCTCCCCGTCTCGGCATGGGCAGGTACATGGGATGCGGTCCTGATTGCAAGCAAACTTGATGAAGCGAGCTATCTCTTCTTGGGAGAATGACTCCAGCGCTGACCAGAAGTACTGGATGTGGGTGTCTGTCTCGACCAGGCCCACCTGGTACATGGTGTGGGCCTAGTGGAAGGGTACAAGGGGTAAGTGAAAGTAAGACAAGCCCGTTCCTAGCCAATATGGCCCATCAGGGCAGCATTTATCTATGGTTTCCTTGGCCTGAAATGACTGAGAATATTTCAATTCCTCCTGGATGGAATACCTGTTTATTACAGATAACAATACAATACAATTCAATTAGGCATTTATAAATCGCCCTTCAAGGAACACAGCGCTGTACAAAGCAATACAATAAATTACACAATGAACAATGAAACTCAATAAACAGAACATCAGTAACAAAACGAAGTACAAAGCAATACAAGAAATTAGACAAACAGGTGTGTTTGTAGAAGATCTTTGAAAATGCCCAAGGTTTTGGCCTCTCTGATGTTGATGGACAGACAGTTCCAAAGGCGTGGTCCAGCGGCTTGAAACGCTTTATCACCGGTACGAGTTCTGGTTTTAGGCACAGTGAGAAGAGTTGAGTCTAGCGAAGAGCAAGTGGCATATCTAGGTTTGTGAAATTAATCAGGTTTTGAAGATAATCCGGGGCTTGTGAGTGAACGCATTTGTAGACGATGACAAGGATTTTGAATTCAATACGCTTACGGATCAGCAGCCAATGAAGACGACGTAACAAGGGGGCACTGGATGTATCATGCCCTACCAAAATATCAGTCTTGCCGCTCTATTTTGTAGGTGTTGAAGACGAGTTATGTCATAGCATCTCCAAACAGTTATCACTCACCACCCAATGCAGATTACTCCCCAATTACAATACAGGATTGAGAGAGGCCGGTTGTGGTGAAGTAGCTTGCCCAAGGACACAACATACAATTCGAACAACTGACCCTTTGATCGTGAGTCGTGACCCTAACCACTGGGCTAAACTCCCAATTGGACAAAAAATTCCAATGAGCCAAATGAAACTAACTTGGGCCAACTATGAGTCAAATTTAAATAATAACTGGTACACTGACTTATCGTCAAAATTTTCAAGAGATGAAGTTCATATCTCTCACCACATTTTTAAAGGAATATGGATTAAAATAGGGGTTTTTCCTTTTCTTCTTTGTTTACCTTTAAAAAGTCCAGATCAACTGTTGGTAGGCCACAAGTTCTGAGTTCCAAATCATGTGGCGTCATCATACAAAGCAGATGGATTGGTATGACCGATGCTAGCCCACAACGGACTGCTAGCATGCGCTCTGGGCTGGCTAGCTCTCTCAAACGTAGATCCCGTATGGCTGAGATGTACTGCTGGCGATTCTTCCAACTGCAAAAGCAAACAGACACGAATTAGTCCTTATTTTACCCCAAAATATCTGCTTGTTGCTCCCTAGACTGCCTCAGCACTGTACAGGGTGAGTAAAAAAAAACAACGAAAAACAAATGTTGGGACTATTGTTTTAATGAAGTTCTGCATGTAGACTTTCAAAATCTAGGATATAAAAGCCCAATTCAGCTTTCTTTTAGTACAAGAATCATTCAAATCACTCATGTACTTTTCAAGTTACGGATTTTTAAACACAACCACCATTTTAAAGTTCTGTCTACAGATCACAAAAAAAGTGTGCATTCTTTCAACAAAAGAAAAACAATTTGCACACATCCCTATGTGATTTGTTTTCATGTTGCTGAAAGAACACTTAAACCTTTTTGTGATCCGTAGACAGAACTTTAAAATGGTGGTTGTGTTTCAAATTCCGTACCTTCAAAAGTACATGAGTGATTTGAATGATTCTTGTACTAAAAGAAAGCTTATGAATTGGGCTTTCGTATCCTAGATTTTGAAAGTGCTACATGAAGAGCTTCACTAAAACAATGGTCCCAACATTTGGGTTCACTTTTTTTTACTCACCCTGTATATGGTTTTATGGATTCATCAATGAATATATAAGGGAATAAATACCGGTATGTGCTTGGCCGGTTTTAAACAAGTACGTTTAAAACTGACTTGACACTGAGCCAAATCCTGTTTTACAATAAGCATTAGGATGTACATTTTCGGGTTGTAAGGGAACCAGGTACCTATTGAGGTAAGCCACGGTTAACCATGTACCCGTAATTATCAAGTTGACCGAAGGTCTTCATAGCTTTGCAGTACAAACTGCAACTTTCGCAAGCGTCATGTGGTGCATCGAAATGCACTTAAACGTGACATCTGCTTTGGTTTTGCATGTAGCCTGGTTTTCATTTTGGAAAATTCCCCACAAATGGCATGTAAAACATTTCTTTTTCATTGTCTTAGAAATCACAACGTAATTTGCAAAGTTGGTTACCGGTACCCGATCCCATTATCTGGAACCGGTTCCTGACATCAACGGTCGGGTACTCGGGTACCCGGTTCTGATACACACGCCTAAATAAGCAATTGTCATAGAAAATACCACTGGCTATAGTGGCTAAACTGTAATAATGTATCCTATGCACTCCGTGCACAAGTACGCCTTCAACGGCCAGGAAAGGAGAGTTTGGAGAGACCTAGACTGGTTCCCGGTTCATCCACTGCGTATTTCGAATGATCCAAAGTTATTGGGGGCGGGGATTAGTCTGGGAGACCATCGCAAGTTATATTCGAACGTATTTGCGCGCCGACGATGCCTGACGCTCACGCGAAGACACTGTGGCTAATAGCTTTTACACATTCAGGAAGTCGTGCGTACTTCGCGTGCGAACCAGTACAGTGCGCTGTGTGTCCCGTCCACAGAGCTCTCAAAAGTGGTAAAAATGCGCCCTCTTCTGCTGGCGCACTAATGGGTTTTCCCCCCAAAAGTTTGGGTATTAATAGTACAACAGGAGGTCAACAATTGAATGTGTTTAAATCTATTTTGTAATGAATACATGATACGGTATTCCATAGAGACTGGATTTTGACTAATCTTCCTGGTGACCCACCCGACTCGTCGAGTCCTCCCCTCCGTACACAGCTCCACTTCTGCCCCGCCCAGGCTGTTATAAACAAACGTCAGGTTGTGAGAAGGCGTGTCCGTCTGGGAGGAGGAGGGGCCAGTGGATGGCCCAGGGGCGGGGTCTGGGTCAGGTGACTCCAGCTCAGGTGCATGATGGGAGGAGACCTCGGCGCACAGCGCGTCAAACTCTGCTTCACTCTGAACCTGGCATTATCAAGAAAAAAATTCAAATTTTGTTACTGTGATAACAATACGGAACAAATACTAGCGGTATGCCTGTTTGATGAGCAGAACATAGGGCCTTTTGGCATTGTTGATGTTGATGTCAATTTTCATCTTATACAAATCCCTATGTGTATATCAAGTATCAATCCGATCGACCCTGTAGTTCTGTAGATATAGCTCGCTCAAAAATGTACCTTTCAGATGACGTCACATGTCACGTGATGATGTCATGATGACATCACGTGTCCATGCATGAGTTCACTGTGGGTTCTGAGTCTGTACCAAGTTTCATTAAAACTGAAGTTCAAAAGTGGCACAGAGAAGGAAACATGTACAAAGTCTATGGGATTTGTGGGAACAAGAAGAAGAAGAAAAAGAAGTAAAAAACAAATTAGAACAAAAACGAAGGCTATTTTGCTGATGGCGAAAAAGCTCTACCTCTGTCAATCTCTTGAGGTAGCTGTAGGTGATACAGTCAGCTTCTTCAAGATCCCTCTCAGGGTCCAACGGGGCTCCAACCAGACACTTCCAGAACGACGGCAGTAGATCCAAGGCTAGGGGGATGTCTGCTCTTAGAGCGATGCCGAGGAGCTGAGGGTAAGGAAGGAAAGAGTATATGTATGTCCAAATTTTGATATGGAAACCCACTGCAAAACTTCCTCAGAAAAATACAAGTGCGAGTGCACAATAAGCTCTGGCTGCCTTGCATGGAAGTCTTGCATGAAATGATTGTGCATACAAGCCTGCGCCGCCGTCCCGCGCGAAAATCAGGCACTGAAAATTGACAAAAAAAGCCCCTCAATTTCCCATATAAACAAAGACTATAACATTACTGCACATTATCTTGCCTCCATTTACAAAATTTTCATAAACAACTTTACAAATTGTTACAAACAATTTTGTATTAAGTATTTCATTTTTTTTCTTCTTTTTTCCCCGTTAAATTAAAACTTGATAGTTATATTTATTTCACTTAGGGGGCTCGCTTTTGGTCAATTTTCCAGGGACAGACATATATATGCAAAATAGACGCGAATGCGCATCGATCGAGGCAAAACCCGTTTTCCGATTACTTTCGTCTCAAGAGTGCATTTACTGATGACGGCATGGCATTTGGTCAATTTTTGGTCAAATATTTTGGTCAATTTTTGGGGACAGACAGACAGACAGACAGACTGACCGACTGACCACCAAGTGGCATGTCGAAGCTCCTACCAGAGCTTAAAAACACATCTAATTTTTCAATTTTTAATTTCAAGTTAGTCGATCTATTGGCAATTTTGCAAGGCCTTTGGTAGTGCTGTGCATTTCTAATAATTTGTTATTTGGTTATTCTAACTTGGACTTGATCGAATATTGGAACATACGCAATGTGCTGATCAAGTTTTACATAAAACTACGCTTTCAAAAGTGTTTAATGTTTTTCAATTAACCAAAAAACAAACAAACAAACAATTACCAGTCCAAAGAACTCCAGAAGTTTCTCCTCCGGGAACGTGATGGCGCCCGGCCTCATTAAATATCTGCCTTTATTTCGGCCGGTTCCCGCACTAGGGCACAGGACGAGCAGACCTAGGGTGGAGCTCTGCAGCTCACGGGTCACCTGACCTAGGAAATGCCTAAAGGAACCACCTACGAAGAAGAAAAAGAATTACCAGATTTCGATTTGAATAATTTCTCTGGAATTATCATATGCATATTGTACCCAAGTGCAAACTGTTCATTAACACAAATATTGCAGAGTTCCCCGATGATAACTATAGGGTGAGTAAAAAACCTGAAAACCAAATGTCAGGACGATTGCTAAGTTCAGCATGTAGCATTTTCAAAATCTAGGATATAAAAGCCCAATTAATTAGCTTCTTTTAGTCCAAGAATCATTCAAATCACTCAAGTACTTTTCAAGTTACAGAATTTTAAACCCAACCACCGTTTTAAAGTTCTGTCCCAAATCACAAAAACGTAAGTATTCTTTCAGCAAAACAAAAACAAACCACATAGGGATGTGTGTGAATTGTTTTCATCTTGCTGAAAGAATGCACACGTTTTTTTGTGTGATCCATGCATGGATCACAGAAAAAAGTTTGAAAGTTTGGAAGTTCTGTCCATGGCCATGGATAGAACTTTCAAACGGTGGTTGTTTTTAAAATTCTGTAACTTGAAAAGTACATGGGTGATTCGAATGATTCTTGTACTAAAAGAAAGCTTATGAAATGGGCTCTCATATACTAGATTTTGAATGTCTTGCAGAATTTTATAACAAAATAAATCATTCTGTCAACAAGACTAGTCAGTAAGCTCAAGTAATGGCTGTTTACAGCCGTTTAACTAATTTACAACGTATATATTTGATAGACAGCAACTAGTTCAGTAAATTTTGACACCTTTTACAACATGTACTACAAACTGCAGTACGGTCCGGTAACCATGCATAAATAGAGGCCACACTCACACAGAGGGTTAAAAAAAAACCTGACTTACTTGTTCCATGGACCTCTTCGCCTGTTAGCCTAACGTTGAACGCATATGTAGGGTCCCCCCCACTTGCAATCTTGACACAAAGCTTGGAGGAAGGAACGATGGACAGCTGTCTGGCTGCCTGACAGAACTGGGTAGCTAGGCAGTCCTGGGCATCGGCTGGTGTCAAACAAGAAATGGATCCAATTTTTTGTGAATTTAAGGAGCTGTTTTTCCCATAATGCAACTTGTAGCACATGGACACTGCCATTTTAAAAACACTTCTTTTTCTGTGACATTATAATTCCAATTGCGTTTGGCATGTTTGCAGGGGCCAAACTAGTCTAGGGGCTAGACGTTGTTATAGTTTGTTACGTGATAACCAGCTGCCGCGATAACCCGCCGTCACGTTATCACGACCAACCAATATCATCCACGAGCCCGTCGGAACACATCTAGGCGAAATCGTATTGGTTGTGTAATGTGTGTGCACCCATTTGGCCTAATATATGCAGTGCGCATTAAAAAAAAATTCATATAGTTCCGAAGCAAACTCAAATTTCTTCCATTAATGTGAAAGATGCAGCAAGACGTTTGTCCATAAACCTTACCTCCTACAATCTCCAGGGGGTCCAGGGTAATCTCCGGAGCCGCCTGGTCCAAGTTGCGCTGAGCCGTGGCATCCAAGATGGCATTGAAAAACTTGATCTTAGTGTCATAGAACAGAATCCTCCTAGCCCTAGATATAAGGGCAGCCGTGCTCAAGGAGAGGGTCTGAGAAGGTCGTAGGTCAACCAGAGGCAGGAAATATGCCTCTAGATTGTTGCTAAGCGACTGGAGGAGGGCAAAGCGCAGACGGAGAACCTCCAGTGGAACACCTGATTGCAGAAAATAACAATAAAGGAACGCTCAATCAATTTATTTGTTTTAAAAGTATTTTACACGGCCACTACGTCCTCAGGAACGAGGCACAATGCTCAGTAACTAAATTGATCAAACTATTTAACCAGTTCACGTCGGGATTATTTTGACAAGAACAGAACGAGGCACGGGATTGCTTTTCACCCGACCTCAAGCCAGACGGGTTGAAGTCATCAGCCTCGGGCAGCACACTCATATTTCCGGCCTCGCTCGCTGAGAGCGGGTTGCTGACAGATATTTCCGGCCTCGCTCTCTGCGTGTTTATCTGTCAAAACTTTTGTGTGTACACACGGCCTCCAGCGCGAACTGGTTAACCCTTTAGCACTTGTATTAAATTGTATTACATTGTATTCACTCCTCCATGAAGCCATAGCTGGTGTGGTTTGGGGCGGTATGAGGAGTAACAAGCAGGGTAAATTGAGGCAGCAAAAGGGCTAAAGGGTTAAAACTGTTTGATGTCTAAACTATTTCATATCTAAACTATTTCCTGTCCAAAAGTATTTCATGTCTAAACTATTTCATACGTAAACTATTTCATATCTAAACTATTTCCTGTCTAAACTAATTCATGTCTACACTATTTCATGTCTTAACTATTTCATATGTAAACTATTTTATATCTAAACTATTTCCTGTCTAAACTATTTCATGTCTGAACTATTTCATGTCTGAACTATTTCATGTCTGAACTATTCATGTCTAAACTATTTCATGTCAATAACTGTTATACGTCTAAAATTATTTCACATTTTCAAATATTTATGTTAGAACAACTGTTTCACGTGCAAAATGATTTCACATTATAACGTCTAAAATGTTAAATACCGTGTGTCTAAAATTATTTCACATTTTCAAATATTTATGTTAGCAAACTGTTTCATGTTAACAATTGTTTTACTGTCCATTAAACTGTTATATGTCTAAACTATTCCATGTCTACAATTATTCCATGTCAACAATTATTTCATATCTTCAACTATTCATGTGTAAACTATTTTATGTCACAACTATCTAAACCCTTTCATGTCTAAGGCCCCATCTCGATAATGAATGCCCGTTATTTCCCGTTCTGTCTGCGTTCCGGACGATCAGTCTGCAGTTGTCAAGGAGGGCAGGAATCTGCAGACTGGACGGGTGTGTGCGTTCAAGCACAGCAACTTTAATGAGCTAGACCAGCCGTGTGCTTTTGTTATCTCAACAATGATGCAATGAATAAACATGAGTCAATGTAGACCTCATGAATACACACGGTCGGTACGCAGAAAGTCGTTCCGTTTTGTTATCAAACAAAACATTGTACATTATGATTGTGTGAGCAGGAACCGGCCTTTTAAATACAAGTGAATATAATAGCGGAGCGAAGATCGAAGCGAATTCGTCATCTGCAAACGTTTCCAGAAAGGTTTCTGTAATTAATATAATAATTTATTTCATGGCAAGAATATGAACTGGCCGTATATGAATGTTAATTTCACCGAAACCTTTAGGCTTTGAACCGAGTTTTCTTACAAAGATCGTAGCAAAAGCCGATGGTACATGGAACATAATCACTGCGTAAGAGAACTGCCAGGTTAACCCCTCTTTTTTTGTCATTCTAACAAAATATTTCACTGCATTTTGCTCCGAGATTGCCGTATTTCAATGCAAATTAATGTTTTGGAAGTTCTCCACTTCATCGCAATGAAATAAAAAACGATGTGTCACGTAAGTTTGCCGCGAAATTCTGAAGATTTTAGAAGTTTTATGCTTCTATAAGAATTACCATTTGAAAATTTGAATGAACACAAATTGAGATGGGCAACATTCCGGGTTGTAAATCACTGCTTAACGCTTGGAAAGAATTGTGAGGGTCTATGCGATTCAATTCTTATTTTTTTGACGTACATAAAAAAGGCCAAGTAGTAAAATGTTTTAAGAAAAGAATACATGAAACAGCCGTTTTGCTGGCGGGGATTTCCCCACAGCACGCAACGCAAATAGTCAGCTCCCAAATTCAATTGCGTACTAATTCAAGTGGCTGTGATCCTGGTAACACGACGCGTCGACGACACATCCAAAACGGTATGCATTTTAGTTTGCCGACCGCACATGCAAGATGCAGGACCTGACGCACAGACTTCGTGCACATTTCACCAAGTTAGTGACAAAAGGGGACATTTTGCTGCGTCGTACTACTGCAAGTAGTGGTACAGCTTCAACACCTTGGACAAATGGAATTTCCTTCTCCAAGTTGCACATTTAATTCGAATCCCGATGGTCATGACAGTTTGGTATTCGACTAGTGAGGATCCGACGTTGACTCCATCTATGATCTAGACCACATGCTCCATCGCTTTGCAGGATTATTAGTATTAACAGAATCGTTTGAAATCATATTAACCTAAAGTGTTTTATAACTGGATAGTAAACTTTTTGGATTAAATACGGACTGATTTTGAGTAGAAGAGTGCGGTTAGATAGAATGATAAAATAATGGGGCATAATATTATAGTCACGTCACCGTGCATGGTCACTCTAATTTATATAAAACGCATGGTTTTTTATTAAATATAAAATATCAATATTTATGATTGTATAACAATAAAACGATTTCAAAAATTAGGCATGTGAACAACCTCATCAAATGCAAAATGTAATGAACTAAGTTCGGGGTAAATATTTTCGAGAAATGAACATCGCACTGGTTAAAAATTTTATTCCCCGGCCGGGCCATGCCCGCACCGGTACGTAGGCACAGCTGTCTAATAATAAACTCCCCAGCCCAACTCATACGCCTGCACGGTAAACAGCCGTTGACAACTCCAATCTATCCTGGCCTTTGTGGGAAAGGGTTGGGTCATTGCCAAACAGAGCGTGGGAAACAAGACAAACATGTATATCGTCATGGCTACGAAATTCTACCACCAATGAGAAGACCCGATGCCAACATCCGAGCAAAACTGTTTCAGTCGACATGGCTGATAGGTCATAAAAAGCGGCACAGCTAGGACCGCCCAAAACTCATCACGGTTGAAATTCATGCGGATTTCTCAAACACTTCCATCATAGCAACATAATTGTCAAGGAAACCAGTGACGTGCAGTGAAGGCCCTCGTAAATATTCATGAGTCAGTTTCTACCAAAAAGTCTTCCATAATGATATTGGGTGATTTAAGTTCATCTACTCGTTCTCTTTTGTCTGCACTAGATATTGGTGTACTCCTAAAACTGTGCAATAGGCCTACACGACCAAGTTGTTTTCTTGTGCAAAGTCATTTTCTACCCTCTGAAAATTAGTTTTTATTCTTTTAATATTTTTTTAGCTCCCATTAAAAAAAATTGCTCGGCCGCAGTAAAACAAACTTTATTATTCGTTGATTTCGATGTCACATTCAGAAGTGAATGACACCATATTATTTCATAAAGAACACAATATATATATTTTTAAAAGCATAGAGACTTAAACTTTATGCTGTATTTTCTAAAACTACTACATGTACGTTGTTTAGTTTTCAATATTTCTTACATATTCATTACACGATAGAGCAAGGAACATGATTAGCCTACACTCATCATTTTTCTTACATTCTAGATTGCGGAAATGAACTCTCTAATACCTCGCACAGTCAAATTAAATTTATGAAAATGACAATGCATAATTATGGAACTTCGGTAGGATAATTACTATTTTGGGGGTGTGGGGCATTAATTCTTCGAATGCTTTATTACTCTACATTAATTACAAATAATTATATTATAATGAATACCGAAGGGTCTCTTGATGAAGTCTAAATATTTTTGAACAACATTTCATATCATTGCCATGACGTGGTAACTTGTGATGGTCTCCCCGTCTCGTCAAGTAAATGGTGGCTTCTTGACTACCTACTCAGAAATCGACAAAGAAATGTTAATACACATGTATATTATATATATTAGGCCAAGCAAATTTTTAATACATAGCAGAATGTTTGATGTCCAACGAATCCTCATTTAATTAACAATAAGTTGATTTTTAAGTCAGGTTTGTACCAATCATAACAACAAAGTTGCGATTTTATTCCCTGGACCTTTATTCTGTCCGGACACGCGGAGAAAACACCGCGATGCGGCCAGACACAATGCCACACAGCCCACCGCTCGCTACGCGTTTGGCACGGTCAAAGTATAGTTCAGATCCCGCTCCACACTGCACAACACAGCAACAGGGATAATACGTGCACATTACCACGTGTCAAACAAGTCTGACAACGGCCGATCCCGCTCCACACAAAGGTAGTAGACTATCAGTCTGGTTCCAACTCTCGCGACCGTTGTCAGCCACAATTTGCTCGTTTCGCCTCTGTTGTACCATGGAGTTATTTCTCCGTGGTTACTTGTACTTGTGCCTCTCTATTATTACAATCGAAACCGTCGGATCGAACACGTACGTATTGTACGAAAACTGGCGTTAAACCACCATGGTTTTTTTTTTGAATAATACCAGAAAAAAATTACTTGCTGAAAAGGCTTATACTAGGCCCCCTTCATTTTTGGATTTTGCATTTGACCATTTTTTGTTTTGAAGTCGGTATCGATCGTAATGTTTTTTTTTCCATCCAAACCAAGATAATTTTGTGGGGTCGCATTTTTTAGCGCTTTTAAAAGGGGCCGTCGCGCAGTTGACTAAATTAAAAGTATTTTTTTTATATCGTGACAAATGTTTTTGCTTATTAACTCCTCTCGTTGTTTAGGTTCTGGTAAGAGAATTCGTGAATGTCGGTGACAAAAAAAAGAAGAATAAGGCCGGTCTCACTAGCGCGAAAGCCAACGCCAATTTTTGGCGCATATTTAATTTAGTTTGAATGAAGACGTAATTTTGACTTCGTTTTGCGTGCGTTAGGTTGAATCGTAGAACCCGTATACAGTACATGTACATTACCGCACAAGTATAATACTAGTCACATCACATTCCTTCATGTGCTCACGAGGCGAGGCTCACAACATGGCTAAGTAGTTGCGGTTTTGCAGGTCGGTATTCTGCAGACTAACCGGCCATTCATATTTAAATGATCTCTCTGGCACTGAGCCTGGCCCGGCGGGTCTGCAGAAGATCGGGCATATTCACACCTTTTGTTATTTAAATGAAGCGTTCTGGCCCGTGCCAGGACGGGTTGTCAAGGGCTCTTTTGTTAAAAAAGTCTGCAGGATCCTTCAGAAAGAACGGGGTACCGACGATCATTCATTATCGAGATGGGGCCTAAACTCATCCATGTCCAAACTATTTCATGTCTTCAACAATTTTGTATTTAGACCCTGTACAACTATTTTATGTCTGTGTATTCTAATCACCTTGCAATGGAGCAAACTTTGGGTTGACGAGATCATCCTCCGTGAAGTACACCTCATGCGGGTGCAGACGGGCCGGAGTGATGGAGAATTTACGACACAGACGATCCACGTAACACACGAGGGCAGCATCCATGTCGTGGGTCCAATGCTTGAAGTACGAGGGGGTGTCTGAGTGGTTCAAACTAGCAAATCTGCATTCGAAGTACAAATCACTGCCGTGAATATTTCACTCAAATATTTTTATGGATTCATCTTTTTATGGATTTATTTTACATTTATGCTGATAGACTGAGCTCAGAAAATAGCAATCACATTTCTGATTTGAAATCGTAATCTCTTATTTTTTATTTTTTTTATAGAACATTTAAGTTTTGGTATATTTCTTGACACATGAGGCCGCTGTTGAAATGCATTCCAGAAATGCAACCAAGTTTTTTAGAAAATACAAAAGAGTTAGCAAATCACCCCAATGCAAGTTCTTTTTACATACAAGTGTATAACAATCAGCTGTTGTGGTGGTGACATCACTGCTGTACTCATGAATATGGAAATTCATATTAGATTTACAGTTAATCATTCACTGTTCAGCATGGAACAACAAAAGCAGAAAGGTAATACAAAGTTTCCAAAATGAAAACATCACTTGTAGTGAAAAAAATTCCAACATAATAATAAATTGCGCTCATCCCTTATACATCCAGCCACAAGTCCGTACACAAGACCATTCACAAGACCAGTCACAAGTCCAGTCACAAGTCCAGTCACAAGTCCTGTCACAAGGCCAGTCATAAACCCAGTCACAAGTCCAGTCACAAGTCCAGTCACAAGTCCAGTCACAAGTCCAGTCACAAGACCAGTCACAAGTCCAGTCACAAGTCCAGTCACAAGTCCAGTCACAAGTCCAGTCACAAGTCCAGTCACAAGTCCAGTCACAAGTCCAGTCACAAGTCCAGTCACAAGTCCAACCACAAGTCCAGTCACAAGTCCAACCACAAGTCCAGTCACAAGTCCAGTCACAAGTCCAGTCACAAGTCCAGTCACAAGTCCAGTCACAAGTCCAGTCACAAGTCCAGTCACAAGGCCAGTCATAAACCCAGTCACAAGTCCATTCACAAGTCCAGTCACAACAGAGGAAAAACTATTACAAAGGAAGCAGTTGTCACACTTGAACTGTGACAGTTCTTGTGACTTGTGATAGCCTTGTGAGGATTTGTGACAGACTTGAATACGAGACGGTCCAACAATGGCTTTTCATGACTGGGCAAATCTTCACAAATTGAACCTTAATTATTATTTTTGGATGTGATGTAATATAAATGATTATTGTTCACTAAAGTGTTGCTCGTTAGTAAAGATGCAAACTTCTTAAACAGTTTCATAAGTTGATCTTTTTCGTAGATAAATTAGCATAATTACAATTACAAAATGACACATATGTCACCAATTAAAATATCTCACACATGACCACAGAACAGTTCCCATTTAGTACAACTAAAGCAGAGGGTGTACATTGTTCACGCATTCTGTAAATCACACAAGACTAGTCTTACTCCAAAATAAGTATTGCTGTGTGTCCTTAGAACTTTGGAGGAAAGTGTGAATTTCCTGTATGGGCCAGATGACATTGTTACATCTGATGTCACACGTGTGATCAAACTTTGGTGAACCCTCCTAATATTTTGACACAATTTGTTAAACTATACTCTGAGGTAGGGAGTAAAAAGTACTAAGCTGATGAATCAGTGAAAGTAATATTTCACATGTAGTTAAAAAGGGGTAAAGCTTCAAAAATCAGACGAGCCCAATTTTATGTCACACAGAGACCAAAGAATGGTCAGAATGCAAGCTGCTAAAATTCAGCGCAAGTAATATGTGCGACTCACCTGTCGAAGTGAAAGTCAAATCCACAAGCCATCAAGGCCTTCCAGACAGGTGTGGCATCCTCCTGGGCTCGGTCCGTCACATACTGAAGAAACCCTCCCAGAGACAGCGCCCTCTCTTGAGCCATCTCCTGCTTGGCCCTGCCGTCCTCGGATTGGCGTTTTTCAGGAAAATCGCGGGCTACCTTCTCTGGCCGCTTGGATTTCTTGTCGGAGGGACTGGCAGATCTGACCAAAGAAAATTATTATAAATTCAAATTAACCCTAGCCCTGCCAGATCCTTTACATCCAAAAGGTTTTAACTAAACACCGCAAACAAAAAGAAAGTCCACACTCATTGGAAGGGTAATACTTTTGAATCTGATCGTCTTATGATGACATTATTTATATTGACCTTTTTGAAATTTTGTTAGCTACATTTTGATACCCCGTTTGCTACAAAAGACTGTATATCGTCCAAAATTGACAATGGTTTATGAAAAATGATGCTGTTTGAAAAGTTGCGAATTTAAAGATCAAGCTAAGAGAAATTGCAAAGCACAAACACGCATGCCCGTAATTGGCCCCTACTGACTGAACATTGCCTGAACAAAGCATGGGTAATTCAATTTTGAATGCTCCCATGCATACAAGCACTGTGCGATCGATATTCCCTGCCGTTCGTTTCATGCCGTTTAACATTGTCACGCAGCAATTTCCACTCACGTACTCTTCAAATCTGCAACTTTTCAAACTGCATCACTTTTCATAAACCGTTGTCAATGTTGGACGATTTACAGTCTTTGGTAGCAAACAGGGTATGAAAATGTAGCTAACAGCATTCCCCAAAGGTCTATATAAATGACGTTATCATAAAACGATCAGATTCAAATTTATGACCTCTCCAATGAGTGTGGACTTTCTGTTTTTGCGGTGTTTATTTTAGGATGGTGGAGGCTCCATAACCCAAGTGCCTCTTGGTGGATAGGTGGCTTAAACAAACCTGATGGTACTGTTATAGTAAGGGTTCCAATCCCACAGAACATGAAACTCAATAAGATGTGTATTATAACAGCTTAAAAATCTTGGGAATTAAAGAGAATTATCTTAGGAATCATTTGTTATAAAAGGTTGAGATTGTCTTACTTTCCCTTGAAAGACACATCAGCTGCAGCCAACTTCTCTTTGCTGGTCTTGCTCCCTCTACGATTCACGGTTCTGCTTTGCTCCTTAGACGGTTTGGCTTGGGAAGAAAAGACGAGCACATCAATATTTTCCTCAATGATGGATAAACAGATCAATCTAGTATACTTTCTTTCCGGAACATTGAATTTGTAATCCCATACTTGTTTCAATATCCATTTCGACAATAGGGATAAACTATCTGCTATTTTGTGAAACAATGACATTGAAGTAAAGTGTCATGCTGAAGGACATACACAGAAAGATCTGCTCACTTTTTAAAATCCTATCAGGTAAATTCACCCAAAAATATGATCTATTATCATAAACCATAGACCTGGACTTGTAAAAGATCCCTATACAAACACACATGTACATTGGCAACACAGCTTATACTAAACTATGTTGAACATTATTCAAGACATGTCTTACCACTAGGTTTCTTGGGTCTAGTGGTACTCAATCTGTTCACTCCATATTTCTCCAGAACTTGGGTCACCTCCTCCTGGGCAGTGTGTTTGGATCCCTTCACCTCCCCAAAGAAAGGCACCAGCAGGTTGCCAGGAGCCAGACTGAGCATCTGCTCCTTGGACAGTGTCACTTCGGCTGTATCCATGTCCTTCTCTTCGAGCTCTGAGAGGAGTTTGAAGCCCTGCTCAGCAGCAAGACAGCTGTAGAAGACCTGCTCCAGGGACTGCACTGCAAGGGTTCTCAACTCCCTTGGAGGTTTCTCCATCAGCAGTTTGTGTTTCAGATACTCCTGGAACTCAGAGCTGTCCGTCAGTTCCGTCTGCAAGGAAGAGTTGACGGCTGAAACGGTGAGGAAGTCTTCTGGAGAAACGTCCAGGATGGCCGCCGTTTCGACCTGCATAGCTTCTGTCACCTCCTTGCTGGTGAGTAGGGCATTCTCAATGCTGTCAATTTTGGCTTTGCAGCGTACCTCCAGGACAGCATACCCCTTGACACATTGTTTGAGCTCTTCCAAATTGTCACTGGTTTCTTTGTTTTGTTCAACGTCAGGGGTTGCTTCACTTTCAGGAGGGGGTGTAAGCAGCTCTGCATGTTGGTCAGATAATGGAGCTGCCATTGCACTGTGTTGAGTGTCTGAACTTTGGTTTTCAAGAGTTGTGGTGGCACTGGCTTCTGCAAGTGGGGATGGATCTGGGGAACTGATTGATGCCCCTAGCGGTGGGTCTGGTTGTGGTAAGTTTACTGGTGTTGTGTTTGTTGTGTTTGGTTCATCAGGGGAGTCTTCTGGTGGTTTCTGGTCCTGGACAGGAATCCACAGCTCTTGTTTATAGAGGCCGCCGTGAGAGCTGCAAGCCCGTTCAATGGCCTTACGGACAGTTTGTTCTTCCAGTGTCTTGGGAATACCAGAGATGGCCAGCAATCGAGAGTGAGTTGATGGGATGGAATTGGACTGGTGAGCATCCAAGATGGCATCTCGGGTGACTGTGGAACCTTGGGGGTTCCCGTCGATGAGGTACCGCAGGATCAGTGAGACAGTCAGTGCTCGGTGGAACCAAAGCATCTCTTCTGGCTTGGAGCTGGTGGAAGCTGATGTCTCCCCGCTGTCACTCTCACTTGGACGAGGGCTGCGCTTCACTGCAGCTCCTGTTCTCCTGATCTTCACCTTCTTCCGTTTGGCCGCTGCCTGAGGACTAAGTTGCACTGAGGGAGTAGCGTGGGCTGATGGGGCAAGCTGTGCTCCTAGACCAGGCGGGGATGTCACCTCAGCCAGGGCAAGACACAGCTCCATCAGGGCCTGGAAGTATGTTGACTGCTGGCCTGGTGTGATTGAGGACAGAACACCTGACGTTGACTCATGCTCAAATAGCTTTCGGAGCTCAACATTCAGATGAAGGAGCTGGGTGATCACAACAAATGGAAAGGTGGTAGCAGCAGCAGTGATGCTGTCGCCTGAAGATTCCCTCTTGTAGAGCATCCGCAAGAGCTGAGCCAGCATGTGGAAGAGGTACTCCTTGATCAGCGGGGGCACTTTGGTAGTCATCAGGTAATGGCTCAGGAGCTCAGCAGCCCTGGAGATCACCCTCGGGGGGATGTGGGCGGGTCTGTCTTTCAGAATCTCCTGCCGCTCAGTTGGGATGTCTTTGAGCCTGTCAATGACAATCTCCTCCATACCCTCCACTTTCTGGCTACCAATCTGATGCTCACATCCTACCAGGGTCTCGATGAAGGCCATGGCCAGTGGGAACTCTGACGGCAGGCCGTGGAGGGACACCACATAGCCGGGCACCGGCGACACCCCATGCCTGACGTGGACCCGGTTACAGGGCAGGACCATGGTTGGATACGGATCAATGTTGTGACTGGGAGGCGCAGAGAGACCTGCTGAACTGTTGATAGCAGCGTCAGCTGGATAGCTCACTACCTCCAGCAAAACTGTTTGGCCCGTTTTCTTCACTCGGTGACCGATTCCGTAGCAGAAAACTCGGGCCCAGGGAGCTTGATAGAGTGAGGCCCTGTGACAAACAAATCGCACTTGAAATTCACTTCGAACTTGCTCAAGAGATTATAAGAGTTTGCTCTCTCATCATTATTTGTCACTCTTTCGGGGACTACAAAAATACAGAAGTCTAAAGGATAGTTGAGCAACCATCCAGGTGGGTGTGGTTTCACAACTCTAATCAAAGCTAGTAGAAATTGTTGTACTACACATTAATACTTTATGGAATTTCACAAGATTACTAAGTTGGACGCAAACCCAAGAAATAGTTCCTGTTTTTTACACTGATTCGTGAAAAGCTGTCAACATACATATCTGTAAAATTCTTTCAGAGACGGTCATGCTGTGAATCCTCTTTTACCAGAAAACCCAAGTACAGAGCTAATATTCGGGTGTTTGCCTGAGCCTGTACCAGGATTTCAACCCTGTCTTATCTCAAGCTGTAATCCTCTTTGGGGAGTTTCTTATGACTAACACCAGTAGGGAACAATTAGTATCGCTTGACTGAATGATTTGTGGGGCATGCCTATATCTTTCTAAACACATGTGAATTTTCATCAATTTCATAGCCAATGTAATATCTGTTTTTGTCAAGTAATGACACCATCTTTTATTTTTTGAACCATTGAAAATGGTGCATGAACAATGAAAAGCCTGAATTGTGGGAGTGTACCTAGGTCTTTGTCCATACATGCAGTGTGTATACATGGTGTATGTGTGCGTTTGTTTATAGAGTAAATTGAGGACACACACGTGCAACATCATCGATGAATCGAGGACAGAAACCGAATTGAGGAATCCTGGGTTAGAAAACGTGTACAAAACCAATGAGAGCTGTTGCAAAAAAGTTAGAGTATAAACAAAGGAAAAGGGAAGAGGAACAATAGAAACCCTCGATTTACACCATAAACAAACAAGTTTGTTTCTGCATTCAATAGGGGACGTTGAACAACAGAGGACAATAGGGTCCACCATTCCCGAAGGTCCACAATTTACGATCGTGTACAAAACATATGAGAGGTCTTCCTAAAAGGTTTAAGTACAAACAAAAGAGGGACTATAGGGGTCCCCGATTGCAGGCAAATACACACTTGTATGGGTGTGTCTGTATGCGTGTTTATGGTGTACAAAACCAATGAGAGCTGTTGCAAAAAAGTTAAAGTACAAACAAAGGAAAAGGGAAGAGGAACAACAGAAAATCCCCCCCCACAGAAGTGTGGTTGGGGTCTACGAACGAATACTTACCTGTAGAGCAACACTACTTATGCATATTCCCCCTACCGGCAGGTATTTTCGCTAAGAGTTATATACAATAGCGCCCTCTGGCGCCCTACCCATAACACCCCGCGGCATGCGTGCCTCGTGAGCGTCCTCTTTTCTCGAGCGCTAAGTCGGAATACAACAAAGTACCCAAGGCATCGAGAAGAGTGGGGTAGGGGGGAGGGATGCTCTACAGGTAAGTATTCGTTCGTAGACCCCAACCACACTTCTGTGGGGGGGGAGTCTACTTCACTCTACTTACCTGTAGAGCAACACTACTTATGCATAGACTAGCACCGTCAAGGAGGTGGGCCATGCGAGATGCTATTGTGCTTTCACAGGGGCACGTAACAATACACGTAAACCCTGGATGGGCCCGTCGTTCCACATGTGGGTGGACAAGGCAGCCCAAAAAGGTCGGCATGATAAAGACATTAGTCATAATGGTAGCCTCAACATGCCAACAGAGATGTGATCCCCGATTTTGGGAATCACACGTAATGAATTACAGCCCACCGATACCTACACATAAGAGTTCGGTGGGGCACACAAAATAAAAATTATCATGAAAGGCAAAACATCATGACATGGTACATATAGACACTATAATATGCACATGTACATGTACAGAGCTCAATAAAGAATCAGAGTTAGGAGACACCAATGCTGGGGAGGTCCCCAGTCTGAAAATGTCTTGAGAACATGGTGGGGCTCAGTCAGTCGCCCTCAACACTGTTCTCCCATGCTCTGCCTTTTATTTTGTGCATGCGGACCAATCACACGGATTCTGCCGTTGATACGTCCGTGGTTTTATGGATGACCGTAGCCAACCTTCAGGCAATCTTGTCATGAAAGCCTGCAGGTATGGTGGGGTCACCATGATAAATACATGTCATGAAAGGCCTGCCTGTATGGCAGGGTCGTCATGACAAAAAACATGTCACGAGAAGCCTGCTTGTATGGCAGGGTTGTCATGACAAATACGTGCCGCGAGAAGCCTGTTGGTATGGCAGGGTTGTCGTGACAAATACATTTGTAACTGCAAGTGACCGATTCAAAGCGTCCCAGTGCAGCTAATGTACGACGTTAAAGTCATAATTGGCACCAAAAATTCTGCGTCTGGACAAGAATGATTTGATGCCCGAAAACAAAGACGTCCGGAGGCCCAGAGGGCTCTGACAGTCCTTAGTATAAATCCCTCCTTAGGGAGCAGACATCAAGTCATGATCAGCACAAAAAGTCGCTGTCTGAAACGGACAAGAATCATTTGATGCCCAGAACAAAGACATCCGGAGGCAAAGAGGACTCCGACCGTCTTAGCTCAAAAAACCTTCCTTAGGGATCAGACGCCAAAGTCATGAGTGGCACCAACATTTTCCATCTGGAGTGGACAATGATTTGATGCCTAGAACAAAGATGTCCGGAGGTAAAGAGGACTCCGACATTCTTAGTTAAAAAACAAAAATCCTCCCGTAGGAATCGGATGGGCACACTCGGTTCCCATCAGATGTGGTCCGTCTCAATTATACAGAAAACAGTTCTTTACTACATGTATACCAAGAAGTAACAACTGCTTACAAAAAAGAAGAAGAAAAAAGGCAACCGTAGAAAACCAATGAAACAGATGTGAAATTGTTCACTGGTTCACAGAACTCTAAAGATCTCTATAACACCTTTGGATAAGAAGGTGTTGAAGAGGTCCTGCAATTCAGGGGTGTTAAAACATCCCCTTAAGTTAACTGACACGGACGTTCAACTGACTAACATTAAGTAATCTACTGTCATGTTAGAAGTCCCTCAAGTGCAGGCTGTAAAAGCCATAGCTTGTTTGAGAAAGGTCTGATGTGAACAGGAGAGCATTACAGCATCCAGTACATCAGGAGAAATTCCTGCGGAGCTGGGTGAAGGAAACCCAAGCTGTGCTGGAACCGAATATTGTTCTGCTCGGAAGAACATTTGTACCTCCAACTGGTGCACCAAGGGAATGGTTATAACCCTGGAAAACCAATCAATGGGGTCAACATGGAGTTAAGAAGAGGACCTTGTCATCCTTCTGCTCCATTTGATTAAGTACCCGAGGGATAAAAGAAAGACGACAGGAAGGTGTATATAAGTAGCCTGTCCGTCTTCATCACCATCGTATTCGCGTGCCATGTATAAGGGTCAGGAACCCTCAGGCATTAGCCTGGCAATCTGTAACTAGTTCATGAAACAAGTCAGATTGACATGTGGTTAGTTGTCCTTGCTTGGGAGGAGGACCGTCGAAAGCAAGAAGCTAGGAGGAAAAAACCCCAATGGGGTATTTCTCAAGTGAGTGTACACAGGTGTGCAGGCTACAACTGTAAACTACAACATCGAATATAGAAGTTACATCACAGTTTCTCCGAGACTGCCAGCATCTCAAGTATGTTAATGGAACTTGAATGATGCTCACACAGGGCCTCACCAATCCGCCACTAGATGCGTGTGGTGGGTAGTTAACTGGCAGGGTAACATGTTCGCCATGACAGTTAATGAGTTAGGCTGCAATCTGTTAGAGGCCCACCCTTGTGAGGTTGGCAACGCCGAACCACAGGAGGTACTGCACAAGTCAGGTCATGGCCTGCACTGAATGCAGTGAGGACTGGGCCGATACAAGCAAATAGGTGAATGCCACCAATTTTTGTTTCCACGGCGCAGTCATATCGCCTTTACTATCTGAGCAGAGGCCAGGAGTGAAGCGGAAAAAAGGCTGGATGGAGCCACCATGAAGTTGCAGCGAGAATCTTGGTTTGAAAACCGTGAAATTCTCAGTGCTCTGGCCTGAAAATGAGTTGCAGTTGTGTACCCTTCAGGCCAGGGCTCATTCCCCATGCTGATGTGTTAGACAGTCGACTAAATCTCATCAACATCTTTCCAAGGGAAATACAAGACGGGCCCAACACTGTGCTGGCCCGATGGTATTGATGTCAGCCTCAAAGTCTCTCTGACGAGCTCCTACGAGACAGATGGGTAGAGGTCGTCATGAGTCAGGTAGGCCACTTATGGAAATCATCAAAACAACTGAAGCCGAACCGAAATCGTTGTTACATTATCCTATGTGGCATGGCGTACAGAAAATGTTGTTAGCACGGCCCACACAAAATCATCTGGGCAAACTTCAAGAGGTATGCAGTTGAGAAAACAAACAACTGTTTGTTCTTCACCTGCGCTGGCCCACATGTAGTCGACATCGACCAATATGGATGTAGACATCGATATCCACCGCAAAAGAAAAGATCTTTGTCCGTTAAAAACTTAAAAAGTGGGACTCGAATCTTTGGCGGGCGCCCTTTGACGGGAGAAACAGTTCATCAATCATGTTACCCCGGCGGGCCAAGATTGCTAGGGTCTGCACTCGTGTAAAATTATAGAGTACTGAGTGCAGACTGTGAAATTGATAAAGAAAATAGCAGTCAACACGTCCGCTAAGACTGTCGAGTCAAGATAAAAACATTAAACCTATGGTACTTCATGAGGGTAAAGAGGGAGGCTGAACGCGTATCGCCGAGCCCACTTGATTATTCTACATGTACTGCAAAGTGTATTCAAGCTTCTGCGAGTATTATTTACGAAGAGCCGCTTGAATAATGGGGTCCCTCTACTGCTGGCAGCTTGTGCTTAGCTGCATTGAAGAGGGAAGATGTGACAAAAAAATACCGAATTTCGCTAACGGAAAACGGTAATGATCACATTATTGCTTGAAGAGCAGCAGGCAGTTTGAACACAGTCACAATCTATCGAATGTGGTCCACAACATGCCTGCAAGAGTCGAATAGACCCCGTAAACGAGAACCGTAAATATATCTGGAGGGATGCGTTGCCCACGGCCACAGTCAGTTGTTGAACAACTCCCTCGGAGACAATGGACAGTGTACAATGTACATACACAAGTAATGCACACATGTACAATGTGCATGAAAAATGTAGCGATCTCAGTACAGCAAGAAACACCGCCGCACGGGTAAGCACTGCGCGGCGTGTCCCATTGTCCTTGAGTCACCCAACCGTGATTAATGTAGAGTGCTACAGAGTTCACGGCTCGCAACTGAACTAAGACGGACGTTTCATTAACGTGCCCGCCTGACAATACATGTACGTGTATAAAACGTATATGACCGATAATAAAGCCGAGAACATAGTAAGGCTTGTAATGAGTGGGCCGAAAAACCGAGTCCTCATCACGGTAGCGTATGCCGCGGTGGGACCGGTGCAATAAACTCGCCCGGATTAGAAAAAATAAATAAATAAATAAATAAATAAATAAGCCGTTCCCGCCTGAGAAATGGACACCACTTTGTCCGTTGTCGATGTGTTTCACATTTGATCCAACGGAGGTGTGGGGAACACCTTGTCATTGTTAGATGTGGAGCCCGTCCTGCGCTTGATTTGAAAATTTTGTGATCGGGCGGAGGGGGCTCATCGGCGGAGGGTAATTTAAGTACCCGTGTAATGTCCTCTGCAGCAAACGGAATTTCGTTTCCGCGATTGACAGCCATTGTAACTGGTCTGATTCTTCGTCATCATCGGATGAATCAGCCGAATGCGAAGGCCAAAATGACCCCGATGACTGAGAGCCGTCTGGAGGGGCTAGTTGTACAGAACCACGCGGTGGTGGCTGGGCAACACCCTCGGAGATAATAGACATACATCGTACATAATATTATGCAGATGGTGAAGACTAAACACAAGCGGGGATCCTGGCGCACGGCTAACTGTGTGCGGTAGGTCCCGTTGTCACGGCTGGCTAATGAGAAGTCCCGTTCGCCGTAGGCCGGGCTTCCGGTATAGCGCGCAACCATGTGTGGTATACATGAACATGTACATGTACGGACATGTGTTTTTTCCATTTTTGTACATGTACATGTACCTCGTTGTGCTCACGGCCGATGCATGCGAGACACTCGCTGCAGGCCGGGCCTCCGGTGTACGGTCAACCATATGTGGTATATCCCGTACGGTTGTGCCTGGGCCACCCAACCGTGGCCAACGAACGACGACTGTGAAGCCCTCACCGCATGCGGGGACGCCGCAGCACGACTAATTGTGTGCGGTATGTCCCTCTGTTCCCGGGCCACCCAAGCGTGACCGGTGACCGAATACTGCGATGTGGGCCCAACGACCGATGGTTGTGGGCCCAACGACCGATGGTTGTGGGCCGTAGTCCACCGCTGCAGGGGGCCCCCAATAGGGCCCGCCCGGCGGCCTGCCGACATAGCCGATAGCGTATCGGAAATCGACTGAAAAGCCTGCAGAAAATCTGCTCTAGAAACCGCGTCCTCCCCCCGGGAGCGTTTGCCCCGGCGGGACCGGTCAGAGGAGTCGTCACACCCCAAAGAAGAACGGCGCGATCGACGTGCAGCCTTCTTCTTCTTATCCTTCTTCTTAGAAGAACGACCCGAGGTGTGTCCGAGGAAAAATCGGAAAACACCTGGGACACCGGGACCCCCGAACAACGGAAAAAATCCGATGATGAGAGTAGTCCCTCTGAGCGAGCTAGCACGGGGGCCGTCGGCCCCGGGATCCCCCCGGGCGACCGGCTCCGTATCGCTCATAATGCACCCGGCCGACAGCGCCTCAGGCCCCGTGGGCTGAGTGAGCGCTGAACGGACCGGTAGCCCGTGCAATAGCCCCCATCCCGACAACCAGTGGTGTTCGGCACTGTGTCGATAGGACACGGGTGACTAGCGCCCACCGAAGTGTGACGGCTAGTCCCCTCGGGCTGCCCCGTGATCGGGGGAGGGCCAGGTGCCACAGCGGCGCTCGTTGCCGAGCCACGCTTGCCCTGACGGCCCTTCTTAGGCTTTGCTCCGGCACAGGAGATATGTTTTGGAGGAACCTTGCCGGAGTGTGGCTTTTAATTTGGGTGTTCTGCCTGAGTTGACCGGAGAAGGTGACCGAGGTCCCCTTAACTGATCGGCGGAACTGCCAACTCCCCCAGCCGACTGTGGCTGAGGGTGCCGGACGAGAGACTGCTGCCGCGGTAACGACGTAGCGTTAACGGCAGAGTCCCCCGAGAACTCGGTCCGTCCCGTGGGAAAGCTATCCCTAACGGTTAGTGACAGATCGGTCCTCCCCAAACGCTGCAAAATAATCAAATAAATACAACCAAGAAGATGATGAAAACTCTACAAACTGTTGTTTTATTAACTCTATTATTAAATACTTCTCTTAAACGCAAAAAAGGGTAGTAAATGACGAGGCAAACAGCGAGCTATTTCACGCACGTCCTACCCGACCTGCCGCTAAGAGAAAAGAGGACGCTCACGAGGCACGCATGCCGCGGGGTGTTATGGGTAGGGCGCCAGAGGGCGCTATTGTATATAACTCTTAGCGAAAATACCTGCCGGTAGGGGGAATATGCATAAGTAGTGTTGCTCTACAGGTAAGTAGAGTGAAGTAGACTCCTTGATTTATACCATAAACAAATGTGCTAGTACATGTATGGCTTTACGATAGAGAACAAACACACAAAGGGAGAACAAAAGATCCCTTCAGTCCTCGAGCGTTGGGTCTTTTGTTGAAAATGGTTCTCGATCCTACGGTTATGTGCTTAGTCTATGGGAGAGCGTTATATTACAGGGACAAAGGGAAACACAAAGCATTGTCCTAAGGCGTATAGAAATTCACGACTGCGTGTGTCCAGAGTGTGTGGACTGGCCACCTGTGGTCTGGCCAATAGTCTGAAGGGATTATAACCACATAATGTTACAGTGGGTTGGGCAAACGATACAACAAAATCCTGGTATGGAAAAGACCCTGGTTCTTCAAAGGCAAAATCATTCATGGCAAACTCTGTAATTATGACAGCACTGACCAAGAGCATACCATCTACATTGTTTTCTACATAGATTTCTTACTCTTTCCTGGCTGTCTTCGGATCTTGCTGGCAGCTTACAATCACAGCAGCGGCTCCAGGGAACTGAAGGTCTGTGTTCACCTTAGTCTCGGTTACCGTGGTAATCTCACAGGGAAAATGGTGTGGAGCGACCTAAACAAACAGAGATCAGATTTCTTGTCTTTGTGGTTTTTATCGTAAATACCTGAGACAGTTTACCCATTCCTATTGGTCGAGATCCCGTCATGTGGGTGGTTTTAATAATAATAAAAATACCAGAGTCTTATATAGCGCACGTATCTACCAACAATTAGGTACTCAAGGCACTGGTAATTATGTCTATTTTTAAACATAGCTAAATGAAGTTTATGAGAAATATGAGACCCATTTTGTAGCACCTTTATAAGGGTTTACAAGGTGCTGCGGTGCATGTTGCAGCCACTGCCAGAAACACCGGGGCAAACCCCTTCTCTTAGCGATAAGTGTTACTGGGTTCTTTGACGTGCATTACAAAACACATGGACCTTCGGCTTTACGTCCCATCTGAAGGATGAAGTAATAATGGTAAAGTGCCTTGCTCAAGGGCACAAACACCATGTTCCTCGTCAGGATTCGAACCCCTGTACCACGGCACATAAGTCAAACACCGTAACCGTTGGACCACAGCAACCCATTTTCAACAGTTTTAAACTTGTGGTTAAAATCCCCCAGCAAATCTACATATTTATTGAGTACCATATATGTGGTTTTAGGGTATTGTGAGCTTGGCATTGTTGTCCAATAGAAATCCTCCCTACCTGAAGCACTCCACACAGCTGATTGGTCAGTTCCAGCAGTCTGCTCTCCCCCATGTGGGCTGCCGTTGCCATGGCAATGAAGAGCTCTCTCCTGAGGATCTGAGTGTCCTGATAGAAGATGTCGGCCAGGCAGCGCGTGTTGCTGGCCAGGCACTGGTGCAGCCATTGGGCAGTCAACAGGGAGGAAGCCTGTGAAAAAAGATTGTTAACTTGTGGTAAAGGTTTACCCCAGCAATTTTAACTGAAATATTTGGGCATATTCGAAACCCTGTTCTCAAGTGACCCGTTATCAGTGTTCTTGTGTTGCCGATTACAAACGCCCAAGTGCGTGCGGAGTGCAGCTAGGCGAAAATTCAAGATGGTAGTCGATGCATCAAATCGCGCAATGAAAAGAAGGGACAATTAATTGAATTAATACGAAAATAATTGAAATCCTGAAACAGCTATAGAAATTGGAAAACAAAAAGGCTGATAAGCCCACTCTATAACACTGTACAGTGTTTTTTTGTATCATTACTGCTCCTGCACTGAATGAATGCTTTCAGTTTTATGCACAAACATTAACGCAAGTTCTGGTAGGGGCCTAAGTCCGCCATCTGTGTTCTTGACGTTCTTAATCTACTCCCCAATAAGTGGGGAGTGAGAATCTTGTTCGCAAACACCGTTTGTTGGTTCCCGTCATTCAGAACCCTGTTCTCGTGTTTGTTCAACACGACAACGGGGTTTTGAATATGCCCTGTAAGTCTCTCTTCACCCATTTACATGAGGCTAATTTCATGACGCTGTTTTACAGTCAGCAAAAAAGTTGTGCTAAATGTAGAGAAAATTGTGTTAACTTTAAGTACGATTCCATGGTGTGGAAAGCGCTAACGGTCGTGCGCGCATGGAGATTTCTATTGTTACTTCACTAATTTAAGCAAATTTTTTTCTCTTCTTGTGACGTAAGCATGCCTTTTGTAGTGCTTAAAGCTTGCTGTCTCTGGTCTTAAAAGTATTCTGGCTGATTAGATAAACCTAAATAGCAATCACAAACAAGAAGGGACAGTACAAAAAAGCTGTGCTGCAGATGAATGTTCCTATAATAGTTAAAAAAGATGATCTTTAATCTGTAATCTGGGAAAAAAAGGAAAAATATGTTTTCTTTGTTTGTGCACTTTGTTCAACAAGAAGCCTGTTTATCACATGAGCAAATGACATTCAATAGCACTCAGTTCTCCAGTGGCAAAGAGGGTCAGTTCCTTTTTATTGTGAATCTGATTATTTTTAACAAATTGTGTGAGTTTAACTCTTTAGTCACTGTAGCGCCTGAAACCGCCCTGCCTATTACTCACTGTTGCATTCGAAACTGCCTAAGCACTCATGGTTGTATTGATTTTTCATTGAATAAATACAATGTAATACAATGAATTCCAGGTGCTGATTGGTTCAACCGTACCTGCAGAGCTCCGTCAGGCTGCGGTGACTCCAGCAGCTGATTGGACAGAAGCTGTAGATGAGAGATGTCCTGCTCAGGACTGGCCGAGGCTTGACCCGAGGTCAGAGAGCACGGAATAACCTCAATGACCTCCGGACTCTGACAATGACCCAGGAACTCCATCAGGGCAGTGCGGCAGGACATGCGGGCCGAGGTGGACTCGCAGTGCAGGAGCTCTCTGTTGACATAAAAAACAATATTAAAGACTCTTTCAATTCTCACAACACTCTTAAACAAACAGATAGCTCAGTTGGTAGAGTGTTTGTGCGCTGTTCTGGAGGTCCCGGGTTCAATTCCCACTCCCGGTCAATTTCTTTCTTCTCCTTATTATTTATATTTTCTATGTTTCAGTGATGTTTTAAGCTCTGGCAGGAGCTTCTATATTTCACTTGGTGGTCGGTTGGTTGGTCGGATGGTCTGTCTGTCTGTCCCCCAAAATTGACCGAAAGTATGGTGTTCCATATGTGCCATCGGTGTCGCATTTTTCGGCGTCGCATTTTTCAGCTATGGCAGGGATCAGTTTGATCGATTTCATGCACGACTTCTTACAACACGGCCAGAGCTTATTGTGCACTGGCACTTGTTAGATAATTAACACATGCCCAATATACAGTAATGTTTTACCTTTTTATTTGTCAAAAGTCCACTTTTGTGTTGTCGGGGCAATAATTTTATAAGCAGTTAATTTAACATAGTTGCTACATGTATGTGTACCAAATCTACAATATCACAGCAACAAATATGTCCAAATTTTTGAGTCCTATTTTGAACAATTTCTTAATGACCATATTATGAACTTCTTTTGTAAAGTATATAAATTTGTGACTAAAGTGCACGCAAAGTGAATACATTGTCTTTTAAGCTGGTGAAAAAGTTCTGAATTTGCCACTGTGCCCATACAGGGTGGTCCAAAAAAACAAAACCTGCAACCTCATACTTCCACTATTGATATATATGTGGATGGGAAATTTTGTGGGAAGGGAAATGATACCAAGAACTCCCGATTCAGTCCAGTAGTTTTAACTGAAAGTTCAGGAGTTCTTGGTATCATTTTCCTTCTTACCAAATTTCCTAGCCCTACATATCAATGGTTTACGTCCCTGGATATTGAAAGTATGTGGTGGCATGTTTTTTGGACCACCCTGTATCATCAACTTATTTGAAAAGTGAATAAAACTCTCTATGATATATTCTTCGTCTTTGAAAATTACTTTCTCATTCACGTGTGTAATGTTATATTTTTGATTAAAAATATCTACCATAACCCTCAACTTGAAGAAGGCTTTCACAACTTTTAAAAATGCACCATGTATATATTCACTTAATTAGTTATTATTAAAATTAACCTTTGTCCTACCTATGAATATTGATATTAGATATGTCAAGTGCAGCCAATCCAGTCAGAGCCCCTCGCCGGTACCCTGACTGTGGTCTCTCTAGCATGTCCAACGGGTACCAGTATCGGACCAGCACTCCTTCACTGCGTAGATAGGTCTCCACTTGCACTAACTCCACTCGCTGTTTGTGAACAAAGTACACACAAGTCAATATGTATGTAAACTACTGACTGGATAGGGAGGGGATATTAATTGGGAATATTAACCAGGTATGTGGAAATATAAACTGACTATTGACCGATAACACTTCATTTTATTTCTGGATTTTAAGTTCCTTTTACTGGATCAAAAAAAATAACGTTTATATACTCTTCAATACCCAGGCAATATTTCTTTGATATTCTCCAATACCTAGTCAATATTTCTTCGATATTTAACCTCTTCAAATAAATAATATCAATGATGTGAAAGATCTGAAACTATGAAAGGTATTCAATGTAATGCCAAAAAAAAAATAGTCGGTCTCTGTTCAGCACGCGCGTCAATTTTAACCATGCACGTCAATCTTTTTTTTTTCCAAAATGTTCCGCGGTAGCTCCAACAGCGCCCTCTATTGCCGCACCTCCTCAAATTTTTTTACCAAAGAGCACCAAGGAATGGGAAATTGCACCAAGGCAAATGATTGAGAGCACCAAGGCAAATTATGGAGGACACCAATGTACATGAGGACACCAAAAAAAAGCAAAATAGTACCCCACCTTGTCTGTACAATCCAAGCTTGAAAAAAAAAAAAGCCAAAAAAAAAAAAAAAAAAAAAGGCCGCGTCGCCGCATCAATTCCGGGACTTTGGTCTGACCAGAGACCGAGCATTTTTTTGGGGGGCCTAAAACAAGATACCAAATATCTTTAAAATATATTCAGTAACAAAACATACATGTTTAAGACACAGCCTCTCAAAGTTCTGAGGTAAAACTAGGAAACCTCTATACCTACTTGAAGTTTAAATGAGTCCATATTAAGTCAAATCTCAGTTTGGAAATATACTTCCCTCTTTATATTTCCCTCTGTACCAGTCAATATTTCATGAATATTTCCTGCCAAGTCCTCCTCACTGACTCAATGACCAGAACCATTCCAGTCTGTCCAAACGTCTTGAGCATAAATATTAGGTAAATATTTTGTTTGCAAATATATTCCCCTCTCTGACAGTCAATATTTCCTCAGGAGTCCTCCTTTAATACCAAGTCAATATCCAGACCCATACCAGTCAGTCCAAATGTCTTGAACATGGCTAATATTAGGCCAATATTTGGTTTGCACATATATTTCCCCTCTACCAGTCAATATTTCATGAATATTTCCTCTCAAGTCCTCCTTACCAACTCAATATCTAAACCCATAGCAGTCAGTCCAAATGTCTGGAGTATGGCTCGTATTATTAATCATTGTTCAATTTGCAAATGTATTTCCCTCTCTACCAGTCAATATTTCATGAAAATTTCTTCTAAAGTCTTCCTTACTGACTCAATGTTCACAAACATTTCCAGTCAGTTCAAAAGTCTTGACCATGGCTCACATTAATTCAACATTCAGTTTGGAAAAATATTCCCCTCTCTACCAGTCAATATTTCATGAAGATTTCCTCTAAAGTCCTCCTTACCGACTCAATATCCAGAACCATTCCAGTCAGTTCCAAAGTCTTGAGCATGGCTCACATCAAGTCAATATTCAGTTTGGCAATCTATTTCCCTCTTAACCAGTCAATATTTCATGGATATTTCCTCTGAAAGTCCTTACCGACTCAATGTCCAGAACCATTCCAGTCAGACCAAATGTCTTGAGCATGGCTCGGACAGCAAACTTTGGTACTACAGTGCTCCCGGCTGACCCAGTATTCTCCGGCTGTCGGATGACAACCGTTGTTCCTTTGCGGACTTTGTCGATAGTGAATTTGGCTGCTTCGGTCTTGATGTCTTCAATGGTGGGTAGGTGGAGGTCACGGGGCATGCCGCCGTTCTCTTCATAGAGGAACTCCACGGTCTGTCTTGCGATGTCGGTCATGCCTGAAGGGCAATAGAAAATTAAGAATAAGTGTGAAAAGTGCTTCTTTATTAAAAGGAAATTGTGCTGGAGCACAATGTGCATGAAAGTTATCCAGCTTGTGGGAAAATAGTTGCTTTGATTACTTGACCAAAGATGAACCCACACACTCAAACACACACACAAAGCCAATTAACGGATGAATACAGTAAAGCCCAAGCAGCCCGACTTGTATAAGCAACTTATAAACACATACCTGTACCAGCACGTTTGTTTATGGTGTAAATCAAGGATTCTCTATTGTTCCTCATCATCAATCTTTTGTTAATACTCAAACTTGTTAATCTCAGGATCCATACCCACAAGCTTAGCTTTTTTATGGATTCCGCATCTCTATAATTATTTGCTTATTACCTTGTATTATGTAAAATAAGAGATAAAATAAAGTTCAAGTTCAACTTTTTTGCAACAGCTCCCATTGGGTTTTGTACACGTTTTCTAATCAAGGTCGTCCTCGATTTGACTCCTGTCCTCAATTACTCGATGATGCTTCACTTGTGTGTCCTCGATTTACACCATAAACAAACCCATCTTTGCATACGGATAGTTAGGGGGTTCAATGAGTAGACCTTTACTCCCAACCTTTTTCTCTTTTGTTTCTACTGTAACCCCAAACTCCTTAGTATCTTGTGGGGCACTGAGTTTTCTATAAATTGACATCTGTATTCGTGCAAACTCCTGAAAAGTAGGATATTCTGCACATGTCTATATTGTTGCTCTTGTTCCCATTACCCAATAAGGCCATGCACACACTCATAGAGGCCCAAGTCCACTTAAGAGGAAGGTAGGGTAGATCATTTGCAGCTATCCAAGAAGTACCTGATGAAATTATTGGTGAAAAGCTTACTTGGCTTAAAGATAGTAATGGCACTAAACTCCCTGTGAAATTATTCTTTCTGGCATACTGTCATGTTGAAGAAAACAATGAAAGAAGACCATTTCCAATGATGCACCAAGTGACACATTTTTGAAAATTTCTTGGCAAATCCGTGAATAGGTGCGCGCAAGCCTTGACATGACGCACACGAGATTGCTGTTATTTGTCGGTTCAGTGCGTGACATCACGTACCTGCAATCGGTTGAATTAGAACGTGTCCCGGACACTGATTTCGGGTGCAATTCAAAACATGACTCTGCAAGTTTTGATTTCAAACTGAGATCCTAGAATATTGTTTTCTCAAAATATTTCGCATTCACAGAGCTAAAACTTCATCAGGTTAGTTGTTAAGCACCCTTCTTTAGATTTTGAGCACTTCTGTTGCTTCAAACGAAACAATGTACAAATGACCAATGATCTACTCTACCTATAAAAGCTACTCGTGTAAACTCTGACAAATGTGACCAATGGCGACTGCTCAAGCAATGTTACTTGTCAATGCCCTTGACCAGACTTGTAAACAGACTTGTGACTTACTTGAAACCAGACTAGTGAATTGGCTTGTGAATTTTGCGAATCGACTGGACACGTGATCCACTTGTGATGGATTAGCCTACAACACTGCAGTGCCTGTACGCAGTCCACAACAAACTGATAAACTCACCCAGCTGGAGAGCCCCTTTAATCTGTTCCAGTCCCGACCGTCGCTCGGCCTCGTTCCGGAACCGCCTCCTGATGACGGGGAAGACTTTACTCTCCCAAGCCTTGACCAGCAGTGCGTGGAAGTCCTCGTGGGTGTCCTGCTCCCCTTCCTCCTCGTCATCCCTGGTGTCGTCCTGGCCGGCGTTCAAGATGCGCACGTCCGCTCCCATGGTGGTGAAGCTGTTGTAGCTCTGACGAAGCTTGTAATTGACAGACTCATCGGTATCATATTCTGGAAACAGAACAAAACAGTTTGATTTTGAAGTAGATCGGACGCCATCTTCTGGCAAAGAACTTTGTCTCAAGGAGAGATCTTTCATACTACTGATAAACTATGTGAAACGTTCTGGCAAAATGAGAACTGGGCAGAGGTCGAAATGAGAGTTTGCAGGTATTACGAAAGACAATAAAAAAATTGTCCTTGTATTGTATTTATGGTATGAGAACTGGAATGAATTACTCAAAAAGGTGGAATCACCTTTCAAATTCCATGTTTGAAGTCAATTGCCTATTCAATTCTGACCCGGAATAATCAAAGCCTACATCTGGAACCAGATCACAACCGAATTACAACATTCCAACCTACTTATTTTATTAAATTCTGACCCGAAATCATCAAAGCCTACATCTAGAAACAGGAATCACAAGGTAATCACAACATTCCAACCTACCAGCTCTATTCGATTCTGACTTGGAATCAGCAAAGCCCTCAAGTGAAACCGGAATCACAACATTCCAATTCCAACCAACCAATTGTATTCAATTCAGACCTGGAATCACCAAAGCCTACATGTACATTTGGAAACGGAACTACAACAGAATCACAACATTCCAACCTACCAATTCTATTCAATTCAGACCTGGAATCATCAAAGCCTACATCTGGAACCCAAATCACAACGGAATCACAACGGAATCACAACATTCCAAACTACCAATTCTATTCAATTCTGACCTGGAATCACCAAAGCCTACATCACCAAATTCAAACCTACCAGTCAGTGGCTTAGGAGGTACCACAAGGCGACAAGGTGGGCCCGTGGGTACCGTCTCCCCGACAGCCTCCATGAGAGGCACATCAACGGCGCCCCCGCTGTTCTCTCCTTCCCCGTTACTCTCATCCAGGGCCGCATGGAATGGCAGCAGGCTGAAGTTGGCCAGGATCTCTTCCCGTGGGTCGATAGCCTCCACGGCCGCGTCGTGGTGCTGACGACCCTCCGCGTAGCAGAAGGGGCGGGCGCCAAAGTTGGCACGGACTCTTGTGTTCTGTGAAAAGGAAAGATGGGGTCAACTCTTTGCATACAGCACAGTGATGTAGCCGTGCCAATCACAAGTCAATCACATGTCGGTTAGAACACAAGTCCTTTCACAAGTCTAGTCACATGTAACAGGGATTAAACAATGCTTTGGTAGTATTCATTCATTTCAGATATCTCATACCAAATTGATTAATTTCAGACATTCAGAGTCATACAGTTATTTGGGAGTTTTCAAACACCCAGAAAAAAAGAACAAACAGTAAGGCTCAAAATATATGTGACAGTCACGAAAATGTATGCTTACTTTCAGACTAACTGTCCCTTTTTTTGTTTTGTTTTTAACTTTACATTCAATCTGGTTATGGGCAATCTCAACGTCTGACATGTGATGCTTGTGACAGAGTTTTTAGAGCTCAGTGAATAAACCTGAAAATGCATTTTTTCAAATGTTACATTCACCCTCAAATAACGGTCAAGGAGATTACAGACTAGGAGTTTTGGATCATCTCTCTGAATCATTAATTTGATACCATGGTTAACTGGCCCTGTCACAGACATTTAATATATCCTTTCATAATGCAGGAATTGCCCTTATATCCGCTCCGTTCACAAGTACCCCCTCACCAGCAAAGAGAGTACAGTTTGGGGTGACTACCGACGCCATCTTGCCAATTCGTTTGCCGCGAAGCAGGGCCACTGTGTGTACATAGTGCAAATCCCCTGGTGTACGTGCGTCACACACAAGGAATGGTGCGCGTCAACCAGCGAAATGTCCCACCCATGGGACGTCGTTGCTAGGTAAAAGGGCGCCCTCTTTCGTTGGCCCACGGAGCCCATAATCAAGTCGTTGCTTACGTTTATAAATTCTTCATATTAGCAAAGAGGCCTCTATGTTAGCTAAGTTTTTCACATGCTTCCATCGTCCTTGAAATTTTTATTGGTCTGACTGACCGTTTTGTCTTTGCTCTCCGTAGAATAACATAGCAGAAATCAAGATCATATTGTAGCCAATTTTCTCAATCAAAATTGGGCCAAATTTCAACCTGGGTCACAAACATGTTTCACTTTAGAACATACCCGTTTCTGAACGTGGACAACAGGCCACATTCCACCGGCCACACCGTCCAGCGTCGCCGATAACCTCCTCCCATTGTATGTCAAGAAGACCCGCCCCCTAGCCTGCTGGCCTGGGCCGTGGTTCCCCCAATCAGCGTCCCGCTCCCAGCCGATGCCTGCTATGTCACCGATGTTCAGTGTCATGTCTAGGCGAAGGCTCTTCCATTGTAGGAGGCTGGCCCCGCTGTAGTGCACCCCACGGCCACTACTGCAAATTTGAACAATGCAGAGATTCAGCAAGATATACAGGGTGAGATTTGAAGGTTTGCATGGTGGAAAGATACTAAGACAAGATAAGTTTGCGGTAGCACCATGTGAATAAATCTCTTTTATCATTGTTGGAATCCTTCATTCTCCTGACGACGGGCAGAGCATACTGTTGGAAACGTTGAGTCCCTCTGGTTCTTTTCAGAACCACACATACTCACAAAAGAGATTCACTCACATGGTGCTACTGCAAACTTATCTTGTCTTAATATACAGGGCGAGTAAAAAAAACCGAAACCCAAATGTTTGGACTATTGTTTTGCATATAGTACTTTCCAAATCTAGGATATGAAAGCCCAATTAAGAAGCTTTCTTTTAGTACAAGAATCATTCAAATCTCTCATGTACTTTTCAAGTTACGGAATTTTAAACACAACCACCGTTTTAAAGTTCTGTCCATGAATCGCAAAAAAGTGTGCGTTCTTTCAGCAAAACGAAAACAATTCACACACATCCCTATGTAATTTGTTTTCGTTTTGCTGAAAGAACACTTTCCTTCTTGTGATCCGTGGACAGAACTTTAAAATGGTGGTTCAGTTTAACATTACGCCACATGAATCATTCTTGTACTAAAAGAAAGCTTATGAATTGGGCTTTCATATCCTAGATTTAGAAAGTGCTACATGCAGAACTTCACTACACAATGGTCCCCACATTTGGGTTTTGGTTTTTTTGACTCACCCTGTATTAACTCTAAACCACCAGGCTATTTTGGCTTCAAATCCTGCTCAATGCAGCAACATGCATCACTTGTCTAAGTGACAAGCCTGCCTAGTGCAGCAAAATCCATCAGGTCAAAAGTCTCAAGGCCAAACTGCCTCAGAGACCGTGGTCACCGAATGCAGCAGGATACAACTGTGGCATTGTTCAATGGGACTAGCTTTCATTGTCTCTCATTGTCTCAGTACCACCCCATAGAGCTATATTAAATTACTAGAGCGCTAACTCATGTACAAAGTGATGCCTGCTGGGCGCATCCATGTTTGTGCACAAACCTATGGAGAACTAGAAATTTTGTACATATTTTGTACGTCTATTTGCATATCTGTGTTTGTATTCCATACCGGTGCATCATCAAAGCCGATACACCCAAAACCGAAACGCACGATCAGCAATGAGCGTGTTATTTTGCTCTACGCAAACAGTGCAACGTGTGCGCGTCCCTCCTCTGCAGATGCTTTTCGTCGTGATGTTTTTTTAACCGTCATGACGCGATGAAGTTGTTTGCGTATCTTTTACTCGCGCGTTGCACTTAGAGTACACTTTTAAAATTCAATCCATCTATTTTGATTGTGTTCTACAAAACACGCACATTATTTCAAAATGATTAAGAAAATCGGACTTGATTTTAGAGCACGATCTCATAGCGGAGATGAATTTGAATTTCAAAACAATGACAGCCATATCATCTTACTTGTGGAAGAGGACAGTTCCCACAGGATTAGTCCATGCTCCTTCTTTCTTCTCAGCACTTGGCGCAAAGCCAAACGACACGGATGGACCGGCCTCGTCACCAGAATCGCCGTTGGAACATATCTCCAGCTCCCAGTAGAATGACGGCGCCTGGAAGACACAGACAAAATGAGAATTTTGGGACTGAGTAAAAAATCCAATGATTTTTTTTTTTCCGGATGTGGCCAAGACAGAATTGGTGCTTGCTGAAGATTATGACAGTAATACAATCAAGGTTCTCAGCACTTCATGAAAACAACATTCCCTGATATTTCCCTGAGAAAGTTCCAAAATTTCATGAGAAATATATTCCCACTTTAAACGAGATTGCTGGGAAGTCAAGAGGTTGTTGCAGCAAAGCCACTAAGATATTGATAATATTCACACTGCAAATAAAAGTGCACAAGCACTAAAAAAAGCCACCATAGCCAGTCAGTCAATGGACACATCTTGGACGCATGGCGCAAGACGCACACACGCCACACTGGCGAAAAACTTTTCCCTTCTGGGTCACTGCATGGGAGCAACACTTGCAATGCGTACACCCGTATGTATGTGCACACAGACCTTTGGTTGCTATGTGCTTTGTATGCGTATAGTATTTTTTTCAGACCGAGGCAGCCTTTGTATAGTCTTTTTGGCCTTGCACAGCAAGATAGTACAAATAGTAAATGCCATGTGACTCGCTCAACAGCTAATCAAGATGCAGAATTCATAAGTGAGGTGTTAAAATCATTAATAGCCCTTCTGTAGCAGCCATCTTAGAGGGTTTCTTTTTTATTCTACTTCGGTAACAGTGAAAGCACAACAGGTCGACTCATGCATTCAAGAACACTACCTCTAATATGGCCGCTACGCATGAGATATATTAGTCAGGGGAAAATGGCAAGAACAAGCTTCAAGGTTTTTGTTTACCTGACTAGGTACAGGCTGTGTGGCATAGCACATTACTCCTCGAGGTAGCCCAGTGCCTGCGTTAGCGTCTCCTAGGAAGGTGACTGCCGTCTGGTTGTGAGAGAAGAAACAGGCGCGGGGTGGCGGAAAACTGCGGCTGGGGTTCCAGCTGATGTCCTGAGACTTGGGAAATCAAAACATAAAGATGTGTCAATTTATTTTCAAGGATATAGGATACTGCATAGTATTGGCTAATAAAGCATTGTTACATGATAAAACAGCAACACAACTTTTTGTTTACTTTTTTTTCTCAATTTAAGGCAGATCCCCCCAAAAATTGTATCAAAATTTATTCTAAGTAGAGCATGTGGACAATTTCAGGAAACAAATTTAACTGCTCCAAGAATGATCATTGGATTGAGAGGGTGTTTTATGGAGATTGAAAAACCTCATGTTAAAATCTTGGTAATTAATTACAGATGCATTCCTCATGCTATTTTCAAGTTTCTAAAAGTAGATTTGTTCTGTCAATTGCTATTTTCCTAGCAATATTAAAATGATTTACTTTTGAATAACAAAATCCACTGATGTGTAGTTATTGAGTTATTTCTTCAATAATATGGCAAAATGAAAGCCATTTTTCAGGGGGTTAAAAAAAAAAATTTTTTTCTTCTTTGTAAAACAAACATACAAATTGAAATGTTTTTAGGAGAACAAACAAAAACATTGCTTGAAAGCATGGGGCATGCATCTTAAAAATTAAAGGGTTAAATTTTTACTTTTGCTGTGAAGTGCCTAATCATAAAAAACACAATGCCCAGGTCTGCTCTGAGCCCATCAACCATGCCATCTAATTAATGATTCAGAGAAATGATCCAAAACTCCTAGTCTCTAGTCTATAATATCATTGACCACTACAAGATGATGGATGAATAAGACTTGAAAAATACATTGTCAGATTTATTCGCTGAGCTCTTAAATTAGATGTCACGGACATTACACAACGCTGGAATTGCCCAATAGCCTTGTTTTGTATTTTGTGAATTTTGGTTCAAGTTTACAATACATACCATCCTGGATGTGATTTTTGCCGGCGGTGGTGGGGGTCTAGCACAGTCCCTGTACAGCATACGCAATCTCTGGCATTGGGCCTCCACAACTGACACTCGCTCACCTATGAACACAAACAAATTGAATCTTTTATTCATCAATCACAAGTCAAATCATACGTTATTCACGAGTGACAGGGGATGAACAATAACGTTGGGTACCCGGGTACCCGAGTACCCGACCGTTAATGTCAGGAACCGGTTCTAGATTATGGGATCGGGTACCCGTAACCAACTTTAAATATTACTTAGTTACTTCTCGGACAATGCAAAAGAAAGGTTTTGAAGTAATTTGTGGGAAATTTTCTAAATGAAAACCAGGCCACATGGAAAATCAAAACATATTTTACATTTATGACGCTCCCGAAAGCTGCAATTTACACTTGTATCTTGCTGAATTGATGTGCCGATGCGGTACTATTATCGTGCGGACCTTTGTAAACAATCTCAGCAGCAACTTCCAAGATTTGAAGTTGGCATGTTTGGCGTTGGTTTCTTTCACGGGTACCCATGTTTTTTTCAATCCGGTACCCGGTTCCTGTACTACCCGTAAATGCACACCCCTAGTGATGACTTCTGATTACATGCGATGGCGAAAGGTGGTGAAGATGGTGAAGAAATTGCAAGGAATATTTTCAACTCTATCGTTATGGATCAATTTAAATACAAATTAAAATGCTGCAAAAAATTAACATCGCATGTTGTTCCCAACTTTACGTTAACTTATGGGCTCCGTGCACAAGTACCCCCTCAATGGCAAGAAAGGGAGAGTTAGGGGAGACCACTGGGAGAGACATTCCAACGCATTGCCGACAACGCCTAATGCTCACGCGTAAACGCTTAGCTTTGTGCACATTCAGAATAAAATTAGTCCTGCGCTATACACGGGCAAACTAGTACGTACGTGTTCTACATAACCCCCGAGGACAGACACACAAAGGAAGAAGAACAGATCCTTTCAGTCCTCCGGAGTTTGGGTCTTTTGTTGAAAACGGTCCTCTGTAGTAAGTTTGTGTGCTTAGTCTATGGGAGAGTGTTATATTACAGGGACAAAAGGAAACACAAAGCATTGTCCTCGGAAGTATAGTAAAACAAGAGTGTATGCCCACAGGGCTCTCGAAGGTGGTACAAAAGCGCCCTCTCTTGTTCCATACACGGAGCCCATACCAAGCACAGATTGCAGAAAATCACGACAGTGAAAGATTGCTATGCTGAACAACCTTTAGTGGACCCAATGTGTGACATTTCACTGTCCTACCACTATGAATGGTAGAACATGAAGGTATTATCAAAACTAAAAAGGAAACTTTCACAGCTCACTATTTGCAAAATGATCCCCACATATACAAAAGTGAAACTTACATGGGGAATAATCTCAAGCTGATTTCAAGGAAAATAATAATAATAGCAATAATTTACACATTTATACTTCGCAAATGCCATATGAATATGATCAAATGCGCATCACAATTATTATCCCTGTTCATCAGGAATGAGACCCTGCAGCAGCTCGAGATCAGTGCAATTTGGTATCTACCTTGACAGGTACCCCTTTATACTCCTGGGTGGAGTGAGGCAATCGTAGTAAAGTGTCTTGCCCAAGAGCACAAGCACCTTGTTCCCCATCAGGGTTCGAACTTATGTACCTAGGCACACGAGTCGAATTCCCTAATCATTGGACCACAGCGCCCCACGAGAAAAAAAGAGGAAATTTGCGAAGGAAAACATTACTTGAAGAGTTTCTGTATGGAATACATTCTGAAACATAGAGCCGTGCCATTTCATGGCATGTTTTCACCATACCTGAGCTACACTGTTGTGCCAGGGATTTCAGGACTTCAACAGGCAATGACGACTGTTTGACAAACTCGGTGGCAAAGGATGGCTCCTTCATGTGCAGGGCCAGCACAGCACAAGCTCTGTACAAACATAAGAAATTCGGGCAAAGTGGTTTCAGGTGTTGATGGCACAAGTATAATTATGGCTGTGGGAGGTAGTCCTAGTGCTGCAAACCCAAGTCAACCTTCAGGTTCAGTTCTGATTTGGTTCGTAAATTTGTTATCCGAACTTAGTTCGGTTCTGGTTTGGCAGCAGATCGGAAGGGGCATTTAACAACAAATACGATTTAAACACCCGCTGGAGAGTTCGTTGGTGATGCGTTGAACAAGGAAAATAGGGGGGGGGGGGGGAACAAGGTTTATTAGAAGTTCAAACCTTCCAGCCCTAGAGCTGAATTACATTTAAAATACATAGAAATTCACAACAATTAAAATTTATACAGCAGTTCATTAAACAAAAACCAAAAAAACAAACAAAAAAGATAATGAAGACAGAAAAGACATTAAAAACAAAATTTAGAAAACAAATTTATTTTGAAACACCACCTTGAAAGTGATGCGGTACGGTTCCTGTACTTTTTAGCAAAAACAGTAATTTTTTGGGAAATAAAATATGACTTGCAAGTTACGAGTCATTAGCGTCAAGTCTGAGTCATGAAGGTCTAGTTCAAGTCCGTGTCGGAGTCTTTTACTGACATGAGTCGTGTCAAGTCGGAGTCACCGAAGCTGCAATTAGAAACGTGCTCTAGTCTGCCACTCTGCCACTCAGCATCCTTATGTACATCTCAACATGCAACCCTTCCTCACCTTGACCTGATTTCAGCCAGCACCCTGCACACTGCCATGGCTAGACTACTCCCATAACTCACAGTTAGTTTGATCACCACTCCACCACTCACCACTTCACCACTCACCATCTTCACATCTCACCATCCTACCCTTCCTCACCTTGACCTGATTTCAGCCAGCACCCTGCACACTGCCATGGCTAGACTACTCCCATAACTCACAGTTAGTTTAATCACCACTCCAACACTCACCACTCAACACCTTCGCATCTCACCATCCTACCCTTCCTCACCTTGACCTGATTTCAGCCAGCACCCTGCACGCTGCCATGGCTAGACTACTCCCAAAACTCACAGTTAGTTTTATCACCACTCCACCACTCACCACTTCACGACTCACCACTCACCACCTTCACATCTCATCATCCTACCCTTCCTCACCTTGACCTGATTTCAGCCAGCACCCTGCATGCAGCCATGGCTAGACTACTCCCAAAACTCACAGTTAGTTTTATCACCACTCCACCACTCACCACTTCACGACTCACCACTCACCACCTTCACATCTCACCGTCCTACCCTTCCTCACCTTGACCTGATTTCAGCCAGCACCCTGCACGCTGCCATGGCTAGACTACTCCCATAACTCACAGTTAGTTTTATCACCCCTCCACCACTCACCACTCTCCACCTTCACATCTCACCATCCTACCCTTCCTCACCTTGACCTGATTTCAGCCAGCACCCTGCATGCTGCCATGGCTAGACTACTTCCATCCCCCACGGCTGGTAGTGCCACAGTGAGAGGGGACATGCCTCTCTCATTCCTAGGCAGTAGGAGGCTATGCAGTGCTGACACGACACGCTCTGTCATGGATAGTTGCTGCAATGGTAGAGTCTGAATGGGACAAAAAATTCATATTGTTTTCCTTGTGTTCCTGTTTTTAAATACGATATTGAAAAAATGTGGCTTTTGATGACAGACACAACAAAATTCCTCAACTTCCAAGAACTAAATAAGGTTCGGCACGATTATTACGAGCAACGTTTGGACAAAAACACGGTTACCATGAGCATATTTCATCAGTCCCGACCAAAATGTAAATATTTCTACGGGAGAAATTTGGTCCAATCCATGGTAATTATTATATTGGTGTAATTTTGTTTTTAACAATAACTACTAGATCACAGCGACAACTACATAGGTCGCCTGATGTGCGCCGAAGGGTCTTTATGGTCTTCGATGAGCACCAAAGTTTTTGAACATGCTCAAAACAATCGCATCACCGTAATGACGCAACACCATAATGACATCGCAACACCGTAGTGACGCAACTCGGGCGCTGAGCGAGAGTGAATTGTGCGACATTGACGTGGCATTGAGGCAGCCTAGGCGCAAGGCAGTCGATGTAGTCTCCATGAGAAAGTAACTCGACTGCGATGAACTTGTCGAAAAAATTTGAAACTGGACTGCGGATTTATCGTTTTGTCGTGGTATGTATACAGAGCAAGTGACGTCACGTGAGCGTATTTTGGTTGAATAGAGAGCGCGACGCGAGCTACTTGGACGTATCAACAGCGAGCAGAGCATAGTGTGAACGCAGTGACAGCGCAGCGGCAGCGACTAGATCGATTTATTGGGCTTGACAAGGATGCATAGAGAGCAAGTTGAGCGCATCGTAAACGCTGGATGAGTGCAGTACGAGCGTAGCTTGAGCTACTTTCTGGCCACTTAATACAGAAAATGGTCATTTTCTTGCGTCCTTGCTGCGATTGTTAAATTTATGAAATATTTTTGGTCGCCGTAAAGTCTCCTATGAGAGCACATATAATGTGACAGGCCCTTTAGTGTGACATTCAAAACTTTAATGTGGCCCTCGGAGCTAAAGTTGTAAACAAAGTCAAGGTTTAGCAAATGGCCAATGAATAGTATCCTCTAATTACCTCGCTCCTGGGCGGCTGTAGTCTGGACAGGGGAACCTCCAGTGTGCTGTTAGCTCTCGGTATGGACATGTCCTTGGTGATGTTGAACTCTACGGTCGCTACTCCCTGGGGTTCTGATATGCTGATGACATGACCCAAGAGAGGTCGCGACCCTTCACCTGTGACCTGAGAGAGCAAAGTTGACAAAACTTAGTATCATGCTATGGAAGGGAATAGATAATTACAGAACAAACCAAGATGGGATAGATTAAAAACTAAGTAAGTGCTAACTTGCTATACACAATGCATTCTGCTTGGTTCCTCCATGTTTGTGCACAAACTGGTAAAATTGGAAAGTTTGTAGTTTTTGTGTGCGGCTATTTGCATATCTCTGTTTGTATTTCGAAGCTTAATAAGCCATATCGGTAATGGGAAAATGAGTGTTTCACATAGCTCTGTGCAAATAAAGCACACATGGACTAATTATGGAAAACTGTGCAATTTTGTATGATGCCAACGATGGTTCGACTGAACCATTGTTGAAAAGACAAAAAAAAGGTCTTTAAATACCGACTCCAACTGACCAAATTTAGTTTGTCCACACATTGTTTGCAATTAGGTACATATCTGTGAACAGGCGCAAGCCAGCTTGTTTTGTTCCCTGACCTGACAATTCCCTGACATCTATAAATTGTTCCGTTTTGTCTTAAGTGTTGGGTCAAAGAACCAGATTACAAGAACAGCGTTTATTCTTTTTTTTCCGGCATTCACAAACATAAAACATTTAACAGGTCTGTGGAACAATATTTGCTATAAAATACTAATCCCTAAATACGTCCATTTCTAAAAATCACAGCAAAAGCAAATGTTGTAATATTACCTTTAAACAAGCACTAGAATATGAGAAATGATGACAACGAACCTGGACCTTGGAGCCAACTTTGACGCTTTCCTTGAACCCTCCCAGAGCGCAGAATGCTGCCACCACTTGGCGACAGACGGACATGAGTCTGGTTACGGACTCCCCCTGGGGCTGGCTGTTCAGCAGACCTATGTGACTAGTCTGGTGGGAGGTCAACTGGGTGACCATTGTCAAGGCATGAGAAAGCACCTACAAAAAAGATTCAGAGCGTTTAAAAATGACGGTGGAAAGAAAATCACTTACAACAATTCCTTAATAGTAGAGTACATCATTTGCAGCTATCCAAAAGTAACTGACAAAATCACTGTTGAAAAGCTTACTTCGTTTAAAGATAGTAATGGCACTAAACTCCCTGTGAAATTATTCTTTCTGGCATAGTATCATTTGAAGAAAACAATAAAAGAAGGTCATTTCCAACGATGCGTTGAAAGACGTATTTTTGGAAATTTCCGTTAGTAATTCCTTTTCAATTCAGCGACTGGTGCGTGCAAGCGTTGACAGAACTCACACGTGCGCGCAGTTGCTACAATTCGTCGGTTCAGTGCGTGACATCGCGTAGCTGCAATCGGCTGTATTGAGAACGTGTCCCAGACGCTGATTTCGGGCTTAATTCAAAACTTGACTCGGCAACTTTTGAATTGAAATTGAGATCCTAGAATGTTGTTTTGCTCGAAATATAGCATTCACTGAGCTAAAATTTCATCAGGTTTAATAGTTGTTCAGCACCCTTCATTAGATTTGGAGCACTTTTGTTGATTCAAAAGAAAAAAATGCACAAATGACAAATGATGTACTCTACCTTTAACCCTCCTATGCAAACATAAATTCTGTGCAAGGTTGTCCTTTCAGTCAAAACCAATCAAGTGACTGTTTTTAACAGTTAAGAGCTCCCAGCCTACATAAAGCAGGATTGACTGGCTGTGACTGTTTATGTAACTTGATACATTTGACTGTATGTGATTGATAAGCCAGCTGTGCCTACCACTCGCCTGCTTTTGTCTTTTGACTTAATTTGACTAGTCACAGTGCTTGCCTGAAATATGATCTTACTGTTGGTGACTAGCCTGTGTAAAATGCACGGCAGGGGGAGAGGATTGGTTTTTTTGACTGTCTTTGACTGTTCAGACACCAGGAGGGTTAACATACCAATCACACATACAGTGGTAAAAGCAGAATCTAATTCTACATTCGAATTGAATTGTAAGAAAAGATTGACTATGTTTTTTCCCCACAACGTTCGTAACGGATTTATATTCTACTTTTTAGACATTAAATTTAAGATGTGAATACATGTACTTTCTATAGGTGAGTACATACTCCGCGCAAATGCTAATGCAAAGACGCATTTGTGACATCACATCACATCAAGCATACGCACTGCAATTCCCAAAAGTTGAGCACATTTGAACTCTTGCAAATTTCGCTCGGAATATTTTAAGATGTAAACAAACTGTGGATCATTTTAATCTGACAAGTGGGTACATTCCCAGTGGTTTCTCCATGACTTACCCTTTCGACAGCCGATGCCCAGATGAGGGCGGTATGCGTCTCTGGAGCCGTCAGCAGGCTATGCAGCAGGGCAATGACCTCTGATGCCATGCTGTTAGCAACATGGCCGCTGATGAACGGTCTCACTGGATCAGTCCTGGAAAAAGGCAGATGATTAACGTTAAATGAAATGACATACAGGGTGAGTAAAAAAAACCGAAACCCAAATGTTGGGACCATTGCTTTAAGCAAGTTCTGCATGTAGCATTTTCAAAATCTAGGATATGAAAGCCCAATTCATACGCTTTCTTTTAGTACAAGAATCATTCGAATCACTCATGCACTTTCCAAGTTACGGAATTTTAAACACAACCACCGTTTTAAGGTTCTGTCCACGGATCACAAAAAAGGTGTGCGTTCTTTCACCAAAACGAAAACAATTCACACACATCCCTGTGTGATTTGTTTTCGTTTCCTGAAAGAACACTGAAGTTTGTTGTGATCCGTGGACAGAACCTTAAAACGGTGGTTGTGTTTAAAATTCCGTTAACTTGGAAAGTGCATGAGTGATTCGAATGATTCTTGTACTAAAAGAAAGCATATGAATTGGGCTTTCATATCCTAGATTTTGAAAGTACTACATGCAGAACTTCCTTAAAACAATTGTCCCGACATTTGGGTTTCGTTTTTTTTTACTCACCCTGTAATGTAAAAGTAAAAGACTGATCTATCACTCAAGCTTTACCCATAGTAAACTCTAGGCAATGTACACTGACAATCAAAACAACTTTACACAAGTTATCTTTTCAAGAAGTCTTTCAACGGAGCCTGCAAGTCTCGCGATACAGACTCAAAGCTATTAGGTTGAAGGAGATCAACTCGTTCAAAAAGTCGCACTTTCCCAAGTATTTAAAAAAATATTGATTCAAGTTTATATTGAACTCGAAGACCACAAATTTGAAAGAAAAATCCTGGAATTCCTTTGTAAATAGGAAAATGCTCATGCCTGTGTGTTTCTATAATCAAGGTGTGCCTGTAACGTTATTTCGGATACCTTTCTTTACCCAATCAGGCTGCAAGATTTTAGAAAAGGTTTAAATGGGAAAAAAAAGTTTAAACATTGATGAAATTAAATATAAAGTCACAGCAGTACAGGGTGTCCCAATAAACATTGTGAATGAAGAAATCGCTGATTTTCTCAAAAGTTGGTCAGGCTAGCTAATCAAATTTTATAGCAGTTTTAAACCTATGGTCTTGTTTATAATTGGTGAAAAAAAATGAAGAAAATCCAACTATGCAAACCAGAGATATCATTGATTTGGTAAGGCTATGTATTTTTCGACTTGCACAATGTAATTTCTTCACTTAGTATTTGCTTGTACATGTATATATACCAATTTTTGGGTTATTGGTATGTGTTACGCAGTGCTTGAAATATTGCATAAGCTTTATGTAAAAAGATTTCATTCGTAGATAAATAATAGAAGAAACAACATATCTCGAGGGTGTTTATTTGATTGTTCATCAAAGAAGATTATTCAAAAGCACGTGGTAACTGCTCTAATTGCATATTACTTGAGCGTCAATGTTGTTTAGACCCTTTTGACACTCTTTTTTTAACATGCTTAACTACAGGATTCTAATTGTGCAGGAGGAAAATAATATAGCCTTACAAAATAAACGATACCTCTGGCTTGCATTGATGGATTTTCTTGATATTTTCACTAATTATAAACAAGACCATAGGCTTTGAAATAATTTAAAATTTGATTAGCTAGTCTGACCAACTTTTGAGAAAATCTGCGATTTCTTCATGCACAATGTTTATTGGGACACCTATCTCACCTTGCCAGCTCAGCGTTCTTCTCTCTACACACCACCTCCGTCACAACCTTCTTCTTCTCCTTGCCGTTCTCATTGCTGGAGTCATTGTTGTTCTCTACGGGGGGTCCCGTGCTGACAACAAGCCCGCTCTGTGCCCACTTAGATGCCTTACGGATGGCGGTGTTGGCGTCTTCCGTGAAGACCTCAGCTTTGCCGTACTGTAGAGACCAAAACCAAAAATGAAACACTTTCAAGACCTTCTGTTACAAGCCAGAAGCTAGTCTTGGTCAAGGCGTCTGTCGATATTGTCTGTGATGGTATCTGGCCGCTAACATAAACATTTCCCACATACTATGCACTGTGCGAAGCAAGAACAGCGACCTCATGCGGCTACAATCTGCAAATCAGTTGGTGAAGGATGAATGCCTTGGGACAACGGATTGCGTTGGAGGTGACCAACCGACGCCATCTTGCCTGACTGCAATTTTGCCACGACGCGTGGCCATACCACTGCGTGTACATAGTTCAAATCCCCTGGTGTACGTGCGTCACACACAAGGAACAGTGCGCGTCAACCAGCGAAATGTCCTGCCCATGGGACGTCGTTGCTAGGTAAAAAGGTGCCCTCTTTCGTCAGCGCACGGAGCCCATGGACCCAAGGTGTTCGTCTTTCACCAACTGAATTGCATATTATAGTGCTGTTACCGCTTCCTACAGTATGTAAGCAGCCCGATACCATCACAGTACAGATCATCGATCAACACCTTGGCTAAGGCTAACTAGACACTTGCTATTACAGGGCATATTCCTGCAAGAGTTTTTTTTGCACGAACCTTTTGTTGCCTTTCTACCAAAGGTACAAAAAAAAACTAGAAATGGTTGGGAAACAATGAAGAGTATATGAAGAGTATATGAGTATAACTAAACTTTTAGTAATTTGTGTTTCAATAATTTATTGGGACTAAATTGCTGCCCGCTGTGCAGACCAGATGCACGAAAAGACTTCCAGTGAATGTCCATTCTGGAATTAGCTTTACTAGGCTTGCCTTGCCTTGACCACAAATCAGAGTGTTTATGAGCGAATTGAAAAGGGAGAAATTCACCAGACAATGGGTGGTAATGATCATGCAGGATAGGATTCACATACCTTGGTCATCTCTCTGTCCATGCGGACAACTCTCTCCATGTTGGCCCCACTGCCGAGCCTGAAGGGCCTGCCATCAGAGCTGCTGGAAGCAAAGTCAAAATGATAGACCATCCTTGAATTAGCAGAGCCCATTAGATTTAAATTCATTAGATGGTGTTCAAGTATCAGTGACTCGAAATGACTCAAGCACAAATTTGACTCAACTTGACTCGACTCTTCTCGACTCGACTCTACTCAACCACACACTGTGACTCAAGTCGACTCGACCTTCTTGACCTGATGACTCAACTCGACCACACAATGTGACTAGACTCGACTTTCTTGACCTAATGACTCGACTCGACTTGAGTCACTTCCTTAAAATGACTCGACTCGACTTGACTCGAGTCACAAAATTCAGTGACTCATTACAACTCTGTGATGAAATAAACTACAACACTGGCTATGGTGAATAGCCATTGCCATAGACAAAAGAGCTTGTTTTGGACACTTCAAATTCTCATTAATTTCCACAACGGCAACAGTGTCTAACCTGAGCAGTTGCTGTATGACTTCATGTGAGGATTGGTCGTCCCTCTTGAGAATGAACACTGAGATGCGGCCATCTTGGGCTTCAGACTCCTCGCCCTTGTCTCGGTCGCCACTCGAGGGCGCTGTTGCTTGCGTGCCGTCCCCATTGGTTGAACTGGGAACATCTGAGGATGCGGTGGTTTGGCAGCCTAGTGATAGAAATCGAAAACATGTTTGTAAACGGAACTCCATAACATCTACAAGAGCTATAGTAATAAAGTGCATTAAAACAGAATGTATGATGCTCAATGCTTGTTACTTCCCCAGCTCATCAGGCCAATAAAGAAACCTGGAGACCATTTTTGCACGCTGAAAGTATACTGCTCATTTGGTCCAGTTTGGGGAATCAAGGAGTTAATTCTTGGAAAAACAACCAACCAATTGTTGGGAAAACAAATGGACTTGCGATGGACTTGTGATGGACTTGCGATGGATTTGCGATGGAATCGTGATGGACTTGTGATGGACTATTGATGGACTTGTGATGACGTGTGAACCATTACGAGTACCTTGACTACAAAACTGGCCTTTGGTTAATTATTTGGGTCTATTTTAAACTTGTTTGCCTTAAGAAAAGAGATCTATCAACTCACCTGGCACAACATAATCTCCCAGCTTAGCCAGCAGCAGGCTGGCGATCTTGGCCGGTGGGTCCCCAAGCTGCCCTTCCCCCTCAACCTCCCTCTCCCCCTCGCCCCCACCGTCGGCTCCCCGGAGTAGCGTCGTCACCTCCTCCTGGCCCCAGCATGGCAGCTGCACACTGGCACAGTCCTCGGCGGACATGAGGGGTAAGGCTACGCGGCACAGCTGCAGGATGATCAGGACCAGCTTAGGGGAAGGACGCTGGTCTAGGAGTAGGGAGAGAAGCTTGGAGACGCAGGCTGGCTGGCTGAGGATGGCCTTGCCCATGCGACTCCTGAGAAATCAAGAGAATTTCAAGTATATAACTCTCTTGGCATTTTAACTCTAGACCTTCTTAAATACTCCAACGTGCTCAGTTGCACAGGAAATAATGTTAAGTCCTTTGTACATCAAGTTTCACGTTTCCTAGCCCCACATAGGGTAATCGTAGCTGGGCTCCGCCTTACTAGATACTGCAAATCTTCCAAAACCTTCCATAGAAGGTTACATTATTTAGGTGGGATTAGATGAAGGGAATAAATGTGTGCTTGGCCAGTTTTTAACAAGTACATTTAACACCTGCTTGGGGGCTGGATGCTGATTTCGGCTTGGGACATTATCCATGACCAGACCCCCAGCTGGTTTTCAACATACTTGTTTTAGCCAAGCATATATTTATTCCCATTCATAAATACATTAAGGTAAAAAAATCAAAATAAGTTACAAATGATTAAACCAACAATTTTGTTCAACAATTTTACTTAATGTTTTGTTAAACAACCCTCTAGCTTTGTTTATGGCATGTGCCTCACACAAGTAGCATTACATTTCCTTATATGGAGATTGACATGCGCATGTTGCGTACTGTGCGCTGTGGCGCAGAATGCAGCGGTGCCGGTGTAGTGTTTATAAATGTGACATGTCATAGTTAATTTAAAGCTAAAGATATTGTGCTCGGCGTTAACATGTTATGTAATTATCACGCCAAAAATGTAGGATCATGAATATTCAAAAATGCAATTAGCTGGCTTGTCAGACTTCGCCACCAGATTGGAGACAGAGCCCTGCAAATTTGATAGCCACCGCATGTAGTGAAGCGTTAAGCTGTCTGGGTCTTTGTTGACAAGTATTCATAGTAATTGCCAACTGTACGGGCCGTTATCACGCCTTTAACCAGGAGTTTGGCTTTGTCGTTGTGTGTAGGATCCGTGCGTTAACTACTTTCAAACTATCATACCGTGAGAGTTCATTCAGCAGACTCAGTACTTCTTGCAAGGCTTCGCTGCCGGCTGCCTCGTTGCCGCTGGTCTCCGTGGCTCGAGCCAGGTGATTGGTCAATAGGCTAGACACCTGACGGGCCAGGCCAGCATAGCCCAAGGCATCATGGGATGTCTCGTCAGCCTCCCATGAGACGCAGCGACTGGCAAGTACCTACGTAAGTACAGTTTGTAACAAATCATTCAATTTCAGATCTTGATTTGCAGTTGGATCAACTCAATGATTCAGTGTATGGCTTATTACACCAGAGAACAATTATGCACCTTGGAAATGAAAAGTAAATTGAATTGGAAACAAATAGCACAGGTGCTTATGGGTTAAATTATTGAAGAAAATGATGTAACGCAATGTTATCAATTAAACACCAGGTGCGGGTGTCAAAGGCTGGTTTTTTTAAACTGCTGTCAGAATTACCTGAAAGCCAGCCCAGGCCAGGGCTGATACCAGCTGCCTTGTGGTCTGTGATTCCGATGAGCCAGCTCCGATCCCACCGCTGCCACCACTGCTGGATCCTAGGCTACACAGCTGATCAAGCACTTGCACCAGGCCACTGTCTACCAGGCACTGCTCCTCTCTCCTATATTCAAACACAAAACAGAGATTTTAGGGATGAGTGAAACTAGATGCATAGACATGCATTTAATATTATAACACTTCATCCGCAGATTCCGTGTCTTGATTGGCCGAGAGCGAGTCACATGGTACTTTCTTTGTTTGCTATATTTCTGTGCACAGCCAAAAGTACTATACTCATAGCAACCAAAGTACTATACCATTAGCAACTAAAGTACTATTCCATGGCGCGGTATTTGTGTGCAACTGCATGCTGGTGTGCGCGTCGAGCGTAGCGCATGGCGTGTAATGTTCCCAAGAGCCAGCGCTACAGAGTTGGGTACAAACATTTTGTGAAGGGGTGGTTTTGAAGAGAGAAATGCAATTTTCACCAATTTTGTATTGAAATAGAAGTTCACTGTATTCTGTATTTAGATTTAAATAATGTTAAAATTTTAAAATCAAGCAGAATCTGTGGGGGAGGTGTTATAAAACAAATATTAACTGCTTTATCTCGTGGTGTATTAAAACTATCCTCCCTCAGTGATCCATGGAGCATTCTATTTTCCCTCGGCTTCGCCTCAGGAAAATAGAAGGTCCATGGATCACCGAGGGAGGCTAGTTTTAATACACCACTCGAAGCATTAAATACTGTATACTATACAGCGTGGCCCAAAAAAATGGAACGGCATACTTCCACTACCTTGAAACTCAAACCACCTGTACCAATGGATGGAAAGTCTTTTTAGAAGAAATATGATACCAAAATCTCCCGATTCTGTAATTAATTTTTTGCTGCAGAGCTTATTTTGGGAAGCACACATCTTTCACGTGGGTATTATTACATACCAATAAATCCAATTCAGTCAAATCCGTGGGCACGGTTTGGTAAAATTTATTGGGACAAAATGACTCACGACTTTGTTTCACAAAATAGGCTCTAGAACAAAAACTACTGGACCGAATCGGGCAATCTTGGTATCATTTGTCTTTTAACAGAATTTCCATGCATTGGTATAGGTTGTTTGAGTCTCTAGGTATTGGAAGTACGCCATTCTGTGGTTTTTTTTTTTGGGGGGGGGCATCCTGTATAAGGCAACACTGAGAAGTAATGATACATGTGAAAGTATATTCTACGCTCACAGAAACATGATTGCCAAAATTCATTCCAAATTTTCCTTTCCTTTATTTTACTTATATTTTCGTGTTGCTCATATTTGAAAAGAACTGTGTAAAGAACTAGTTTTCATTTGTTAAGTTTTTCATTGGCAGTCGGAGTGTAATATTTACAATAAGCCATTTGCAAAAGACCTATACCCTTTGGGATTTAAATTTGAAAAAATCATCTGGTACACTGACTTACTCAGAATGCTTGGCACAATTTAACTTTGCATTCTCCAGACCAAAGACACTGTTGCTAATCACATGATTCGGAGCAAGCTCTTGCATAGTTACGTAAGAGACACTCAGCACCAATACATTGTTCACAATGGGTGAGAATGACACAAAGACACCAGACCATGCCGGAGCTGGGGGTTGCTAGCGTAAGGCTTGCCCCGAATCACGTGATATAGTAACAGTCTCTTCGGTCAGGAGAATGCAAAGTTAAAACGTGCAAAGAATTGGATTTAGTCAGCGTTTCAGATTTTATTCAAATTTAACTCGCAACTTGCTTTTTATTGGCTTATTAACTGAATGCAAAACAAATAGGAGATACTATTTCTCAAAAAGGGACACAAAAATAAACATAAAGGTTTCCAAAATTCTGAATGCACCACAAGGAAATTTCCAACATCTTCTCATTTATGCATGATTTTATGAATCAGTTCTTTGTCAGTAATGTTTCATTTTGATACTTTGTTTTCCATGGTGTTCCTCACCTTGTGTATGGGATAGTACAGAGAAGTCCTATGCTGTTGGCACACGCCACGGGGTGGGCACCAGCTAAGGTCACCACAGAGGTCATAGTCTCAGAGAAGGTCTGCTGGACGTCATCCACCATGCCACCACATGCAAGCTCATTTACTCTGGTGGATAAAGGTAGAATGAGAATGTTATAAGACTAACTTTTATGCTATAAGACTAACAGAACGTCACTGAGATGTACTGGTTTTTACCAAGTACATGTTAATGTTTATTGGTGGGCCCATCATTTTTTGTTTTTATTAATGAAGTAAACATAGCCTGGCTCTGATACATATTTTGTCTTTGAATATTCCATTGCATCTTGCGACAAAATCGTTACCTGAGAGTAATTGAGAGAAGATTAGTCGAGTGTAAATATTTTGAATTTTGTGTAATTGATATCTGATTGATTTCACTGCCATTTTTTGTGTGTGCAATTTGAACAGAGATTTTACATCGCTGTCGTTAAAGTTATTGGAAGTATTGCCAAGAAGTAGAACCGTGTCATGCTGATAAATTGTATCTCTAATTTTCTATAAAGTGTAGCAGAGAGAAGTATTATTAACACTTGATATGGTTGGGTGTCAAACGTTAGAATTTATAATTATTCTGTTCTTCAGAGCACCTTTTTTTAAATTCACGTAATGCCTGTAACTGTAGTAATTTCTTTTATAGCAATTTTGTCCTTTGAGGATCTGAAATTAGAGGGTATGACAAAATAAATCTTTACGATGTTTTGTTGGGAATGGGATGGGGAAAACTGAAATATCATGTGCTCTACATGTATAAACATTTGAAGAGTTTATTTACAAAATCTCGCTCTCTCCTGGCTGCCCATAGTCAGTTTCGACAGGTTTTTTTTTTACATAGTTAAACGCAATTTAAGAAGACAATAAAACCACAAAAATAAGGGAATAAATGTGTGCTTTGGACGTTTTAAACACTTTGTTTAACACCACTTGGAGTCTGGGTGCTGATAATTACCCGAGCCGAGCTAAATAATGGAGTGTCCAGCTCGCAAGTAAGATCTAAACATCTCCTTTTATAGAGATTGGCGCCGTACTGCGCGATGTCACGCAGAATGCACCTGGGGTGTTGCGTTGTGAATTTATGATTATAAAATACTGACTCGCTGGTAGTATTGAACATTCAACCAATAAAGCGTCCAACGTGGTCGAGCCGCAGGCATGTAAAGGCGCCTATGGCTGCCGGCCACATTGACCCACATATGACCACGAAGCACTGCCTGAGATCGAAAGTATTTGATTTTTCCGGAGGGAGGAAAACCCAAGGGCCCGGAGAAAAACCCTCGTGGCACAGGAGAGAACCAACGCACAACTCTACTCACATATGGCATGTCTAATCAGCTGACGGGATTCGAACCAGGGCCACAGTGGTGAGAGGCGAGCGCTTTACGCACAAGCCACCCATGCCACAAGTCACCCATTTAGTTATGTTTGTCAAATACCAAATTTCTTGACCCAGAAATTTTGGAGTAATTAAAAAATTACACCAAAAAACCTGTTTACACAAAAAAGGTACCCTCGTTACACAGAGGGTATGAATGAAACCCATGCATCGTACCCACCTTGGACCATTCTGAATGACAGCTGTCACAGCTGTCAGTAGGTGCATAGCTCCGCCCACTTTGCTGGCAGCCAATAGCAGCTGTTTGATGTGGACCAGGGCCTGCTTGCGGGTGTTGCCCCGCCTCCATCGCACCCTTGCTGCTGACAGGAAGCTCTCCAGGGATACCTGCAGCGTAAAAGGACAGTTTGAACATTTTGTTTCTAATTAATAATTTACAGCTGTGTAACTTCCTTTCTGTGCTTGGTTTCCTAGGGATCTAAGTATCAAAGTGATATGTACATTTCAAGTGGCTTATTCACTTTACACGTGGCAGGCTGTATAGCAGCTAAGTGACCTGCACCCGATTTCACGAAGCGCTGCGAAGCGTCGCAACTCAAGTTACGACGTGTAACACGTCGCAACTCGCGACGCCTCGTATCTTCCATTTCACTAAAGTTGCGATGTGTTGAACGCGTCGTAAGTTCCTTGACAACGGCTTAAAACACGTCGCAAGTTACGACGTGTCTAGTGGTCTTCGCAAAATAAGAAGAGTCATTTCTAAGCAAGTTTTATGCCACAAACATTACATTAACGAGATTAAAATACCAAGGCAATGTGTGTAAAGTTGTAAATAGAAAATCCATTGCATAATTATGAATTAGACCGGAATATTAGAGTTGAAATTTCAAAGTAGCTATAAAGTCCAATGAGAGCTTGTTTTCCTTCAAAATTGCATCGCACGGCCGCCATTTTGTTTTACGTTTTAACAAATTTCGAGCCGAGATCAGACGACTCTTTGTTGAATATCAAACGACTATTTACTGTACGCTAACTAAAGACATAAAACAGTCACCGAGTTGTGCCATAAATACACCTACGACGCGTCGCACGTACGACGTGTTTAGTGAAATTGGTCGCAGGACGCGTCGCAGCTGCGATGCATCGTAGAGATACGACACGTCGCAGCGCTGCGATGCATCTTAAGTTACGAAGAGTTTGATGAAATCAGGTGCTGAAACACAGATACATGTACAATGTGTTGGTTGGCACAATTCCATGCACAATTGCATGTTGTTTATTTACCTTAACAGAGCTCAACCCATCAAACCCCAATGGCATGTTTTGTTGGAATCTGTCAGGATGGGTACAGTACCCCTAAACTGACAGTCTTTTACATTGGGTTGGCACACCTCCAGAATCAAAGTCAGATATATGCGTGTGCAGTTCTTCATATTTGCCAGGATGGGTATGGTTCCTAGTAAATCATGCTGGGGAATTAGGGTTACAGATAAACTGTCTGTCATTTCAACAATTTTTTTCCCCCGTAACCACTTCGCCCCGGGATTATTTTGCCAAAAATATTGATTTTTCGCAAAAGGCAGAATTTTCAAGAGAAATTGAGAAACACAACCCCCCTCCAAAAAAAAAACACCTAGAAATAATTTCTGAGAAGCGAAGTTTTGCCACTCTAATTCAATGGAAACTGAATTACCCAACTAAATTGAAATTGGCATTTTGTTGGTCACAATTTCTTAATTTAATCTAATTTACATTTTTGCATTGATCAGTTTGTTGGTCATCAATTTTAAGTAACAATATTTGCTACATGAAGACACGTACTAAGGTTTCCTTAGACAGGGCATACATGCTTTAAATAATGAAAGAAATCGTAGTTAATTTGATTAAATATTGTATCAGATTATCAAATTAATCACCCCCCCCCAAGCTTTGTCTGCTGTACACTGAAGACAATTGTTCACATCACGTTTCCCTAAAAACTTCATCTTGAGGGCATTTTGATAAACGTTTCTGCAATATTTTGACTGGAAATTCCGAGGAAAATGTGATGCATGAGTGAGCGACTACAAATAATCGCAAAAACTGAAAATTCAAATATTTATAAATTGCCAATGTAAACGTACAAAAACTGGGGGATACACTTTCTGTAAATTTTATCACATTCACATCTATTGTTTGTTCATGGCTAGCCTTTATCTGTTTATGAATTTTGGACGATGTTTTGTGTATGTTTTGACATCAAATTTACAAAGGTTAGATGTACTGTTCCTATGAAATGTCCAACTCTTCAACATAGGGTAGCCACTGTAGTAGCACTGTATGATATTATTTATTATAAAATCAAAATTCCAAAATTCTCCTATCAATTGGACTAAAATCTGGCAGAAGTTCTACCCACTAATAACTTTATATAAGCACACAACTAAAAATTGTAGCTGCAGCTGAGCAGCTCAACATATGGTCGTGTCTCTCTCTTTACTTTGGTTCGTTGGTTGAAAAGTTCATCTTGAGGGCAGTTTGATGAACTTTTCGACAAGATGAAGACTGAGAGTCCAATGAAAATGTGATGGAACTAAAAGAAAATCGCAGTTCAAATACTTATATTGCAAATGTAAACTTACGAGAACTGGGGGATGCTTTTTCAGTACATCACGTTCAGTCTCATTGCTTACTCAGGCGAGAGTGGAACCCATTGCCATTAGTGTAGTAAAAGTTAAAATCATTCAGTGTATATTTTTATAATTATCATCTTTGATTAAAAAGGCCTCTCAAAAACAAGTTATAAATGATACCAACGGAGAGTTTTGAGGACAGTCAATATTGACAAAGACCCTCGGCAAAGATGTACTCTACCCAAAAATCCCCCAACCACTTGGTCAGAAAATAAATCTAATGGACTATTATTAATCATTGAACACTTGCGTGTTTAAACTGAAATAACCAGTGTCCATTTCATTCACGAAGGCTGACCATTAATTGCAATTTGTTGATACACTTTCGTCTTAGATCTAGGGTCTGATGTACTATCTGAAAATTTCATCTTAAATTTTTTTGTTTGAAGAGTTGCAAATACTGAACAATTTTAAAGGATTCGATGGAAATTGTTTAATGGTCTTGGACTGCAAACATGTGGGTGGCAGTTAAATTAAAGTGCTGTCAATCAAGATTTCACTTGGCCAAATGGAAATGGTCGTCTTCTGCAGACTTTCGGGCGGCAACTCCTATTTAAACATAGTGGCCACTTCAGATAAGACACTTTGCTGAAGGACGAACACAAGATTCAGACAAGAGATGGGGACAGACTTTTCATCTGAACTGTAGCATTGCAGTTTCTGATTGAGATAGTTGAGCTGGAAACAACCGTTTGGTATGAACAACATGGAAATATAATCTATACTAAAAATTGATTTCCAAACCGCCGTTTATGTATAGTCTATGTTGTCAAAATCAAATTGGAAGTCACAAACATTTAATTTTCTGCATATTAAACTGGAAAGAAAACTCAAGTGTAACAAAAATGTATACTGCTTGAGCTGCAGTGTAGAGTTCACTCTATCAAACATCTAAAATTTAATACTCTGTTAACTGACGTGCAGAAATTCTACATCAGACAAAATTGAACTTTTTGGAAACTGTTGCGGCTGAAATCCACCATGGGGTCAGACATGTCATCAGTTGAGTGCGATGAACAAGACACATTTAACATCAGTGAAGCGGAGGTTCCTTTGTGGCTTTACCTTCCACTAGACTCTACCATCATCACCATCGTTATACCAATCATCTGGTGTTTCGGCGTCTTCACCAACTTCACGTTTCTGTTTGTCCTGTTCCGCGTTCCGAAAATTCGAACTGACACCAGCGTGTACCTGGGGCATCTGACGATAGCTGATCTCCTGTATCTGAACCTGCAAAGTATTTACTATGTATGGAGCTATGTGGCATCGCCCCTGGCAATTGACGATCCTTTTCAGAACTCGGCTGGGTGCATCAGTTTGTTTACGGTTATCAGCGGCGGGTATTTTGTAGCCATTGGGTTGGTGACAATGGTGTCCTTTGAGAGATACCTCGCGCTGTGCCATCCCATAAAGCATCGGCAAGTCTGCAGCCGACAGCGCACTTACAAGATAGTCGCGATCTGTTGGCTGGTTGGGTTCGCAGTCTCCGGTGCGACGGTGATCCGATCGGGTTTCCTCAAGGTGTACTGTCTGCATTGGCCTGACGGCGACGCCTACCAGCAATTCCCTGCGACGTTCGCCAGGTGCCAAGCTATACCGCCGTGGGTGCAAAACTACACCAACCCGCTGGTCAATTTGCCCTGGTTCATCGCGATGGTCTCCAACGTTTACATGTACATCCGGATCATCCACGCATTAAGCAAACGCAGGCAGCAAAACCGTGGAGCGGAAGGCAACAAGGCAGCTCTGCAAGTTCGCAATCAAGTTGCAAAAGCGTTGGTCGTCAACGGCGTGGTCTTTTTCCTGTGCCAGGCCCCGTATCGTATCATAACCTTCTCCTTTTGGATTTGTACCTTCCTTCAGGTACCCGAGCCGATATCTACCGCGCTGGGGGATGGTGCAATGTGGACAGCCCTCATTCCACAGTTTGTCAACAGCTCGGTCAATCCATTGATCTATGGAACCATGAATGCGCAGTACCGCGCTGCACTGATCCAAGCCTTTCAGTGCAAACCTCAACCGGCGCAGGCAGGACCAGCTAACCCTCCTCCAGCGATAAGCGCTGAAGTCCAGAAAGGCAACGGCAACACAGGAAACTCCACCAGCAATGACACAAGTGACACTCGACTGTGAAACATGACTCACGTTATTGAACTAACTCTTTGATGGGACATCATTGAAGTCTGGACACGATAAAATTACTGTATACCAGCCACAAAAACTTTCCAATGGTCAGGTTGAAAATGAAGGAAATGACCTGACATCACCTTGGTAACCATGAGGTACGTAAAGCAACACAGAATACAGGCATATTTATGAATGTATCTATAGTAATCATGCATATTTAATTATTTTTTGTTTGAGTGCAAAATTACTTACAATGTACATAGTACAATTGAAAAAAAAGTACCTATAAATGTAAAGCAGAAACTCACAGCAAAAAAATATTTAGTTTTTAGGCACATCTAAATTTCAGAGAGTAATCTGAAATGTCTATTTTAATGCACTTATTTAGTTTGCATGATGGAGCTCTGCCTTAATCTTTGGATTATTTTCCACTTGACAAAGGAAGTAACCAGTTGAGAGGTCCTACTGAAGGTGATGTGTAACTATAAACACTATCCACAACTCCAGATTATTTTTTGGTTTATTTGTTGTTCCATATTCTCAGACTAGTTTGTTACAATGTATATGACTTATTAGCTGTTTTCAGCAAGTCTTGTAGTTCTCTGTGGGACTTTAAAATATGCACCTTTAACCCCTTAAGGACGGGGTGTAATGGGGACATTCCTCCACACATAGAGCAAGTGGCCCGCATGACTGCACAGCCTTTGTGTGGTAGCGGGACTGCACTGCATTCCAATGAAGATTAGCGGCCGCGGCCATGACCGCTTCCGGTACGCATGGGGTTAAGTTGAGGCCACCTGACCCCTGAGTACTCATCATAACGTAGCTTGTCTAGGACCAACTCAACTATCTGGTCTTTGTTTGTGCCTTATAACACATTATTTAAAGTCAATCTGATTGCTTTTTTGGTGAATTTGGCATACTAGTACCATTATCTACCTATCCACCAAGTTTAATGACGATCGGACCTTCCCTTATGTGTTTTTAAAAACAGCATTTTTGATGATGTCATCATGACATCACACATTTATTGCATTTTTGTGCAAATACCTAAGACCAAACAACCTATTGCAAAAAGAATCATGAATTAGGCATGTTTTGTTTTTGAAATATGACTCAAAGACTAAAAAAATTGATATTCCATAAAAAATAAAACTATGAATAATCATTTCAATTTAGCCTTATAACATTCCCTGTCTATGTATCTACCAAGTTTCAACCCAATCGGACTTATACTTCTCTAGATATAGGATTTTAAAATATGCACCTTTAAAATGACGTCACGTGACCCATGATGATGTCATCATGATGTCACTCTTCTACATAGGTCTTACCTATTAGGTCTTTGACTGTGTTGAGTTTTGTTGGGATATAACTTTGTTTTATGTCTAAAGTGCCGACCTGAATAAAGCATGAACAAAATCTATGGGAATTGGGATAGAACTAAAAAGGAAAAACAAAAACAGAAAAAAAATCGGAACAAAAACAAAGGCTTTTCCACAACTATGTGAAAAAGCCAGAAAGATCCATGATGTTCTTCATTCTTTATAGTGTCTATAACCCCCTAGGGTGATTTACTAGGAACCTTCCTCATCCTTGCAAATCCCAACACCATATGGTAAACTGTGCACATAAACAACAAGACTCTGTTTATTGGTGGTATGCCTAACTCAATGTAAAGCATAATCAGTTTACTAGTGTAGTACTCACTCCAACAGATTCCAACAAACCCTGTTGGAGTTTGACTGGATAGGGATCGTTGAGGTTAAGCTCATTGTCGATTTAAGACAGGCACATGCAGATCCTGATTGGCGGCCAACTGAATTCCCGATCGGTGCATACAAATTTCAAGTGTTGTGTGCGCACGCAGTTTCCAAACTGCCCCATGCAACTGGCGACCTGCACATGCAATTTAGGTTGACGCGTGTACAATTTTATCGGAGCATGTACAATTGTATCAGCACATGTACCATTTTATCAGCACATTTCCAATATTTGAATATTCGATCAAATCCAAGTTAGAATAATCAAATACTTAATTAATCGAAAGTGCACAGATGGAACCGTGTACCCTGGTACCAGACTGTTGATATCAGGAACCACTTTCAGATTATGGGATCAGGCGCTTGTAACCAACTTTACAAATTAGCTAGTAACTTCTCAGACAATGAAAAAGAAAGGTTTATAATGTCATTTGTGGGGAAGTTTCTAAATGAAAACCAGGCTACATGGGAAAACAAAACATATTTCATATTAATGACAGTCGTGAAAGTTGCAGTTTACACCGTAAAGCTATGTAGCTCACTGTACACACTTGTATGTTGCTGTATTGATGCGCCGATGTGGTTGTATTATCGTGCGGACCTTTATGAACAATCTGAACAGCAACTTCCGAGATTTAAATTTTGGAGTTGGGTTTCTTTAACTGGTACCCGGGTACCCATGTTTTTTTCAATCAGGTACCCAGTTTCTGTACTACCTATAAATGCACACCGCTACAGCACATCAAGACTTGGAACAGTAGAGTAATACTCTAGAATGCAGATCAAAAAAAGTGTATAACAGTTCCCCGGGAACCAAACTATACTCACAGCTTGTTCAGGGTTGGTTCCAATGAAGGAGAATAGTTCCTCTAGCAGGACAGTGTGTGCTTGCTTGTCAGTCTGTTTGCCCTCGCCTTGGGCTAGGTCTTGAAGCAACGACAGTGGGCCTTTTCTCCTGGACTGCCATCTTGTTCTATAATGGAAGGAAAAAAAAAGAAAATGTACTTTTGTGGTCTTTAATAAAACATTAGTATGCATGGGATTCTCATTGTAAAAACAACACATGAGATGATTGATACTAGTATTTTTTACATTGTTACTTTTAATTCCTATCTTACAAGTTTCATTGTATGGTCACACTATTGGGTGAGCTCTGATGCTGTACCTTCATAATACCAGTTTACAAGCTATCAGATGAAGAGAATTTATTCAGACGTTGTTAAAAACGAATAATGAATGTGTCACATTCCTGCAACGGAAAGAACAATTTTACGAGGTGACAGATGGAATATTCCACTCGGCTTTGCCTTGCGAAATGGAACATTCCATCTGTCACCTCATGAAACTATTTTTTGCATTGTACTCATAAACATTCATTATTTGTATTCTATCCACTTTCAAACCATGTTATATTTGTATAATATTTAAATCTTAAGTATTGATATATATGTATTCTATCCACTTTCAAACCTATTTGTATAATATTTAAATCTTAAGTATTGATGTCTTTAACTCGTTACAAGTGTAATTTCATTTTTAATGTAACAGTATTGGTTTGTTTTAATTGGTTATGTGTCAGTATACAAATATGGTTTGTAATTTCATTTTTAATGTAACAGTATTGGTTTGTTTTAATTGGTTATGTGTCAGTATACAAATATGGTTTGAGGGTGAATAGTCGATATTACCTCCCCGAGGTATTGGAAGTTGACAAACTAGTTCTCGAGGTAACCGAGGAAACTAGTTTGTCAACTTCAAATACTGAGGGGAGCTAATATCGACTATCCACCCGAACTAAACCATAATATATTTGTTTTACTTTACCTCATACATATTCAGTTGCCAATTTTTTTTCATTGCAGTACACACCCTCTGCATAAAAACTTCGGAGCAACTTGTCCAGCTCACGAGAAGAATGTTGCTAAACCTCAGAAAAGTTCAGTTCTTTTGCAAAACATTAACATACAAATATAACATGGTTTGAGGGTGGACAGTCGATATTCACTCCCGAGGTATTGGAAGTTGACAAACTAGTTCCCGAGGCGAAGCCGAGGGAACTAGTTTGTCAACTGCCAATACTGAGTACAACAGCTAGTACAGAATGCATCTTTATTGTCCACCATATTCTCCAGTTTGGCATCACTGAGCTCAGGAAAATGCTTATTAACATTTACATGTGCAACCATCTCTTCATATGTAGCTAGGGCAATGTTTGCGCATGCGTACTTCACCCGTGCATAGTAGACTGTGGCATAGGTAACTGGCACTTGCACTTGGTTAACAGCAAAAATAGCATCTGGCACGTGATGGTGAATGGACCAGTAAGAATACAGCTTTCGATCATGAATATGTATGAGGTAAATGTATAGTAACAGGTTCTACCACATTGTGGAAGACTTTTTTTTAGTAGAGGAATCATCTTTATTGTCCACAATAAGCTCATCGAGCTTCATTGAGCTTCAGAAAACGCTGATTAAATTTTTTTTTTTACATGTGTGGTCATCTTTTCATATGTATATATAGTTAGCTAGAGCGATACTCATGCATGTGTACTACACCCGTGCGACAGTTCCATGATTGCTTCGTAAAGCGCAAGCATAGTGAACTATCGCCCGGGCAGCCCGTGTGACAGTCTCCTACGCATGCATATTCACTATACAAGTGCGTGAATACTTGAGTGGGCGCTTGGTTAACAGCACAAAATAGCAGCTGGCACGTGATGGTGAATGGACCAGTGAGAATTCAGCTCTCCATCATGAATATGTATGAGATATAAGTAATTGAAATTAGTTACTAGCTACTCATAAGCTCAATTTATGTATTTCTGTCTTGAGTGTACTACACAAATGACTTAACTGTTTATGGAAATATCTATAGTATGAATATTTACTTTTATTTATCATGTATATCCCTGATGGTCCTTGATCAGCTTTTATAATTATTCCATCAATGTCAGATGAAAACTTGCAAATAATATGAATCGAAAAACTAACATCAATGAATATGGCATTAAAAGGAAATCACAACACTACCAAAAATAGTCAGAAGAGGAAAGGCTACACACTTGAAATGACAAGTTGATCTTACATTTTAGTGAATGGCTGATCGACTGAATTTGGTGGGTTTTTTGTTTTGTTTTGTTTTGTTTGTTTGTTTTTTGTAACCTACCTGGTGCTTTTGTTTGTCTCTTTGTTTGTTTGTTTGCCTCCTTCTAGCTCCATAGGCAGTGAGACACTGCGAGTGAAGGGTGGGCTAGGAGGTGGAACTGATGGCTCAAACACGAAACCTGTCAAACCAAAAAAAAATATGATTAGGCCCCCCCAAAAAAGTATTCGGTTTCTGGTAGAGAGCTTGTCCCGAAAGTGGTGCGGCGACCCAGGTTCCTTTTTATTCCCCTACTTTTTTCTTCTTCAAATATCGACAAATATTGCAGATGACGCTTCAAAAATATCCTTCAGTGTCTTGAGGTGGCCTCAGTAGGGCCACAAGGCTTGAGAATTCTGCACCCACTTACGACCTCGACTGACACGAACAGTCGAGGAAAATTGGATTGTCAAGAGAAAAATCACCACCCCCTGCCCGCGAATCTTATTTTCCCAAACGACATCCGCTTTCCATCTTCTGATTGGTCCATTACATGCATATCTTATGCCTTGTTCTCCATATACACAAACCCAAGATAGGCTTTACGTCTTGTGAGAAATGTTCCTACCTCACTTTAGTCATTTAAAAGGAAAAATGGGAAGAAGTGAAAAATGTTCACTGAGATTCGAACTCCGATCACCTGATTAGAAGTCAGGACTTCTTCCAACCAGTCCGAGAATGAGCTGCCCATTGTCGGGGATTTAAACACTATTATTCCTTGTTATATAAGTTATTCTCTAATTTCACCGGACATCATGAATATGCATAACGCAGAGATAGCGCCCTCTTTTGATATTGTCCGATCTAGTTTGGGAAAAGAAATTTCGCCCCCTGCCCCTCCCCCCTCTTCACTACCTCTCTGTTGATTGCTAGGATGCTGGGACACGCTGCGAGACAAACTGGCCGGGTGGGACTGCAGACTCTCGGTTGCTATGGTAACATGAAGCAGTAGCTCCACCCTCTCCAGGATGGCCTGGACCAGCGAGCGTGTCTTGGGCATGCTCAGTTTGGGCTCGTCGGAGGGCTTCAGGCTGGCTTCTTGCTCCAACTTCTCTCTGTAGCGAAAGAAAATAATTATTTCAGTCAATTTTTACTGGGTACAGGTATCTCTACAGGGTGAGTAAAAAAAGCAAACCTAAATGTCGGGACTATTGTTTTTGAAGTTCTGCATGTAGAACTTTCAATATCTAGGATATGAAAGCCTAATTCATATGCTTTCTATAGTACAAGAACCATTCAAATCACTCATGTACTTTTCAAGTTTAAACACAATCACCGTTTTCAAGTTCAGTCCACGGATCACAAAACAGGTGTGCGTTCTTTCAGAAAAATGGAAACAATAAGCCATTTGCGTGTAACCTATACCCTGTGGGATTTACATTTGAAAAACGTCTGGTACAATGACTTGCTCAGAATGCTTGACACATTTTAACTGTGAATTCTCTAGACCAAAGACACTGTTGCTAATCACATGATTCGGGGCAAGCTCTTGCATAGTTACGTAAGAGACGCTCAGCACCAATACATCGTTCACAATGGGTGAGAATGGCACCAAAACACCAGACCATGCCGGAGCTGGGGGTTGCTGGCATAAGGCTTGCCCCGAATCACGTGATATAGTAACAGTCTCTTTGGTCGGGAGAATGCTAGGTTAAAACATGCAAAGCATTGTATTAAGTCAGCGTTCCAGATTTTATTCAAATTTAACACGCAAATGGCTTATTCACACACATCCCCATGTGATTTGTTTTTGTTTTGCTGAAAGAACACCTAACTTTTTGTGATCCGTGGACAGAACTTTAAAATGGAGGTTGTGTTTAAATTCCCGTAACTTGCAAATTACATGCGTGATTTGAATGATTCTTGTACAAAAAGTGGGAAGAACACAAAGACACACGTAATTGGTGAAAGTAATGTCCAGAACATACAATGTCACTAGTCCAAGTCCAAAAGTAAATGCCAAATCCATTTTTAAGAAATTACTGAAGATGACATAGATAGTTCAAATTAAAAACTACTCTCCACTGACCAAAATAGCAAAACCTTTTAAATCCCATATATTTTAAGTTTGACAGAATGATTTTGAGAAAGGTTAAAAAAGATTTGAACAAGATGTACAAGAGTTTAACTCTACTACTCTCTGAACAGTCACAGACAGTCAAAAGTTCCATCCACTTCCCCTGCCATGCCTTTTACACAGGCTAGTCACCAACAGTCAGATTATATATTAAGCAAGCACTCTGACTAGTCAAATTCAGTCAACAGACAAAGAAACAGACAAAAGCAGGCAACTGGTAGGCACAGCTGGCTTATCAATCATCTACAGTCAAAGCATAGCTGTATCAAGTCACATAAACAGTCACAGCCAGTCAATCCTGCTTTATGTAGGCAAGGAGCACTTAACTGTTAAAGACAGTCACTTGACTAATTTTGACTGAAAGGACAACTTTGCACAGAATGTATGTTTGCAAAGGAGGGGTAATGTAAAAAAAAATAAAAACCTCAAGCTAAGGCCAAAAAAAAAAAGTCTCCGGTTTCTGGTATGTGCGCGCGTCGCCGTAGCCATGCGCGTCGGCAAACTAAAAACGTGTTGTTTTTTTCAATACAAGATGATGTCTCAAAACCGCCAAACTCACTGGTTTGACTGGAATCCTGCTGCTGCACAATTTTAACGTGTTTTTAGATGGGGTTATGATCGAGAATAAGCTTTATGTGGCCTCTCTGGACTCCCATATATTTGCGCTAAGTTTAGTCGGGCACCATTTGCAGTCATCAGTCGACATTTGAAGCCAAAAAAAACAAAAACAAAAAAAAAAACAGGTGAAAAAAAAAAAAGCAGTGTTGCCGCATCACTTTTGGGGCAAGCTCCATACCAGAAACCGGAGACTTTTTTTTTTTGGCCTAAGACGTTGAGTTTTTTTTTTCACCTCAAAAGTTTGATCGCCTCCTCTTGATCTGCAGACTCAAAATCCACATCCTTCAGGTAGGCTAAGAGCTCCAACTCTCGCATTTTGTTCTGTGGGAAAATATGATAAATATTTTTAACATTGATCCAATATTTATCCTAGTTCATTCAAATTATGAACACCTCTAATAACAAAAATACAATGAACCTGACATTGGGAGAAGGGCCAACAGAAATAAGCAAAACATTCCTCAATGAAATTCAGTAAAGTAAAGAAAAAAAGCTCCTAAACTGCTTCTACTTTCTTTGTTTCTTTCAAACTTTGTTGATTAAATGACATACATTTTGAATTCAGAGTGGGAAGGGAAAGACAACACATTATACTAATTCTTTATTTACGTCATAATCACAGTGGCACATGACCAACCAAAACCTGGGCCCAATTTTACGGCTCTGTTTACCACATAATGGCCAATCCCATGATCCCATGATTGTGAGGTTGTGGTTCGAGTCCCGCCATGGCCATGTGTGTTGTGCCCTTGAGTAAGGCACTTTACCTCAATTACCGGCACTATTCAATGCTGGGAAGGCAACAGACTCGCTGTGGAGGAGGTCTGGCAATCCCCCCACAGCAGCATTTCATGGACTCGAGTCTGGCCCAATCGCTTCGAAAGAGAGATAAGCACTCCGTTCCTGTGAACACAGGTTCGTCCCCTTTCTTAACCACAGAATTCCGTGCTTACCCTCACCATTTTCAAGCAGAAAATTGCTGTGCTAAACCAGTAAGCACAGGATCATTAGTTACGGATGTAAGCATGTGCATAAGCCAAAATGCCTCGCTTACCTGTGAAATACGCTCATCATAAGCACCGATTATTCTGTTACAGTAAGCAGGGATAGTTCGTTAACTCTAACTCCCTAGTGTATTTTACTAGGAACTGGACCAATTCTATCAACATCCATCAATCACTGTGCTTCCAATACAAAACTGTACATGACATAATGGAATCCACCACTGACGCACTGGTTGACATTCATGGACTTGCTACACATGGTTTTTATCATAATAGCAGTACAGGAAGCTAGGCAAAATCAATCGGATACCCCTAGCACTGCTTCAGGCCATTAGGCCCAAGTCCATCATACTCCATCAATATTTAGTCATGCCAGGCCTTCTGGACCAAGTTCCCGAAAATCCACCAAAATGGGGGGATTTTGGATTTTGATGGAGTTGGGGTAGTTAGGGTTATTAGAAAGCAGAGCCAGGGAATTGGGCCCTGGTGGTTCAGTGTACATAAACCCAACAAATTGGTACATGGTACAAGTGAACACAGCACAGGCATGCAAAACACCTATAATATGACACTATCCAAGAGAATCTACAAAGTCTATAAACGTAAGTCAATGGGAACTCACTGCTAAAATTAATTTTTACAATTTCTGACCATTTTAAAGAAAGTTCATGCACTGTTTCATCACTGCTGGTCTGGTAACCTGTATCATAAAGTTTCTAATGATGGTACCTCTTGGTGGTGATGCAAGGCAAAGAACGAGGAGCCAGACTCAAGTGAACCATTCCTCATCTCATCCAGGTCATGGTCCCATTTCTGCTCCAGCTCCGCCAAAAGCTAAAAGAAAGAACCAAACCCATGGAAAATGTACAAAAAACAACATGACAAAACTGACATTAGCCCTAACCTTCCCAAATCCTCCATAATCCTCTTTACAAAATGGAGGATTTTGCAGGATTCTGGATATGGCAAAAATGTGTGGCTGATTTGGGAGGATGTACTGTGTCAAGGTCTTAGGCCCGACCTTGTGTTGTTTACGCTCAGCAGTGCGTAAAGTTAGGTCTAGATTGTACTTGAGATCCTCCGCACTGCTCCAGGATGTCACTGGCTTTGCCTCAACATATTGACAGTGATCGCTGGAGGATTTTGCAGGATTGAGGCAGTGGTCACCCCTCCAAGGACCACATTCAAGAAATAAATGGATAATTTTGGAAGATTGAGGCTGTATGCAATTTTTACACGGAGGTAGCTGGAGTATTTTGCAGGATCAAGGTTGCATACTAGCAAAATGCCTCGAGAGTTCTGGATGGAGTTGTGAAATTTCCCTTTTGCAGGAAACACAAATATGATGCGATAAACTAAAACTACGTGTAGTAATACATTTTCAATGCCTTCTAACTTTGCTCTCAGAGTCAAGCATTATTATTATTACTATTGGTTTATTTTCATTTAACTCGTGGCCCTCAGGCCAACTTGCAAGAATGTTGGTGTTACAATATTAAAACATTAAAAAAAAATACACATCCAAATATAAAAAATAAAAAAAAATAGGCAAAAGTACTGGTCAAGCCAAAATAACAAAACATATTGTAAACAATTGCACACACTGGAAATAAAGTTAGATTGATTGATACAATTGATAAAATTGACCTTAAAAGATGACACAGCCACCATGAATAAGATACTGCACCAAGTCCACAATAGACCCAGACATAGCATGAAAATCAAGAATTTAATAAGTCAATGTAGTGTGAATCGAGCTTATCGGTCTTACAGGGTAGCAATGAGACGGAGTGAAAATTTCTACCATGTGTGTTTTTCCTGGAAGGGGGGATGAGGTTTTCTGTTTGCTTGCAATTGGCCAATGTCTGAGCAAATTTGTGGCAATAGGCTTGGCTATGATCAGAAAAAGTTTCGATTTCACTCTCATTAACTGCATCTTTATATAAAATGTAATTTTTACCTAACATGTTTTTGCCTTTAGTGAGCGCATTATCCTTATAAACCACTGACAGCTTATCTTTGTTGAAACCAAATTTCTTCAGTGTGCACAGCATATGTAAATGACAAGTTTTTCGTGCATATCACTAACTTGCTAGTCCCATTTCAATTATTTTTTTTATGACCTGCTTATGATTTTGAATCTTAATGCCTAAAGCCTCACCTGCAACTGTCTCTGTATGGCGTATATCCTCCTGTACACCCCATTCATGACTTGGCACAGGAAGTCATAGCTGCCTCGCTGCTGGTCCGAGATGGTCCCGTCGCCAAGAAGTAAGACAGCGCCCTCTATGTCAAGGTGTTTCAAAGCGGCCGAGACGACAGCTTCCTCCAGGGCTGCTGGTTGAATGACCTCCCTATGAAAGGAAGTGTTCAATTCAGGTTCAGTTTCAGCTATATACCACGTGCCGTCTATAACAATACTGCACATTATCTTGCATCCATTTACATTTTTTTTGTTAAGTACTTCATTTCTTTTGTTTGCTTTTTTCTTTATATTCAATTTGGTAGTTATATTTTATGGAAAACTAGGGGGCTCGTTTTTGGTCCATTTTCCGGGGACAGACATATGCAAAATAGACGCGCATGCGCATCGATCGAGACAAAGCCCATTTTCCGATAGTTTTCGTCAAGAGTGCATTTTCTGACGACGGCATGGCATTTGGTCACTTTTTGGTCAATTTTTGGTCAAATATTTTTGGTTAAATATTTTTGGTCAAATATTTTTGGTCAATTTTTGGGGAAAGACAGACAGACAAACAGACAAACAGACAGACCGACCAACCAGGAAAAATGAGGAAACGAGGAAATCACCACATCCAAGGAAAATTTGCTTGTCCCCTTTCATTTGATATCATATTTGAGGTTGTGATGCTTGTAGTTTTGAAGTTATCTTAAATTTTCCACTTTTCAACCATGTCAACTTTTGTGTTGAATTAAGTTCTAACCCAATAAACAGTGAAATAAGAGAAACAAAACACCCTACCTGATGCTCGGTCTGAGATGGGGTGCCATGCGGCCAGACAGGGCCTGCAATCTCTGCATGATGTCGGCCGAGAGTTTGATACGAGGCAGGGTCTTACAGTGATCTGTAGAGTCGGAATCTGTAGCCTTCTTCCCAGCTGATGCAGCGGGTAGCTTGGGAGCCTGCTTCATGGCCTGTGGGTGCCATACACACCTGATAGGATAAAAAGCAGCCAGTTAAAGGTACAGTTCATCATTTGCAGCTATCCAAAAAGTAACTGACGTAATTACTGTTGATAAGTTTACTTGGTTGAAAGATAGTAAGGGACCTAAACTCCCTGTGAAATTATTCTTTCTGGCATGCTGTCATTTTGAAGAAATCAACAAAAGAAGGCCTTTCTAAAGATGCGTCTTTAGACGAGTCGTTGGAAATTTACTTGTCTTTAGACGAATCGTTGAAAATTTTCGTCAGTAGTTCGGTTCTTTTTATTTGGCGAAGCGCGTGCAAGCTTTAACACGATGCACACGCCCACATGGTTGCTATAATTCGTCGGTTCAGTGGGTGACATCGCATAGCTGCAATCGGCTCAGTGAGAATGTGTGTCAGACGCTGAATTCAGGCCCAATTCAAAACTTGACTCAGCAACTTTTGATTTGAAATCGAGAGCTTAGAATATTGTTTCCTCGGAAAATACAGCATTCACTGAGCTGAAACTTAATCAGGTTAGTTGTTCAGCACCCTTCTTTAGATTTTGAGCACTTTTGTTGCTTCAAATGAAAAAAATGCACAAATGACAAATGATGGACGCTACCTTCAAATAGATTCAACTGTTTACTTTTTTAGCTGCGGGATAGCAGCTCAACAAATCATCATGTCTCTCCGTTAGTCCACTAGTTATGTAGTCAGTTACAAACGTTGACATTGTCTATTGCTCCTACATATTTTGACCGATTTCAACCAAACTTTGTCCAAAGTATCAGTAGCCCAGCCCCAACATGTCACATGACCAAACTGGGGTCAAAGGTCATCATGGGGTCACTGGGGTCAAAAAGCTGAACTGTTTTCCAACAAAAACTACTCCTTCCAGAAATTACATGGCACAATCACGTGACTCATGCATGGACACGAATTCATTGGCCTGCAGCTTCCAAGATATTTCTGATTGAGTTTCAATTTTAAAAAGTTGAATGAAAAAAATTGACTGGAGCGGGGTTTGAACCTTCAACCTCTGGATTGCCGTTCCAGTGCTCTACCAACTGAGCTATCCAGCCCTATTTTGGCGGTTCCCCACTTTTTCTTTTCATTTGGCCTTCACAAAATTTACGTTGAAAGCATACAGCTGTATTAAATTACTAGGGAGCTAAACTTGATGTATGTAATGAGGAAGAAATGCAAAGGGATAACGCTCTTTTAAGACCAAATCTTCTTGAACCCTAACCCTGCCAGATGCAACACAGTGCATCAGGTGTAAAAGTCTGTTCAATTCAATTCAATTCAATCCAATCCAAGAAGACATTTATTTCATACTCCTTTAGAAATACATCAATAAATAGCAACAAAGCAAGATAACAAATACGATAAGTATGTCACAAAAATGTAATACAAGTAAAATATGCTTTGAACAAATGATAAACTTACTTTGATTTATGTACAAGAGAAAATAAGGAGTATGGGGCTGCTACAGTAAGCCGAGGCTTGTAGGAAACAGCCCTTACAGACAACAATAACAACAGAAAAACAACATAAAAACACACGGAAGAGACAGACAAGACAAAAGTCACACGACGAAAGCTGACGGCAAAAAACAAACAAAGCAGGAATGCAAAAATATGTAAAAGTACAAAAGTCACACGACGAAAGCTGACGGCAAAAAAACAAAGAATGCAAAAATATGTAAAATACAAAATGATATAAAAGTACAAAATGAATAAATAATTGGAAGAGCAATGATTATTTGAGAGAAGGAGCTATAATAAAAATGATGAAAATGTGTGAAAATCAGGTTGGGAAGCTATGCTACATCCTCTTGGACTTTAATGCATTCAGCCATCGACACCAGTGCATTTTATTGGCCAGTTCTGAAACAATGAGAGCTAGTCCCATTAAACAATGCCACAGTTGTATCCTGCTGCATTCAGTGACCACAGACTCTGAGGCAGTTTGGCCTTCAGACTTTTGACCTGATGGATCTTGCTACACTGGGCAGGCTTGTCACTTAGACAAGCGTTGCATGTTGCTGCGTTTGGCAGTGTTTCTAGCCAAAAAACCCTGGAGGGTTAGGGTTAATATGGAATAAGCGATATTTGAACAGAGCTAGGAATACATGAGGAGTTCCAGACTCACCGCTGAAGAAGTTTAGACTTGAGCAAGTGTTCGCTCTGTTCTTCCTGCAGGCTCTTCTCTGGTCCTTTGTACAGCCTGCGTAGCATGGTGCAGCCCAACACTGACAAGCCTAGGGCCAAGTCTGCTAGGAACGGCATGCCCCCTGATGCATCCTCAGTCGATTCCTGCTAAAATTGATAGAAGTATTGTTTGTGTTCAGGAACTTCACCTGCATGTCTCTCTGTGCTCATCAGGGCTTGAATTGAACGACGGCCACGACGGCCAGTGCCGTCGTTGCCTTCTTACTGGCCGAGGTGCCCCACAAAAAATCCCTGTCTTCACGGCCAGTTTTGCCTTGCCCCATAATTACCTTGGCCGTCGTGCCCTTTTTGCAAAAACATGCATCATCCTATTAAAACCACTACAATCCTTGATTCCAGTTGTTTTTCCACACATTGACAATGCATTTCGATGCCCATGCCAGCCCGATCAGTTGTCTTAATATCTCGCTGAATCAATCACACGCGTGCAGTACGGCCGTGGCCGGCCGGCCAAACACCGTCGATTCCCCACTGTACGATGTACACACACGTACGTACGTACGTACGTACACTGCACTGACAACTGAATCTCCAGTTCCTGTATGTGCCGATACCTCAAGAAGCGACACCCCCGCCGCAAAAATATATGTCTGTATTCGTACACACACATACCAGCAGGAGTAAGTACGGCAGATCTTACGTGCAGTCGACCGACCTTCTTTTTCCCAGTGCTTGCATGCGCGGTACGGTACAGAACGCATTGATGTTCGTGTACGAGGCAAACGAGCTTGGGGCATAGTCAAAACACGCGTGCACATGGCGTTCCGAATTCCGATTGTCAAAAGCGGACATGGTAAATGGCGATCGTGTATTAATTATGGGCCTGATGATCCCCTAAGAGAACAAAATCAACTTTTAATCTACATTAAGAACATGCAGGTAGGTTATAGATAGAGGGATGGGTTTCGAATTTTGAGGGGAATTTGGAGGGACAACGAAAAAACGCAACACGAAAATAGAGATGGCGACCGCACGTCACCAACAATAAAACTGCTTAAAAAAACGTAATTTCTATCCCCAAAAAGTGTTCAAAATTACAAAACAGGTGCATTATAAGCTGAGAGAAGTCTGCTCTAGGTTGAAAAGGTAATTTTTTGAATGATAAAAAACACCTTTGGCTCAAATGTGATCGAAACTAAAGGGGGGCCCTAAACTACATGATCGCTGATATAAATTCGCATTTTTTTTTGCCGGCCTCTGTGCCCCTTCTGCAGATATTAGTTTGGCCTTGGTGCCCTTCCAACTGGCCTTGGTGCCCTCTATAATTTTGCTCCATTCAAGGCCAAAGTGGCCTTGCCCTAAAAATTCCCAAATTCAAGGCCTGGCTCATAAGTATTTTGCTAGATATATTGGTCAGACTTGGGGATGGTCATATTTCAGATGATCATTTTTTTTCCACCCTGGGGCACAAACTTAGTGTCCATGTCACAGCGCTGTAGTTGAGTTGATAACAAAGTTCTCAGAAGTCCACAAGGGTTCATCAATCACATGTCAATCACATGTCAGTCACGTGTCAATCACATGTCAACCACGTTTCAATCACGAGTCAATCACGTGTCAATCACGTGTCAATCACGTATCATTCACATGTCAATCACGTGTCATTCACATGTCAGTTACAAAGGACTTGCAACAGGACAGGTGATAGACCTGTGACAGATTCAACTGCTGCACAGATATGTTCAACAGATATAGACTTTTGGGTGGAATTTTGTAAAAGGGAAATGTCAATATTTTAACACTGGTTGGGCTAATCACCCACAAAACTTTGGTATTTTTTAATGGTAACCTGCAAACAATCAGAATGACGCAAAATGAATCCAACAGAATCTGAATGACAGTGATTACAATGGAACAGCACCCTCCAAATATTGTGGCTTTGATGTCATGATCTTTATCGTGACAGGCAATGTCTTGTTTGTTATACAGTCGACTCACGTTAATACAAACTTGTTCGGACCTAGCCAAATTGTTTGTTATATCAGAATTTTGTATTAAGAGGAACATCAGTCCCATTCATTGTGCACATAAATGCACAATCGGGACCAATGCTTTGTGTTTGCTATAACCAGAATTTGTATTAACAGTGTTTGTACTAAGGACAAAGTCGACAGTATTTGACTTACTGTTCTTGTGGAACGATATTTATTACTACACCCATACATATTCATGATCGAGAGCCGAATTCTCGCTGGTCCATTCACCAACACGTGTCAGCCCCTAGTTCTGTTGCAAAGCGTGCACGTGAGGTTTTACCATTTTGCCAAGAAAACGGATGCGTAACATTATGAAATTTTTGTGGACATGTATGAGGTAAATAGTAAAACAAATAAAACATTCGCCAAAGGAACTAGACTGTCAACTTCCAATACCGAGGATAGTTAATAGCGACTATCAACCCTAAAACAATGTTTTATTTGTATACAATATAGTGGTGATGTTGTGTGACGAGACAGGATACGCCACTTCACTTAAGTTATTATGTTACTCTTTAATGTTCAGTGGTTTTGATGTCATGTTTGCTTAAAAGCAAAATATGTGTTATTCACTGCTCAATTCAAAGGAAATCCAATAAACACTGAACATCGTTGGATTTTGTCAGCTTTCATAGGGTTCATCCACTACTGACTACCTACCTGTGCTCTGACTGTGCAGGCAAATCCCCACATAGCCTTGTCGGGTGTGTTGTGTTCACGACCGCTTCGCATCTCAAAGGTGAAAGTCACTGTGTTCCCTTCCACCTGCAAAATACAAAGAACAAATTCTGTATCCAATAACATGCTTTAGCCAGAGGTGTGAGTGGAGCTCGAAAAAAAATAGCTGAAAATAGCTGAACCTCTTAGCCCTTACGGTAAGTGTTCTTTCAACAAAACAAAAACAAATCACATAGGGATGTGTGTGAATTGTTTTCATTTTGCTGAAAAAACACACAGCTTTTTGTGATCTGAGAACAGAACTTTAAAACAGTGGTTGTATTTAAAATTCCGTAACTTGAAGAGTACATGAGTGATTTGAATGATTCTTGTACTGAAAGAAAGCTTATGAATTCAGCTTTCAAATATCCTAGATTTTGAAAGTGCTACATGCAGAACTTCACTTAAAGCAGGGGTGTGAGTGACCGCTGATAAAGATAGCTGAAAACAGCTGAAATAGGTGTAAAAAAGCTGAACTTCGGAAATCTCCTATACTTTTGTACACAACAAATGAGGGAAAAAAGCTGAAATCCAAAACAAAAAAAGCTGAAATCAGCTTTAAAGCTGAGATTTCACACCAACTAGTCCCGACATTTGGGTATCGTTTTTAATACTCACCCTGTATAAGTACACCACAAGTAATTTTACCAAATGAAAACAACTATTTTTTTTTTACCTTGACCAGGTCTTTTGGCCAGCCAGACCCCAGCACGCTTCTACTCCCAAAGCCAAACGTGTTGCCGCCGTATTCGGCAACCTTCCTGGAGCTGGAGTTGGGACCAGCATACACAATAACCTAGAGAGAAAAGAGAAAAGCAAATTGAACCTCAGGGTTCTCCCCACGTACAAACGTGCGTATCGGCCCGATACGCTGGAATTGCGGCCCGATACGCCGACAAAAATGCCGATCACATTTTTCAGCCCCCGATACGCACAATATAATTATTATACAAGCCATTAAAATGCACAACATAATCGTTTCATACACCATTATTTCATCTTGACATGCAAAATCTTGACAAAAATCCCGCATTTCTGATGCATGCGTGATCAAAATGCACACGATGACGGGTCTTTCGCGTCAACCGCCAGCTATATATTAGCGCATACAGCACGGTACACTGGTTCCCTTCGCGTGCTAACAGTATCAATGCTATGATGAAGGACCGGAACCAGTGACTACTGCCTCGTGCGTGCATACATGATGATGATGTCGGCCGAAGTTGGATCGTAAAAACACCAAACAAACATCGATGGAGAAAGAGAATTTCTGCAAATTAATTCACAGAACGTGATCTTTATTTTCTGTGTATGTATTTTCCATTAAAATGACGAGATTGCAAAGCTCGAACTTGTGGCGAAACATCGTAGCGTGCTTCTTAGAAGCAGTAGGGCCGTACACAGTGCAGTAATGCACACTGATACTGCGCGATGTACGGCCGGCCAGACTGAATGTTGGCAGTGCCAGGGGCCGTGATCGATGTACGTTAAGCATAGTGGAATCAACCTCCTAAAAAAATTTTTTTTAATTAGGTGAGGCAAGTTTTAATCACTTCTGATGGTCAGTCTTGATAATTTTCGTGGTGCAAAGGAAAATAATCCAGGCACAAAACTACATGATTCCTTGTTCAATATGCTCCATTCAATCATGTGTTTTTATTCCTCCATGATTCAATCAGCAGCCCAAAAAAATGGCGAAATAATTTTCCGACCTACCGACGCTATTTTGAAAGCCATGTAGTCGGAAGCAAAAGTGATTTTTTTCTTCACCTTAATTTCTTAATTTGAAACTTGCTTGTAAATATAATCCATACTTTCTAGATCAAGAAGGTTTAACACAGGTTTTGAAATGTTGATTTTTTTTTTTTAAGTTAAAAACGTTGATATTTTTTTTCTCTAATTACAAAAAATATCACAAGATCTCCTCTAAATTTTAAGGAAAAATCTTCCTTAAAGACTCCCCAGATTTGCTCTAAAATGCACCAGAGAGCCTCTAAAGTTCAAAATTTTTCGGGGCCCTTAAGCGGGCCCCGAACCCCACGCCGTGGCTTCGCAGGTTGGTGAATCACAACAAAACTTCCCCCACAGGTTTGAAAAAATCCTGGGGAGAACCCTGAACCTTCCTGTAGAACAACGATCCTTTGTTATTCTTATCCCTCGTTCTCTCGTTGCATTGTTCCCACACTTTGCTTCCAAAGCCCTTTTGGTCTTCAATTTAAATCCATTTTGTGGCAGTGCCTGGTAAGCAGTGGCCTGGTGCAAGTGCTTGATCAGCTGTGTAGCCTAGGATCCAGCAGTGGTGGCAGCGGTGGGATTGGAGCAGGCTCATTGGAATCACAGACCACCAAGCAGCTGGGAATTTTATGTCTACTACTGGTCCTGCATTATCCAGCCTTTGAAAAAGTTTCTGCCAGAATTAGAAAGTCAACCCTCCTAAAGTGTTTTAATTTCAGTTGAACACTATCCACATATTTTCATTTCTTTGGCATTACTGACTATTCATAAATACCTAAGACAGTTTACCAATTCCTATTGGTTATGAGCCAGTCACATGGTCGGTTCTTAACAGTTGATAAAGATCGGCTGGCTGGTCTTGAAACACTTTTCCAGTGTCACATGAAATCTGGACTCCTATGAAATCAGGTGCCTTTTACCGTTTTATTGGTTAAACGTTTACAATCCTCATGTAGGCATGCGCAATACTACCAGTATGTCAGAATTTCATAGTCCTAAATTTACACTACACCGACACAGCTGCATTCTGCGTCACTCAAGCGCGCCAATCTCCATATAAGGAGTTGTTTACGACATGAACTTACCATATTCTAGCTAGAGGGGTGTTTCGAAAATTATGAAGTAAAACTGTTGAACAAAATGAAGTAAAACTGTTGAACAAAACAGTATGTTTAATACCTGTTGGGGTCTGGGTGCTGATAATTACCCTCACCTTCTGCGGCTCGGGTAATGATCAGCATCCAGACTCCAACCGGAATAAACATAGTGTTTGAAACCAGCCAAGCACACATCTATTCCCTTATTTATAACTTTAAAACAAAGTATCAAAAGTTGTAAATGCAAAACGTCCACTTTAAAGCTATAGTCCATCATTTGCAGCCATCCGAAAAGTAACTGGCGTAATTATTGTTGAAAAACAAACTTGGTTGAAAGATAGTAAGGGAACTAAACTCCCTGTGAAATTTTTCTTTCTGGGAAGCTGTCATTTTGAAGTAATCAACGAAAGAAGGCATTTCCAACGGTGATTCTTAAGAAGCACCGTAGGAAAATTTAAATTAGTAGTTCGTTTTGTTATTCAGCGCAGCGCGCACAATTATTGGAACGACGCACACGCGCGCGCGGTTGTTATAATTCATCGGATCAGTGCGCGACGTCGCGTATAGCTGCAATTCAAAACAATTCAAAACATGATTCAGTAATTTTTGATTTGAAATTGAGATCTTAGAATGCTGTTTTTCTCGGAATGTACAGCTGAAGCTTAGCTGTAACTTCATCAGGTTAGTTGCTCAGTATCCTTCATTAGATTTTGAACTCTTTTGTTGCTTCAAACGAACAAAATGCACAAATTACAAATGATGGACTGTAGCTTTAAGTCAAGACAAAGCTCTAACCTTGTCATAGTCGTACTGCGAGGCGCACCGTGGGTCAAACCTCAGGTACAGACACCGTGCTCCTGGGATGTGAACCGTCTCCCGGAACTTGTAGTTGTCCCTGACAGGATGGATGCACTCAACGGTCTTACCAGTCGCCCAGGGAGCTGGGATCTTCAGGCCAGCTAGGAAGCCTGGGTCAGGGGTCTCCGGAGTGGCTCGGATGGTAGGGGTACTGTCTGGGCCTGGGGAGGTGGGGTCTTCAATGGCCAGGGAGTCGCGTATCTGGTAGCACTTCAGCAACATCTGTGACACCTGAAATTAAAAAAAACCAAATGGCATATGGAAAATTTGAACAACAAACTTAAAATCTGTAGGAAAATATCACACAGACCTTTTTATTCAGTATTGTTTTCATAACAGCAAAAGCATGATGTTTCATACCATTAAGGTTCCTTTTTGTAAAATGTTATCGGTGTCTTTATAGAGTGAACATATATCTACAACAACATAGTTATTATATTTAATTCTTGCAAGACACTTCACAGATTTTTATCAATGCTTACTAAAAATGAAAAATCTGTGCCTCAAAGCGTAACATCCGTAACGGTTGTTTACAGCACTTATTATCTCATTAATTAATTCAGCTAAGATTACAGTAAACATGTCATGTTGTACATTAAGGCCTAAACTAGAATTGTACCAAATATATAAAAATGATCTTTCACTGCAAATATATTATTTTGCTGTTTCAAATGGGTCTTTGGCTCTGATTGTATTAACCCTAATCCCCTAGTAGTTCCCCAGGACTACCCTGCTAAATCCAACATAGTCAGATGATTATACTCGTATGAGTTTCCTGCTCAATCCAACCCAGTCCCACACAACCCAACTTGCCAAGTTGTTGGATACCTGAACATATAAAATGACTGGCATGCTCAATCCAACAGAATCCAACTGTGCCTTATTTTCCTGCTGGATCCAACAGAGTCAAACTTAGTGTTATTTACCACTCCCAACAGAATCCGACTCTGAATGTTTTCAGTTGCATGCTGAATCCAACAGCTTTCAACAGGAATATCTACAAGGGGTTTACTGCTCAATCCAACAGGACCCAGCGGGTATTTAAAATAGTTGGATCCTGTTGGCTTGAGCACGGTTAGGGTTAACGTTTGTAATGTTGGAATTGCCCAGAAGACACTTCAGGATTACTCGATATTTCCCCCACTACTCACTTGACTGGTGAGTATGATGAGCTTCACCACCTGCGGGATGAGCGCCTCGGCTAGCGACAGACTCTGTAGGTTCTCATGAGTCAAAGCGGTGATGAGTACCGGCAGGAGGTGGCCCAGTATGGTGCCCTTGACTACTCGCTCTAGGCCTTGGAAGCGAGTGTCCCAGTCGGCCGGTGATGAGGCGTTGATGATGAACTGGCAGACTTGTACCAGGGACTCCAGGACCTATGTATTAGAGAAAAAATATAAAATACTACAAGTTAAACTTGCGCGATCTCCTGGCATGCTGGCAGTTTGTATACATGTACAGGCAGTTAGTAAGGACAATTTTCAGTGTACCTTACCAAAATGGATAGTGTTACAACTAGCAACAGGGATAAGCAAAGAAATGGGTGGGCAGCCGTGTTAGTCGGGCAGTGTTGTGTCACTTGTGTGTGCCTCTCAAGGTAGGCTAAGTGAAAGTGAACAACCCTAGATCACTATACAGTCCACAACCGTGAAGCTATAAATGGGCCTTTTACTTACAAAACAAAAACTTTCAAGACACTAGAGAAACAAAGTGACATAAATCAGGCCTGTTGAGTAACCCTGGAGGTCATGACGTGTTGCCTGAGTCTAATCACTTTACCAGATACCATGAACACTAACCACATATTAAGTTTGGTTGAGATTGATGACTGAACAACACACAAACATCCACATTTGTTTATAGTGTAAAACGAGGATTTTCTATCCTTCTTCCCTTTTCCTTTCTTTATACTCTTTTCGCAACAGCTCTTATTGGTTTTGTACACGTTTTCTAATCGAGGTCGTCCTGTATTTGGTTCCTGTCCTCCATTCACCTATGATGTTGCATGTGTGGGTCCTTGATTTACACCATAAACAACGCACACGTTTGTTTATAGTGTAAATCGAGGATTTTCTATTGTTCCTCTTCCCCTTTCTTTTGTTTATACTCCAACTTTTTCGCAACAGCTCTCATTGGTTTTGTACATGTTTTCTAACCCAAGAGTCCTCGCTTTGGTTCCTGTCCTCAATTCATTGATGATGTTGCACGTGTGTGTCCTCGATTTACACCATAAACTAATGCACACATTGATACATACAGACACACAGAAGGAATACACGATCACATTATCCCCCTTTAATAAAAAGAGACTTTCAACTTTTTGGGAGCTATGAATATAGGTCCTACATTGGAAATTTGTGCATGGTGAATGTGCTTCCCATTATTTTAATAGCGAGTTGCCCTGATGGCTTAGACTACCATAGTGTACTGAGGTTCAACTTTATACCTTTTTGTAATTAAAGAATTGGAACAAAATATGTTTGATTTTGTTTTATGGGTTTTGCCTTTAAGTACATTTTACGAAGATATGAAATCAGAGCACAAATACTACATGTATGGACGATTTTGAACGATGATAATGTAAGGCAGTGCTGTAAATACATGTGGTAGACAATTAGTTTTTTGTGGCCTCATTGCCAAACCAATGATTATGAAATATATTTCATAATCTTAACGCGCAACAAAAAACATTTTGAAATTTCTTTCTGGACAGTGCAAAAGTAGCAGAACAACAGTAGGTGTAAGAAAGGGACTGAAATTGGTGCAACCAATTGTGTATAAACATCTCACTTTTTGGAATAAACTTTCAATCCTTCCTACGAGACAGACCAAACAAATGCTACTCAGGTACAGGGTGAGTCAAAATAAGTGAAACCCAAATCCCCACAAATATATTTCATATTTACAAATATATGTAGTACCAAAAATAATAATGACTGGAAAGCCAATTTCAGAAACTACTGGTACTTTTAGATGAAAATATTACTGATATTGCTCAATCCATTCAAACAATATCACCATTTAAACGCAATGACCCTAGAACTGGTTTCGTCCAAAAAGATGCATCGTGTGTTCTGATTGTTTGGAACAATAAAGAAAATGACACAGAATACTTGTCTCAACAACTGTCAACATTTGTAGTACACAATATCTTTATTAACAACCCTGCTTAGGCAAACAATATGATTTTTAAAATTCACTTTTTTTTAAAAGACGGGCTTTCAAAAGGACTATGTTGAGTATTTTTTACTTTTAAACTGAGGTTTTATTGCTGGTGATGTTTGAAGACAATTGTAACGACGATTTTTGAATCGCAAGGAGGTTTTGGGGTCATTTTGTTTAAATGGTGATATAGTGTTAACGGATTGAGCAATTTAAGTATTTTTTTTTTTCATGTAAAAGTAGTTTATGAAATTGGCTTTCCAGTCATTATTATTTTTGGTGCTACATATGTTTTTAAATATGAAATATATATTTTGAGGTTTGGATTCTGCTTTTTTTTACTCACCCTGCACATGTAGGAATTTGTTTAAAAATAATTAAATACTTAATACAATATTTGAGCATACCTCTTCACATCCTCTGAACACACTGGCGGCAAGGTTGAGTATGGACTGCTGCAGCTCCTCCAGGCTGGATGAGGACTCCCCCGCTGGAGGAGTGGTACCTTCCTCTGGCTTGGGCTTGCATAGGGCTCCATCACGCAGTAGGTTGATTTGCAGGGCCATCATATATTGCAAACAGGGGGAGGCAATCTGAATCAATTGATAGGGTGAACGTACTTCACAACGATGGCACAATTTAAAAAAAAGTATCAAATCACATTTATTTCCTCTTCATGACAGAAATGAAAAAAAAAGTATTGAAACAAAATATAAAGGCCACTAGAGGTGGCAAAACCTTAAAAGCATAGCTTGTATCAGGCACGCCATTACACAAAACAGACGAATAATAACAGAAGAAAAACAATTACTTTTTGCAGAATACCCTGCCACTCGATCTATGCACCCCGTAGCCGGCTAGGGAGTCACGGTTGATTGCCCTCAACAAACCTTCTCAGCGCTACCTGTACGTACTAGGCCTACACATGCTCCACTGCACTCCCACTCCGTATCCGGCAACTGGGTAGTTAGTTTGGACTTTTTTTCAGCAACTCCCATTTCTTTTGTCTTGATTCGTTCTCAAGGGGACCCCCACTCAGTATCCGCGTAGCTGGCAATGGACTTGAATTGTTTTTCCAGTGATTCCAACCCCGTAGCCAGAGAGTTTAGGGGTGTATTTCCGAGTGGCGAGGTATTCTGCAATTACTCCCACAATGCTAAGTATAAACGACCAGTCGGTTCATGATAATCCAAAAAGCCAAATCTGTATATTTCTAGTTATAGAAATAACATTTTAAAGTCTGAAAATCTACTTTCAAAGTAACAAACTTGATTTTGTGGCAACCCATACAAAATGGTGATTAGTATTTATATAAAATGAATCTATTTTCACTCACTGGAACTGTTGAAATGATGTTTTCAAATTCCTTGTTGGAGGCCTGCTGACAGCGACGTAGAAGGACGCAAGCCTCTTTGACTGATATCTTGAGAATCAGTTGCACCAGGTCATCCTTCAATCTAGTCAAAATTAACCATTGAATTAGAGGCATGTAGTCGAGTCCATCACAAGTCCAGTCACAAGTAACAGTGGATGAACAGTAACAAAGGAATGCCTTTGTCAAAGCTCATTCGAACAGCTTGTTAGTTGAATTTGGGCGATTCACAATGCAGTGCGCCACCCAGAGTTTGCCACAGAGAATTGATTTTCCCAGTGCGTTGTGGGAGATGGTCGACAAATTTGCAGCGTGGCGAATTTGAAATTGTTCGTTTTTCTGGTCAGTAGTTTCGTAAGCGCATGATTCATTTCGTAAGCGCATGTTTGCCCTTTTCTTTTCATCAATATAGTGTTTTTTGTAAGGCGGCAGAACGCTATGCCCCAATCTATAACAAATTAGCTCAAGTTGTCTACTGACACTCATTCAAATGGGCCATGTTTTGGGCAAACTCTTGGTGGCGCACTGAATTGCGAATCGCCTGAATTGGGACTGGAGGACTTGTGATGGACTTGCAGGGACATCCTTGCTAAGCGTAACTGTAACAAATGGTCATGAAGTAACTGAAAATCCCCAAGGAGAGGGTAACTTCCTAAAGCACTAAGAAGAAAATCTTGCAGCTAAGCAAGAACCAAATATCTAAGTAACAGAAATCAATACAAAAAAAAAATCTGAAACTAAAATCTACTGGAACCGAATAGAAGTGCTCCAATTTTTTGGGTTTGGTGTAACGCTGGAATGCTGGACTTGATCTCAAGCTGGATAAATCAGTGCAAAGCCTGTTCAATGAGCCAGTTTGGTATTTCAACTGCGCATGCAGTCACTGCGCACAGTGATATGGGTCACACGTCATTCACGATAATCTAACGCTCATTGAGGGCGCATGAATACGCAAGGAGACAGTTGCACGACATAATTGTGTTAATTATGACATTGCATCAGCGATTTAATCCGGAATAACCTTTGACCAGGAATACTTCATTGAGATACTGAACTGGCTTATTATTATTATAAGATGGAATTTTGCGTCGGGGTGATATAAATCAAATTATAGGTTTTGCCCTTCACACTGTATACTCAGTGTGTTACCTCCCGAGTGAAAGTTGGAAAAAATCACTCGGTTGGGACTCGAACCCACGACCTCCTGACATCTGCACTAGAAAGCAGGAGGTCGTGGGTTCAAGTCCCACCCGAGTGATTTTTTTTCCAACTTTCACTCGGGAGGTAACACACTGAGTATACAGTGTTTAAACGTCAGTGAACAAACGTATAATTTGGCTTATTATTGTGTTTCATTTATTGCTTTATAGTGGTCTCAGTATGCTTTTAGCACCTGCCATTGACAAGCTTAGGCTTATTATGGCTTGAATTAATTGCTTTGTCATTTACAATTTTACTTATTTGTTTTTCCAAGACACAATTTATATTTATTTTCCTTTATTGTATATGCTATATGAATTGTATTTTGTTTATGGTTGGATATAAATAAATGTTATATTGAATTGAATTGAATTGAATCTATAGACGGGCAATTCCACAGACAGAGATTTTAAGAGCTCAGTGAATAAATGTGAAGACATATTTTCAAATCTTTTACATTCATCATCTAGTAAATGGTCAAGGAGATTACAGACTAGGAGTTTTGGATCATTTCTGTGAATCATCATTTAGATATCATGGTTAACTGGCTCTGTCACGGACATTACACTTCCTTTCATAACGCTGGAATTGATGAACTGGAAACAAAACTATCATCAGCAGGCTTATTTTACCTTCCTGAGAGGTCAGTGTCATTGCCTTCCAGCCTGAGCAGTTGACCCATGACCCCAAGGATGAGGTCACGTAGTCTGCCTAGGGCCGGCTTAGACTCCCCCTCCAGCAGTAATTTATGCATCAGAGCATTCTGCTCCTCCTCGGTGCTATACAGGACCGTCAAACCAGCTCTGTGGAAAAAATCAGGGTCTCAGCATAAGATCAATCAAACGATTTAAAAAAAAATTGATTTCTTTCAAAAATTGATTGACACATCTAGAAGACGGAACAAATGCCTTAGTTAAAGTACTTCCTGAGCACTGTATACTCAGTGTTGTCCGAGGACTTAATAATGAGAATAATAAAAATAATTTATTTATCAAGCACAAATTTTATGTACAAATATTCAAATGCGCTTTACAATGAAAAAACTGGGTACATTAGAAACACCTTGCAAACTAGATACAGTAAAAAATACATCAAACAAATAATTAAATCAACACAATACATAACCAAGAAATACATTATAATTTAGATCGAATGAAATGAATTAAAATCATTATAGTAAATTGCACTACAAATCAAAAGTGTTTTTGAAAAATATGGATTTTCAGCAGCAACTTAAAATGGTCTATAAGCTGGTGGCATTCCTCACATTTGGTAACTTACATGTATTTCCCAGAAAAGGAGCATCATATTGAAAGGCCTGATCACCTATGGAAGTTCTGCTACGAGTGGTCAGATGTTTAAGAAGAATGCCACTATTCTGATTAAACTTACGGAGACCATAGCGAGACAGAGGTCGGATGGTAATCAGCTGAAATCTAGACTTAATTGGAACCCAATGAAGATCAATGAGAAGAGGTGTAATACGCCATTCATAAATACCTAAGACAGTTTACCCATTCCTATTGGTCGAGAGCCCGTCACGTGGCTGGTCTTAAACGGATGATAAAGACATGGCTAGCTGGTCTTAAACACTTTTCTAGTGTCACATGAAATTTGGACTCCTAAAAATCCAGTGCCTCTTACCGTTTTATTGGTTGAACGTTCATAATACTCACATAGGCATGCGCAATACTACCAGTGAGTCAGTATTTTATAGTCCTAAATTCACAACGCAATGCCCCAGGTGCATTCTGCGCGACGTCGCGCAGTACGCGCGACGCGCGCGTCAATCTCCTTATAAGGTAAGGAATTGTAGAGGGACATTCCATATTATAGTCACATGGGTGTATGATACAACATGAAGTAAATTTGTTGAGCAAAAAGGTTAGCAATGTCTGGTTTTTGACTTGTTTTGATTTGTTTTTACCCAAAAGGTTTTTATGAATGGGAATAAATGTGTGTTTGATTGGTATTAAACACTCTGTTTAAGACCGGTTTGAGTCTGGATGGGCGATAATTACCCGAGGCGAACCCATCCAGACTCCAACTAATCTTAAACAGAGTGTTATAATACCTCCCGAACACACATTATTCCCTTAGTATATGTACTTGTGCATGTTGCACGCACACAAAAACCACAAGCTTAGTTGGGTGGGACTCAAAACCACAATGTGTTTCTTGCTAGGGCAGATGTCTTAATCAATCAACCACTTAACTTACCAGGGCCGCTGGCTGGCTGAAATCTGATACACTTAGCAGCGGGTATAGTGAATAAATGGAACATTTGGTGTCGATGATAGTTTGGCTAAAGGATATTGCTATAATTGTTTCCTAGACAAGTTTGGCGCTCAGTTATTTAAAATGAACAATAGCTTGAACATAAGAGATTTCAATTAACAATATTTGCATAACGTACATAATGGTGTTGCAAGCTTCCCGTTGTAAGCCTTCATGTTCGGTGGAATAATTGCCGTCAACAAGAACCTGCCATGCCAGCGATCTGCAGGGTACAAAAACCAACACAAAGATGAAAACTTGCAGGAAGTTTTCTATATCTTTTAAATTCACTGTTTTTATTTGACTCTAGGCTTTAAAACTTCTTTCTAACCTTCTGGTTTTCAAACAGGGCGAGTCAAAAAAGCGGAACCCAAACCCCAAAATTATATTTCATATTTTAAAAAAATATGTAGCACCAAACATCATAATGACTGGAAAGCCAATTTCGTAAGCTACTTTATAAAAGATGAAAGATTACTTAAATTGCTCAATCCGTTCAAAGAATATCACCATTTAAACACAATGACCCTGCATTGATCACGATTGAAATCATTTTGTTTACACAAGTGTTTATTTACCTTAATATGGGAATAAATATGTGCTTGGCCAGTTTTAAACAAGTATGTTTAAAGGGAATATACAACATTTGCAAACATCGAAAAATAAAACTACCAAGTTTTTACGAAATACCTTACTAGGATGTTCGTAAATGACAGTCTTAAGCATCTTGTAAAATTATGGCACCTGGTGTGAAGTCATTTTCAAGAAAATTGTATTTTTGTAAACATTTCCAACGGTGGTCGGCCGACCAGCGTTGGAAAAACCTAACTATTTTTCAACTACTGCTTCAAATTTACCATTTTTTCAGTCCAAATTTTGTTTGCTATTGGTTACATGTTCATGAACGGGTGCAGGCCAGCTAGACTGGTTCCCTTGCATTACAATTTTCCATCATCTATAAATTGATCCATTTTATCTTTTGTGGAGTCAGGGAACCAGACTACTTGAAAATTTTTGTTTTTCTTGGTTTTTCCAACTTTTTCGAACACAAAACTTAAAAAATGTCAGTGTAAAAATATTTGATCTATTATACTAACCTCTCAAATAGTTCATTTCTGAAAATTACAGCAAAAGCCAATGATGTACATTCCCTTTAACAAGTATGTTTCAACAAATCAATGATGATCCAAAATTCTACACTCATTATGAAATAAAATCTGAGTGAAAAGTGGGAAAAAAGAGCATAATGTTGACAATATTTCCAGTGACTTACCCAGCTTGTTGTAGACATTCAACATCCTCCTTCTTGGTAGACCGGAAAGTGTGGCACTTGAAAAGAACCTGATGGCGAAAGAACACTGTCTAGTCAAGAAACTGTGTACGTATATGATGACCTGGACATGCGTTATACCTCAATGCAGTCACGATCAACGCAAATTTCATGTACTGCCTATATTTCAATAGTGAACCTCTTGCGACCATGTTTTAGCCAACCAGGACAGACAATTCGGGCGTTTCACAATGCAGTGCGCCACCAAGAGTTTGCCATGATGACTTCATTTTTCCCAGTGCATTGTGGGAGATTGTCAACAAACTCACAGTGCCGGCTAGTTCAGGGGTGTGAGTGACCACTGATAAAAATAGCTGAAAACAGCTGAAAAAGGTGTAAAAAAGCTGAACTTTGGAAGTCCCCTATACTTTTGTACACAGCAAGTGAGGGGAAAAAAAGCTGAAATCCTAAACACAAAAAGCTGAAATCAGCTTTAAAGCTGAGATTTCACACCCCTGCTAGTTGAAATTGTTAGTTTGTTCGGTCAGTAGTTTTGTAAGCGTATGATTCAAGTATCTGTTTGCCCTTTTGTTTTCTTTTTATCAATATTGTGTTTTTTGTAAGGGGGCAGAACACTATGCCCCAATATATAACAAATAAGCTCAAATTGTCTACTGACACTCATTCAAATGGGCTGTGTTTTGTCGACCGTAAACTTGAAACATGGACTCTTCGTGGCAAACTCTTGGTGGCGCACTGCATTGTCACACCCCTGAATTGGCAAGAGGTGTGTTATATATATTTTTATTTTTTAGATAATTTTTCAGGCAAACATATGTATATACAAATAGAAAAACCTATACGTAGTGCACAAGCAATTTAAAGGTAGGGTAGATCATTTGTTATTTGTGCATTTTTTTTCGTTTGAAACAACAAAAGTGCTCAAAATCTAAAGACATGTGCTTAACAACTAACCTGATGAACTTTTAGCTCAGTGAATGCTGCGTATCCCGAGAACACAATATTTTAGGATCTCGATTTTAGTTCCAAAGTTGCCTAGTCATGTTTTGAATTACGCCCAAAACCAGCATCCGGAACACATTCTCATTCAGCCGATTGCAGCTCTGTGATGTCACGCACTGAATTGACGCATCTTTGGCAATGGCCTTCTTTTATTGTTTTTTTTTCAAAATGACAGCATGCCAGAAAGAATAACTTTACAAGCTTATTGCCTATACTATCTATAAACCAAGGAAGATTTTCAACAATAATTTTGCCAGTTATTTTTTGGATAGCTGCAAATGATGTATTCTACCTTTAAACGCTTCGCGCCAGAATTAATTTTGCCGAAAATTTTGATTTTGCAAAAGGCAGAATTTTCCAGCCAATTTCTGATTTACAGCCAAAAGCCACAAATACTGATTCACAAGAGAAATTTTAACAGTATTTATACGATATTTCTTGCCGAAAACTCATATGTTTCAATACTCCAGGGTAGGGACTGGAGCGCAAATTGTACAACAGGCCGTGCACAATGGACAATTCAAGATCAACACATGGTCCGCATTCACAGACTTCACAAACTTTGGGTGTGTGTACAAAAGGCACAAGGGATTAGCGTGTTCAGACGTCACCCAGATGTGAGTCGAGGCAATCTTGACGTCTTAACTCGTCTGCCGTGTCTGTGTGTAAAAACAGCCAGTGCGTGTCATCACGTCTTCCGACACGAACTGGTTAAACACTCTATGGAATATCTGAGGCTTTTGGGTTGGTCTGGTTTCAGCAAAAGCAAAGTCAGAAAAGGCAAGTACCTGGAGGACTATGAACATGCACTGCGCGGCTGGCCGGTCCCCTTCCTTCAGCGCCTTGTCTAAGATGTCGCCAACCCGTCGTAGGTGGATGACGTCCAGCGTACGTTGTCTCATCAGCATCTGACCAAGGGAGGATTGTAAGATGTCACTGTGGATGCGGTGGCAGCAGTTACTGCCCACGTGATGCAGGAGCATCTTGAAGATATCCGGGATGGAGATCAAGGAGCCTGGCGAAAGGAGAAGAGGGACAAAGGAAGAAGTGGAAAATTGAGGAGCAAAGACATGGAGAACAGTTTCCAAACTTGGGTTTTGGATTTGGATCCTGATTCTTATCTATGGTTCCAAAACCCATTCTGAGACCTTGAATGTTAGACTTAAATATGGGGATTCCTATAGATCCCTCTCATAGACAGCCATCTTGGTAGGCAAATTACATGCAAGTTCCACGCCATCAGGTATGTGTGCACGCAGTGTTCTAAATGTTCAAAATGTTATGCACACATGTTCCTTGAAATTTCTTCAAAATACGGCACAGCCGATGCGCGTCACGAAAATTTGACTCCCAAAATGCTGATGCAGGTAACAATCTGCAGGCAGTGACGTCATTTGAGAGATATCTATTGTGTTTTTGAAAAGAGAACTGGTCCAGAAAAGGACATTAATACCTGTTTTAAAAATTAAAAACTCTTTATCGTTTAATACAGAGTTAAAGCTCATTACTGAATCTAAACACCACAACAATGTTACACTGTTTACTTTGTACATAATGAAATAATTTCCTCAGTTTCGTTTCTGTCTTGAAGTCATGCTCAGTCCCCAATTTAACGGAGATGCTTAGCAGCCAAAAAAAAACCGAACGTGGATATTTTTCTTGTTTTGCAAAAATCAGTTGAATACTTGATACAACCATTTGAACTTGCACTGCATCTTGGTAGGGTGAGCTCTTAGCAAAATGTGTCTTCCCAAATTTCTGTGCGCTGCGGTGTCATGATCTATCCTGGATGCACTCCGCTCACATGGAAATGTCATGGTTCTGTGCGCGTTATCATACTGAATGCAGAACTTTGGATTGTGCATTGCTCAGCAAACGAATTGGTAAATTAACTACAAATCTTTAAATGTGTTGGGCAGCCGTGTTAGTCAGGCAGAATCACATGGAAAAGTAAGGCAGCACTTTAAATGACTAACTAAAGTTAGGAGGTCGTGGGTTCGAGTGATTTTTTCAAACTTTCACTCGGGAGATAACACACTGAGTATACAGTGTTAATACGTCGGTGAAGGGCAAAAATCTAATTTGATTTACATCATCCCGATGCAATATTCCATCTTATGAGTAGAGTTAAAGTGTTCATAGGCTTTTGTAGCAATGACTACTTCATCAGATGCAATGAAGAGGGGCATCATCATACAAGGTTTATATAGGGGTACATGTACAGTAAAACAGAGGGTGGTGATCAAACAATTAATCCTAACTCCCAAGCATCTTTTACTAGGAACTGGACCAATTCCATCAAAATCCATCAAAATCCATCAATTACTGTGCGTCTAATACGAAACAGTACATAACATAATGGAATCCACCACTGATGCACTGGTTGACATTCATGGACTTGCTACACATGGCTTTGATCACAATAGCAGTACAGGAAGCTAGGCAAAATCAATTGGATACCCCTAACACTGCTTCAGGCCATTAGGCCCAAGTCCATCATACTCCATCAATATTTAGTCACGCCAGACCTTCTGGACCAAGTCCCCAAAATCCACCAAAATGGGGGATGGATTTTGATGGAGTTGGGGTGGTTAGGGTGAAGGGCCTATTAGGGCCCAAGTTGAATCTAGTCTAGTCAATGAATAATCCTTTGTTCTGCGGTTTCCCTTTCCACCAATCTGTTTGAGTACAGCTACTCTAAACTGGATTAATACTGTCTACATTTCAATTCTCAGTCCGACCTTCTGGTACAGGTTCCAGAGCCGAGCCCATGCCCATCTGCTGCTCTATGTGATGTGCTGCCCTCAAGCCTGGATTATGCCACTGGTCCACCCAGTCATTGGAACACGTCCAGATGACGTTATTGGTTGCATCGTAGCACACACCTGAGGATAGGGAGAAGTAATCGTGACTCATGATTAGGAGGTTTCTGGTTTCTATCTTTGAACTGTGAGTTCAAATTGGACCAAGAGGTCGTGGGGTTTGTGACGCTGATCTCTCGGAGCGCTCGAGTAGCTCACCCAGATCGACTCGGGTAAAGGCAGATGGGTTAGCCACGACAGTCAGGTAATCCAACACTAAACCGCGGGCCATCACAATTCACACGTGATGCCTGTAGCCGTGGCCGTAACCACTGACAAAACACCCATTTCGGATTGGGTCTTAGTTTGAGATTTACTACTTTTTTCAATTGCAAAACTCAAAAAAGTTGGGCAGGAATTATAGCCTCAAATGTTGCAATGAACTCAATAAACGATTTCAAACTTCAGACTTCAAATAAAGTAAATTTTTTAGTCCACTTGAGATTTCTGCTGCCCGGCCGCCATATTTGTCTGTTTCTTGGAATGAACAACGCATGCATGTGACGTACTTCCACCACTGACTCTGTTCCACGAGCAGGGTCTGTGGTGGCTGACCCGGGTGAGCCCCGAGAATGACGTCAGAGCTAATCGAACGGCACGTGCTGACCCGTGTCAACCCGGGTGAGCTAAACAAATACACCCTCTATAAAAAATCTGGATGGCCCATTTGCTGTTAGAACTGACGCCACTGTCCGCCATATTACCACTCCAATAACAATAAAATTGGAAACAAATCTATCCTAATATAACGGCAACAGTCTTTATTGAATGTAACAATGCATTAAGTCCTAATAATTAAAATGCATTTTCTGAAGTTGTAAATATGTTTTTGGTCAAAGGGCTTGCGATTGCACAGTTGTAGAACTCGAGTCCGGGACTTGGACTGAGTCCATCTCGAGTCACAATTTCAGTGACTCAAACTTGACTCACATATGCAAAAGACTCAGACCTCGGACTCAAACATCAACACTAATGACTCGTGACTCCCTTACTTTTTTAACCAATATTTACCCTTTAAAAACATAATCTTGTTGTTTATTTTTCAAAAGTAGTGTTAAAGCAATGCTAAAGAAAACGTTAACTTGACTTAAGTGACTCGACTACAACACTGTCTGATTGCGTTCAGCAGATTTATGTATGTAAACTTTAGACTGGTTACCTAGTCCAACGATGGGGGATCCCCTAGCCACAGAGCACGTTGGCGCATCCACAAAGTCCACACGCGTGTTGAAACTGCCATCTTTGGCACTGAAGCACAAGTTTGTGCCTAGAGCTGTTCAACAGAAGGACAAACAAGGACATGAACTGACACAAACTGAAAGGTACTGTGGATGCTTTGTGAGATTTGGAGGTTTGAGGAGATGATTTCTGATTGTCCGATATCAAACAATCTGTGAGGTTTCATCTGAGAAACCTTCAACAAAAAATCATTTGCTGTAAACACATCTTTTTCAACCAGAACAAAAGAGTGGTTTATGGAAACAATAGCCTCAGTTTCAAGCAAATCTGATGAACAAGTGAAGTTCAAATTAATAATGATTTGTTACAATTTTCCTGAAATACAGGTTGAGTCCAAATTTTTTTTTTTAAATTAATAAACGGTGCTTATGTAGTGCATTTTACACAAAGTCCCAATGTGCTGAACAATACAAGTAGTAAGACTACAACGAGTTAGAAAGAGTTTGGTGTGAACAAGAGTGTTTTAAGGGTTGATTTGAACGTTCAAAGGGTTGCTGCTTCTTTGGCGTGAGAGGGTAGTTTATTCCACAGGGCAGGAGAGCTACAGAGAAGGAACGATGTTGGTACATTCTTGTTAATGGAGACCTCCACCGTTTCCATTTAAAACTTTCCTTTAAGACTTCAAGAGATTTTTTTCTGAACAGAGGAGGAACCATTTCTTCAATGTTCAGAGCAGAAATTAAAGTGCGGTGAGCAACGGTAACTTAAATACACAGACAAGACCCTAAGTTACTGAAAATAACTACGATATTAATAGAAGTGCCTAAGGGCCCGTCTCAAGTCATATCTGGGACGAGTTCCGGACAAGTTGCGGGTAGAATCATTCACTTTGTCCGGAAGAAAATCTGCATTTGTCCGGACATTTTCCAGGTAAATTTTCCTCACCAGTTACTTGACTCGCAATTACTGATAACTTCATTGCGGAAAGATTGCAGGGAAGTTGTTCTGAATCCTGTAACTTATACCCGATATAATGCCCGGAACTTGACCGGAACGCATCCTGGATATGAATTGAGGCGGGCCCTGAGTTACTGAAGGAGGGATTAGTACAATGACTAAAACAAAACGACCCTGCCACCAGTCTCACTTCGTGTCGCAGACAGACCTGAGCCTGCGTTGAAGATGGAGCGAGAGGACGAGTTGTTGTTGCCTCCAGGGGGCGCTGTTAGCATGACCACACTGTTGCCGCAGGTGAAGACGGGCGTCTTGCGCAGGAGCTTCAGGGTCAGGCCGCAGCTTGTGGTTGCTGGTGGAGAGAAAAAATTTTATTTTCCAAATTGAACAAAGAGATTGACTGGAGCCAAGTTTGCACCTGCGACCTCCAGATTACCGTTCCTAAGCTATCTAGCCCATGTAATTGCCAACTTACATGCGTCTTCTTTGGTGGATGTGCTGGTTGTTGATTGTCCAGTCAGCATGGCTAGTGTAGCAGCAGTGCTGTACCGATAGGTGCGTAGACGGGTCAGTAATGGGTCACCTACCACCTTGAGAGATTCGTCCTTACGAGACAGGACAATGCGGGTGCTGATGGGATGGGCAATGATGGTGCCGTCATTCTCCTAGGAAAAGAAATGCAAGCGATTAACAAAACCTCTTCTAGTTGAAAATAAAACAGTTGACAATTTGTCAAAAAAATTGCAAACATAAAACATAAACCGAACCGACCTGCCTGAAATAATGGCCAAACTGACCCGACCCTATTCTGTGTCGTTGCAAGGTCGACCTGAGGATGGCCTAAGAATCATGGGTAACTCACCTCTAGCCGTAGTACATCCATACAGACAGGCTGGCCTTTACCGCTCTTATCAGCTCCTACTATACACCATATCCAGTATAAGTATGTACCGTCTGATTGTAGGGTGATAGTCACCCTGTTTGCTGGTATCTGTAAGCTCTGGGGTACCTCCACTTCGGTTCTTGTCTGAAAAAGAAATCAAAATCACTCGTAAGTCTTCATCCATATCAATTGTTTTTGCCGGAAATAATCCTTGGAGCAAAGATTACAAAGGAATGTTCAGTTCTAGTAACGCAAATAAATATATATATTTTGAGAAAAATCTTGAAAATCAGCAGCCGATTTCACAAAACTTCACACATCGTTGCCATGGATCGACCAATCAGATTCGAGGATTGAAGTTTGCTTGAAGATAAATTGCATAAGCACACTTGCGCCACAATTTATTGCATAAATTGCAATTTAACGCTGCACAACACTTCAGTTATGACAATTTCACAAGAGTTTCATAGTTACGTAAGTCTGCAACTTACGTAACAAATTATGGCCTAACTTGCACAATCATTTTAGGTGGCGTAAATTGTGGCGTAGCGGCTGAAAATGACCTATTTTACCAGCAAATCGTGATTGTCGTGGAGCCTGTTATTGCACAACTTATCAAGGTTGATATAAGACACTCGGGTCATTTCGTGTCAAATCACCCCCCAAAAATGGAAAAATTAAACCCCACCTCCTTCAAATTGGTTTTGTTTTTAGTGTATGGGGTAATTTTGGCTGAAAAAGCTGAAAATTTAAGTTTTAGCATCGTCGGACAAACGGTTTTCGCATTACCGTCTGCCATTGTTTGACAATTTTGGTCAAAATGGGCGTGGTGGCCAATTATTAAATGACAATTTCTCCATAATCTTTGGGCCAAATTTGTTAATCTTTGTTTCTTTAGAACGGTTACATCATAAGAATTACAAATTTAGCATTATTTTTCATGTCGGAGTAATTTGAAGTATGATGACCTTTTAACCTTTACTTTGACCTTGATTTGACCTAGAGTTGTTGCACAATTCCAGAAAAAAGTCGGACAAAACTGTTTTAATCATGACAGGCTGAGGTGGCATACTAATTTGGAAGTTGCGCTTTTTGATGTTTGCAAACGTTGTACATTACCTTTAGTTTTATGGTTCTTTTTACCTGTGGCAATCAAATTCAAATAATCAAAAGTGAGATCCAACAACCTACCTTGAGTGTCTGGGGGTCCAGGATGGTACACAACTGTTCCGGGTGACCGTCGGACTCCAAGGCTCTGTGGACCAGCTGTCTGTCCCCATAGGCCACCCAGCCCTGGCCAAGATCCTGCCGCTTGGCGTAGATGAAACCTCTGGGATAATTAAAGATAGGGTATATCATTTGTCTTTGTGCGTTTTTCTTGTCCGAGGCAACAAAAGTGTTGCTTAACGACTAACCTGAAGAAGTTTTACCTCTGTGAATGCTGTATATTCCAAGAAAAAAACCCCAATATTCTAGGATCTCGGTTTCAATTCCAAAGTTGCAGCTTGAGTCATGTTTTGAATTGCGCCCCGAAATCAGCGTCTGGGACATATTCTCATTCAGCCGATTGCAGTTGCGCAATGTCACGCAGCTGTAATGAGCGCACTGCGTCATGTCAACGCTTGTGCGCACCCATTGAAGGCTTCGCCGAAATTAAAAACGAACTACTAATGGAAATTTCCAAAATGCGTCTTTAGACACATCTTTGGAAATTACCTTTGTTTATAGATTTCTTCAAAATGACAGCATGCCAGAAAGAAGAATTTCACATGGAGTTTAGTGCCATTACTATCTTTAACCTTAACGTCCTAGCCATTACTTTGGGATAAAGAGCAGAGTACTACAGAATACTATGAGCAGACTTGTATTCGAGTCACGAAACATCGAGTCCAAGTCCGAGTCCGAGTCACATTTCTCGAGTCCAAGTCCGAGTCCCGAGTCCTCCAGGTCGACTCCGAGTCCGAGTCACGAGTCACAAAGGTCGAGTCCAAGTCCGAGTCACCTCTAACATTGTATTGGAAAAACGTACATTTTAGGGAATTCAGAGATTCAGAGTCGCCTTTGATATAGTAAAAGGTGGCAATTGAAGTTTGACGTAGTGCCGGTTTTCTCCTGTATTTTCTTCCTGCAGAACTTGCATTCTGCACTTGATCTTCCATTGGCATTTCTCTTGAAGTTAAGATACCCAAAATTTACAATTTTTGGAGTGGATGCCATCATGATCTACGTTGCAACTTGCATGTAACGTTACCGAAACGGGCAGATCAGCAGACTATTCATATTGCGTTATCGCGATGCGATAGCAATACACGTGTGAACGACAGAACGTCTGACAAGGAAAGTCTGGTACCTTACCCTATCAATCTTGCACCAATGCAGTATTACGTGTGGACAGCGGGGTACAAGTTTCGGTACATTGATTTCTTTAATCAATATATCGGTAACCGGCCACGGCCACGCACGCACTGCATCGAGTGCCCTGTACATGTATTGCACAGTAAAGAAAACGATCGACTTACGTATGTGCGCGTGTGCAGTGCGGTAATTTCCGTCGAGTCACAAGTCAGTTCGAGTCCAAGTCCGAGTCCGTAGCCCCGAGTCCGAGTCCGAGTCCGAGTCGTAAGTCAAAGTGACTCGAGTCCCAGTCCGAGTCATTAAAAATGTGACTCGAGTCGGACTCAAGTCTGAGTCCGAGTCACGAGTCATACAAGTCTGACTATGAGTGTTGTGAACACTTATTTATGTTGAGGTATTTCATACTACAGTTTACTACTATTAGTCTTTTGTAGCTTAAGGCGAGGTTAAGGTCAAACCAAGTATGCTTTTCAACAATAATTTTGACAGTTACTTTTGGATAGCTGCAAATGATACACTCTACCATTAACAAAGGAATAAGACACGTCAATCAAAAGACCAATCGACTAACGCCCCATCCTATGGGTATGCGAGGTTATTAGGGCTTACTACCAGGATGTAAACGAGTCCATCACAAGTCCATTCACAAGTCCGGTCACAACATACACTGGATAAGCAATAACAAAGGAATGCCTTTGCCAAAGCTCATTTGAATAGCTTGTGAGTTGAATTTGGACTGGAGGACTTGTGATGGACTTGCAGGGACTTGTGATGGATTCGACTATACATCTCTGCAAGCTACATGAAGTCACAAAATCATTCTGAAATATGGTGATAGTGACAAACTCTTTCTACCTCAGGGTGCCCGCCAATCCAGAACCAAATTTGGCCAGTCCCTTGCCATGGGAACTGGTGGTGTAGAGAAATTTGCCATCACACGTTAGGCTTCGTCCGATATCTGTAGTGTCTGTGGGTCAAACAGATAGAAAACGCTTTCAACATGTATTACAATAGACCATTATCATGTTGCGGCCATTTGGATTTTTCCCATTCAAATCAATGTAACCAAAGCGAGGCTGGGAGGAAAAATAGTCTGGTTCCTTTCTGCACAAAAAACATTATCATTCAGTACTGTTATTGGAGACAGGGAACATGACTGAAACATTATCATTCAGTACTGTTACTGGAGACAGGGAACATGACTGCAATGGTGGCAGCATGAGAAAGGTCTATTAGATAATGAAAGGTTTGCGGAAACACCATTTGCGAATAATTTCTCAACTAAGAGATTGGTTCTGAAAAGAACCAGAGGTATAAACTCGACGTTCCGGTCAGGATGCTCTGACCGTCTTCAGGACCATTCTCTTAGATGAGAAATTATTCGCTCATGGTGTTTCCGCAAACCTTTCATTATTTAGTATCTCCACCATGCAAAGCCTCAAATCTTACTTAAGGTCTATTAGCTTTCTTGAGATATGGTGAACACAAACTAAGGGCACCATTTGGTTATATTAAATTCTTTGGAAACGGGTCAACTCGTACCCAACTCTAGGGCTGTGCATTGGAACCGAGTTCCCAAAGGTCAGGAACCGGTTCCAAATTATGGGATCAAGTACATGTACTAGTAACAAACTTTACAAATTACTTAGAAATTTATCAGACAATAAAACAGAAAGGTTTGTTAGGCCAAAAAAAAAAGTCTCCGGTTTCTGGTATGGAGCTTGCCCAAAAAGTGGTGCGGCGACGCGGCTTTTTTGTTTTTTTTACCTGTTTTTTTTGCTTCAAATGTCGGCTGATGACTGCAAATGGTGCCCGACTAAACTTAGTGCAAATATATGGGAGTCCAGAGAGGCCACATAAAGCTTATTCTCGATCATAACCCCATCTAAAAACACGTTAAAACTGTGCAGCAGCAGGATTCCAGTCAAACCAGTGAGTTTGGCGGTTTTGAGACATCATCTTTTATTGAAAAAAAACCTTTTTCATTTTGCCGACGCGCATGGCTACGGCGACGCGCGCGCATACCAGAAACCGGAGACTTTTTTTTGGGCCTTAAGTCATTTGTAGGGAATTTTCAAAATGAAAACCAGGCAACATGGGAAAACAAAACCCATTACACATTTATGATGCTCACGAAATTTGCAGTTTTTACTGTGAAGCTATAGGGACACTACCGATGTGGTAGTGTTATCGTGCGGACCTTTATGAGCAATCTGTACAACAACTTCCGAGATTTGAATTTTGGGTTTGTGTTTTTAAACGGGTACCCAGGCACCCATGTTTTTTAATCGGGTACCCGGTTTCCACACGAACCGTAAATGCACACCCTTTGTCAACTCATACCCAAAACATTGACACCCTAATCAACTCGTACCCTACTCAACTCGCACCCAAGTCAACACCTACTACAGTCAACGCAATGTTGGGCTGAGCCAAATATACCAAATATCTGACTGAATCAACTGAATTTTCGATTCAAATATTTGAAAAACATTTTTGGAGGAGATGATGAAAACAAAACGTCCATGATTTTAATCGTATTGTTCATGGTTTTAATGTTTGTCGAGGCCACACTCTTGTTAAAAGCCATGTTTGTGCATGATGTGAGTGCACAGGAGGACTAATTAAAAGGAATATACAACATTTGCTTTTGCTGTATTTTTCAGAAATGGGTGGATCTGGTGGGTTAGTATTTTATAGCAAATATTGTTACACTGACTTGGTTGAAGTTTTGGGTTCGTAGCTGCTGGAAAAACCAAGAAAAACAATCATGTTCTTGTAGTCTGGTTCCCTCGGCCTACCAGCATTGCAAATTGATAAAAAAAATACCTTTTTTCCCGAAAATGTCAGCACACCAAGTGCCATGATTTTACAGGATGCTTTAGACTGTCATTTTCTAACAGCCCAGTAAGGTATTTCATAGTAATCTGGTAGTTTTGTATTTTGATGTTTGCAAATGCTGTATATTCCCTTTAATCCTAACCACCCCAACTCCATCAAAATTCATCCCCCCATTTTGATGGAGTTTGATGGCCTTGGGCCTAATGACCTGAAGCAGTGCTAGGGGGATCCGATTGATTTTGCCTAGCTTCCTGTACTGCTATTGTGATAAAAGCCATGTGTAGCAAGTCCATGAATGTCAACCAGTGCGTCAGTGGTGGATTCGATTATGTCATGTACAGTTTTGTATTGGAAGCACAGTGATTGATGGATTTTGATGGACTTGGTCCAGTTCCTAGTAAAAGACGCTAGGGAGTTGACTCCGAAGAGAACCCAACTATATCTTTTCTGTGATTCTTCAATCAGAAATATCCCCAAAAAAATCCAAAGAGAATCCGACCTTTTTCCTTTTCTTTCTCCTCTCCGTCCTTGCTTCCTTCGCTCAGCATGTCCTCAAACCCCCAGCACACCATGTGCTTGCTGCCTAGTAGCGAGGACGTACACCCAGGCCCGCCCTCTAGCCTCAGGAGTTTGTGCAGGATATCGGCGACTGGTAAGGACTCTAGGCTGGCTTGGAGTTGTTGCAGGAGGTGGACAGTGTGTATGATGGTCGATGTCGAGCCCCTGAATAGTCACCCAACAAATTAAAAAAAAGGATTTTATTTTAGTCTTGAGAGTTGAGACTACATGTACATCTTTTCAACTCTATCCTTTGGTCACAGATAGGGACCTGGCCCAGGCAATGACAAGCTCTGGCCTGTGTACTTGAACTTGAAGTGCAATTCACAAGTCAAAAAATTGCAACAAATTGCATCATGGCATTGCAAAGTACAGAGATACATTGTAGGCTGAGCATAGAACTTAGAAGCCAATAACTTAGCATTATCAGGCTGGGGCCTTTAGTGCTCAAAAATAATGGAAAACAAAATCGGGCCAACTTTACTCACTCTTTAGCCAGTAAAATTCTCCAAAATTTTCATTGGGTATTAACCCTAACAACCCTGAGCCCATCAAGCTCCAACAGCAGGTTTTGCTTGATTTTGGCAGGGTTGGTACCGAACACTGGCCAGCTGGTGTTGGACTTTGATTGACTGGGTACCAAAGGCCCAGGGAGACCCTGTTGAATTTTGTGAGGTTCGAAGGGCAGAAGGGCATGAGATTTGTGAACACGTTGGAGTTTGAGGGAGTTCACTGGCATTTCTTTGTGGGTTTGAGGGAGTTCACTGGCATTTCTTTGTGGGTATGCTCACCCGCGGTCCTCAGCACAGTCTGTGGTCAAATGTGCATGTACATATTGCTTTATTTTGTTAGGTTTGGTACCATCCCTATCCAATCACTCGACAATGCATAGGCCCATCCATACCAAGTCAATCATACTCCAACAGTTGGAGTTTGGCAGGTTTAGTACTGTTCCCCGTACAAGGCCTGTTGGAGTTTGGCAGTTTTGGTACCAGTGCTTACAGACCTGTATGCAGCTGTTGAAATTTATTAGGTTTGGTATACTTTCTAGTGCAAGAGCCTAGGGGGTTAGGGTTAAGGTCCTCGGTGTTTCACCAACCAAGTTTGAAGACTCAATTCAATTTTTAAATAAAACTTTTTCGTCAATATTTTGCACATGCAAAGGAAGTCAAGTGATTTCAAAATGAGGCTAAAGGTTAGACTTGTACACGTTGAACCATGGCCAATCTGTTTGAAAAGACTGACCTCTTCTTTCATTGTCATTAGTCTGGTGGCTGACTATTGAGAAATGTGTAGAAACAGAGACTAGTTTCTGACATGCCAGATGCTTCTTTTGGCACAGTTGATTGATACATTACTGAAGGGTTGTTGGACTAGTTGTTTCAGCTGCCAGTCTATTTTCTTTTATTGCATGTTTTCATTACAGTTTTGGGACTCTCATACACAGTACAGTTTGTATTGAGAGTCCAAGATTAATGAACTACATGTAGTTTAATACCTCACCCCATAAATATGTCTCAAGCACAGGATTTCCTCCGTATCTATAGCCACACAGCGATGCATGCTATATTTCCCGAAAATTGTGTTTTGGAATATCAAATTGTAAAACTGCATGACCCATGACCTCAAGAGAATCCCACATTTATTTCAGGACAAAATCCCTCTAAATTTCCCCTGAAAATTACAGTATATACATGTAACTAGACATCTAGAGGTACAGGAAAAGATTTTCCCTGATTAATTACAATGTACCAGGTAAGTATGTAGCTTTGACAACAAATATCAAGTGGACAAATAAAACAGCATAGATTTCAAATTCAGAAAATAGGCATCGCTACATGTATGTAGATCTAAATAATGAGGAAGTCCAGTTTTTATTAGAGACACATTTATGGGGCTACTTAAAGCTATAGTCCATCATTTGCAGCCATCCGAAAAGAAAAACAAACTTGGTTGAAAGATAGTAAGGGAACTAAACTCCCTGTGAAATTATTCTTTCTGGGAAGCTGTCATTTTGAAGTAATCAACGAAAGAAGGGATTTCCAATGGTGATTCTTAAGAAGCACTGTAGGAAAATTTAAATTAGTAGTTCGTTTTGTTATTCAGTGCTGCGCGCACAAGTATTGGAACGACGCACACGCGCGCGCGGTTGTTATAATTCGTCGGATCAGTGCGCGACATCGCGTACATGTATATAGCTGCAACTCAAAACAATTCAAAACATGATTCAGCGACTATTGATTTGAAATTGAGATCTTAGAATGCTGTTTTTTTTTCGGAATGTACAGCTGAAGCTTAGCTGAAACTTCATCAGGTTAGTTGCTCAGTATCCTTCATTAGATTTTGAACTCTTTTGTTGCTTCAAACGAACAAAATGCACAAATTACAAATGATGGACTGTAGCTTTAAATGCGATGCCAATACTTCATTGTGACTGGTTTTTAACTGCAAGGATACAAATTTGGTAAACAATACTTCCTGCTTGGCAGTTCATGACCAAGATTGGATTTGTACCCTGTACTGCACAGTAAGGATTTCTTCACACTGTGAAACTAATAATTCTGGGTTTTTGTTTTTGTATCATGTGTATTCATATGTGTATGATGCTAAACAAATGTCACTTAGGCCAAAGAAAAAAATAGTTCTGCTTCCGGTTACCCCTACCCTATTCTGACAGCCCCTACCCTAATTTTTTTGGGGAAAAATGAGGGGAAAAACACCAAAACCATCAATCACTACATTTTACCATTGACTAAACGCAGACACCTACATGTACATGTACATATGATCAACACAAAAAAAATGCCAAAAAGTAAAATTCCCTACCTACCTACCTTATTTTCAAGTGCCATGTAATCGGAAGCAGAACTATGTTTTTTTTTTTTTGCCTCTATCAATAGTTTACAACTAAATGATTAAATGAATGTCTTCATTAGGCCTATGTAGATTGCGTCAAGAAACTGGGAAAGACTGTTGCAACCTGCATTGCTTTTTTTTCATATATCATCTCAATGAAGGTCAGTCATTGCAAAAATGATGAAGACATGAATCTGGGACCAAGAAACATTTCAAATTTTGTTAGGAAATACTAAGCATTTTTTTTTTGACTCTCCATAGACTTTGTAAACAATCGCGGAAGTGGCGTCAGGTTGCTACATTTTTTCCCAGAGATTTTCTCAAAAAGAATGTTGCATCCTGACGCCATTTTTTGGTCATATACTGGACATACATGTATCATCGCAATGAAGGTCAGGCATTGCAAAAATGTTGAAAAGACATGAATTTGGGACTGAGAAGCATTTCCAATTTTGTTAGAAAATATTTTAAAATTTTCTTGACTATCCATGGACTTTGTACACAACTAAAGAAGTGGCGTCTGGATACTACATTCTTTCCCTTTTCTCACCTGGCACAGCCTAGAGCCACTAATGCAGCTGCAAGGTCCTGCTGCTGTGACTTCAGCTCCTCTTTCTTGACGTCATCTGCATCCGATTCCTGAAGCAGCTTGCTGCCTTCTATGAGCCAGGAACACAGCAAGTTCTCCAACCCTAGCAGGCAATCCCCTGGTTCTTTGGTCAGACTCAGTGGTGGACAGTCCCGCAGGCAATTCAACAGCAACTTGGCCGTTTCCGCGCAAAGTTCTGGGTCCTGTTTCTTTTGTGATTTCAGCAAGGGAAAGACCAGGAGGAGGCCGACACGACTGGAGAAGGAGACCTGCTCCGGCTGCTGCCATAAACCTTGCTTCTTGAGCAAGGAAATGGATTCCTCGTGACTGGATGCCTCTTTCTCGATCTGCTCGATGTTGCTGTTGATTTGCCGGTGGGCGTTCCACAAACCTTTCAAGGCGTTAAGCCGGTACTCCATGAGTCTCGAGTAGGCGTAGGCATTGTTGTTGGTCCCGCAGACCGACAGCAGTCTCTCGGTGAGCTCTGCTGGGTCCTTGGTGTCGAAGGAAACCACTTCGTTCTCCCGGTCTGCCTCGCTGGAGGTCGTCACGTCGCGCGGTAGTTGGACAAGATCGGTGACACGAATCAAGCCGTCGTGCAGAAACAACGACTCCTCGTTCACGCACATCCACTGCGTAGAATCGGTCGTTCCCGAAGCCATGATGACAAAAGGACCAATGTGAAATTGGTAGCAATGCCGTGAAATTATTATACCTCAAAGATCGTGTAAATGTTGTGACGCAACTTCATCTAGTTTGTTGCAATTACGCACTGACTTGACTGACGAAGAAAACAACTCCATGGTCGCCGCCATCTTGGAATGGGAAATGAAAACGAGGCTGGAGATTAATTAATCTCTTCCTGAATTAGGCAATGTGTGTCGTATTTTGAATAATGGGTGTAATGTAAAGCATTAATAGACAACTAAAAAGGAAAGAAAAACAATAAACCAATAATAATATTCAAAGTTGTTTGAAAAATGCATGATTTCTTTAGCCGATCAAAGTGCACTTTGTTGTGATATTTAAAGCCATTAAAATTACCCTCATATTCGTGAGCACTCCCATATGGTCTAGTGGTTAGGATCCGGCGCTCTCACCGCCGTGGCCCGGGTTCGATTCCCGGTGTGGGAAACTCATATTTGTTTTTGTTTTTGATTTTTTTTTTTTTTTTTTAATGGGGACATTTAGGCAACTGTACAAAAAGTCAAAGTATGAAAGAACGTCAGGTTTTCTTTTTTTTTTTCTTCGTCTGTCAAGAATGAACCCAAATGCATGGGATTTTTAGAAACTCAAAATCTCGGGGGGGGGGGGGGGGGTGACTGGGGGGGGGGGACAGAGTTTCATGGGGACCGAACATTAACTCTAAGAATACATGTATATGTTACATTTAATACATAAGCAGCAGAGCGGTACTGAGCGCAAAAAAACCCAACTAAATCCGAATAAAAGACCACTTTAATGGAACAAAAACAACATACTCGTTGTGGACACTTTTACTCCAAAAATACAGGTGTTATTAAAAAAAAGGTTTTATTGAGCAATCGGTCGTACTGTCATAAGGAAGTCCACACAATTTCAAAAGGGGTCATCAAATATTATACATGATACCAGCAGCTGAGTCCGTGGCATCAGCGCCAAAAAAAGCAAATCAGAATAAAAGACAACTTTAATGGAACAAAAACAACATACTCGTTGTGGCACGGGATATACTTCAAAAATACAGGTGTAAATTATTGAGAAATCGGTCGTTATTGTGTCATAAGGATGTTGCACGTATACACTTAATTTATAAATTTATACACTTAAAGCAGTGGAGTGGTGTCAGCGCAAAAAAGAAATCCGTATTGAAGTAAATTTTAATGGTACAAAGATAACTGCTGATTGTGGAGATGATAGCTCAAAAAGTACATCTGGTGATGAATTTAAATCTTGTTTAATAATTGGTCGTGATGTTATAAGGAAGTCTTGTATGTTTTAAAAGGGCAAATGAAATATTATTTATACACTTAAAGCAGTGGAGTGGTGTCAGCGCGAAAAAGAAATCCGAATTGAAGTAAACTTTAATGGTACAAAGATAACTGCTGATTGTGGAGATGATAACTCAAAAAGTATCTGTTGTGATGAATTGAAATCTTATTTAATAATTGGTCGTGATGTTATATGGAAGCCTAGTAAATTTCAAAACAGAAAATGAAACTTTATTGTTAATACACCCAGAACGGTAAATGTCTGCGCGAAAAATACGATCCGAATTATAGTCATAAAAAACACACTCTTTTTCGGACGATAACTCAAGAAATACTCGCTGTATTTAATTGATATTTTGTCTAGTGATTGGTCGTAAGATATGACACTTTTCTGTTGAATATCTAGGGATATCGTCAATAATATATACAAAACATGGAAGTGTCTTATGCCATGGAGCTATAATAGCTCCATGGTTATGCGCGAGTTTACAAGCCGAATTGATGCCAATTACTTTCAAAAGAGGGCGCGCTACACAAATAGTGGCCACCACCACTGATCTCTAATTACACATTTCTGCGGACAATCAAGAGATAAAATACGATCTGAATTATTGTCAACTTTCATGGAACAAAAACTGCAAACTCGTTTCTGGGCGCTAACTCAAGAAATACAAGTTTTATTAATATTACGGCGGGGGAGGGGGGGGGGGGGAATGGATTTTAGATGCTCTGTGGTGCGATCTGGGACTTTATTTCTGAACACTTTATTAACCAATGGTTTTTTTTGGAGGAAAAGATGATGGTGTACTCAGCGGCCTGCTTATATTGCGACGTCACTTAAAAACCAATTGGGTTCGTTTTTTCTTGGGGGGGGGGGGGGGGGGGGGGGGGGCAAGGCCCCCCAGGATCCGCCCTTGAGCATGACAATGAGATAGTGAATGGGACATTGATATCGGCAGTAAAATAACTGTTCTTACTGCAAGCTAGTATAAGCTGCTCAATGGTGTTAGCTGCACACCGATATAGAGGCTCGAGCAGTAGCTCATTAATTCCTTCTGTAAAGTCATGCAATTTGGTTTAATCTCACACTGGCAAAAAGTAGCGACACCACTGACAATACGTATTTATCAGACACAAAATAATACTTTATTGTCAGATTCCATAGGACTGCAAATTTTATTATTGAAAACTTGCAGTGGATAACAACCATTATTTAATATTTTATATTAATGACTGTATATACAATTTTATATTCATTCTAATCCATCCCCGTCCACGCAAATGGCAAATATGTAACGCATTAGTGATATTACTGCAATATATCCTGCTCAAGGACACCATATTCAGGTGACCTGACCACATCAATCTATGTCAAACACTCTGGGGTATCAACATGTTAAGCTTCACTTCTGCTGGTACCTGCAACCACATCTCATCACGGTTAATGTTATTAGCAAAGCACAACTTTGTAATAGAGATGGGGCTTTGACCAACACAGACTCCCATTGAGTTCTACAGTATGTCCCCAAACAGTGTGTGTCTGAATTTTTTGAAGTAACTACACATCCATGAAGTCAATCTTGAATTTTTTACATTGTGTAGATACTCATTATCCTTGGCCTAGACCCCTATGAGTTTTATTTAATTTCCCTCACGCCTCACTGCACAATGGTCAATTGATCACAACAACATTTTTGGACACTGTGACCAAATTCCTTGCCATAGATCAATTTCAGTGCTGTGTTATGTAAGCTGTGTAAAATCCTTGTGAAAAGGGCTGCAGTTGGAATATGAATCATATGCCATCATTGCAAGACCTCAGTTTAATGCTCAAGGGCAAATTATTCCAATCCCTAACCACATCAGGCCTTTTTTCCCCACAACATGCAGGATTTTACACAGCTTACATAACACAGCACCGAAATTGATTAAAGCATGGAACTTGGTCACAGTGTCCCAAAATGCTGTTGTGATCAATTGACAATTGTGTAGTGATGCGCAACTGGAATTAAATGAAACTCATAGGGGTTTAGGCCAAGGATAAGGAGTATCTGCACAATCAAAATTGTTCAAAATTTACTACGTGGTTTTGTAGTTATTTTAAAAATAGTCAGACGGACACCTTTTGGGGGACATACTGTATACTGACTGGACTGGCTGTCACACCCTTATTGGGCTATTCGCTTTGACAAAACTGCAGAAGAATCATATCAGCCATCTTCCTTCCCCCAAATTGCATGCTGTTGACCACTGGAGCAAATTTGTCTTTTTTTACATTAAAAACCCCCCAAACACACAAACAACCAAACACCCCAACAAACACCCCAACAAACACCCCCACAACCCCCCAAACAAACAAACAAACACCCCAACACCCCCAACAAATAAAAAAACAAACACCCCCAACACCCCAACAAACAAACAAACACCCCCAACAAACACAAATTAAAAGCACTGTATAGAATAAGATCTCTTGTTCCAATGATCAATAGCAGGATTAAACTTTATAATATTCAATCACACGTCCTGGGGGAACAAGCATGGTAATGCTTCAGTGCATAGGCGCTGTCAACAAGTCCAATAAGATTAGAGGTTTGTGTAGCCTCGAGGAAAAAAAACCCAACAGGTCCCTCTGAAATTTACATAAAAGCATGCGCATAGCCACTTCTTTTGAAATTTTGCTGAAGAACATTCAACAAAAAATGAAAGTAAAGTAACTATTTCCTCACTCAGCCTGTGCGCCTATCTTATGTTAACATCTTTTAGTTATCATCTCTAGTTTAATAAATATGCTTCCACAATTTAATGTCCACGAATATTTAACAGTTTGCATCAATGTATTAAATTATATATTCAAATATAGCTTATCAACAGCACATCACAATTCATTCACAAAAGTCTTTCAATGCACCTAGAAGTAACGGCCATCACTTGAGGATAAAAAAAAATGAATTGGACAAAAGAAAGAATTACCCACGTATTGTTATGGACAACATCACTTCTTTTAAACTACAGACCAAAAAGAAACCTTCAAAATAAACAGTGTATGCATAGGGTACACACAGGGAGATCTGCTTACAGTGTAACAATTACTGAAGACCTAAAAATGTGTGGACATGTTACAGGGTAAACGTGTGACTATTACAATTACATTGCATGCATTTAGAACACAACTTGGACCGTGCTATGGTCCAGAACAATCTTATAGTGACGATAGCCCACACACGTAAGTGTGCCAACACCTTCAATCGTGGACCCCGTATTGTCCCTCTTTTGTACTCTTAAGAAGACCTCCCATATGTTTTGTTCACAATCGTCAATCATTGACTTTCGGGAATGGTGGACCCTATTGTCGTGTATTGTTCAACGTCCCTGATTGAATGCAAAAACAAACCCAGCCTTTGTGTACGTTACATACGTAGTGTGGACATTCCTTTGTTTTCGTGTAGTTAAGAAAAACCTCTGAAAAAAAGAAGTCCACAATTACCAGGTAGCAGTGACGTTGTGTGGACTTGCCCTCGTCCACACAGTGTTTCCCCCTCTCTGGAAAACAGGTTGAGAGGCGTTTTGGGGTTAGGTTTATCAGTGGCAAAATGAAGAGAAATACTAAAAGGAATCATAGAAAAGAAAATTGGGTTGAAAGAGTTTTCACAGTGCGAGTAAAATGAGTTTGTGACAGGTTTTCTTAACTACACGAAAACCAAAGAATGTCCACACTAGGTATGGAACGTAAGCATGGGTGTAGTTTGTGTCCCATGTAGTAAAGGCCGAAGGCTGACTGGCAACTGGAACACAGACATACTACATTTATCTTAAGATGTTCCATGAGTATGAAGCCCGGTTCATACTCCACGCGAATGCGAATGCGAATGCGAATCGAATTTGACGTCATGAAACATTCGCTGCGAAATTCGCCCGAGTTGAAATGTGTTCAATTTTTACGAATTCGCAGCGCGAATACTTGCCATTACGTCACAAATTCGCTTTCGCGCCGAGTATGAACCGGGCTTAAGGTGAATACAAGGGATTACGCATTTTTTCTTCCATCCAATTTGATGCACAGTATTGAAGCCCATGTGGTCGTGTTTCAGCGGTCATCCAATTACACTTTACTGTAGCAGGCAAACAATTGTGTACAGCAATGGGCTCCGTGCGCCAACAAAAAGAGGGCGCCCTTTTACCTAGCAACAACGTCCCACTGGCGGGACATTTAGCTAGTTGACGCGCACCGTTCCTGGTGTGTGACAGACGTACACCAGGGGATTTGTACTCGGGCAAAATGGTTGTCAGGCAAGATGGCGTCAGTTGGTCACCCCCAACTGTACTTTCTTTGCCGGTGAGGGGGTACTTGTGAACGGAGCAGATACATGCACTGTAGGTACATGTATCTCAGAGGATTCTCTTTTGTATTTTAATCTAGTAACAATGAATGCACGAAAGGTTTACCCATGCCAATCCTAGTGATACAAACCCACTGCCCTCTGACTCTGCCTAAACGCATAAAGTGTATATAGGATAATACTGGTTTTGCTTTGAATCAATCAATCTGGATTACAGATTCATGTTTGCTTGAAGATAATTCAGGTTACATGTAGATATATACATGTATATGTACATTGTATACATACCAAATCAGTTGCCTCTAAATGTAACAAACATCTAAAGGCCCTGTCACACTGTCTGCGATCTTATATGCGCTCTCACTGCGTCCTTGAAAAATAGCTGGGGCGCAACAACAACTACTACATCGCAGCGACAACTACATAGGTCGCCAGATGGGCGCCAGAGGGTCTTAATGGTCTCCGATGAGCACCAAGGTCTTTGAACATGCTCAAAACAATCGCAACACCTCTGCGCCCTGGCCAGGATGCCGTATCTCGGGCGCTGTGCGAGCGTGAATCGTGCGACATTGAAGTGGTATTGAGGCAGCCTATAGGCACAAGGCAGTCGATGTAGTCTCCATGAGAAAGTAACTCGACTGCGATGAACTTGTAGAATAATTTTGAAACTGGACTGTGTATTGACTGTTTTGTCGTGGTATTTATACAGCGCAAGTGACGTCACATGAGCGTAGTTTGGTCGAATAGAGAGCGCGACGCGAGCTACTAGGACGTATCAACAGCGAGCAGAGCGTAGTGTGAATGCAGTGACAGCGCAGCGGCAGTGACTAGATCGAGTAATTGAGCTTGACAGAGGCGCATAGAGAGCGAGTTGAGCGCATCGTAAACGTGGGAAGAGCACAGTATGAGCGTAGCTTGAGCTTCTTTGAGACAGAAAGTTGTCATTTTCTTGCGTCCTCACTGCGATTGTTAAATTTATGAAATGTTTTTGGTCGCCGTAAGGTCTCCTATGAGATCGCATATAATGTGACAGGCCTTTTAGTAGCAAAATTGGCAACAAGACGCTTGGTGGAAGTATTGTGTCCAATCAAAAGTGAAACCGTGTTGAAACAATTGCCAAAATTAAAGAGAATGATTAATCAAATGAAAATATCTGTATATTTGCAGCCTATCGGTGAGTTGACTTTGTTTTCTAAAATAAAAGTGAATGAATCCATGTACTCAACTCAACGCCTATCACAGCTTCTCTTTTGAGGAATAGGCCCACAGGCCCCAAAATTCATTGAAAGAATTTAAATAAAGGTTACACATTTGACTGTGCACTTCATGCTGTGGTTACACATTGATTTTGGCTTAATACATAAAACTGCAGGATCCTCCAATTCAAGTTAAATAGAAGGTTGGTGTCTATACAATGAAATGGTTTGGATATTTCAAGCGATTAGAAGCCATATGACGAAGAGAACGGCCACCCAAAGAAATACTTTGGAGAGAAATTGCTCATCAGGATTGGGTGGGACTTGTGGACGATCTGAAAGAAGGAAAAGGTCAGATAAGAAAAAAGAAAGGTATTACATTCAGTCAATATTATGGGAAAATACCATGCTGCAGTCGCCAGTGTGGTAGTACAATATTGAGAAATTGATATAAAATTGTATTTGTCTTGGTTTACACGTTTTCTTGCAGATGTTCACAATTCCTTTTTAATTTTTTTATCAGCACATTCTTCTTATTTTACAATCTGGGTTACTACTGGGCCTATGAGTAGAACAACAAGTAGCACAAACTACTTGCGAGTACTCAAGTTACTCGCCCAGCGATAGTTACTACCACGGGTACTTTAAGAAAACGAAAAAGAAAACTTACGTGGATGCCCCATAAATCTTCCACCTTCCCCGAGGTTGAATGTGGATGCAAAAAAGCCAAAAGGGAATGCTCCAATGCCGAATGACATCTGAAATCCACCGTCTCCAAACCCAAAGCCTTGGAATGGCTGAAAAATGCAAATACAGGCAGAATATGAACAAATTAGAAATCAGTGAAGAAAATTACTTTTTGGGCAAGTCCATAAAATCTAATTCTCTGCTAACGTCCGACCACATGATGTACACGGTTGTTAACCCTAAAAGAGCCGGGGGGGGGGGGGGGGAGGGGCAATAGCCTTGACAAATTTTTTTGGCAACTTTTGTTCTGACTTTTTAGCCTCGAGTCTTGCGCATCTTTTGATACCAAAAACATAAAATTCCGACCACGGGTTGCCGTGCAGCAAAAAAACTGCCGGTGCTACACGCCGGGAAAACTGAATATCCCTATATACGTGGTGTACACAAAGCAGAATTACCATTCGTGCATATGAATAATTAATTCGCCATAATTCCAAAACCCTTTAACCTATAGTCATGAAATTTCTTGGGTATGTTAAGTTGCATGATAAGTTGTTCTATGCATGTACCAAGTTACATAATTTTTCCTCCCCTGCTGGCCGAGATCTACGGACAAATTTAACAGCAGATTTTTTTTTAAAGGGTGTTAAAGCCATAGTCCATCATTTGTAATTTGTGCAAGAAGGATGCTGAACAACTAACCTGATGAAGTTTCAGCTCAGCTTCAGCTGTATATTCCGAGAAAAACAGCATTCTAGGATCTCAATTTCGAATCAAAAGTTGCTGAATCATGTTTTGAATTGCGCCCGAATTCAGCGTCCGAGACACGTTCTCGCTGAGCTGATTGCAGCTACGCGATGTTGCGCAGCGATCCGACGAATTATAGCAGCCGCGCGCACGTGTGTGTGTCGTGCCAATGATTGCGCGCGCTTCGCCGAATAACAAAACAAACTACTAATTTAAATTTTCCTACGGTGCGTCTTAAGACGCACCGTTGGAAAGGCATTCTTTCGTTGATTACTTCAAAATGACAGCTTGCCAGAAAGAATAATTTCACAGGGAGTTTAGTCCCCTTACTATCTTTCAACCAAGTATGTTTTTCAACAATAATTACGCCAGCTACTTTTCGGATAGCTGCAAATGATGGACTATAGCTTTAAACATACAAAGGTTGTTGACAAGAGTTTGTAAAGAATGAACAATACGTATGCATTTTTTAAACTTGAAGAATAAAAAATTAGGGTCATGACTACAAAATAGGGTAAGTCAGAATACCAGAAGAAAAGTAAACTTTGTCTTAGCCTAAGCAATGTAAGACGACTCAATAACTCACTCCTTGTGTTTCCGGCTCTGGTCTTTCTCCAGGTGGTCTCTGGGGAATTTTATCTCTGGTAGGGGAAAAAAGAAGTAACAAATATAAAGTAAAATCAATAAGTCATTTCAATATTATCAATATTCATTTCTCAACACAAGTGCGAGTGCACAATAAGCTCTGGCCGTGTTGCAAGAAGTCTTGCATGAAAGTCTCGCGCGAAATCGATCAAAATGATCCCTGCCCAAGCTTAAAAATGCAACGCCGAAAAATGCGACGCCGAAAAATGCGACGCCAATGGCACATATGGAACACCATACTTGTGGTCAATTTTCGGAACAGACAGACAGACAGACAGACCGACCGACTAACCACGAAGTGACATGTAGAAGCTCCTGGCACAGCTTTCAAATACAAAAATCTCTTTGGAAATTTAACACAAAGGCGGCATTTTGGAATGCCAATCTTTACTTCCTTTTTTTGTGATTAGTTCTCTGGAGAGTGACTTTCAAATCAACCATATTGTGCAGCACTCTTTATGTAAAACCCCAAAAAGTGCAAAAATACCACATATGCCTACATGTATACATTTTGTCATTAGGCCAAAAAAAAAAAGTCTCCGGTTTCTGGTATGGAGCTTGCCCAAAAAATGGTGCGGCGACGCGGCTTTTTTTTTTTAACCTGATTTTTTTGCCTCAAATGTCGGCTGATGACTGCAAATAATGCCCAACTAAACTTAGTGCAAATAAATGGGAGTCTAGAGAGGCCACATAAAGCTTATTCTCGATCATAAGCCCATCCAAAAACAAGTTAAAATTGTGCAGCAGCAGGATTCCAGTCAAACCAGTGAGTTTGGCGGTTTTGAGACATCATCTTTCATTGAAAAAAAAAAATTTTTCATTTTGCTGACGCGCATGGCTACGGCGACGCGCGCGCAAACCAGAAAACCGGAGACTTTTTTTTTGGCCTTAGTGAAAGTTGAGCCCAGTACTATGGAGTACAGAAGTGAAAACGTCATGCGCACAAAATGTGTGTAAAAGACATTAGCGCGTGATTCAGACCGGGAAACAACACACGCGCGTACTCCATTCGTTTGCACTACACTTTCTAGTTCTAAATGACGTCTCACTTCGGTACTCCATAGGCTCCGCGTGGCAACAACAGAGGTTTTTTTTTTGCCATTTTCCCTGCGAAGTACGCATGACTTCCTGAATGTGCCAAAGCTATTAGCCACAGAGCGTCAGGTGTCATTAGCGCATGAATGCATTCAAATTTATCTGGGATGGTCTCTCAGAGTAATCCCTACCCCCAATAACTTATCATTCAAAATACGCAGTGGATGAATTGGGAACCAGTCTCCCGTTAGATGCCGTCATGTTGCACATCCACTATCAATCACTAGCGTCTTGGGCCAAGACTAACACAGAGGCAGTCTAGTACCTTGGCCCCATGTATGGGGTCAGCTTTGATGGAGGATTTATAAGTAGTTTACACTTTCTGCTCACCTAGGATCTTGCTGTTTTGTGCTGCCTCTACCGTAGAGTGGCGTGACGCTTTCTTTACTGATCCCGGCTTTACATACAGGACACGTTTGCCGATTGGGTCTTGTTTCTAACCATTGATACAGACATGGCCAGCTGGACAACACACACAAAAATGAAAAGACGTTAAAGGGAATGTACATCATTGGCTTTTGCTGTAATTTTCAGAAACGAACTATTTTGGGGGATAGTATAATAGATCAAATATTGTTACACTGACATGTTTGAAGTTTTGCATTCGAAAATGCTGGAAAAACCAAGAAAAACAAAAATATTCAAGTAGTCTGGTTCCCTGACTCCACTAAAGATGAAATGGATCAAAACTGCCGGAAAATTGTAAGGTAAGGGAACCAATCTAGCTGGCCTGCACCCGTTCATGAACATGGAACCAATAGCAAACAAGATTTGGACTGAAAATAAAAAAACAATGGTAAATATGGAGCAGTAGTTGAAAAGTAGTTAGGTATTTCCAATGGTGGTCAGCCGACCACCGTTGGAAATGTATACAAAAGTACCATTTTTCTTGAAAATGACTTCACACCAGGTGCCATAATTTTACAGGATGCTTTAGACTGTCATTTACCAACATCCTTGTAAGGTATTTCGTAACAACTCGGTAGTTTTATTTTTCGATGTTTGCAAATGTTGTATTTTCCCTTTAACTACACAGAGTGGCAGCAGGACACATCTTTCATTTCACAGTTTAGTTCATAGATGATCCACGTTTAAAAGGTGAAATCAACAGAGAGTAAGCAGTATCCTGACACCCAAATAGGAAAAGTTTCTCAGTCTCAAATAGATGTTTTTCCAACATAATTCCAATGAGTCTGACAATAGCTCAGTATGTATATATACAAAAAATAAACATGACGAAGCTAAACATGACCAAAAAACTTGGTTATTTCTGGTGGTAAAATAGTTTATACCATTCGGCAAAAAAAAAAAAAATAGTTCTGCTTCCGGTTTTCCTACCTACCCTATTCTGACAGCCTCTACCCTATTTTTTTTTGTTGGAAAAATGAGGAAAAAATGTCCAGAACCATCAGTTTCTACCTTTTTTAACCCTTGACTACACACAGACGCCTCCATGTTATCATACACAAAAAAATATTTGCCAAATTTTTTTTTTCCATACCTACCCTATTTTCAGGCATGCAACTGAGAAATCACAAAACAAGAGGAAATTCAAATTTTCCCCAAACTTTGTACAGTGTTTTTGTATTTTCAATGGCACACACGGCAAGTAAAAAAAGAGGAAATCAGTTGATCCGAGGAAAAGTTGCATGCCTGTATTTTCAAATGTCATTTAATCGGAAGCAGAACTATTTTCTTTTTTTAGCCTTACCATGTTTACCTGTCATTATTGTCAGTTTTGAAAATTTGGAATTCATAAATTCACTGATTGTTTTTCAAAATTTCAATTGCAAACTTTTTACCCGGTATTTGTCGTGAATGTTTGTTGTAAAAAGTATGCACTCGCCAGTCCTTGTTTGTAATTGTATATACTGGAATAAACCTCTAGTACTTTTTCAGAATACTCGTATTTGCACTCGTACTCAAATCAATATTAAAATATTTGGACTCGAATTTTGGACTAGTCTTTACATTGTACTCCATCATGGAAAGTATTCCTACTAGAAGTAGAACAGTAGCCCTGGGGTATATGAGCAGACAGACGTATGTAGCCCCAAGTTACAACCATGCACGTTCAATGATGTTATACTTGACAACTTTGTAATGTTTCTCCAAAACATTTCGTCACAGAATACAACTCGGTCAACATTTTTAATTTGGAAAATGCCTACCCTAGGCTTTGTAATCAGGCCTACTTCAAATGTACTAAAGGACGATTGTCAGACCGTATTAGCCAACGAACAATTCGAAACATGAAAATAAATATAATATAGGCCTAATTCGCAGCAACTGAAAACAGGCTAACTAAAGGTTTTGCACACATGTACAATGTATCATTGGTAATTGAACGTGCATGGCTGTGGACTGTTGTTGGGCTTCATGTTCATGTATGTGTTTGCATATAATTATGATAGTGGATATTTTGCCGGAGGTAATGATGGCAAACTAACGATTACTAAAGGTTTGCCGGCGGCAATCCATATCAACAGAGGGCGCTGTACTCTTTAAAATAGGGCTGAATTATAAGATGTATTAAATTCCCACCAAAAGTTGTGTAGCACGTTTGGTGTAATGGTTAAGCAAAGGCTCTAGTAAGCGGGATGACTCGCGTTCGATTCCGACCGCACCACATTTTTAAGGTTTTTTTTCTCATCCCCAAATAAATAAGAATATTCTTCTTTTATTATTTTAACATGTCTCAAACATTTTTTGCAGAGTATTACATTTTCTTTTTCAGATTTGTGGCTCTGGAGGATTTTTTTTTAAAGGGAAATAAAGTCCGAAATTATAAAATGGTCTGAATCCCATCTTGTGAATACGAGGTAACAACGATAATTTTGGCATGGAGCCAGACTAAAACTTGTCACCGGAAAATGTTTAAGTACAAAAAAACAGTAGCTGCGCATGTTCAGTGCATATCCGGCAAACTAACGTTTACTAAAGGTTTGCCGTCTCTCCGGCAAAATATACACTGCCTATAATTATATACCTCGAAGCCTCCATGAAAATAGCCCCACTAGTGTGGCTGGGATATTTTCTGTGCTGTATGCCCGCCACACTTCTATGGGGCTACCATGAAAATAACAAGTATGGTCTATGGAAACCTATGTAAAATGTATGCCTGTGTATGCTGTTCAAATATCCACTGCCTAAAACACATGCTATATGAAACAACGGAAAGAAGGTAGATGTAGTGCATGCTACTAGTCCTGGCACTGAAATAGGGTATAAAGTTTAAGCTCATAAGTCATAATGTTTACATAGCAAACACGCACATACTTAGTCACCGTCACTTCATACAGTCAGACAGTACATTTTGTGAACAATGTTACGAACACCCACCAAAATAAATGACCACACCGGCTGACCACCGCGTCCCTTGCCGTGTCCAGGCAAATGTTACATTCGAAGAGGCTTTCCTGTGATCCTGCCCCGTCCTTCTCTGCGGAATCTGTGGCTGTTCCCCCCGTAGCCCCGGCATTTTCACTGTCTTTACTCGCTTCATCAGCGTCCGTGGAATTCGCGTGTGCTCGGTGCTTCAACCCGTCTGAGTTCGGGTCCGAGTCCATGTTCTCCGGACCACTCGGTGTTTTTACGTCTGGCATTATTTCCTCTCTTTACGGCTCACGGAAGCCACATACGACTGCAACATGTACTTTGATACTCCTCTTTATTCTTAAACTCAATCGAAAAACATCCGGCACAAGACTCGATGGGGAAATTTAGGTCAAAATTCCGACAATAAACACCGTCCGTTGTGCGTGCCTCTGAATCATTACCGATATACGGTCGTGTCCCTGGGAACTTTGGGCTCGTTATTGCGTCGTACAGCAGGGAACCAGCCTATGGTTATTAAAATACATTGTAGTTGTACATGTATTATGTACACGTATCACATCACAATAAAGTGACATCATGCGCTTTTTGGGTCAAGGACCGTCGCGGATCTTCGATGGCCTCATGATCCACATTCCCGGCCTGTTCGAATGGGTGCGGGCCGAGGGGATGCTGCCAAAGGCAACTACGCTGAGGTTGTAGGGGGAAAGTCGCCCAGGCAATTCAAGATTTAAAATGGAGGCGGGGCACCCTGGCGGGGGGATCGGGAACGGACCTCCGTAGGGCCGGGGGGGGGGGGACATGGAGCCTCCGTACTTCAACCTCTGGACACATTTGCAGTGGCTTCATGGGATGTTTCCCACACGGGAGATACCAACACAAAAGAAACCATGACCTCGCCGCAATTAATCAGTGCCATCAACTGATAAGGAACACCATGATGTTAGTGCATGATACCATAGAGCTTGTCCTTGCTCTATGATGATACTGGTGATGAAGGGCTAGAGGGGTATACTATCCTCATAATCTCAAGACATTCTCAAACGAGATATGGTACCCTTGTTGATGACTATTAACACATTTCCAATTTACTTTTCACAATATCGTAGCGCAATATAGCAGTTTGACTTGTGGTACCCCAGCAGTACTAGTACTATAGGGGCTATCGTAGTTGTTAATTAGACAAAAATCTAGACGTCAGCCACGGCTGATGCGCGAAGTGCCGCCCTCATTATAACGCTACTATTTTCACCCCATGAAAGCGCGAAACGCGCAGTTTAGTCCACATGAGTCATGGTTCTTCTGTCGAAGATCCAGCTGTTCAAAGAAGTGCCTCGCCGAGTTGCTGTTCGTGTGCATTCACAGCAAAGCGACTTACCGGGAGACCATGGTATTTGTTGTCAGTCAGTTGGTGAGGGGAGGAACTCAGTCCACGAGAAACAAGTAGCGAGGCCGTAGTGATGAGTGGACGTTAAATTAGAGATTCACAACCTGTACAGGGAATTAACACGTGCACCTGTGCAGGAATCAAGCACCTGGAAAGGTTACTATGTCCTCATAATTATTCAGTCACTTATATGCTTTGGAAAATGTTATTTAAGTAAAGATTTGTAAGTAGAATCCCCAAAATACACTTTTCAAAAAAAAAAAATTAAAAAAAAATACCCAAATATGGGAATAAATATATTACACGGCAGGGATTAACGATTAATGCAAATTAGGCACCCTTCCCAAAAGAATTTCGGGTGTCACCCCTTCTAAATATCTTCTCTAGGTCTATAAGAATCTATCTGCCAAGTTTGGTGCTTTGGACCAGTCGGTCACGATCTTGACGAAAATTAGATCCAAGCCACCTGACTATTAAGGCCCATATGATTTATCTTCAGCCTGAGTGAATGCCATCACAGAGAGACGAGTCCCGTGTGTGTGATTTAGAGGTGCCATGTTTCCCTCCCCTACCGAAATACACTTTTTACCATATTTGACCTTTGACCCTCTAAATGACCTTAGGGGTCAAAATCCAGGGTGGCATCCACCTACATTTTCTTCCCCATCCTATGACTGATTGATCTAACATGGTTGCCTGCTATTACCCCAAATGCCGTCTAAAGTATAATATGCCGTTTTGGCTGGTCCACTATATAGTGTTCCCGTGTGTGCTGGCGCTAGTGCCGTCAGATCTGCCCTCAAATACCTCATGCGTCTGGCGGTAGACTGCCCCAAAACGGGCCTGCTCAGCCACGGTGTTCTCAGAATGGACCGCTCGCTTACGTCGGCCGCCAAAGGACGACTCGGGATTCGGCACGATCGCAGCCACAACTGGTGTCAGAAGTGGGATAGGTGCGTTTATAACACCTCACCCACAGATTCTGTGTCTTGATTGGCCGAGAGCGAGTCACATGGTACCTTCTAATTTTGCTATCTTTCTGTGCACGGCCAAAAGTACTATGCGCATAGCAACCAAAGTACTATACCATTAGCAACCAAAGTACTATTTCCACGGCGCGGTATTTGTGTGCAAATGCATGCTGGTGTGCACGTTAAGCGTTGTGCGTAGCGCGTATTATTCCAAAGTGAGCGCGCCGCAGACTTGGGTTCAAACATTTCGTGAAGGGTTAGTTTTTAAGAGAGAAATACATTTTCCACCAATTTCGTATTGAAATTGAAGTTTATTTCAACTGTGTTCAGATTTAAATAATGTAAAATATTAAAATCAAGCAGAATCTGTGGGTGAAGTGTTATAAAACAAATATTGAATGCTTTATCTCGTGGTGAAGTAAAACTAGCCTCCCTCGGTGATCCATGGACCATTCTATTTTCCCTCGGCTTCGCCTCGGGAAAATAGAATGGTCCATGGATCACCTCGGGAGGCTAGTTTTACTACACCACTCGAAGCATTCAATATTTGTACATGTATCAGGTAGAACAACTATGGACCAGCACTCAATGGAAGGAAGGGGAATGGATGACGTGGTGGAAGATGCCGAAGGAACATCCACATGGCTTCAGAGCTATAGGGACGAGGAGACACGTCGGTTGGCAGAAGTGCGTGAGCTGAGATTAGCGCCGGGGAACTGAGGGAAAGGCCTATTATCGCTGTAAGAAAACTACTTCCTCGGGCCTTTTTCTGTATTAGTGCATTATAAGCACGCATGGCGTGACCATTACATATATGGAGTGCTGAAACTGCAAAACTTGCCTCACTTGGCAATTTACTATGGTGGTAGATATGAAACTAAATTAAATATCTCATATGCGTCAGGAAGTCGGATGGCTCAAAACAGCGTGGCCTAATTGTAGCCAATAGCCAATCGACATCTACCTTGAATTCCTATTCAACGGATCCGCGTCTATTCGTTTTTACTGTAATGAAACATTGTGCGAGAGCTACCTGCTGAAAGACAATACATCTTTTGAACCAGTATCAAATATGATAAATATAGATTTTCACGGTCACAGCACAATAAGGTCTTCCTTCGAGTTTCGCAACAGCCAATCGATAGGTTTATTCACAACAAAGTATTAGACTTTGCGTTCTGCCCGAAATATACTTCACGTGCAGTCCGATAACTTCACAGCTAAACACCAGTCGGGTGAAATGTGAGAGATGATTGTGTCTAAACGGTTCATCTTTGGCTTGATAAACCTTCATCTGATGATGGGTTGCACTGGTGGTAACGAGATGTGTAAGGCCTCCTTTCGTGGTACTTGGGCTTGTCAACCTTCTTGGAGCCAGTGGGGTGGCAAATGCTACAAAGCCATCACTGCGCATCTCCCATGGGCTGAGGCAAAAGAGGAGTGCGTAAAGATGGGAAGTATCATGGTTGTTCCTCAGTCTCAGGAGGAAACTGATTTCCTCGTCGGATTACTGCCAACTCGGTTTTGGATCAATTGCAATGATCTCGGGCAAGAAGGTTGGTTGAAGTATTATTGTCGGATTATTTTTAATATGATATCAGTGATGCAATGGACATATACACAGCGCAATAAAATTTATAAGCGAGGCTTCTGGCCTTGTAAGTCACAATGCCATGCACTAAGCGTGCTGGTCGACACTGCGCGTTTAAGTGAGCCTATCCGTCCTTAATAAGGGAATACATGTGTGTTCGGGAGGTATTATAACACTCTGGACCGGTGGGAGTCTGGATGGGTGATAATTGGATGGGTGATACGTAAGCCATTTCGAACGGTCTCCGTTTTTAACGGCACACTTGCCCTATAGCGTGGTATGTTGAAGTAGAAGCCTCGCTAATTATAGTTAAAATAGTTGTTACTCGGATTGGGTGATACCTCTGTATGTATTTCTTTGAAAGGTACTTGGAGGTGTGAGGATGGCATTGATGAGGTGGAGTTCAGGAATTGGGAGAGTCAACAACCTGATAACTGGGCCGGTATTGAGCACTGCGCTGAGGTACGCCACGCCTACATTGGAAATGGAATGACATGCCGTGTGATTACCAACGCCCTACCATATGCAAAACTCCAATCGCCCTGCACAACTGCATGCGCTTCATGAGACCCAAGTAAACATGAAGTCAAGACAGATCAGCTAAAATGACGGCATTTTGTGGGAGTTCGAACTCGCAAATTCAAATCTAACTTGTGTCTGTAAACTCTATATCGAGAAAAAGCACATGTAAATATGGGTTTTCCCTGCAAATTTCCTGAAATATTCATTCACTTCTGCAAATCAATCATTCAGTTTCGTCTGAATTTGAATGCACGTCATTAATCCTATTTCAATTCAACGAAAGTTCAATCGTTTTCATTGTCCGTGAATTCGGTTTTGAGAATCAGACGGCCAATTACGTTACCTGCGCATTCATTTAGCCTAAAAACCTTTTCTAAATTGATTTCAGGTATAGCTAACTTGATTGACGGTTAATGAAAAAGAAACCCCTAATATAATCTGGTGCCGATGGCATTAAACTTAAAGTGAAATAGAATGGTGAATGTTTGAAATCGCTTTCTAAAAGCGAAAAAGAAGTCTCGCAAACGAATCTGAATTGACATACATGCACGAAAGGTGCTGCTCAATCACTTGATTGAACTGAAATGGAATCAAATGCTCTGGTAGCGAAAATGAAAAGTGTGTTCAGAGCGATTCTCAAATTCAGACGAAAATGAATAACCGATTTTCAGCAGTGAAAGAACATTTTAGGAAATTGGCCTGAAAAAGCTTTATTACGAAATAAAAAAAGGTTGAATATAATTTACACATCTATTTTCTAAAAAGACTGCTTTTCCCCATAAAATCAGTTTGAAAAAAAATAAATCATTTCCAACGAATTTCAACAGGAAAATGGTTTACACTATGATTACCAAACATAATGAAGTATTTAAAAACCTCAATTTGTTAAAAAAAAAAATTAAAAATCGAGAATTCATTGTAGAGGAATTAATGTTAAGCTACCTTAGGCCAAAAAAAAAAAAAAATCAGTCTCTGGTCAGACCAAAGTTCCGGAATTGACGCGGCCATGCGGGTTTTTTTTTTTTTTTGCTTTTTTTTTTCTTTCTTCAAGCTTGGATTGTACAGACAAGGTGGGGTACTATTTTGCTTTTTTGGTGTCCTCATGTACATTGGTGTCCTCCATAATTTGCCGTGGTGCTTTCGATCATTTGCCTTGGTGCAATTTCCCATTCCTTGGTGCTCTTTGGTAAAAAAAAATTGAGGGGGAAAAGAGAATGGAAATCAGTGTTGTAGGTCTCGAGACCGGTCTCGGTCTCGAGACCGGTCTCGAGACCACTTTTTGCTGGTCTCGGTCTCGGTCTCGGTCTCGGAAGCTGTGGTCTCGGTCTTGGTCTCGGTCTCGGTCCCCTTTGGTCTCGATATTTTGGCTGGTCTCGGGTCGAGACCGGCAATATGTAGCTTTTACAGCTCGATCGATTACTTTGTGTTCACTTCGTTCATTACCGTTGTTATTTACATTTGCTAGCCAGTAGGTCAAGCTTGTTATGTATCGCGGTCGGTTTGGACTCGACTGCACGTTGGAATGTCCCCAAAGTACATGTAAAACTGCAGCAGTACCAGTCACTGAACGATTTGGAACAAGTTCGAAGTTCGGCATTTATCTGTTGAGTCGGGCACATAAAGCAAAGTATAAACTTGTAACAATTTATGCAATAAGGGTCAACCATTTTCGGGGATTGTGTAGTTTAGCCCACCCCTGTGGGCGTAATCACTTGCATTTTGTATTCTGATAATAAATGAGGTGCTTCAAATTAGTTATATTTTCGACCCCACACAATGTTCTCTTTAATTTGGGACAGTATTTTGAAGAAAAAGTAAATTTTTCTACCTGATTTTCCAGCTTTGAACTCAAACACTCTTACCAGTTACCACTCACTGTTGCCATGAGAGTGTATGATGAGACCCCATTTTCTGGCTGCTCATTTTAAAGTACCCCATTATTCCTCAAAAATTAAAAATCCCGTTCAGAAAAAAAATAAAAATCCATATCTGGCACATTCTGGCTACCACCTCGCAACTTGTGGGTCTACATGTACAAGTCCACATTCTATGACAAAAATTTAAAAATTAATTCAACATTTTCTAGCTCCCATTTTTTAAAATCAAGTACACAAGTCTTGTTAGAAGTTAAGTCCTAAATTTATTTTAGGAAAAAAAAGGCAATGTAAAATTAAAATTGCATCTTTAAATATCCGTTAGAAGTCATAGCTGAAACCAAGGGGGTGACTGTGGAGTTTAGGATCCGAGTTCCTATAACAGATGAAACATCTACCTTTAACTTTTTTACTTTTGTCACGATTGGGTGCAGACAACATGTCAAAGCCCATATTTCTTAAGTGTAACTACTTTTTGCTCAAGTAAGGTGTCATGTATCAATTTGTCAACATTGCCACTGGTCAAAATTTTGGTCTGTATTCTTTGTGAATAGAAAGGTTACATTTTTCAACTATAATAACGTGTCTTGTTTTTTTTATTTTGACTATTGTTATTTATTATCAGCGGTCTCGGTCTCGGTCTCGGTCTCGGACCATGTTGGTCTCGGTCTCGGTCCGCCTTGAAGGGGCTGGTCTCGGTCTCGGTCTCGGTCTCGAATCTTCAGGTCTCGGTCTTGGTCTCGGTCTCGGACTATCCGGTCTCGACTACAACACTGATGGAAATAGAGGGCGCTGTTGGAGCTACCGCGGAACATTTTGGAGAAAAAAAAGATCGACGCGCATGATTAAAATCGACGCGCGCGCTGACCAGAGACCGACTTATTTTTTTTTTGGCCTTATAGAAATAGACACACGTGTACCATTCTGCTCTACGACAGTATAACGAGAATAACCAGAAACATCAATGTAAAATAATGTAGGGTCAATCCTCCTACGTTTTGATCCTGTTGAGATGGTTCTTACCTATAATTAATTCCTTGAAAAACCGACTGTTTAGGTAGCTGTTATTGAAGACAATTGAAACGATTCAGATGTTAGGTTTAAATTGCAAACAGTTTACATTATGTCCTAGATACATGTAGGCCCTATATCAGCAGTCTTTATGTGTTGAGTTGATGTGAAGAAATGCACTTACATACGAATTTTGATTATCGAACAACTTAAAGGTCTTTAAACCAAAGATGTGAAAAAGAGTTTACCTATTTAAATCAAAGTACACAATTGAATAGTGCAAATATTAATTTTACAAGATCACTGATGTAAATGTTGTGAGATGATTTCATTTAAGGCAGGTACAATTTTGATAGAATTATTAAAAACTATGTGTAATAAAATTGCACTTGAATATGTTGGAATATTATGTCTGCATTGCTTTCGGAAATAGGTTTAACATTGCATCTTTTATTTTTTTATGTTTCTTGAATTCGGGCGATTCCCCATTGCAGTGCGCCACCAAGAGTTTGCCATGGCGAGTCCATTTTTCAAGTTTACAGTCGACAAAACACGGCTCATTTGAATGGGTGTCGGCAGACAACTTGAGCTATTTTATTTTTTATAGATTGGGGCATAGCGTTCTGCCTAAAAAAAAAACCCCAAAAAACATGTTGATAAAAAGAAAAGAAAAGGGTCGCGCAAACATTATGCTCAAAACATACGCTTACGAAACTACTGACCGGAAAAGCTGACATTTTCAAATGTCCCGGGCTACGAATGAGTCTCCCACAATTCGCTAGGAAAAATCAACTCTCCGTGGAAAACTCTTGGTGGCGCACTGCATTGTGAAACGCCCGAATTGATTCACTTATTCATTCTAGGAACATCACTAGCTGTTCGCTTTCCTTTGACGAATCTAATTTATATTTTCCACATATATTCCAACCGAAAATAATGCGTTTTTTTTGTTGTGTCTTATGTTTTCTTTGTCTTCACCTCCCCCCCCCCCAAATTTTAGCATGATTTACTGTAGTATGGCCTTCCTGCAGACACAAACAACAAATGATCCACCATCAATCTCAGAGGGGAGAGATGACATTTTGGGAACATCTTTTTCTTTGGCATGCTACAAAAAAATCTGACAGCAAGAATGACACTTCCCTCGCTTACGAACAAAACGATTTATAAAAGGGGGCGCACTGTGAAAAAAAATAATAGGGCGAGGAAATGGGGAAGTAAATAACAAATACCAAGCAATAGAGAAGTTCAAGCTTTCCAATTTACCCAAACTTCGTGTGTAATATGAACGTTACATGGAACCACGACACCAAAAAATGTAGGGGCGGTACTAACATTGGTGGCGCTGTTCAATTGTATACCTCGCGTAAATAGGCCTATGTAGAACACATCGAAGTGGCGCTATTTTGTCAACCTCGTGAAAGAGATGTCGAACAGTACGCCCCACCACCATCTGCTCTCTCACCCTGGTAATGGATGATTTGTATGTTCAAAAATCTTGCACACGTAGGTGGGTACGGAATATAGTCTGGTGCCTGGCTGTGTATAAACCAGTGTTTGTTTTGTATTCGGTGTGTCTATACGGTAAACATTGAATTAATTCGTATATGTAAACACCAGTTCCTTTAATGTTAAAATGTTACTATATCATATCCAGCCAAATGTTCTTCTTATGCAGCCAATATTCAGTATCACATTACATGTAATTCAGTAAGCAGAGTTGAAAGTGGCGATATTTTTTTAGGTGGACATAATGATTCACATTGTACGTTAAAATACGTAAATGCATGGTTGGAAATCACAACACCAAGTACGCGATGTATATCCATTACTTGCTATTGCTGTACTGAATCAGGATGCAGGACGCTCGTTTCCCAACCAGGGGTTATTATTGGAAACACATTGGGACGAGGTTGATATTCCGTATAATAGGCCTACCAAAGGCGATGGTTATTATACAAATACTGAATGTTTGTGAGTGCAATGGTAAGAATAATTTCATGAGGTGACAGATGAAATGTTCCATTCCACGAGGCGAAGCCGAGTGGAATGGAACATTTTCATCTGTCACCGAATGAAATTATTCTTTCCATTGCACGAACGTGAAACATGCATTATTTGTTTCATATAACACCTGAATAAATCCTTGTCATCTGATTG